GGTCGAGTACCTAGAGGGCAGTCGAAGCTCTCCTGTGGGCTTACGGCAGGCATGTCCGAACGAGAGGTGAAGCTGCCATCGACGTAGATGCTGGCGACACCTCTCAGGAACGTGTATTCGGAGTCGTTCTTGATTTTAGCCTGCAAAGATCAAAATAAATTTAACGCGTGCGACACGAGAAGCCTTCGAACCCACCGTCAAGTGCGCCTTCGCTGACACCTTAGGCACCGATACCCAAGACATCTCAGCTTCCAAACTCAACTCGCTAATCGTCACGTTGTGGGCAGCGCCATCACTTGGGATCGACATGAGCCCCGGAACGGAGAATGTGGCGTTGATATCCCCCTTCGACGACACGAGAAGGATTCGCTTCGGTATGGCCGCAGAAGAACCACTGAAGGGAATCCCCAGACCGTCTTCTTCGCCTACTGTGAAGGAATCTGACGTATCCCTTTTTCTCTTTTGGAGATCGAAACCTCCACCCCTCGATTTTCTCCTCGACTTGGTCCTCGGGAGAGGCGGACGGTAGATTGAGAGTGTCCACGGTTGGAGTTCTGGGATACTGACTCCAAACGATGGCGTGACGGTCTCGAGCGTCAGAGCTACGTCTTGCCAGTCCTAGTGGTGGGGTTAAGACAAGAACTAAAAGTGGTAAGAACTCAGGAATAGGTACTTCTCCTGTGTTTTGCGTGATAGCACCTTTATAGATTAGCCTAACGGGTTTCTCCTTCGCGTTCATCTTCACGTAGATATCATATGTCGCATCCCATGTCGCATTTGAAACCCCTAGAATGTAGCGCATGAGGCGTGAGGACATGGATCACCCGGAATTCGAACAAAGACGTACCATAGACGATAACGAATTCCACCTCGCAATCCCTCTCCGCGTGGACGGTAATGGACACGCGTTGTCTCAGTCGGTTCTCCGCCTTGACCTCCCCGAGCGCCGCCCGCTCGTCGTCGATGCTCTTCGTCAACACCTCCAGCTCGTCCTCCAAATACAGAAGCTTGTTGTCCAGTTCTTCCGAGACGCCGCTGACGCCTCTTTGAAACTCGGTAATCCTGCTAGCCTCAAAGTGCTTGGCGTCGAGGCTGTCATAGTATCCGTCAATGGCTGAAATGGCCTGTTGGCACCGCTTCAGCACCTTCTCTACACGTGTCTTCTCATTGAGGAGGTCTGTCAGCTTTGGAGAGGTGACTGTGGGCAGGCTGACAGGGAATTCGGAGATGGAGACTTCGTGAATCGTGCATGGCCCACGACCTTCGACTCTACGCAAGGTGAGTGAGTGAGATGTTCATTGCAGACAATGTCTGACACACACCTCAGCGACTCTCGTATCAATGAGTTGGAAAGGCCCGAAATGACGATTTTGTTATCTCCTGCCTTCAAACTGACCCTAGACAAGCGGGTAACTTCTGCAAGCCCATTGTAGAGGCTGACACCAGCGATTTTGCTGTCGCTGCTAGCAGCGACCTCCACCAAGTCTACGGACGAACGAGGCGATGAGTCGGTCATTTTGGCGCGGTGAAAGAAATGAGTGAAACCAAGTACGGAAGTAAGTTTGAAGATGCCCTATTTGTGGCCGCGGGACCGCAGCCCTTTACAGGGTCCTTCTTGACATTTGTTGACTTGGTTGTTAGGGGCCGTGGCTCCCTTAACCTTTACATCTCGTGCGACAACGCTGAAGAAGACAGAGGCAAGGTGTTGCAGAAACGCGAAAGAGTTACGACGGTGTATTCGGTGCCGAGAGAAGACTTGTATGCCCTCCGCGGGCCGACATCCCGACAGCTAAGTATTTTGGCAAAAATGTAAGACGATCAAGATGAATTGAATATTTTTGGTGAGCTGTGAGACTCTAGATTACAAGAAAATTGTTCATTCCTACATGTCGAAGTCCTTCAAGTCCTCCCAGTCTGGTAGCCCAAAGAAAGAAGGCAACATCTTCCAAGCTGACATTCGAACTTCGTCATAGCACGTCTGCAGATCCCGATAGCACGCTTTACAAGTGGTATGAGATTTAGGGCGATTCCAAGTAGGAAAAACGGTGATGTTGCCGTCTTCGACTTCCCACAGATTAAATGTTTCAAATATCATTCGCCTGCTGGGTGAGCATTTCTCATGATTCTGACAGTCCTGACGCCGTCCCGCCATAGTGAAATGCTTGGACTTGTACGTCGAATTAATCCAAGCAACGAGTTTATCGCGCCCAAGGACGCAGCATGCCACTTCTTCTCGACTCAGCAAGGGGTCGGACATGACAGCGCTCTAGTAAAGGTACAAAGGTTGGGATCGTTTTTGGCTACAGTAACAAAATTGGAAACTTACTAGACTGGTCTTGGTGACATACATGAGATAGACGCATGGTCGGATCGTATTGAGAGAGAATTCACTTGCTAGACTGACAATGTCGGCGTAGGAATCATCACATGTCCGTGATATGCGGTCGAAACCCTCGTCCCAAAGCTCCAACGTGGAAGGGTACTCGGATTTGAGAATATTTACTGCCATATCCCGAAGGTAATCAAGTTGGTATTTGTGCCCCAGACGAATCATCGCAGCCACTATTGGGAACGAAATTGGATTTTCGGCGTCGAAACCCCTTACAAGTTTTGAAAAACAGGCAGACAGATAATGGTGGGATACTTACTTCAAGTTGTCATAGAAAATACCTAAGACGTGTTCGAGGTCCTTCTCGTCGTCTGAGAGCTGGATGACGGGACATCCTGCAACCAGATTCTGTTCATAAGGCTGAGGGACTTTGAACATGTCCTTCCAGACGATTGAGTGACGCGAAAGCATAGATCGATGCATGACCACCTGGTCGCCAACAGGCTCCTCTGTTCTTCTGCGCTTAAGCTGAGGTTCCGAGTTCATTTAAATGCGTGAATGGCAAGGAAAGGGAGAGGAGAGTGTGATTGAGACGTGCGACGCGTCGAGGTTGACAGTAAAGCGGCAAGAGCAAAAGAAAACGGACTGTTCCGAATAAATTTCCCACCCCTATGTGAATTCGGAAAGAAGCGCCCGAGTCTTTCATCAGGTAGTCGGTGGATCAACAGAATCAACGTGGTATATCTCAAAACATTTGAGTTAAAAGCGGGTTTCCTGGTCATTATGCCGTTCGTAGTACTTTTTCGTCCTCGCCTCTGGCAAGGCTTTCCGGCTGCTTCTCCCTCTCCTCCTCCAGCCGGACACGCTCTTGTACCACACTCTTCCTCGCCTCCAGGCCCACCTTCATATCCAACCCATGTGTACTGTTTACAATGCGGACCTCGTAGTAGGAGGAACAGAAGGGATAGGCCAAAAAAACCCATGGATAGCCCAGCGCCCGCACGCCACCCATGGTTGATGAAAACGTTCGTCCCTACGGCAGTGCCCATCACTTGTCCAATGAATATCTAGAGAGGATGTAAGAATGGTGTATCATTACTCTACTTTACTGCAGAACGTACCGAAAGAATTGCCACCGCGTTCAGACGGGCACGAGCAGCGGGGTTGATGCTGAAGGGATGGCAATCAATATTCCGAGGCTCTCGAGCACTGGAGTCCACCATACCTGAAGATCGTGGTGCTGACAGAGACTTGAAGCATTTGGGTGAAGATATCGAGCCCGAAAGTGGCGATTATTATAGCGCCGACACTGATCCCCCCTGCCCCGAGTTGTACACTTTGCGACACGAGGAGCATGACGATACTAAATAGCGACGCATACCACGGAACGAGGCGGTCGATGAGGCGTCCGACAAGAGGTCCCAACGCGACGCCAAGCATGCCTACTAAACCAAATAGACCAATAACCAACCTGAGAAGGAAACAGGGCATCATCAGTTCACTGAGAAATAACTATCAAGAGGAATAACGCACGTTGAGTAATTGTACGGTGGTCCCCCAAGAAGGAAGGTAAGTGTGACCCAGAAATTGCTGAAACAAGCGCTCATCGAAAAGATGATAAGACATCCTTGGATGAGAACGGGCTCTGTGACAGCAAACTTCGCCATGATCCACAGAATTTTGAAGTACGTAAGATCCGTATTCTTTGAGGGGTAGTCGGGAAGGAGGAAGTACGATCCGATCAGCACCAGACTCTGCACTCCGAGCGCGTAATAGTACACGACTCGGTAAGAGGCGAACTCGGCGATGATTCCTGAGAGTACACGAGCGACTAGGATTCCAAACAAGAGACCGGAAAGAACAACGGCAATTGCGGAGGCGCGGCGGTGAGGGGGTGCCAGGTCAGCGGCAAGGGGAATGAGAATCTGTGGCGTGACGCTAACGGCGCCAACGAGGAACGAGAGCGCCTCGAAGACTTTGAGGCTGCTCGTTACGGCTAGTCCGATTGTCAATAAAGTTGATATAGCCACCACGCAGATGATCAGTTGTCTTCTTCGTACGAGGTCACCCAAAGGCGAGATAAGTACCAAGCCAGTAGCGTAACTGCCGTGATTATCAACGCGTGCAATATCAGGATCTACGTAATAGAACGTACCCAGCTTGAACAAGGGTAGGTATCCTTGAGAGGGCAGGTGTTAAGGATGTAAGCTCATGCCAGAAATCTATATACCTACCTCGAAACGTCCCCATACGAGACGCCGAATGCGATCGAGAGTTGAACTATGGAGAATCAATGCAAGCGCGAAGAGGAGGCAGATATAGACGAACTCAGCAAAGGCTGGCAGTAGTAAAGATTAGATACAACTGGCGACAATGCGGTTTGAGCGTGGTCGACACTGAACGAGCTACCCGACTCACTAAAGGTGCTTGCAAAACCAAATGTGACATTTAACAGGATCCCGAAGTGAGGCGGCTTCTCGGGGTCGTATCGTAGGTGTCGTGGAATGGGAATGAAACCGAAATCCGTCGTAAATTCATGCTCCTTCACCATCATTGGCGTAGGGGTTTCTTCTGTACTGCGTTGCGTCTGGTTCTCTTTTTCTCTGACCATGACATCGATCATCATCGTTTCTTGTTGAGGTGTCGTAGCCATGGAAAGAGCTCGTCGAAGGACATGCACGAGAAAGGGGGAAGGAATGGGAGGAATGAAACCGGCAGAGTAGTGATAAGCGACGCCATGATGGTGGGTTTATAAATGTCGACGTCTTGATGCATAATCAGCAAAGCTATTTTCGTTGCTGCCGAGAAACGGCGCCGGCCCGTGTAGCCTCTTCGATGAGGTCACTTGGCTTAAAATGGTGAATATTGCCAATTTAGGACAGAATATCTCAGGGTCCAACCACCGGCTCCTTAAAGCTCGGATGGCGCGCAAATTTTCGTCAGGCCCGACATAGGTTCTGGACAATGACTCACTCAAATACAAGCCTTGTCTTCGCCGACCGAAACCGTTTGACTCAAAGCTAGTGATAGGCAACGGTGGAGGTGTCCAGGTCGCAACAAGTAATGATCGACGTCTGAGCGCACCCATCAGGGTCGATAAACACGTTCGTTTTATATTACCTAGCAGGGTACGCGTATCACCGTTATTACGACTTTTCTTCGACAGCCCGTGTTTCTATTTGCTTCTCTTCTTCTGCCCTCTTCCTCGCCTCTACGACTTTCTTATTCGATTCCAAGCCGCCTTCGTAGCCGAACCATGTATATCTCTTGCAATGTGGCCCGCGGATGAGAAGGATGAAAACTATCCATCCGTACCACCCCATGTTCAAAGCTGCGCCAGCTCGCCATCCATGGTTAACGAAGACTTGGGTACCGACTGAAGTACCCATAACCTGTCCGATGAATATCTGCGAGGCGAAGAAGATGAACAAACAGGAAGAGGCAACCTGTATCCGCAAGGACGTACGGAAAGAATATTCAAAGCGTTCATCCTAGCTCGAGCTGCCGCCGAAATTCTGAAACCAGGAGATTTAGTCATGGAAAAAGACATAAATTTATTCGACTCACGAAAAGACCGCCGTTGTTAATGAGACTTGGAGCATCTGGCGGAAAAGATCTAGCCCAAGGACGGCCACAATGACAGCACCAATGTTGATCCCGCCAGCTCCGAGTTGTATCGATTGGAAGATGAGGAGCATTGCCACGCTGAATAGCGAGGCATACCACGGAACGAGGCGGTCGATGATGTGCCCTACCACAGGCCCCATTGCGACGCCAACCATTCCCACTAATCCAAAAAGACCGATGACCAGCCTGGTCTATTTATAAGCTTCGTGAGGAGACTTACTAGGAGGCTGAACGTACGTTGAGTAGTTGTATGGAGCCTCGCCAAGTAAGAAAGTGAGTGTAACCCAGAAGTTGCTGAAACAAGCGCTCGACGCGATGCTGACAAGACACGCCTGGATTAATATGGGCTCTGTCACGGCGTATTTCACCATTGTCCACAGAATGCTGAAGTACGTCAAATCAGCATTCTTTGATGGATAATCCGGAAGCAGGAGGTAGCTCCCAACGAGAACCACTGCCTGAACCCCCAACGCGAAGTAGTACACGACGCGCCAGGACCGGAACTCCGCAATTACACCAGCAAGTACTCGGGCAACCAGGATGCCAAAAAGGAGCCCAGACAGCACGACGGAGACCGCGGAGGCACGCCGTTTCTCAGGTGCAAGATCGGCAGCCAGTGGGAGGAGGACTTGGGGGGTTACGCTGACTGCACCAACCAGGAAGGAGATGGCTTCGAAAACTTGAAGGTTGCTGGTCGACGCGAGGCCGATTGTAAGGGAGGTTGAGAGGAGGACCAGGATAAGGATGAGTTGTCTTCTCCGCACGAGGTCACCGAGTGGAGAGATAAGGACGAGCCCCGTAGCATAGCCAGCTTGGATGAGAGTAGGTATTCTGGAGAATTTAGTTGGAGTGGAGCTTCAGCTGAAGCGATTGCAGACATACCGAGAAACCTCGCCATACGTAACGTCGAACGCAAGTGAGAGCTGGACTGTCGGCTCTCAATCCCAAACAACGTCCTTCCGAGAGAAAAGAAGCTCACTCAATAGGGGCTGGCAATAGTACAAATTCGCGACAGCTGCGTCTCTTGAGTATCATGCCTCATAAATGACTCGTATAACTCACTGAATGTGCTTGCAAATCCAAACGCAACGTTTAGTGCTATTCCGAAGTGCGGGGGTCGAGTGGGGTCATATCGCAGGTGTTTTGGCGTAGGTATAAGACCAAGATCTTTCGTGTACTGGGGCCCTTCAAGCTCGCGCGAACGCCCTGCCTCAACCTTGTGCTCCTCTCTATCGTGAGACTGGCTCGATGTGGGCGGTCGTGTAGGATGTGTAACCGTCGCCGTCGGCGAAGACGACCTCGTCATGTATCTTGCAAACGCCGCAATCGCGTGTGGTGGTGGTCCGAGGAAAGCAATAACAGTTTAATCCACATGGATGTTCGTTTATAAGACAGAAGCGTTGGTCATCTTTTCCTGTAGCCCAGGCGGAATTCCGCCCGATGCCGCACAAGCCGAGTATAATTTTGGTCGGGAACCGCCACGAACCTGGCACGAAGTGATTGCGCCATGAGAAGACATTCCCAAAAGGAGGACATGCGCTAAAACAGATAAGATAAGCAGCCATCGATAGAGATGCGCATTTGCTTTTGAGGAAGTCAGAATAATAAGTTCTAAATACATTCTGGCGAACACAACTACGTTCAAATCTATCTGTAAGGTTCAGGTGATGGTTTTAGTGGAGAGTCGCACTCATCCAGATTCTTCACTTTTCTCATCCATCGAGGGACCAACGACTCCACCCCAGTGAAGTTTGTGCTTGAGATAAAGAGCAACCCAGGTGAGCCCGAGCAGCACAGGTACCTCCGTGAGCGGGCCGATGGTTGCGGCGAGAGCCTGCTCGGAATTGACGCCATAAACCGCAATCGCGACGGCTATGGCGAGTTCCTGGGACGCATCAGCTAACGGACATCTCAGCTGAGAGGAATGACTGACAAAATTATTGCTCGCCGCGGTGAATGCGTGCGTTACGGCCATCTCATATCCATATATGTTTTTCTCGCGGTGCGACCGCCGTGAGAGATAGTAGATGAGGAAGAACGCTGTCGACCACATGATGGTGAAGTAAAGTATTTGGGGTACAAACACGCGAAAGACGGGGCCGAGGTTTCGTATTATGCGGTGACCTTGGTAGGCGAAGAGGACGATTATTGTGTAGAGAAGCCCGAGGAGAGCAAGTGGGGAGAAGATGGGGAGGAATTTCTTGTTGAAGAACTGCTTGCTGGTCAGAAAGATCACGCCGTAGCGGGTAATGACACCAGCCACGAGGGGTATACCAAGGTACTGGAGATTCTAATGAGACAGATTCTCGGTATAAGAATATAAACTCACGATGAGAACCGAAATTGCGACGTCCCCGTACGAGACGTGAATATCAGGCTGATCCCCGCCACCTATAACGTTTATGAACAGGACGGCGTACGGCGAGAATAGGACGATCTGCATCACGGCGTTGATCACGACAAGGATGGCGCAGTACTCGCTGTCTCCGCGTGCAAGGTCATTCCAAATTACGACCATGGCAATGCAACGAGCGAGGCCGACCATAATGACGCCTGCTCGGTAGGTGGGAAGATCTGGAAGCGTCGCCCACGCCAAAGCAAGCATGATAAGTGGCCCTGCTATCCAGTTCAGAGCTATGGATATTCCGATGTGCTTCCACAGGCGAACGGTGGTGAACGCAGCGGGAAGTTTCTCGTACTGGACTTTGGTCAGGACGGGCCACATCATAACCACGAGCCCTATAGCAATAGCTAGAGACAAGTCAGCATCATGTACCCCGAAATGTCTCGCTGCGTATACATACGGACAGATACGCCGACAAATTTCGCAGTGTCAAGTGCATCGCGCACGCCAGGTGCAAATTCCCCCAGAATGATTCCAACAATCATGGAAACGAAGACAAATGGAGTCAACAGCTTGTCTAGAATGCTTAATTCCTTGAATGGCGCTGGTTAAAGAAAACTAGTGAGCTCGAAACTTGAAATCGAAGAAGGGGCCTCAGATGTCGATGACATACCTGGTCTGCTACTCGTTGACAGTAGCTCGCCCCTGTCAGGCTCGGGAAGCACGCCGGCTTGTAGCGAGCGAACTTCCTGGAATTCAAGGTGCACACTAGAACCGTTCCGTGTATTCATGTCGAAGGGGGAGAAGTGGAACCCTCATTAGATTCAATTTGAAAAGGATAGTGTTCAATTTGATTTCGAATTTGATTTTTGAGATCACGTGCTACGCTATTCAATGCTGGCGATAAGATAAGAAATTAATTCCGACGCCCTTTGATTTTTTGTAGTATAAGAAGGCGTTGTGTTCTATTTGTCACATTTCATTGACTACCGCTGTCCTTAGATGGTGGAACAAAGGCACCTCGTTGTTGGGAAATGAGAAGGACTAGTAAAGGGGCCAGGGCAAATTCGAGCCTGGTCGACGAGTTATACACCGAATGCTGGCCCAAACAAGTTTTTTTTACCAGGAATTTTCATTTTCCATCGTGTCACCGTGGAGAATTTTCTCTTACGAGCAACAAATCGAGTACATAAACTTGAGCAATTGAAATTCGGGAATACAGATCGCCAAGAGGTCCATTTCCTCACGTGCTCGTGAGAATTGAAGCGAAGCTTTCCCACGTTCAAGTTTTCACCCAAAGTTGCGCATTCTCCATCTTGACCCGAACCCTTCATTAAACCGCCATCGGACCTTATTCTACTGTCCCTAACCCACTTGACTATATCCCAAGGATATTAAATGCTTGCATCTATTATGGGGATTTGCTATCGGCTCGGCAATCAGTAGAATCTCACCTGGAGGTCGTGGTTGGACCACGTCAAGGACACTGGCGCACACTCTGGAAGTCTTCTATGAAAGCGATCTGGCTTTATTTCTCTTTTGCTAAAGTATATTGTTATGCTTCTGGGTGCCTCTCCAACTCTATGTCAGCTATCTCTTGTCATCCAAGTTCGGCGGTTTCCCCGTTCTGACTTCCCTTCGTCAGAGACGTAAACCTAACTGCTGGAAGGGGCTATTGAAACATAAACATTATACGTCCTCTCCGCCTTTAATCTTTTTACGTTCTCGAATGGCATCCTGTCTGACATGAACGTCGACAATTGGCGCGATTCGAAGCAGGGCGACTGCATGTGGATTGGTCTCGAAAGCTTGATTACTCAGGCTCACTCGTTCAGCCCCAGACAAATAAATGGGCGATGCCCCTCGCTTTATCCTTTAGTTACCTTCATCCCCCCGAGCCATGTCTGAAAAGTCTATGCAAAGTTCGCGTAGCCTGGAGAAGACCGACAAGGCCGAGCGGCCCACCGATGACTTGACAGTCGACCTTCCCGCTACCAATCAGCAGCTCCCTACAAAAGAGTTTATCTTTATCCCTATACCCATCTACCTTCGCTACAGTCCCGCCAAACCTTTTAAATTCAGTTATGCTACAACTGTTCTCTACGCATTCACGACCATGATCAGTACGTTCAACTTCCTCGAAATATACACGACGCCTGTATTGATTGATATTCAATGGTAGTTGTCGCGAACATATACTACTGCCAGCCGTTGTTGAGTATGCTCTTCTTCGATGCTTCGCGGTCGTTCTAAGAGCCTGACTGCAATTTTCACCTCTTAGTCGAGATGTCGCAATCCTTCGGCGTTTCATACGAGCGTGTGTCGAGGCGAGAAGTTTCCGGATCTTAGTCTTCTTCCGCCTCCTGATTCTATATCACAGGATCCCTACTTTCCTTCAAGCTGGGTAAGTCATGTTACCTATCTTCCATCTATTCATTTTAACTCTATCCAGATATGCCGTCGGCTTACTGTTGATTTGCCCTCTCGGCGACATTGTCCGACGGCGGCAACTCATCCTGTCCCTCGTTCTCGTCACCCTTCTCCTCACAATAGGGCTCGCGGTAACGACCGATGTCGTAATCTTCGAGACCCTCTCGAGCCTTATGGGTCTTCTGAACGTCGCCGCGCAGATTCTTGTTCCATTAGTTGCAGAGATCGCCCCACCTGACCAGCGGGCTTTCGCCTTCTCCATCGTCCTGACGGGCCTGATGTTCGGCATCCTCGTAGCGCGCGTTATCGCTGGTATCATTGGCCAGTTCATCATGTGGCGTATCGTTTATTACACCGCATTTGGAGCGCAATGCTTGGCGTTCTTGTGCCTTTACTTCATTCTCCCAGATTACCCTGCAAAGAACAACGACCTACCCTATTGGAAGATACACTGGTCGATGGCCAAGTTAGCCGTTACGGAGCCGGTCGCCGTCCAGGTTATCCTCGTCAACTTGGGCGCTAGTGCGTGCTTCGCGTACTTCTGGGTGACCTTAACGTTCCTTTTGGGCGGCTCGCCGTACAACTACTCAACGTAGGTGATTCCATGTTGTGCGTTATGTCAAACATTAATGGCTTGCAGCCTTGAGATAGGGCTGTTCGGATTCATTGGCATGGCAGGTGTTGCCGGCGGTCCTTTGAGCGGGCGCCTTATCGATCGAATACACCCCTGGCACGCGCTCCTCTTTGCCACCACTCTCCTTCTCTTTTTTCAAGCCGTTCAGACCGTCGCTGGTGGAATTCACATATCGGCTGTGATTGTGGCGTGCTTCGGCCTTGATTTTCTGCAACAAGTTCAAAACGTTGGACTTGTGATCATGATCTTTAGGTACAGCCGTCATTCATTATCAGAGGCTCCTACCGGCGATGCTGATTGGCGTTCATTTCAGCATATCAAAAACCGCTATATCTCGTCTCAATGCCATCTACATGATCTCGGTATGACTGCTTATCCTTTTCTAGAATTGCTCCGTCAATTTCATGTTTTCTCTAGTTCTACGTCGGGCAGATGATTGGAACTGCAGTCGGAACGAAGCTCTTCGTTCAATACGGCTGGCGAGCTGCTGCGATCTTCGGTATGGCGATGTACGTCATGCAGATCATTGCACTGTTGCTTCGCGGCCCACACTGCCGCCAATACACGTGGTTCGGGTATGAAGGAGGCTTGAGCTTCAAGAAAGTGATAGAGACTACCACCACCACCGAATCCGTGGAGGCCTCGATCACTGTCGAGATGAAGGCTTAACAAACACAAAATGCCTGTTTTCTTTTCATCTTAGAGGTTCTTGCATTAGACAGCGTCCGCTACTAAACTTTCCCTTTATGTAAACTGTCCCAACAAAGTACCATACACGAATACCGAAAGTCCCTAAAATGATCCAGAACTTAGCAGCTAGGAGGGTGAGAAAGAACCGAGGAAGGCCTCTTGAAGAATGAAACCTCGGAATTCCGCCTCGTCACAAGTCCTGGAAGAACCTTCCCACCTGCCTTGCGCCACTTCGGGAGCTCGTCAGTAGCGACAGCGTTTGGGTCTTCTCCCTTGTTTAACCTGTTAATCAAAGTCGACCCTCTGCTGTTCCCACACCCGATATTGAAAGCCCATGACACAAGCGCACCGTACTGATTTTCATTAAGATTCACGGTGTCCACGATATCCGCTGAGATACAGGCCGCAGCCGGTGCGATGTCAGACTGAAGGAGGGTGGTCGCTTGCGCCTCGGTCATGGGGAAGGAGAATGGAACCTCCTTGCACCCTGGGCGCTTGCAGAGGTGCCCGTAACCCACGGTCTCGAGACCGACAGGGTCGAGATAAGGCTTGGGGACGAAGGACTCGAAGCCTTTGATTAGGGAGACGGTGGCGACGTTCACGGCGGTTGGGCCGCAGGACTTTGAGGACGACTTGGGCTTTCCGGGGAGGCAGCACTTGAATGTTGGAGGTCCCGGACAAAGGCCTACATGAGAGCTAGTAAACAATCGAACACTTCAAGTAGACGTGTTTTCGGTAAGGTACCCACCCGAGACAGTGTTCCCACTGGAACAAGTGTTCTCGAACTGGCACTACCGCACAGAGGCTTCGTGCAGCATTTGATGTTAGCAGGGTCGTTCGGGCAGAAGCCGGTATGAGACGTTCCTCCCGAAGACGAGCAGGAAGACGTGGAGATGCACACCCCCGATGTACACGCTGCTTTACATGGATCGTTGAGGGCGGCGTTGGCAGCGATGGCAGCGAAGAAAAGGGCGTAGATGGACCGCATCGTTCGGCAAGGAAGCCTCATGTCGGAAAAATCAAAATTTGCCTATATAGCCATATATGGGCATATAAGGACCTTTTAGGGCGTCAGAAAATCGGGGTTCATATCGATGGCGAAAAGTCACCCATCCAATTTTGTAATGTGTACAAGTATTATAGAACTTATGGCTCTAACACACCGTATTTGGCCTGATCTCGTCTGTACAGCTGTTCAGGCCTTCTCCAGGGTTATGAGGGCGAATAGGTGTCATTAGAAAACCCTACGAATACTGGCCACAAAAACCCATATTCGGGTGTACTGATTATTGTCCTTATCCAAAAGAAGGGAATAAGAAATAATTTTCATTTTCTACTCTAGGAGAACTACATGCCCCCCCTCGGAATTTACATTTCCGTCGTCGTCAACAAACAAAGAAGCCGACGTTTCACGCTGCTCGAGGAAACAGCCAATCGAGGTACAGCGGTCTTGAATGAGGTTAGCTTAAATTCATTGTGGCACTAAATAGAACCTTACCGTTTGTGAGCCAACTACCATCCTGTCCGTCAAAGTCAGTCGCAACTTTCTAATGCATGTGAAGACAGACACACGTTAGCAGAGTCAGTGCCCGGCCCCCCTGCTACCTGCTTCTCACCTCAGAGAAAAGAAGAAAGCCTATTTGTAGTGAGCCAGTGTTAAACTACAGAGACGTACGAGGCACGCACCGAGTATAAGATGCCCTGTTAAGTGAAGTCGAAGTTAAAAGGTGATACGTGAACGGAGGGGGAACGCACCATGGGACAGAAGCCGGGTAGCACCGACGTCCATCCAATCTCGAACTCGAAGTAAGCGGGAAGGAACTGCGCTGGAATGAGACGACGAAAGCCCATTTTTATAACCCTTCAATGCCTGGACCTCGGCGCCTAGATACCGCCCCGAGACTAATCTCCGACTCGGAATTCACAAGCCTAACCAACTGCCGGAGGGATGTGGGCGCTTCGAGGCGATAATTCTGGATCCAAATTCGACTCCGAGGTGTGTAAGCAGGCTGACAGGATTTCCCCTCGTCCTCGTCCGTCATCCATGGTCAGCCATGGTCGCGGAGGTTACTTCCGTCAGCCTTAGGGAAAGCTCCCGTGACCTGGGACTTAGACGGAAAATTTCAAGTCCGTTCACGAGGACAATAAACGGACACTCACTGTAGATGAAACAGATGCAATTTGAAGATAATTTGACATTCTGAGAGGGTGGGGTGCAACCTCTTTCAAATGGCTTCTTCGGAAACTCGGGTTTTGGGAGGTGAAGTGATCGGGTGTGACTAGGACTCACCAGAGGTGACGGATTTCTGATACTCACTGACGCTCGACTTACAGGCCCTTACAATTGATTATTGGTAGCGTCACGCCAGCGTATCAGCGGGGCCAGGGGTGCCAGGAGCCGCAAGGCCTTATAATGGAAATCGCGTTTTTCCGACACAAGTGCCAGACTTGGAGGTTGAGAATGGAGGGCGACGCACAGCGTTAGGGATCCATGCGGTAGGCCGCACTATTTTATAACGCTCCGCGAAAGGAGCAGGCATAGCGTGGCCCATTCTAGAGGTCTGCGTTTGAATGATCAACATAGGATACAAGTCGTCGAAATGAAGCCAAAGCCGCCATCAAACCTTCTACAAGGATTCTGAGAATGTCGATCTGATAATAATCAAGGCGCCCGCTACACATATCTGTCAAACATTCAATTGAAGATAGACGCACGGATTGGGATTTGGACGGATGAAGCCTGTCGAGACTCAGGCGGTGTTTATTCTCTCGCTAACACTGACTCGAACGGCGAGTTCGCTGACATTGTATAGCTAAATCTCGAAACGCTAGATGACGGCCGGGAATGTTGGAACTGTTGAAGGATGTGCGGTGATCAACAACGGATAATTTTAGGCTTATTTCAAGTATCAGGGCATCTCGGGAATAGCCACATTGGTTTCTACTCTTCACCCAGAAAGAAACGAAGGGGTCAGTGATTGCCCATAGAAACGAGCAATTTACTCACCTAACAAGGAGGGTGCGCAATGACGCTTGACGCAGTCTGGAAGAGGCGCACCTCCGCCGCACGCCTATTCACCAGACCGGGTAAGACTTGGCCACCTGCCCTGTTCCACTTCGGCAACTCCTCTGCGGCAACGGTATTCGGATTCTGCCCAGCATTGAGACGCGAGATCAACGTGGAACTACGAGTGTTCCCGCAGCCCACGTTGAATGCCCAAGAAACGAGAGCACCGTATTGATTCGCGTTGAGACGCACGGAGTTGGAGATGTCGTTGGTGATGCACCTCTCGAAGGTCTTCAGATCGTTGGTGAGCAACGTGCTCGCCTGAGCCGTGGTGAGAGGGAAAGAGAAGGGCACTTCGGCGCAGTTTGTGGTCTGGCAAAGGTGGCCGTAGCCTACGGTTGGAAGACCAATGGGGTCGGGCGCCGGCCTTGGAACGAAGCCTTCGAATTGTTTGATGAGGCTGATTGTGTCGGCATTGACCGCAGGTGGTGTACAGGTCGACGAACCGGGAAGGCAGCAAATGAAGCCGCTCGGTCCCGGACATAATCCTAGTCTGCTTATAAGCGCAGAAGAGAATGGGCAGAAAACACATACCAGTCTGCGTATTTCCCGTTGTGCACGTGTTTGAGAAGCGACAAGTGCCTCCCGAGCCGCAGGTCTTGGTGCAGCATTGCACGTTCGTGGGGTCGTTGGGACAGAAGCCAGGATGAGAGGTGCCTCCGCTGGACGAACACGACGCAGTGGTCAGGCAGACGCCGGGTGTGCTCCCAGCCGTGCATGCGTCGTTGATAGCAGCGTGCACGAGTGCGGCTGAGGCAAGCAAGAGAGTTGTAAAGGAAATCATTGGTCGAAGACTCTGATGTTTTCTGTTGAACTAGGGACGAAGCAGCGTGCTTTTATACTGCTCCTCATCGTAGGATCCTCGTGACGATTGGAAGTTAGAGTGTGGATCGACTGTTCGTAGACCATATGGCAGTTCACTTTTCTGTGTAGCCAAGACCCATGAAGTGGAGCCAGGTATGGGCTCGAACTGTCCATCTTTCGAAATGTTGAGCAAGGTTGCCGTATTAATATTCATTATGACAGAGACGCATGCAACGCCGCCTCGAGCATCAGCCGCGGATGAGACCCCACCAGTGATTGGATCCAGCCAAGGGAGCGAATATCCAGTAACGCATAGAACGTTGCTCGAAATAAAATCCATCAGACAGGCCATCTGCGACACTGTCGAACACATATGCAGCATCATCGAGAAAGAAAAGAGTAGCGTCAACGTCCCGGAGAACATCGCTAAGACGTCAAAATGTTCGTTGACTTCCGAAGGCCATAGAAGTAGATGAATGTCAGAGGGCTAGGACAAGATGGATACCCAAGTCACAGGGTTCCCGAAATTATAATGAGAACCTTCAGACACCACTCACCTCGCACATCCAGATTCCAGACTAGGGCTCTGGATGAATAGACCAAGGAAGACCGTGAAGAGGAGATTCGAGGGCGAATAGGACCTTGAATGCTATGTCATGACCGTCCTTGGCATACGACCTCCAGTTCTACTCCTGCGTTTTCAACCCCGAAAAAAAAGGCTGGAGTCATTGATTCAGATCAACCCGGGCCGGGGCTGTGATTTTCAAATTCGTCACGCGTTCGACTGAAAATGTTTTTTTGGATGCGTACTGTCCCCTTTGGGGGCATCACAACCATATTTGGGCAAAAAAATTAAGAGAAACTGTCAAGGACCGTCCTTTTCAAAACTACGGGTCTTTGGGAGGCCTGGCGGAGCGATTATCGGTGTTCAGGAGGGTCCTTTGCGAACCTGCACGGACGGAGAACTGATGCAATTAATTCTTACCAGTGCCAGAGTTCAAGAAATTCAGTTCTTCTGTCTCTTCTTTCTGTCAGCCACTTGATGATTCTTCGCATCTCCGCTCTGTTTTGATGTAACTTCGACTCGGAGCATTTTAGGGGAGGCTCTTGACATTTGGCGTCCGCGAAAATCCGCAAATTCGTAGGTCTTCCCAAAATGGAACAAATTTCCGGGGCCTTTCAGGAGTACTTCTGTTCATCTCAGCTGACCTTAGAATACTCACGGCCGCTCTTCTGTCGCTCAAATGATGATTATGTGTTCTCCTGGACCGTCCAACAGACTATCGTTACGATGACTCCTCCCCAGAAGATTTATACCACCTCCAGCCTTTTCCTTCGTTCGCTGTCACGGTCTGGGATCACCCATGCCTTCGTCAATTGGGGATCGGATCATCCTGCCCTTCTCGAGGACCTGGAGCGTCAACGAGTCGAGCATCGGGCAGCAGCATCAAGAGATGACAAGGATGATACCGTTGAAGGAGAGACAGAACCGAAAATAGTGACATGCCCAAACGAAATGGTTGCTTTGAGTGCAGCTCAAGGGTTCGCACAAGCGACTGGAAAGCCTGCTGCTGTCATCGTTCACGTTGACGTGGGGACCCAGGTGAGCTGAAAGCTTATCATTTTACTCTTACCCATATAACTCATTCCGTACGAAGGCGCTCGCTGGTGCAATACACAACGTCGATCGTGGACGCACACCCGTCCTGATATACGCTGGAGCCTCCCCATTTAGTGCAGAGCGAGAGTACAAAGGAAGTCGGAACGAATGGATTATGTGGATTCAAGGTAGGTGTTGTAACTCAACGATGCTGATTTTTGGCTTAAGCTTTCGAAGATGTTCCCGATCAGTCCGCGATCGTGCGCCAGTACATGCGCCACACAACCCAGATAGGAAGTGCGAAGACGGTCGAGAAGACGGTGAAGAGAGCGTTGCAGATGTTCGTTCCTCCACAATTTTTATTTCTGTATTTCTAAATATTTTAACCTTTAGAGCAACGAGCGACCCAAAGGGACCGGTCTACCTTTGGGCTCGTAGAGAAGTCATGGAAGCCGAAGTCGATCTTGCTTCTACCGACTCCGTTTCAGACATGAAAGGATGGCCGTCTATTCAACCGTCGGCTCTCTCTGCTGAAGGTAGTGTCTCATATCTCAGCCCTCATTTAGGAGTGTATTCTGACTAGCCGAACAGCTCTTATGACAATAACCACGGCACTTCTTGGAGCTTCTTCGTCTCTCATCATCACCTCCCACCTCGGAAGGAACCCTGCCTCTGTCGAGCCTCTTCTCTCTCTGGCCTCACTTCTCTCCATCCCGGTAGTGAACTCTTGCCCTTCAGCAGTCAACGTGCCCTTCTCTCACCCCAGCTTCGCCGGCGTAACTTATCTAGCTCCTGGCACGCACTCGAGCATTTTCAAGGGAGCCGACGTGATCCTGGTTCTCGAATCCGATTTACCTTGGGTCCCTGCGAACGAATCGCCAAATTCCGATTGTCAGGTGTTTGTCATCGACAGCGGTGATCCTCTCAAGCTGAATACCGGCTACTGGCATGTCGACGCAGAGCTGATCTGCCGCGCGGACCCCGGGGTCGCCCTCAGGCAAATTCTCAACGAGCTGAACTCGATGGGTGTCCGGTATGGCGAGAAGTGGGAAGTAACGACTCATCCAGAGGGGCTTGAAAAGATCGGGATCGCGAATATCGAAGCCGGGGTCAATGCGAGGGGCGAGCAATTAAAGAAGGATCACGAAGCTATGGTAGCCGTTCTGGACAAGGCGGAAGAATCGTACCCTCCCGTCTTAGCCTCCTCTCTCAATTCGTCTTCTTTTACCGTCCCGAACCTCATGTCTGTCCTCCGACGAACGATCAACCGATTCACACCGTCGCGCGGTGAGAAAATTCTCTTCCTGAATGAATCGATCAGCAACTTCCCGGCGACATGGATGCACCTCCGGCCAGAATACCCCGGAAATATGATATCGAGTGGCGGATCTTCGTTGGGCTGGGCGCTCGCAGCCGCTGTGGGTGCTGGCCTTGGGTCGGAGACTTTTGGTGCAAGTGGGACAGGGGCAGGGCCGTACGACTTGATTGTCGCCGTTGTGGGAGATGGATCATTTATGTTTGGGGTGCCTAGCTCGGCGTACTGGATGGCTAGGAAATATGGAACGGTGAGTTTATTCTGTTCACCAAGTTGGATTGAAATACTTAGACGACTGCGGCCTTTCCAGCCGTTCCTCACCATTATTTTGAACAACGGGGGCTGGCATGTATGTTATCTTCCCTCTCGATACAACGGGTGTCTAATGTCTCTTCAGTCGCCCAAACTATCGATGCTAGGTGTCCACCCTGCAGGTCACGGAAGTACTGCCCCTGGGGCACAGCTCACAGTTGGATTCGGTCCTGACACCCCGGACTATTCGCAGATTGCAGTTGCAGCGTCTGCGAGATGGGCCTGGGGCGCACGCATTGGTGGGCCAGGATGGACATCAGCGACGAAAGGCGGTGTCGACAACGCACCACAGAATTCCATCAGGGAGGGGCTTGAGGTGTTCGCGAAGGCTGTGAATATTGTAATCCAGGAGAAGCGCTGCGCTGTCCTGGATTGCGTCCTGGATTCCATTTAGTCGACCGTTGTTTAAATAAGTCATAAAGCCAACGCATATTTATTACAATTGTACAAATAACAATACCTATATGTCCATTGTTCGACTGGTCTCTTGGGAAGAGATAGGACAAGGACCAGTAAGTGTGAAGAAAACTTGCGCATTCAAAACAGATTTCCGTTACTTCCATCGACATATTAGCTGCACGGAAACACGCGTTAGACAGACACGGATCGACTGAATCGAAGAAATGCATGCTTTTGGCGCCGTCAGCTCTATGAGACCTTGCAATAGAAAGAAGAAACTCACTTACAAGTACGATGATAACCTACAGACCGCTGATATTGGTCCCCAAAGGTGCGGACACTTCCCACTGAAGTGCAAGACCAACTTTTCCCTGAGGTGCGATTGAGCAAATCCAACAAAGGCGTCCTTCTTTGCCGAGTGACTCCACATCCAAGTCATCCTGGCCTTGTCCACCACTGAGGCCCCCTTCGTCAGCGCCGTCCCACACAGCGACCACCCCCGAGGAAACTTTGACAGGCTTCGCCTTCTCACCGAGACCTGCCACACTGCTGACCGTGCCGCTGACGTCCAGGCTAGGAAGGACCAAAGCGGGTTGAACGAGCTTGACGTTGATAGTCGAGTCCTCGGAGACGGGTACTTGGTCGACAACTTTAATTTTTAGAGTGTCGGGAGTTCCAGATGACTTTGTATTGTGCACGGTGATACGCTGAGTGTATGTATGCACGGTCGACTTGTTGTAGAACCCGGATTGCGACGTCTTCTTGCTGCGGGGGTGGTAGGTTACTCTGATTGATGGATCCAATCTACAGAACATGCTTGAGTTACTAAATAAGTAGAGGATGGACAAAGAACGCACCCAAGGGGACAATCGAAGCTTTCATCTGGGCTTACTGGAGGCACGTCCGATTTAGAAATGAAACTTCCATCGACGTATACGCTGGCAGTTCCCGCCAGAAGCGTATACTCTGACGCATTCTTGATCTTCGCCTGTAAAGGACATTGTAAGTGCCCGTACCTCTTCGGTCCTAGGAAGGAGAAACTCACCCTCAAATGGACTCTGCTATCCTTCTTCGGCACGCACACCCAGCTCATGTCAGCTTCCAACGTGAGTTTCACGATGGTCACATTATGGCCCTCGCCGTCGCTCGGAATGCTGATCAGCCCTGGAACACCGAACGTCGCACTGACATTGCCCTTGGAGGACACCTGCAATCCGCGGTACTGAATGTCGGATTCCTCACTCTCCCAAACCACCGGCTGAGCAGGCGGGGGGCCTCCCGGGGGCATCACCGCCATGGCCATCATCGACCTGGCCATACCGACGGATTTTGAGCGGATGGCAGATCTCACCGGCACCACTGGACGATACACAGATAAGGTCCAGGGTGTGAGGGCGGGAACACCGACACCGAACGTGGGCGTTGCGGTCTCGAGAGTCAGAGGGACGTCGTCCCAATCTTCGCCGGTGCTCTGGGTGATGGAAGCTTTGTAGATGAGGGAGATGGGTTTGTCCTGGGCCTGCATGTCGACACGAATGTCGTACCCGGCGCTCCACGTTGCACAGGAGACAGCTAAAGGGAATTGGATAAATGAGAAAGTGAGACATACACGAGACAGACGCACCGTAAATGAGCGCAATCTTAACCTCCCCTTCGATGTCTGCAAAGACACCAATCGTTGCCTTCAAGTTCAGCTTCTCGTTCCCAGTCGGCCCTGCAAGCTTCTTTCTCTCTTCAGCGATCGCCTCGTCCGTCTCCTTCAGCTGCTTTTCCAGTTCCGTGACCTTTTCGTCGAGCTGGCCGGCGGTGGTGTCGTACTGTCGGACCACCTCCTGTAGCTTAGAGACGTCAAGGTGCTCAGCTTTCACCGACGTGAGGTACGTCTCGAGAGAGTTCAAGGACTTCTGGACACGCGCAAGGGCCTTTTCGTCCTGCTTCTTCTTAGACAGCAAGGATTTGAGAGTCGGAGATGTCGTGGGGATGGGTGGGGGAGCAATGGTGGCAACAGTGACATCGTGGATGGTGGCTGCACCTCTGCCCTCGACGCTGCGCGACTGTTAGCTTGCTCGAAGGCATGCAGAGACATGAATAAGGCTCACCGGAACGATTCCTTGTCCAAAACTCGCGGAAGCCCGACGATATTCAGCTGGTTCTGGCCTGTCTTCACGCTGAATTTGAACAAGCGGGTGATCTCAGCACGCCCAGAGTAGACGCTGACGTTAATGATCTTGCTGTCCTTGATAGAGACGAGGTCGATGGTGTTTACTGCCTGGAAAGCGGGCGGGGTGTCCATCGTCATTTTTGTCGTGGTTGGAGGAAAGAAAGTGAAAGTCGCACCGCCGATGTTGCATTTTATACCCTGTCATGTCCAGGTTTCAGGGGCACCAACCGACAGGGGTAAGTCTCACGGGAATACCGAGGGCCCATCTACCTACATGTTCTGGCTCAACTGGTTCGGCTAGGCTCAAAAGCCACAAAAGAAAGGTATGGAAGTGAAGTGATGCGTCACAACGCAGAGAGAGTCAGACTCAGCAAGAAGTCGAATAATAACGCGTGCGATAGATTGGACAAACCAGTGTAAGTACGATTTGTATAAGTATAAATTGGATAATTGTACAGGCTTAGGGCTATAATATAGATGAGTTGCATAAAGAACGCAGATGGTGGTGATGATTTGGTGTTTATGGTGGTCTTGAAGAGCGATAAATATGGCCGATGAAGGAAAAACGGTTGTTTGGTGGATGGAAGTGCTGGGAGATGAACGTCAGCATCTGCACCGCAAGAAATAGGTGAGCGGGTTCCTACCTTCTACATAGACGACGCGCTCTTCGACGGTCCACAGGGATCAAACGCCACGGCCCGGCCTGTCACCTTCGATCTTGATTTCGTCTTTGTGAAACAGCGGGAGCGTAGCTTCTTCGTTCTTGTCGGGACTACGAATGAATAGAGGTTAGGAAAGGGTCCTCGAGAGAGGTAAATATATTACTCACCCTGCGTAACTTCGTCGTCCATGAAACCCATCTTGCGCTTGATCTCGTCGCCCGACATAAATACATCACAACAGGGACAAGGAACGAGTTCAGTTCCCAACCTCATTTGCATGAGGAGGAGACAGAAGTCGAACTCTTGCTTGCGGATTTCCAAGACAATATGTGCGAAGGGAGAGTCGAGCTTTTCACCGTGGCCGATGTACTTGTCGATCGCATTGTGGAAGAAGCTCGAACACGGATCATCCAAGTACAAGACGTAACCTGTGAGATTCATGTATTCCCTCAGGACGTTTTCGTAGTTGGGAGTTTGCTCGGCAGAGAGGACGTTGGTGATGGCCTGCTCGATGTTACTGAGCATGATGGAAGGCGTCGCAATAGTGAGGGGAATTACGGATGCGATTGCGAGATTTCCTGGAAGTGCTCGACAACAACTTGCTTTCTTATAAGCAGGTTCGTATGAAAGACATCCCGAAGCGGAGAGGCGGGGAAACAAAGGGCGATATCACCACGAGGCAAGCTTTGGAGGTCACTTGAGAGTTAGAGTATATTCCACATTGATCCACTAGAATCCAGTCGTTTACAGAGAGAACCCTTCTGCTCGTCTATGTACAGAAACGTGTTTTCATGAGAGCAAAAACGTCATTTCTGGGGAGATCGATTGATAGCAAATTGAGCAGTGACTCATCGGAGCCCAAGAGATTTTCGTCCAGGACTGAGCCGCAGCGGTGGAAAGCAACTGGAGTGTAGATATCGGTTCCTGAAGTTTTAACTTTGAACTTTAGGTAATTGGCGTTGAGATTAGAGAAAGAGCAGGAAGCAGGAGGTCAATGTCAGTGAAAGACTGAAAGACTCGGACTCAGAGGAGTCAGTGCGGTGAAACCAAGTGGCAATTGTGGGATCTTATTAGATAATCGATCGCTAGTCTCGGCCCGGCCCCTAAGTAGCACAGGAAAAGGTTCGCACTTGCACCTTCTTTCCTTTGCTCACTTGTACCCAAACCATCTATCTTTTTTTGCCATGTTCTTACAATTGTAAGACCACTTCTTAGGATTTCGGACGCCAGCGTCGTTTGCGCACTCTAACGTCAGCACCTTGACAACCACGGGGCCGTTTCCGGAAATCTGTGCTCGCGTGTCAAGGACATCGCAGGGAATGTCTTCTTGAACTCATACCTCTACCACCTCTGAAAATGACGTGCCCGGATTGTGTCAAAGGCTATATTCTTCCTGGAGAGCCTGTAGGCTCTATCATTCCTGACTTTCAAGGAGCATATTTCACCCCTGGGCCTGGTTCTGACCCTTCGAAGCAGGCGGTCTTACTTTTCACGGATGCCTTTGGTCTACCGTTGAAGAACTGCAAAATAATTGCGGACAACCTGGCTAAGCGACTGGAGTGTGACGTGTGGATCCCGGACTATTTCAACGGTGTGTTTCTTGCCTGTTTGTTGAACATCTAGTTCATCTCTATCCTCCATCAGGTCGACCTCTTGTTCCTGTCGACTCTATGGGCATCCCAGACCATGCAGGCCACAAGTTGTCGCTGTGGACGCGTATTAGCTTCATTTTGTTCAACATTCTTCCCAACCTCCCTGCGATCATCAGCAGCCGACCTTCAGTCGCCGTGCAACGTATTGCGTCTGTGAGTCCTAGTGGATAATTGCCACCGACGCGACCTGATCGCCCGTGTAGTTCATCCAATTGCTGAAGGAGAAGAAGCAGTATGAGAAACTCGGCGCCGTAGGGTATGTGTCGGTTATTCATCCTGGTGGAATTTTGACACTAATATAGCACTAGGTATTGCTTTGGCGGTACAATGTGCATTCGCACAGGACGGACGGATCTTCTAGATTCCCTGGTTATTTGCCACCCAGGGCCTTCAACACTTGACGATGTGAAAGCTATCAAAGTACCGACGGCCTGGGTCTGTGCTGAGGGTGCGTCTTTAGTCGAGTATGATGTACTCCTTTTAACAATCACTTCCAGAGGACGACTACTTCCCTGAGTCGCGTCGAAATGAGACAGAAGCTGTCTTTGCAGCGCGGAAGGACAAAGAAGATTTTATTGACTACGAAGTGAAAGTCTACAAAGGTAGACAAAATCCTGCTTCTTCAGAATCACAGGAGTTTTTCTGAACCATTTCATGTCCTAGGTACCGCTCACGGCTTCGCTTCAAGACCGAATCTGGATCTCCCGGAGATCAAAGAGGCACACGAAGCGGCGTTCGAACAAACAGTAGAGTGGTTTAAGAAGACACTGATTGTTTGAAGCGGGTACGTTGAAGCCTTGATCACGATCGTCCGTGTCCTTCTATAATTAGGTCCCGCTTTCGATGGATTATGTCCAACCCCACTTCCCTGCTAATATATGATCGCTGTCTGTGCTCCCGGACTCGCCGTCGAAGATCCTCTCGGACGAGAAATGCACCCCAGTTGACAAGCGATTTACTATGACAGGTTCGACTGCGCTTACGGATTACCAGACTCAAGCGGGACCTGCAGAATGTCGCGAAATATTTCGGTGTGCAGGACAAGGCTTCTGAGGACCATGATTGGATATGATCTATCCCCACGGGTATTACGACGTGCAGGAAGGTCGATTGTAGATAAGACCATGGACCAAAGGCCTGCGGTCTGGTGTGGACCAGCCGTGGACTCTTCGACTCCTCATCACTCCAGAGCCGGCTATCGCTGAGATAAGACTAGCTTCGACCTTCATGACTTTACGAAGAGTCGAGCAGGCATTATACCGCCTCCTGCAAAGAAGTAGAAGCGTTTGATTACTTCCCAATTCTGAAGTCTACGTCAAGGCTACTGTCAATAGTGCTGATCCCCAGTAACCTAACCATTCCGCGCAGCAAGCTCTCTCCCCCTCACCGAAAGCATCTCAATAGCGTCTTATCAACTGTACTAGGATTTCCTGCTCCCCCGTTCACGAGAATCCCTGGACCCAGCCTACCCATCTACTCATTAGCTGACTTCTGGTATAAGGGTCAGTGCTTCGGTGATTCTGCAACGACGTTGGCCACGACCAAAGAGCCTGACAAAAACACATTTCACGGTTCAGGCTTGCGCCACAGTTTCAAGTCTGAACTGGGGGCCTGGATCGAAGAGTGAAGAACGTAATAGATCATGATCATGGACAAGTTGGTTGTGGCAACGATCTCACAGTCCTGAAGCTCAAGTCACACGACACGAGGTGTGGACTTGCTCGCCTTCGCTAGACTTCGTTCCCAAAGGTTGGACCGACACGCTCCCGGGACATCGAGTAGGATGAGAAGCCGTTATCTAGCAGGTTCCGCCCCTGGACGCCTTGTCAAATTCAGTTGACGACAGCCTGAGAGTCGATGGAGTTCTGGCTCTGGGAAAAACCTGGGGTACGTCAGGAGGAACGTGTCAGAACCAGGTCTAACGTCATATGAGCAGTCGGGTAACACCGCGAGATCGGCGGAGAGAACAACCGATTTTCCCTGAAAAGGGAATATGCCAAAGGAAGCGCGAAGTTGCCGTAAAAGACGACATCAGCATCCAGGGAGATCATCTGCAGACAGTGATCAGCGAAATTTTCGCGTACGAGAATAGAATTGCTGACAAGTTGCATGTCTTCGCCTACAGAGCCGACGAAGAGGGCTCTACTCTAGTTGCCCGAATTTCCCCGTTTACGGCATTCAAACCCTCAAACGCCAACTGAGCATCCGCCTGGCGAATGTAGCATGGCAGAATTGGGTTTCACATTGAATTGATAGGAATGCTTTCCGAGGGAACCGATGGCACCCGTACGGAAATGACGGCAAGAAGCCATACATTCCCGCAGATTTACGACGAAACCCGGGAGATTCCAGAGAAGTACCAGTGGGATGAGGGCCCTCCGACATGTTCGACAACGCGCAGACTGCTTCCAGGATCTGATTGACGCGTACTCGTAAAGCTTGAATGCTATTTTAGTTGAAGTGTGGACCCATGACAAAAGCCATCGCGAATAGCGCATCTTCGCCGAGTAGAACACCCGCCTCGTGGAAATGTGCGGGAGAAATATGTGGCGTGCCGTACTCACAAGAGATAGTCGCGATCAGAAGACAGAAAGGTCAAGACGCGGCGCTTCTTCAGGACCGGAATTGCTGCTTTCCTTACAGTTTCCGGGTGTCATTTACATCGCGCCATTTTGCGAACCTCTGCAACACCGCAGGCGTAATCTGACGCTTGGTTGACTTTGCAGCGGCGATAAACGCCTCCTGAGGGACCTAGCAAGATGTTGCTTTGGTACGAACGTGGGTGGGACACGAGGAAAAGATGCCTCACGTGAGGGGCATTCATGTCCTTCTGCATAGTCAAAATAGCTGCTTCTTGACAAAGAGCAGTGATTTCTGCCCCAGAACATCCCTCAGTCTAGTCGAAGTGCCGCTAAGAACAAGAGGGTACCCTGTGAGATAAGATAGTGCTCACCAGTTCTGCAATGCTTCTGACGTCCACGTCCGGGCCCACCATCATAGATCTCATCCTGATGGCCAAGATTTCTTCGCGACCCGTTTGATCCGGAGGGCCAACATACAGTATACGGTCCAGTCGTCCAGGTCGCATGAGAGCCGAATCCTACACGAGGGAGGTAAAATTTGAGATGAATGAAAGACCACAACCGTGATGAAGATAATCACAATAGACTCAGGCCTGTTCGTAGCTGCAATGACGGTTACGCCCGTGAGTTCTTGGACGCCATCCATTTCGTTAAGCAAGCTAGTTAGCACCCCTTCGTGAGACGATCCATGATCGGTATCGGAAGAAGTCCGCGAAGTAGCGAGAGCGTCGATTTCGTCCTATTGAGTTTGGTGAATGGCTCGGGGAAAGCGCAGCTATCTTATCAACTCACAAAGAACACAATCGAAGGGGAGGCAGCTCTGGCTTTACGAAATATCTCCCTCACGGCCCGTTCAGATTCACCCACAAATTTGTTAAGAAGCTAGGCGGAGAAAAAGATCAGGGTCGTGTACATTGTGGCGCACGCGTGCTCACCTCAGGGCCCTTGACTGCGACGAAGTTGACGCCACTTTCGCAAGCACACGCGCGAGCGAGAACGGTCTTGCTGCACCCTGGTGGGCCATATAGAAGGACTCCCTTAGGTGGTCTGACGCCAAGTCGCTGGAACGCCTCGGGATGCAGGAGAGGCCACTCCACAGCTTCTTTCAATTTCTGGATCACATCGGACTGCCCTCCAACATCACTATAACATACGGGCGGCGTTTCGAAGAAGAGAGAGCGCATGGCCGAAGGCCTGACAGAGGGCATCGCTGCTACAAGGTCCTTCAGTTGTAGTTTGAGCGTCTCAGCCACTGATAGCGACGACGAAGTTCGACCAGAGGCGGCCAGCCAGTTCTTAATCGCCAAGGTACCTGCTTCGCGAACGACAGCCCCGATGTCGGCACCGACATAGCCGTGCATCCTGGAAGCGAGAAGGTGGAGGTCACTTGACGCGATATCGTGCGGTGTGTTCGCCAGGTGAACCTTGAGGATAGAAAGGCGTGCTTCGGCATCCGGGACACCTGTTGTGCGGATTAGACATGTCCTAAGAGTGGGCTGGAATGCTCACCTATTTCGATCTCCCTGTCAAATCGCCCCGGACGACGGAGCGCAGGATCAATGGCATTGGGACGATTGGTTGTTCCTATGATAACAACCCTGTCATGTCCTTCTGCACTATCGTCTCCCATTCCATCCAGAATAGTTAAAAGTGTCGCCACCACTCGCTTCTCCACTTCTCCGCCCGCACCGTCTTCTCTCCTAGGCACCAGGGCGTCAACTTCGTCCAAAACGACGATACACGGGCTCTTTTCCCGGGCTTGCTTGAAGACATCACGAAGCTTAGACTCCGTCTCCCCATGGTATGCGGATGACAATTCTGGCCCATTGATCACGAGTACGGACGAATTGGTCGACGCCGCAATGGCACGCGCAAGGTGTGTTTTACCTGTTCCTGGCGGGCCATGCAGAAGGATACCTCTTGGCGGCTTCAGACCTGAAGGTTCAGTTAAGCTTCAATTACGCATTCAAAGGGTGGAGATCTATACCGAAGTACTGGAATAGCTCTGGTCGTGTCAACGGTATCTCCAGAAGATCACGGATGGCTTCAATCTGCTTGTCGAGGCCGCCTACCGACGAATAGGCGTCCTGAAGTGACTTATGTGCTAATACCTCTACGTCGGCCTGTCGAGGCCACATGCCGTGTCATGAGGACAGTATGATAAGAAGTGCACTTCGACTTACCTTATGGGTTCGGTCTTCCTTCTCGGCGGGGACGTCCGTGTTGATAGACACCGTGCAATCCCAATTGACTGACCAAAGCTGCGGTGGAGAATTGATAGACAGTGCATTCAGCCTACGTGAGAGGGTTTCCTCGTTATCATGGGCGGTGAGTTTAGAGCCTTTGGGCGCGATCGAATGCACGATGAAACGCCGGTGTTGGCCTTCATAGCTTAACTCAACAACCTGGGTGTTTGTCACGTATTTTAGGTCAACTACATAGCGATTGGTGTCAGAAAATGCGCATAGACGAGGGCACATGCGCACCTAGAAGTTCACGGGCGGTGAGGCTAAGCCAATCACGCTGTGATGGTTTGGAAGATGAGGGTCGTTTCGCATTCAACGAATTTTCTTTAATGGGTACTTCTTTGAGTCGTATGGTGCCAGCTTCTTGCGCATTTCGAAGTAACGGGAAGCCAGGTGGTACTTTTGTCGATCCAGACAATGGAATGACACGAGCAGGCTGACCAACCGCGAGGTCAGCAGTTAACAACAGAGATGTCGAAATCAAGATGCCTGAGGACCATGAGAATCGATTTTAACCGTGCACAACTTGTTGACACATGTTCCTGGGGAAAGAACTCACTGCCTCGCGGTAGGTCAAGTGAGGGCCATACCACCCCCACAGCAAAGTCCTATCAGAAAACAGGTCAGATGAAACCGTGGAGAACGGGTGAAATCAGTTAGACCTTCTTGGAGACAGAATTATCTCCGCTTGATAGGGCAACTATATCCCCGGTGCATAGTCTGGCAGATTTTAAAATTTCAGAATTGAAGATAACACGCCGAACGGCACGCGGTTGATTTTCTGAGCCTTCGTTGAGCATCACCGTGAAGGTCTTCGACATGACAGTGGTCATGGTCCTCTAGAATGATATTGGCGGAACTAGGGCCACGAGAAGAAATCAGTGGTAGGATAGGCGACCTGCTGACTGTCAGTACCCTCGAATTTCGCCCGGGTTGTCGCAAGATACGCCACTGAAGCAATTGTACGAACCTGCGCCTCGCAGAAATCACAGTCACAAGGGCGCGTAGAAGTGGAGAAATCCTGACACCCACTTGATGCAACGCGGTTTCAATCCGCGAGGCCGATTTCTGAAGGCGATGTAAGACCCGAACCCTGTTGTCCCTATTGAAAGATAAGATTCATAGGAACTAGAGATCGAACTCATCAGCATGATCAGTATAACAGAGAACCAGATTTCTCTACCTTTGTTTTGGCGCGTTTGGGTATCTTCCTTGCCCGGACGCCTCTGTAAGTGTGAGTGATGCTTGGGCACTCCTGTGGTGCGAAAAAAGGCGCGTTCTGTTATCGGTGAAGTGGGAAGAATAGAGGTCGAATTTCGCGCCTCTATCATGGTTGTAACTCCGCGAAGGGGCTGAACAACATGACCACACAGAGCCGACACTGCTGGGAGCTCGCAATTACGCACAACCTGGATCGTCAAAATGCTCTTGGGCCGCCGACTGGCATGGCCTTCAACGCTCCTCTACCTATGTCTAGCAGCTCTGGGGTCACAATCTGAGCGTTTCACCGAGAAACTCACCATCAACTCGTTGCAAGATGGCAAGGTCGCGTCGAAGTTCACGTTTACGACCCTATTGAAGGGTGCATCTCCACGAGACCCCCAAAAGCTAGATGGAGAGGATGAATGTGCGTCCCAACGGTCGGAAAGACCGGAAATGAAGGCTCAAGTCAAGTTCTATAGCACAACACTATACCCTCTTTCCTCTAGCTCTCGGCCAGATTCTACGAGAGCACGGCGTGACGGAGCTCCATTTGACCTTGAATGCGGGAAACTGGAACTACGACCGGTGGGGCTACCCGGAAGAGACTGGGGTGGGCACTGGCGCTGAATTGTGGGCGTGGATGGGGGATGGAGCGTCAAAAACGTGCGTTCCCTCCCTTTCCATCAGTTGACCGCATATATTCACCTTTTTTCCCCTTTAGAGTGGACGAGCGCTGGAAAGGGCTCAGAAATGCGCTCGCAGGCCTCTTCTGCGCATCCCTGGGCTCCCTAGATGACTTGCGAACAACGTCTCCGGCGGAATCTTTCGTTCCCGAGGGGTCCCTTCCTCGATGGGACGCGCCTCATCAAATCCGCCACGCGTCTCTCCCGTCGGAGCATGTGTGCACAGAAAATCTGACACCGTTTCTCAAACTCCTGCCGTGCAAGTCGCTCTCTGGGATTGCCAGCCTGTTGAACCCGCATCGCCTGTTTGACGCCGACTGGCACGGGATGGGGGTCCATGTGGTTTGGCACGAAGGTGAAGGCGTCGAGGTTAGGCTTACCTTCCAGGCGGTGTTAGATCCCCTCCGGTCACTCCTGGGGAAGAAGCAAGGTGTGTACTTGGTTCCTGTCATGGGAATCTCGTCACTGAACATCATCGGCTTTCAGATTGGTCATTCCAGTCTTTGTACGACCGAACTATTCACCGTGGGTGCCCAGTCGCGCAGTCGAGTGAAGTGGTTGCGTCACTGCCGACAAATGCCGTCTACGCCATTCAGCCTGAGCCGCACCTAGTCGAACGCAATTTGGCTGTATATGATGTCAATACAGGTACGGGTTTATTTTGTTTTTATCGCAGTCCATTCTTAACACAGCTTCCAGCCGACAAACCTCTGAACATCAGACTAATTTGGCCGGACCCTTTTACATATCGTAAGTTGCGGTTAATTCCCTTCGACAGGTCTCTCACCATCCCTATAATTAGCGCTCGAGTATCATTCTGATTCTGTGCCATTCTCTGTCAGACGAACGCTGAGAGGCTCGAGTCAGGCCTGGGGTCAGCTCTCGGTCGTGATAACCAATCATAGGTCCACGGAGGTGAAGACACTATATCTGGAGACAATGCCATGGCTGGTGCAGTTCTATCTTCATACAATCCAGACCCGAGTAAACGGCGTAGTCAATGGTCAGTCAAGAGCTCCAACAACCTTTTGATTGTTTGTTGAAAACAGAATTTCTATAGATGGAGTGTTGTCCAATCTGACATATATCCCTTCTGTTCCACATTCTCGGCCGACGACCTTCCAGGTCTTGCTAACACTTCCACCGAAATCGACCGTCGAGATCACCATGGAGGTTACGAAAGCCTTCCTCAGGTACACTGAGCACCCGCCAGACGCCCAACGCGGATGGGACCTACCCCCGGCTGTATTCACTCCCGTCGAAGTGACGAAGAATGGCTCTTATTCGCCTCCGCTTGGGGGTCGAATATATTCCTCAACTCTCTTGGTCGATCTGGCGACTCCTGACTTCAGCATGCCGTACAATGTCATCATCTTCACCTGCTCGGTCGTTGCTTTCAGCTTTGGCAGCATCTTCAACATCTTGACACGAAAATTCGTCGTTTTGAGGTTCCCTCCAGACAATGCGCTATAACGTTAGTTCTGTAACAAAGGATACTAGTTTTCTTGCTGATGGACACGCTGAAAGGGCCAACTATCAATCATCATGAAACTCTTTCATCGAGATAGACGCAACAGGCAAATAAATTATCGGGGATCAGGCAAAGGAACAGCATTAAGTCGTGCTTCCAGGTCAATCGGCACCCTCAAAACGCTAATGTGATGTTACCAGAGTAGCGCTTCCGCGGTCAGGACAGGCGGCACGTTTCGGACAGATAAGGTGATAGCGGAGCGTCCGCCGAGTTCTCAAAGTCCGCGAAAAAGACCGCCCACGGATCTTGAGACGGTCCTGCAAGGGACTATCGCTATCGCCCTATCCTTGAGAAGGAAGTAGTGCCCATTATCGCAACATAATCGATGCGAGCGGAACCTCGGAAACAAGCTTCCACAAGCCCTTTCCCTTCCCTCAAGAATCGAGCGATAGGTTGGCTGCCTCTGCTTATTGAGATGGGCTCGATTGCGAGCATCCTTACGATTCGCACGACGATGCGTGCCCCTTGAATTCGAAGTTGGATTTGAAACCCAGCTGCGGGCAGTCTGCCTGCAGGTCGTGTCAAGCTGTGGAATGAAGCTTGTGTGCGAGTTCTTTTATGTCTCTTGGACTGCAGTCACACAGACCGCGGCTAAGGTATGACGATGTTCGATTTCTGATGGGATTCCCGGATGTGCAATCTTGGTACCTCGATACGGGCGTTCTTCTGGATGACAAACTGGCCAAGAATGTGGTTCCGTGTTCATGATTGAATGCAGCTGAATGCCTCGGGACGGAGGTCCTGGGTCTAGCTGGGACAAAGAGACGGAGCTCTCGCTTAACGTCCCTTTATTGGATGAAAGACGAAGTATTTGCAGCGAGGCTGAAGACAGGACAAATAGTTCATTTATTGTCTTCTGTTAGGCTTGGGCATACGTATAACGTCGAGGTGTTACAGGAGCAAGCACGCAAGACAAGGAAGAAGTCACATGTGCCTTTGTCAATCAATCGCCATAAACATCGGAACGGAGGGCAGGTCGTCGAAAACGTTTGGCACATGTGTGCAATCTCTTTCTGGGAGATGATGTGACTTGTGTTGATGGGGAAATTCTCGAAGTGATGATGACAGTTTGGCTCATCCCACTTTTGGGCTTCCCGAAATCTCATAAGATCGCTAAAAAGCTATGAAGCCTTTGTCCGTTTCCTTCCCACTATATATTCGAACTCCTGGATCCTGTATTGCCATCCTCACCGGGCCCACTTTCCCCCAAGAGCTCCTCCGTCCCTTGCAGACTTTTGACCTACTACCGAATGTGCCAACAAATTGCGTGCGTTCGTCGTGCTACAGGCCCTCTCCGACGCTGACGGTTATTTCCTTCGTGCAGTGAAGGGACCCGTTGGACCCGTTGTGGGGTGAGTTGCACTTTGGCGCCCAACTTTTGATGTCGTTCTGACTCGACCCTCCCCCAGCACTTCCAACGGCACCTCGTCGTCGCCATCCTCGACTGCAATACCACGCGTTGCGAGCGCAGTTATTTCCACCCCCAAGGTTGCCGGCTCCCGACGTGTCTAACGGCAAGTCCCCGAGCTCACTGTGGAGTGTTGCCATCTTGAGCTCAATCACTTCTTTACCACCTGTTCGTCGCGCAATGCAGAACTTTGGCCCGGAGATCCAGAGAGACATCGACCGCGTAGACGAGTTTTGCTTTGCGTGCAGAGCAGCGCAGGCGCGAGCAGCTGGTGTTCGATTGACATGAGGCCTGTCGAACGCCATCGCGCTTGAGCGAAGCCGCCACCTTCCAAATGCCTGCCCCACGACGCCGCGTACAGTGACCTCGGCGCCGGTCAATCCGCGCTCGCCCACACATCTAACGACATTTCCAGCCGTGCTTGGCCCACGTTTCTGCACCCGCTATGACACGACCATCGATACCACAGCATGTACATTATATTTTAGACCGCATTCCCTCGCTCGCCGTTGCACTGTACCCACTTTGTACCTATACAATCGCACTGCTATTCACTTATCAGTTATCCTTCTCCGGAAGCCCGAGCGGCCAGTATGTGATCGTGATCATGATCCCGGGTCGATGGAACGGGTTAGGCGTTCGATGACGCTACTGCCCTGTAAATACATTTCCTCTCGGAAAGAAGTCACCGGAGTCCTGAGATCTGCTGATGCTCAACATGGAAAGAGACCAGGACGGGCAAGGATAGACCTAGGACAGACCACATGTCCTGGTCTTCCGCGACTCGCGCACTGGGTGCTCCCTGGGCAACACACTTGGGTCTATCTTGTCTCCACAATTCGTGTGTGCGAGCGTGCTTTGGAGTATGTGTTCCCTTAGCAAACAAGACACCTATTTTCACCGACGATCCCGTGTCGTCACTGCAGCCTAGGGCGGGGGTCAGCTGGACGGCAGTATTTTTGGAATTCGGACGCGGAAGAGAGATATGATAAGAAACAAGCCTTCTGTTGTACGGTCCGTCGCAGACTCGAGGCGCAGCGTGAGTGTTCCGAGAGAACGTCAACTTCCCTTATCACAAAGTACTCGTGGTTTATTATCCTTGCGCCACTTGCACAAACAAATCAGCCTGCTTGAGCCCAACCTTTCAACCAGGTCTCAAAGTGGAACCTCACACGCCGTTCTCGTCTTGAGCTTTATCGATGAGCGAGGCAGGCCAGCAAACCTCCGCGTCTATCCGAGAGCCTAGGTGAGATACATTAACGTATACAGCACGCAGTACGTACCACTGACTCCTGATTCCCGAGAGGTGTCGAATCCGCCGTCTTCCGTGAAGGTTACGATGATATGGTCATCGAGGCGACGTGCTTCGCTGGGCACATTGTTGCTCGATCGAGGCGGTTGGATGATCCTTGATAAGCAAAAGGGTTCAGAATGAATACTGACGACGATGCGCTCCGGAATCCGGATGTCCGTGATTGCAGAGCAAGAAGACACGTCCGAGTCCGTGACCTTATGGGACATGGGACAAGGGCATGGGACAGGCCACCCAATGGCCGACGTGCGGCACCCACCGCGCTCGAGTATGCTCAGAGTTGTTCCTGTGATCCGACATGCGCAGGGGGAGTGAATAGATCGATGGGCCGTCGAATAATGCTCTGACGGAGGCAGAAGAGATCAGTCATCTGGAAATACGAGCACTGGATGGGAATAATGCCCGTGGAGGAGGTGAGGTTCAGATGTCCACCGCACATCCGTGGCCCGTCATCTGAATTATGTGGGTATGGGGCATGAGAAAGTGAATAAACTCGCGGTACGTTCCGAGTCTGTGTGGACTCCAGAATGAGGATGGATGGAGACGAGCATCGTCTAGTTAGAATCCAGCTGAACCACAATAAGCCTCTGTCCAGAAATGTGGTGATCATCTTCTAGATATGTCGTCCAGAACCCTCCATGGGGACCGCTCGCCTCTGTATGTTTGACGTTAGATATGACTGCTTCTGGAGCAGGCCCGAAGAACGGCATCCAAATCATGCATGAGGACTCGAGTAAGAAGGCCAGAAGCGCGGAAAAGGACATTGTCTACTCAATGAATGTCGTACCCAATCATGAAGGGCGTCAAATAGAGCTCTTCCTTCTTATGGCGATAGCCCGTCAGTATATGTCAGAGCCTCAGGGGGTCATAATTAGGCCGAGTGTTGAAATATATTACGAGCCTTCCAAGAGTCGAAGCGAACAGAATTGGGCACCAGGTGCTTGTTAACAATCTCGACGAAGACTGGAAGAAAGAAAGCCCCAACCACGAGCTGTGGCGTATTCCAATATTTCCGGTGGAGATAGAGATTTGTCCGACAACTTCGTGTAAATGGGATGTTACTCCAAGTTCCTCGAGTTGTTGGCGCTGCCACTCCCATGAACGTGGGTGAAACATCCAACCAACGCCATAGAACGAATTTCCCCGCAAGATGATGTACATTCGAGCATACACTTGGCAAATTTCTGGAGTAGCATCAAGCCCACGAGCAACGTGTATGTCATTGCATCCCCTGAGGCGCGCAAGGTATGACGTGGATCAAGTTGGAGCGACGAGCACGCAAGGATCTGCGGTGCCGACCTTTGGAAAGGAGAATGTGCGGACCTGTGCGGACCTCGGGAGACGGCAATCTAACTGTGAGCAGTTAATTTCCTGGGCTGTTGTAGGCATGGTAATAAAATTGTGTGGAGTCGGAGGCGGAGGTTCGAGTTCAGAATGTGCGTGACTGTGACTGTCCTCATTCAAGTCACGAGGGTAACCAAAGCGTGACAAACAAGTGTCTCTAAACCCGACCCCCTCCGAGCATCGTTCACCACATCCACCATGCACGCTACTCTCGCCCGCCGCCAGCTCGGAGGCCTCGTTCCTCCCAAAATCGCTACACCAAAACTCGTCGTACGCACCCTCTATCCTCCGAATTTCCTGGATTTTTTCTGATTTTTTCTGATTTTTTCTTGGTTCGGAAATCGTCAACTGGACAACAGTCAGGTGGATCTGGTGCTGGACTCGGCCCCCTGGTTGACTTCTACTCAAGACTCCCCAAGGGCGCCGCCACGAGCCGCATTGGTGGCATCAAGGGTCGTTACTTCTCTGGTGCCAACGCGTCGGGCAAGCCGCTGGTCGCTCTCATTGTTGGCATCTTCGCCATTTCGTACACCATTGACTACAACAGTGAGTTCCTATTTCTTCTGTCCTTGGTTTCGGAATGCTGACGGGCTGATTTTCGTAGTGCACTTGAGTATGTTTACCGCTATACTCTCACCGAGACGGACGTTTACTGACACGCCACGTAGAGCACCACAAGAACCACGAGCATTAAGTGAAGCATGTTGGGATTGGTTGGGGGCACGTTTGTGGAATAGACCGTTAGAGGAGCCAATCACTTTTTCCGTCTCTTCTGGTGTGAGTTTGAGGCTGTCTGTCACCGGCGTGTGAGGAGGTGCGTTGCTTCGCGTCTATTTTGTCTATCCTCCCCACTTCCTTCAAGCGAAGATCGGCGCATAGCGGACGTAAGAGCGTCTTTTCGTCCCTCTGTTATCGCCTCGCTGCTAGCCCAGGCCCGTTCACTCCAACTATCACCTCCGTGGTGAGCCTACTGCTTGCTGTTGGTGACGGGCACACCACAAAGACATGTATCGTTATTTCACGTAAAATCTTCCTTATCAGCCTTAGGCTGGAGGTTATGGCGACGACGGGAGTATCTTGAGCTTGGTCGTCTGCGAGGCCTGACGCCTGCCATTGGCTGTCCTTGAGGCCTATGGTCACTCGACCTGATGCCATTTCTTTCGGAGACATCCTCTACGACGCCGCTGCGTTCGCGCTCGTTCATGACACTTTAACGCTCTACTCCACCCTGTGGCTGCGTCGTCCTCTTCAGAGTTCTTGACTACTGACTATCATGAAGATGGTAGGATCCTCCGAACAATATCGCCACATTCAGGCGAGTGGTGCAGGCGAGCTGTCCTCTCTCCACGGGCTCCAGACCCATATGATTTCCTGTGTTCACAGTGACGGAAGGATTAACCGTCGTTCTGTATTGGTTCTTATTCTATCCGTACCTGGGTCCTGGTCCTGAAGGACCCAAATAGTGTTTCGTCCATGCAAGAGCTTAGTACTCTCACCCAGGCTAACACCTTTTCAGCAGATTTGCTTCCGTGTTCACAGATCTCCGCCTGAGATGTAGGGTTTTGGAAATAATCAGAGTTTAAGCCAACGATAGGATGTTCGCAAGCAGTCTATTGGGAGTTCTGAGGTGCTCAGCTGACCGGTCAATCTGTGATAGGTGGACGACACCGAGCCTTCAGGCAAGCTAAGTCAATTATCCTCTCCACTACTAAGCACCTGCCGACTCAGACGACGACATGGCGATTCGTTTATGCTGACTCTCGATAAGGAACACAACCAGCCAAACCCCCGGCCACTGGGTCACGGTCCTTAAACCCTCATCCCACCCAGTGCGGGGAAACAGAGTAAGATGCGACGGCAGATTCGCCTTCCGCGATGCTTTCCCGTCAAACGCGTGTTTCGCCATTTCCCCGGCCGAACTTCATCTTCTTTGGAAATACCATATTTGACGCGATTGTGGCGTGCGATATGCCCAGGTGCCGTCCGAGCCCGGCGGACCTGACTGTGTAGAGTAAGCTTCAGCGCTCGGCCGCAGCGCCCGTCGTGATAGCGTTGGCTTGGGCTATGAGGGGAAAGATTCGGGAAGCTTATGTGGAGCGTTGTACTTGGGGTACAGGAGCGCGGAACTTGGTGTGGTCCGGTGAAAGATGGGAGCTGGGTATCGTCGATGTCGGGCGGACCTTTCTTTGTCGGATGATAATATTCGACGGGAGAGGGCTTGACGGGCTCGGCGCTTCAGACAGGTCGAACGCATCGATATGCCGTCACGTTTTGAGTTGAAACCTTGGATTTTTGGACCGTTGTTCTAACTCCTTTCTGAACTCTGAACTGATTTCATGGATGATAGATGACGCCTCCTGCTCCTGCGTATGCGCACCCGTGTCGATGATCCTTCCAGGATTGAGCATGGTGTGCAGTTCATAATAATCTGCTTTCACCACTTCTATTGTTTTACATGATGTATGTCGTCATTTTCTCGAGTTCGCCGTTGAATTTCTCCGCCTTCGTATAAGGGTGATATTCGTTACATTGTGCCCAGCCTTTGTACTCTTATTGTCTTTCAGCGTTGATTCTTGAAAGTAAATCTTCATCAGCGCGCCTCCAGGTTTCAACGAAAATCCATATTGAATCATGATTAGCCGAACGGAAATGAAGCACGAACATATTGAAGGGGCGATGATGAAAGGTGCAGTGCACTGCAGTGAGAGTCGTAATTGGTTCATCCAACCCGTTGAAGGGTTGCAGGGTCAGCCAGGAATAATACCGCCTCAGGTAGCCTTTCTGTTCACCGACTGAAAGATAACGCTGACACAGTTCAATTGTTTCAGGCCTGTCGATCTCTTAAACGTTCTTTGAGATGGAAGCGCCTCGTGGTTAAGATGCGGGGGGTGCGGGCCGGTGATCCTCCGTTTGTTTGTATTGGAAGGTATCGAGCTAAGATACAAACAATTCCGAGAAATTTTGGTTACCCGCCTTTCTTCCGCAACTAAGACGAGGCGTCCAAGCACTTGAAAGGTCGACCATTACTTCAAAGCGCCCATAATGCACTCCATAAGCGCCCGTCGATCAGCCCAGATTCTGTATGCATCACGTGAGCGTCGGAAATTTCCCCACAACATCAAAGCGTGTGGAAGGGTCAAGGCTCGAAATTATTGTCTTCAAAGCGCACTCACGGTTTCTCTTTTAAAGCCCACACTCTTTCAACACACTCTTTCCTCAAGATCTCCGTCGAACCCTCGAGAGATTCCAGGGGGACAGGTTCAACAGTGCTGGCCGCCAGGTCATAACATCTATAAGAGCCTTCGGCCTGGGGTGTGCACACACCGCCCACCTTCATTTCCTTGATCACCAAGGACTGGAGCACCGGATACGCCTGACGACACGATGCTGCAACTCTTATTCCCCCGGCCATTGCTCACGACGACCTCTGCTCACCTCATCTCACTCGCGTTCGCCTGCGCATACGTCGGCTCAATCTACCTTTCGAAGAACGCACGACTTTCATTCTCTAAGAGGGCGCCTCGAATATCCAACATGAATGACGAAGGGAGTCTGCAGGAACGTAACAGGCTGAGGAATGAGCGGTGGCGGGATGATCCCGACGTGATACGAGCGCGACTTCTGGCGGTTAGCGTCGCGACACTGTTGTGCTGCACCGGTGTGTTTGGGGTGTTGTGGTGGCAGGTTGGTGCGGAGACGCGAGTACGTGTTTTATTTCGTTCCTTCCAACTTCCAATTTATCTGTATTCGTTGAGCAGTACCTCGACATCGCGATCGAGGCCACCTTCCTCCGCCTCGGTCTGTTCTTCTTCGTGCAACTTCCCCAGTCCCTTCAATCTCTCATTGCCAACCCGCTACCCAACATCCTCCCGCATCTCGTCGCGCCAGTGCTCTTCCTCGGTCCACTGTATGGTTCATTCCTCGGGGGCGAGCTGCCTGGCCAACGGAACTGGTTTTGGAGGACACACGTCGTCGCGCGATTCTGCAGTATCCAGGGGATCAGGAACTATACGGTGGCACCGCTGACCGAGGAACTGGTGTTTCGGGGTTGTGTCCTTGCGGTGTATCACCTTTCGGGGACCGGGAAAGGGAAGATGGTCTTCTTGACGCCATTGACGTTTGGGCTGGCGCATGTGCATCACGCGTGGGATACGTATAATCGATATGGGAGAACGGGGCCGGCCGCGAAGAGGGCTATTATTTCGAGTTGTGAGTCTGGTGCTGCTGAGGAGTATTTCGGAGCTCACCAACGATATTTTAGTGTTCCAACTTGCGTATACCTCGCTGTTCGGATTCCATGTTGCCTACATTTTCCTTCGGACAGGCTCTCTTCTACCTTCGATCTCCGGACATGTCTTCTGCAACCTGATGGGATTGCCTGAGATTGCGTACGAGCTCAGGAGGTACCCTAAAAGAAGAAAAGGTAATGCAGCCAACTCTCCTCTCCTTTCGTCATTCTGACTTCCGTTGCAGTCATAATCACGATGTATCTGTTAGGAATCGCGGGATATATTTATGTCCTCCCCCGATGGACACAAACGGAAGCTAACTTCTACTGGCCGCGGGAAGGAGACGAAGCCTACGTCTATGGAAAGTACTAATATATTACCTCAAGCTGTAGAATGGCTTGAGGCGTAGACGCTCATCTCAGAGACAGATATGAAGTAGATTTTTTTCTTCTCTCGGTTTAATAGGCATTTGTAAACGTATTCTCCATCATTGCATCCTTTTTTCTTTCCTTACTATGCTATGAACACGATTCAGGTAAGGAGCAGGTGTACGACACCAGAAACCATTGGTCTCCATCTTGACTGAAGCCGAAAATGGTATGGGGCTGACCAAATTGGGATTGAGAGTAAACTTGCCCTCGAGAAGCTCCGCGGCTTTTCGTGGACGAAATTACTTGCATGTAGGGTTATAATTCCAGGAGTTGAACCAAAATACATTTCTTTGTATAATGACTGTCTATCTACGAACGCCGGATTGAGAATCGACCCCGGTGTGTGGCGACAGAGCACGAGTCCGCGAATCAAACGAGAATGAAAAGAGAGTAGAAGTTCAACGGGAATAGCTTCTTAGTCTGCGCGGCTGATGACAATTGGAAGTATGGGGTACTTGCTCTCGAAGTTTTCATGCGGTGTGACGATACCCGTCATGTGCCATACCACGCTCTTGTCGGAAGGGGAGAATTCGAGCTTATCGAGCAGGAGGGCAAGGACGACCTCTGAAGGCTCGTTAGATAATTATATGCGGTTATTTAAGAGAACTGCGTACTCATCTCGAGTTGCGAGAATTTGAAGCCGCTGGGTTTGAGTGCCATGAAGTCAGCACGCGAGAAAAGTGGGCTTTCGGATTATACTCACATGCAAGACCTTCCGCCTCCGAGGAACGTCATCCTAAATTATTTATTACTTCGATGAGTCTACCAAGTGATAGAACCGGCGCTTACAAATGGGAGTACACCCCAGGGATGTGCGCGTCGATCAACGGTTGCGGGAGGGGATTGAGCCATCGCTCCGGTTTCCACTCGTACGAATCCGGGCCCCACAGTTTCGGGTTTCGATTCGAGGCCAAGATGGAGACGCAGATCGAGGTGTTTTTGGGAACTGGAATTTCGTTTATTTCCTCACCGTTGAGTCCTTTGATTGGTTCGGAAAGGGGAAGGACGATGTCGGACACAGCCCTGATGAAGAATTCGTGAGGGCAATTAGAAGGGGGAAGAGGGTACGGCGCGTACGTTCTGAAGAGGTTCGAGATCGGCGGATACCTTAGCGGGGAAAATATTAGGCCCAAATATAAACTTGAGTGAATGCTCGTGCTCACAAGCGAAGCGTCTCGCGACAGATTGCATCCAGAAGAGGGAGAGAGACCAAAGTGTCGTAGCCAATATCCTCGCCACCATTTTCTTTCTTGGCGTTTCGAATTTCCTCACGAACTTTGGTCTGATAGTCTCTATGGGTGGAAAGGATATGCAAGATGCGGGAGAGCGCTCCAGATGTCGTGTCGGTAGCGGCGAAGGTCAGAGAGCTGAGATGAGAAATAGACGATTAAGTAAATTGTGGCGCAAGGAACGAAGCTGGCGTACGTGATTTGTCCGAGTAATTCCGCATCAGTGAGCCTCTCATCTCTGGAAGCTTCCATATTTGCCTTCACTGAAAACCTGTGAGTAGTCACATAGAATAGACAAAAGACGTTCTGACGCACTCAAAATGCTAATGATATCCTTCCCATGCCCAATATGCTCCGCAAGAGCCCCGTCGCCTTCGCGCAGCGCCTTCTTCTTTGACTCCAGTATCTCAAAGGCCGTACTATGTATCGTGTCGAGGATATCACGGAGCGTCCGGACTAATTTGAAGGGCATGCAGTTGACGAGAAACCGCCGGAATCTTGGAGAGCCGATGCGCGTCATGGTTGGAACAACCCACTCGCTCATGATGGCAGGGGAGTCGCCTGACATAGGACTGGAGAGGATTTGTGTGCCAAGTAAATGATAATCAGAGGGGATAGGCATACATAAGTTGCTTAGAGGCGTTCGCGAAGGGGTGGGGGATGGCGCCTTCTTCCAAGGTATCGAAGGTGTATCCGAGCCCGCTTTGACCGATAAGTTCCATTGCGAGGCGGGTGTTCCACCCCAGAATGTCGACCTGCGTGGACGTGAAATACAGACAATTAAATGGTTGTAGCAGCACGCACCTCCTTCGGTCCGCGCTCGGTCATTTTTACTAAGGTGTTTTCCAGCTAGGGAAGGATCATATAAACGCCATCCCTCCGGATGCGGAGATATTAATGGCTTACTTTGTGAGAGACTTCGTAGAATATATGGACTTTCGGTCGAGATGGAGAGTGAGTGAGGAATCAGTAGGATGTTGAGTTTGGACCGCTCACCCATCTCGCGCATATGGTTAATCGAGAATACCGGGTTGAGCATCTTCCTGTGATGGCGATGGCGTTCACCTAATGAAAGTGCATTGGTCCCACTTAAGAAATTAGACATACGGGAGGGGTATGATTGAGTAGACGAACCATGAGTTGTGAAGAGACCTTCTCCGAAAAGGACCTTGTTGGCCCTGGAGAAAGTATGAGCGGCGTCGCAGATGACAATGGATGCGATCCGCTCACTCAATCACGCTGTTTGGTTCCTCATAGGTATGTTGATCCTGCATGAAGCGGGGTGAGGTAGGACATGCTTCAGCTGAATCGACGGGGCGTTCACCTTGATAAGGATATGGTGCAGTGCTTTCGGGTCGTACACAAAGAGGGCGTTGGACTGGGGGGGTGACACTTAGAATCTGTGTGGACGGACAACCAGGTAGGAATCTTTACTCCAAAGGTTCCCTTGATGCGAGAGACACTTCCGTCTAGACATTAATAAAGCAACTTTTAGCACCGACGCAAAGAATTCAGTACTGGGTGCTGACAGGTTTCTGCTATATGTCGATTGAAATCCCAGGCTTTGCGGTTCATTAATTGGTCCAGCGAACCTGTGGAGCAGGGTCAGCCTCTCTCAGTGCCACGACATCGGTAGGGCTTGAAGAAGCACAACTGACCGTTCAGCCACGACTCGGAAGGCGGTCCTGGAATGTTGTCGAGTACGGTCTTACGGCGAGATCGACGGACGAGAGTCCACAACACTCCCGTCAGAACGGCGACACCCAACACTTCGATGCTGAAGGATGGCATATCGATACTAGTGGACGTGAGTAGGAAGAGCTATGAAGACGAAGTAAGTCTCACATCTCTTAAGTACCTTCACGCGGCTTGGCGAGTGCCACTGCAGACATAGTAGTCGAACCTGACAGCGCATGGGTCAAGCCAGCCAATTGCCCTCGAAACGTTTGGGAAAGCGTCTTCTCGGGCCGGGTTTCTTCCCAAGATAGAGCGGAAAGTAATACGGATAGTGTGATCCATTTGATAGAGAAGTCCTGGAGTCCTGGACAGACCGTCGGTTGTGTGGAGAATCAAAGGAAGATTCTCGATTTGGTAGGCGATGTCGGGAAGTCTACAACCAAGTGTTAAAGGTTGCGTGGTCCTTCTTTAGCACCTCTGGCCGGCGGCCGCGCTGAGCCCCAATCGTGATGGTGGCAATACCTGAGCTAGGAGCTGGTACGTTGTAGCAGGACGAGTGGCGGTTCTCTGTAATATCCCTGTTCACGTGTTTGAAAAATTTGGACGCATTGAGGATTAAGCACCCTTGCTGACACTCAATTGCAAGAGGCATTTTCCCACACAGAATGGCGGGGAAATGTCACGCTAAAAGGTGGCTCGGTCCACCACCCGCCACCACATCCTCTGTCCTTTGTGAAAATTTGTAGAAGCCTGAACTATAACACTCTGAAAGCCCCTGCGGACTATCAGAAAAAATGAATCACAGGATCTGGTAGAATTTGAACATAGATTCGCATACCTCACCCGCCCGAAATGGTATCAGGCGCCCCAAATCGAGAATGATCACGACTCTGCCCAGTGTTTGCTTCAACGAGATGTTTTCAAAAATGAAATCCTTCCAGAAAGTTCTTTCTTTGGGGTGGGGTTTGGGGCAAGCTTGGGGTATATATAAGGTGGGGAAGAAGCGTCGGGTCAAACCAATCTTTCTTTCATTCCTCCACTTTGCCTCCCCTCCTCCCCTCCTCCCCTGCACTTCTTTCTGTACCTACTGTCAGGATTCACGCGTCGCGGCGTCTCCTTGTACGAGCCCTTTCATTGACACCCCATGTCAATCGCTTATGATACCATTCATGTCCTGACTTGCCTATCTGAAGTGAAAAGCAGCTGCGGCATCTCCCAGAGTTTTTTATACTATATTAGTATATATGCGCATATACGCAGCCCGCAGCGGCGACGCGACCTCTTGGCAGATCAGTAACTATTCCCACGGAGCAATGCCTTGGCTCCGCAGACCGCCACGGCTTACATAAGCTTCCTTTCGGGTTTGTCTGCGGTGGGACAGCCTCCTCGTCGTGAACTGCCTCTTTTTTCTTTCCACAGCGTCAAAAGGTGGCAGCAGAGTTGCGTTGACCATTCTTGACTTCCCCGACGATGTCTCGTTACCCAGAGGTGAGCTTTGCAGCCTTCGACGCCTCCGCTGATGCTCATGAATCCAGCAGGCGGACGAAGCCCAGCACAGGCATTACAACGACAGCTTCGCGCCTTACCCGTCCACCACGCCGAATCCTTACGACCAGTACGAGGCTCAACCCAATCCCTATGACCGACAGCAACAAACGCCAGCGCCCTACGGCGTCGGCACCCCTCTCCATGACCCATTCAACCCTGTGCCTCACAATCCTTACTCGTCGCCGCCTCCACCACCGCCGCCTCCTCCAACGATTTATCCCCCAGCTGGTTTTACCTCCTATCCCCCGGGCACCCCGATGCAACACCCAGCGTCTCCACCACCTACGCAACAGGCATATTCCCCTCCACCTCCTAACACACTCATGCCCCCTTCCTCTGTTGGATTCATAACACCCAGCCCATCGACTCCTTCAGGCTATCGACCATCAATGTACGACCAGCAAGACGACCAAGACCTTGGAGAAACGGGTGACATGCCCCTGCTGCGCCGGGATCCTTCGTCTATCTCTGCGATGCCCCGCTTCCCTGGTAATTACGACGATGATGGCGATGGGGCGACCATAGCTGACAACCAGTCGGAGAACAATGTTCGTTACGGGCGGATTCCTCAGCGAGTACCCAGACGATACAAGACGATCAAGAAAGTCGAGTACGTCCTCGCTTCATTTTCTGCATCATGATGTCTCTCAACCTTAGCAGACTCTTTCATGGCAATTTCGTTCTCGACAATGCCGTGCCCAAAAAGCTCCTCGATATGTGCGCGAATCGTACAGAGCGCGAGTTCACGCACATGCGCTACTCGGCGGCGACCTGCGATCCCAACGACTTTAAGGACTCGGGCTTCACGCTGCGGCAGGTGCACTACGACCCCCCTCGACGGACAGAGCTCTTCATTGTGATGACGATGTACAATGAGGACGAGGAGCTCTTCTGCCGGACAATGCATGGTGTCATCAAGAACATTGCGCACCTCTGCAAACGCGACAGGAGTAAGACTTGGGGCAAGGATGGATGGAAGAAGGTTGTGGTCTGCATCGTGAGCGACGGACGTGGGAAGATTAACTCGAGGACGTTGAGTGTCATCGCCGCGATGGGTGCCTACCAGGAAGGTGTGGCCAAGACGAAAATCGGGAAGCAAGATGTGACAGCGCACATCTACGAGTATACCACGCAGAGTACGTGTGTCGTTCACTCTCCTGGGTTCTCCTTCTCATCACATCAACAGTCTCTGTCAATCCAAGCCTCAAGATCGAAGGTGCTGAGAAGGGTGTCGTACCCGTGCAGCTCATCTTTTGCCTGAAGGAGAAGAACCAGAAGAAGATCAACTCACATCGCTGGTTCTTCAACGCTTTCGGCGCCATCTTACAGCCTAACGTCTGTGTGCTCCTCGATGTGGGTACGATGCCTGGTCCGACTTCGATCTACCACTTGTGGAAAGCCTTCGACATCAACTCAAACGTGGGCGGTGCTTGCGGTGAAATTGTTGCGCTCAAGGGAAAATATGGTACCAATTTGATCAATCCGTTGGGTAAGCCAAGGTCTCGTTTTGTGTGTGCACGGCTTAAGCTGTCCGCCTAGTTGCTGCGCAGAACTTCGAGTACAAGATGTCCAATATCCTCGACAAGCCGCTGGAGTCGGTCTTCGGTTACATCACGGTCTTGCCCGGTGCATTCAGCGCGTACCGCTACATTGCCCTACAGAACGACGCGTCAGGAGAAGGACCACTTCAGAAATACTTCCTCGGCGAGACGATGCACGGTGCAGGCGCGGACATCTTCACGGCGAACATGTACCTCGCTGAGGATCGTATTCTCTGCTGGGAGCTTGTCTCCAAGCGAGACTGCGCATGGATTTTGCACTATGTCAAGTCAGCATATGCTGTTACGGACGTACCGGACCAAGTTCCGGAGCTGATCTCGCAGCGTCGGCGTTGGTTGAATGGTCCTTCTTTGCTGCTGTGCACTCGACAGTGCATTTCCATTACCTCTATCGCTCCAGCCACAGCTTCGTGCGGAAGGCGTGGATCCATGTAGAGATGGTGTACCAGATGTTCAACTTGATCTTCTCGTGGTTCGCCTTGGTACGTCCAATTTTATTTCTCCTCCGATGCGACCATCTCATTCCTTCCTCTCCACATGCAGGCCAATTATTACATCGCCTTTTCTATCCTTTCAGAGTCAATGGAAGACCCGACTTTCAATCTGAAGGGTATCAACGTCGCGAACATCATCCTCAACTACTTCTACCTCGGTCTGCTCATTATGTGCTTCATCCTATCACTTGGCAACCGGCCTCAGGGAAGTAAGTGGGGTTATACAATGGCGCTGATTGGCTTTGCCATTATCACGATTTACATGACTGTGGGTTTTGTGCATGCATGAACTTCTCTATGTGCTAAGTGTATTTGACTTTCAGGTGGCGGCGTTCCTCCTTGCGTTTAAGGGTATCCAAAACCTGGCGAAAGCCGAAGGACCGCTAACCCTGGGCGATATTTTCACCAATACGATCTTCAGGAACATCGTGCTCTCGCTCTTGGCCACGTTGGGATTGTATATCATAGCCAGTCTCATTTTCGTACGTCGTTTCCTTTCTACGTCTCCCGGCCGCTCATGTACCCTCTTAGTTCGAGCCATGGCACATGATCACCTCGTTCATCCAATACCTCCTCATGGCACCTTCGTACATCAACGTGCTTAACGTCTATGCCTTCGCTAACGTACATGACGTCTCCTGGGGTACCAAGGGTGACAATACGGTTGCGAAGGACCTCGGAACGGTAACGACCGGCAAGGGCAAGGCGGGCGAGGTTGAGGTCAACATCCCTACAGATGAGAAGGATATCAACGCGCTGTACGAGGATGCCATCCATGTGCTGAACACGAAGCCTCCCAAGGCCGAGCCGAAAGTGGATAAGAGCACCCAGCAGGAGGATTATTACAGGACCTTTAGGACGAAGTGAGTCTTTTTTCTTCGTTTCACTCGTTGTTGTTTATCATATCGTTCTCCAGCGTGTTGCTCGCATGGGTCCTTACGAACGCCCTGCTGGGCGCTGCGATCACGTCGACAAATGACAAGGCGTCGGATGGGGGTGCAAACAACGCTGTGAAGGGCTACATGGCGTTCTTGTTGTACTCCGTTGCGGGTCTTGCATGTATGTTTCCATTCTTCTTGTTTCTTGATGTAAGCTCATGCACGTTTGTCTCATCCAGTTGTCCGCTTCGTGGGTTCCTCGGCGTATATGATCATTCGTCTGTTCGCTGGAGAGTAATCGACTCACGACACTACCCCACCGGCAAGACGATTCTTGCCGTACGCTCATGACTTTCTTTACATATTTAATAATGCTCTTCGCCCTCTTCCTTTCATGCATGATATAATTGATATAGCCTCTTCTCCCGTATACTGTTGGGGACTCTTGTTGTCTGCTTATCATTATATACGATGTCATTTTGGACTGTAGCTTTCTCTTGCATGTTGCGAATAACGATCTACTTACGCCTTCGTGTTATAGAAGTTGAAATGATTTTCAGTGTCGAATGTACGTGCTTTTTTTGTTTTTGAACGCTACTTGCTCATACTTCTCCTACGGTGCGTCGGTGCCGTAGAAAGTGAAAAAGTGGAACAGGGAGAACCAGAGTTGCAAAGTAAAGGATGGTTCCTCCAACACCTGGCATTGATGGCGGCCGCCGGGAAGGCGAGCAGACGGACCGGTCGACTGTGCCTCTTGCTTCTTTTCCGTCACCACTCCTTCCTGTCTGTGCTGGTTCTCCTTCAGTACCTTCAACGGCCTCGCCGTCGGTGACATGTTAAGAGCGGGTTTTCTCTTTTTCTTCGCTCAAATTTAGCATTTATCCAGCAGCCCCGGTGGTAATTGTCGGCCATAGAACCCTTTTCGCTGATCGTCGTTTAGGTGAGATTATTTATCAGAATTGCTACTGTAGACTCACCTACAGTTAGGCCGCTAGGCGTTCAAGTTACTGCTCAGCTGCTAGGAACAATCGTGCTCTGGCAACAGTCATCACCGCTCAGAGGGCAAGTTTCGCCCTTCAGCGTCGGTGGCCATCGTCATGTGTCGAGCAGAGCCCACGTTCGAGGCATGTGAAACTAATTTCTGGGAATGTTGACATGGTTCTGCTGTTGGGGAACATCCGCATCGCAAAGAGCTTGGGGCCCCGGCTGACCACCTGCCCCGCGCTTAAATAACGCCAAGACCACATTTCCCCGCATTTTCCTGATCAGTGGGAGGCACGCCTACGGATTTAAAGCCTTCCCCATGCTTCCAAACTACAACCGCGACCACGAGCTGCTCAATTGGGCTAACGAGGTATGATGATATCACGCACGAAAAATCACATTTAACGGGTTTCGTCAAGGGTCTTGTTGGCCTGAGAGGTGAGGACGGGCCACATGTCGCTGCTTCTTGTATTGAATTCGATCATTCGTGCAGTGTAGATCCTCGAAGTGCGCGCGGAGGGACATCTCGTGCCTTCGTATGCACGTGTATCGACTCATCGGCAAGGGGGCGAACGTTGATTTCGATTCCGAGGCTTTTTGTTACTTATATAAGAAGAAAGAACAGGATGAAGGCGGTGCTTTCTTCCGCCCTCGCAGAGACTGCTCAACCATGTTGAAACGAGGCTTGCTATCCGTCTTGGGTCTTGCAGGACTCGTCCGTGCTGGTGCGTTTTCGTCCTTCTCTCCTACGGGGCCGTGGAGTGCTCACTTCTTTTTTCGTGGTCTTCTAGATCCATACAACACCTTCGACGGCCCAGGATTCCCAGCTTGTCTAAATGTCGCCGCTGTCCATAACCCCACCACAATCGACCAGGCTGTCGCGATCGTAAAGGATGCGAGTGCACGCGGCATTCCCGTCCGCGCTAGCGGTGTGAGCTTTTTCTTCCCGCGATTTTCCCAACCATCGTACCCATGTCTAATTCGCGAAATGGGATAGAACGGACATATGTGGTGTAAGTCTAATTCATCTCGGGCGTAATTGTGCTGGAAAGATGAGGTGCTCACCGCCGAACTATTGCAGATGACACGATGTGCTCCGACGATCCGAGGACAATCATCATTCGAACGGAGAACCTGAACCGAATTTCTGATCTCGTGTTGGACGGTGACAAGGGTAGCGTTGTTGTCGAAGGAGGTGTTACGTTCAACCAAGTGTTCGTCAAACAATTACCGTCCTTTTATTGCCTCGTGTTTTGCTGATTGGGTGTCTTTCTTACAGAGCTGAATGGCTGCACCAACGCAACGCGTCTTTGGGCTACACGCTGGTGAACTGGAACATCACTCTAGGTTCGTGTCATCAGTCGCGCAGCAGTTGTAATTTGACCGAACGTCCAAATAGGCGGTGCGATGGCCATGGGTGCTCATCGTTCATCTTTGGGAGAAGATTCGCAGGTGTCAACGTCGGCCCTGTCGTTCGATATAATCAACGGCAAAGGTATTTATCCACTTTCACTATAGCGTACCTTTTCAGAGTCTCACTCTCTGGTCAGGCGAGCTCGTCCACCTCGACAGGGACCAGTCCAGCGATACATGGCTTGCTGCCACGACTTCTCTTGGCCTCATGGGTATCATCGTCCGTATAAAGATGGAAATCCTTAAGGACTTCAAGGTGTACGCGAACCAGGAGACTGTCGACGAGAAGGATGTTTTGAACGGCGATATTTATGCTGAAATATCTCCTTTCGTGACCGCGAACTATTGGGTGAGTGAATTTTGTTGAGGTTTTACTCGCCTGCGTTGGATGCTTATCCGGGGTTTTTTCGTCGTTCGCAGTGGTGGCCAGGTGAGCACATGCCTGACTGGAAGCTTCCCCAGCTCCCGTCTTCCTTCGCGGTGTCAAATTTCTCACCTTCGCTTTCGTGTCATTTTCTCGTCCGAAGGTCCTAAGAAGTTCCACAAGAGAACCTACGGTGTCGTCCCGATCACTCGCTCCGGAAATGCCTTCCAGGTGCGTCAACTTCAGTTCGCAATCCGAGTATCGCTTTACGAGCGAACTTCTAGTCCACCTTCTCCGTCACTGAGTTCGAAGCGAACTTGGCCAAATCTCTGCTGGATGCCGGCCAGAACTCCAGCCTCCAGAACTTCATCACTGAGGGCATCTTCTACGCTCTCTGGCGTGCGCCAAACTTCCGGGGTTGGTCATCTGTCTTGCTCGTGCATTTTTATCCGCCGTTCATTCACGTTGGGGTTTCCAGAGAAGACGAACAACCTCCCACTCATTTCTTGGCCCGTGCACGGCTACGCCTACGATGTCCTCATCGGTGGCTTGTACCCTGACTACAAGACCCAATGGGACTACGGCATGCGTGGACTGACTTACGAGATCGCCGTCCCAGTCACGTTGGCCAACCCGCTCCTCAAGCGTGTCCGGCAACTCTTCGACGAGTCCGCGGCTGAAGGAAAGGCAGTCACCTCGACCTACCGCAGCGGTATCAACATCAAGGCAGGTCGATTCTTAACTTGCTGGATGTGACCGCCATCTGATCTCCTCTCTCAACGCAGTTCGGAAAAGCCTTCGACAGTCTCTTGGGCCAGACCACTACCCTCCAGAGCAACAAGACCTACGATTGGTCAAAGGTATATCGGGCTCTCCGGACTTCGCTTAAAACATATCACTGACGATGCCCAAGGGTGCTATCATGTTCGACTTCCCCAGCTACCGCCCGACCACTGGTGACCACTCCAGATATAACGAGCCATGGTACGTACTGCGGTCCATGAACGGGCCGCTGGACCCACTAATCACCTAAATTCGATGCCTGTCTCCAGGTACGACAGAATGCAAAAAGCCCTTATCGATGAGGCAAGTCTAAGCTAGCGTATTCTATCCAAAGCTTAATGCTGACAACGTGCCTCTCTCGAACGCGTGTTTAGTTCCCAACCAGGGTCCACTGGTCGAAGGTTACCAGGGAGGTCATCCAGTACTCCGTGAAGAATCTCGATCCCGAGGTGCGTGTGCCTCCTTTCCTTGTTCCTCTTGCAGCAGTGCTCGTCACTGTCGTCCGTCGGCGCCGAGCGTGCCTGTCGTAATGAATTTTTATTGACTCCCCGCCCCTTTCCCCACAACAGTTGCTGAGGCGCTTTGCTGCCGTCCGCAAGGAGTTCGACCCACAGGGCACCTTCAAGAGTGTCGTCGGTGAGATTATTGGTGTTATGTGAGGGCCCGGTTCGAAGGCGCAATCACCTTCGGCCTTTCTCGCGTGTGGTCTGCTTCCTTGTTGCGTCTCTGGTCATCGGGTGTCTTCCCACCACTAGCTGGAGCCGTGCGTCTCCCATGCTGCTCACAAGAATCGTCGGATGTTGTTGCTAAATAGTATACTTCGTCCGCTGTTCTTCTCAGGGTGGGGTTCTATGTTTATTGTGTAACAATGATTTCTTGAAATATATCTTGATATTTCAGCCTCTGCGAAAGCGGTATTTATGGCGCGACCGCTTAGTCTGAGGCCCGAGAACAATGAATGCTTGCTAGGTTGTCCAGGGGCTTGAATTATAGACTACCTCGAAACCATTCCTTTCTCGAACCGACATCCAGGAAGATACGAGAGACAGCCTTTGGACAACTCTATTTTCTTGGTTCAGGGGACCGGATATTCCGGGCCGCCTTTATATGCCTCTGTGTGCATCTATTTACTTTAAATTGTTCTGCCATCTATACCTCGGCCCAGTCAGCATCGAGCTCGTCGTTGTCGACGACGACCACGCTATTTCCATTTATGAACACCCGATGATTCGATTTATACTCGTACAGGTAATACAATGCACCATTTCACATCACTTCCCATTGACTCGAACGTGCAGAACAGACAGGGCAAGACAAGATTGTCGAAGTGGTATGTCCCCTACGATGACGACGAGAAGGTAACCATAGCTCTCTTTTCCGTGGTTGTGACTAATATCTGTGCAGGTGAGACTACGTGGAGAAGTGCATCGTCTAGTGGCTCCTCGGGATCAGAAATATCAATCGAACTTTGTCGAGGTCCGAGTGCAACAAGTTATCGTTGACCGTACAACAGCAATAACTCAGATCTAGTTCCGCAACTATAAGGTCGTATATCGTCGATATGCTGGCCTATTCTTCTGCCTGTGTGTTGACGCGAACGACAACGAGTTGGCATATCTCGAAGCTATCCACCTTTTCGTCGAGATCCTCGGTGAGTGCTTCTGAGGTGGATGTATTTGCTTGCTCACGTCCCATCTTTACACCCAGACACGTTCTTTGATAATGTATGCGAGCTGGATCTAGTATTCAATTTCTACAAGGTATCAATGCCGTTTGTCACCACTATCACCATCCTAATCCCTATTCTCTAGGTCTACGCGATTCTAGACGAGATATTCCTGGCCGGTGAGATCGAGGAGACGAGCAAGGACGTGGTGCTGTCGCGACTAGAGGAGCTGGAGAAATTGGAGTGAATCATTTCCTGTGCTAAGTTATTCCCGTTTGTTTTCTCGCGTTTATGGATAATATTACACTGGATCCAAAGTGGTGTGAACGATCTAAGTTTCTTCCACTGGCCAATCAGATCTAATGATGCGCATACACCCACGGGCCCGGACTATGCACCTCTTAATTTGTCGCAAACGCAGCCCACGACTGACAAGCCACGCCAACGTCCCTATGAGGTCAGACAAGGGAAGCAAAACTGGCGATGGTCCGCTGAAATCCCGATGGATATCCACCTCCTTTCTCAAGCCTTTACGGTTCCGCTTCTCAAGGACGACACCGGCGCATTAAAGTCTTTATATTTTCAACTCTTCGTGCTCACGCTGCCTCAACAATAGACTTACCCGCCCGAAGGTCTGCCGCTGGAAAAATATGGGGCCTGCCTGACTGGGACTCGCTGCGTTAATTCTGAGCGCGTGCTTGCAAATATGGAAACCGCACGGGTAGACAGAGGATTGTTCGCCCTTACTGGACGACACCGTCTAGCCCGCCGGCGTCCGTTCCAACTATGAAAGCCCTCCACTTTATTTCCCGCCGCCATCACTCGACTCCTCAACCCTGCATCTGCCCTGTGCTCTCGGATTGTTAAACTTGCGTTAAACAGCTCCGTTGAGAGGTCCGAGCAAGGAGATGCTTCCCACTGCTTCTCACCCAAACAGGATGTATAATGCCTCCTCACGGAATTTTGCGAAACTATCCTCGAGTCGGGGCAGTAAATCGTAAACTTGGCAAGATATATTCATGTTTATCGTTCTATGCTAGGGATTCCAGTGAAATTTCAAGCTGCGAGGGAATATGGACATTTCTCGGAACAACCTCCTGGAATGATGAAAGAATCGAAGCTTCAAATTTCGTTCAGCCCGACATGTACTTATCTTCGCAAAGTGACAACGACTTTGGTTCAGCACTATCGTGACTATGTGAGTGTCTTTGCGACCCCGTGATTATGGTTTTGATTAACGAGCAAACGTCCCTCTTCCTTACCGCACCTTTGACATGACGGTATCTCTCAGTAGAAGAACTTCTCTTCGTCGGCTGCAAGATGAAGCATACAGACTGCAGCTCTTGGGCCATCTCTTCGCCATTCAACCCCATCTCCAGAAAGCTTAAGCATCCCACACTTTGCCGGCAGGTCCAAAGCGACATCGAAGACTTCGGCGGCTTTCACTCGGAGATGTGGTCCATGGATGTCAATGAGGAACCCGTCCTGCCTATTCCATTGAGACCAGAATGTATGTACCTCATCTCCTACGTTACTCTGAGACTCTTTGGCCATGAAGACGAGGAACTGTATCTAAACGACCTGTTGCTGCCCGAATCAACCGTCCCCGGATCCCCCACGGACAAGATGGGGCAGCTCGCATGGCTTCCACGTGGGCTAACCTTTTGGTTCCGAGCTGGTGTTGAGAATGACGACGCGGGCGCGTTATGCATCTGCCTGGAACGAGCGCCCGATGGTGAAGATGAAGCGAAAGGGTTAACCGCTTTCACTAGTTCTTGCCATTACGGCTGGGAAATAGGGTTAAGTTACTGATCAATCCGGAGATCTCCCCTCTGATCCCGAAATGCCTCCGTTCGGTTTTCCACGATGATCACCTACATAAATACGGCCTCGGAAGCGACAGCCTAGGTTGCGTTTTCGTTTATTTTTTGGCGCTCTTTTCTTCGTGCTTAGCTCCCCGCTTTTCGTCGTAGGTGGGCGGTGCACGTTAAAGACTCCGTCCTCCCCTTGAAACCCAGAGGTGAGGCCCTTTTATCCCCCCATTCTCGATCTTATTCACCAACACTCTCCGTCGACCACAATAGCGCCGAGGTCGTTTTCGCGGTGGCGGTTGAGAGACACCCGCTTGTTCGTTTTGCTGCTCCCAGGTGGGAGTCGGTGCGTCTCCCCGCAATTCCTAATTTTCTTGCGTGCTGATGGAATATCTCGGAGTACTCAGGTTATGCTCCACAGTGGATGGAACTGACATTGGAGGCTTACCGAAACATTGTCAAATACGTCGGAAGCCGAGCTGATATCGCAAATCTCTGTCTAGTTTCCAAAGGACTCCGGCGCGCAGCGGAACGAGCCCTCTACAATACCCTTTTCCTTCGCGATGATGAAGAGACGACGATCCTATGCAATACCCTGGCAAACTCCTCGCGCCTCGCCTTCCTCGTCGACGCGCTTACGATTTTCCTCTCAGAAGAATCCGATAGCAGTGATGAAGAAAGTGACTACATCCAACAAGAGCATACCGACTTGTCCGTCACCTTCTGGCCGTCTGTCGCACGAGCGCTTCAGAATACGACCCGACTCCGATATCTCAACGTGCACATCAATAATGGCTCAACGACAGCAGTGGCCTGGATTCTGCGGGGGTGTACATTTCAGCTACGGCGGTTTCACTGCGACTTCGATTGGAACGACGACCTCGTTACTTTTCTCGATGCGCAGAATGACCTCGAGGACCTTTACATCCTGGACTACAACAACAATCATACCACCCCCACCCCCACATCTACCGACTCATCTCTCCATCCTATCATCTCACTCGGCGCCCAATCCATCCCCAAACTCGCCATTTTGGAATGTACCTTTTCCGAAGCAGCTGTCGCGCTCGTGCCAGGGCGTCCAGTTACGCATCTCAAAACGTGTTTCTCTCGTACGGAGATTGCTTCTAAACGGGAGGAAATGCGTCAGCTGCTGGCAAAGGCGTCCACGTCAACGGTTCCTCTCCATTCCCTCGATTTGGCGGACTCGTCGTATACCGAGCAGTTTTCCGCCGAGCTCCTTGCGGCTATCGTCAATACGAGGTCATTGGTGACCCACCTGCACTATCTTGGAACGCTCGTGCTGCCTGTCGACGGACGTGAGGTATATTTACATTACTTCAATCTTGATAAGCCTTCTGACTCTGCATTGCTCGCCCCATTTAGCGCCTTCGATTCTACGGCCATCTCATGCGCTTCTCAAAGATCCAGTGCGTCGAGTTCGAGGTCTCCAAGTGGCAGCCGCCGCCGTCATCGCCAGCTGCTCTCAGGGCCCTGGCAGGTGAACTACGGCTATACGTCCCGTCGATCATCCGAGTCGTTTTTGTGCATGACTTTGACAGAAGTGTGGTCACGGCCGTGGATGGGGTTTGCCGGGTGGATGCAGAGATAAGCACCGAACTTCTCTGGAGAGAGAAATAGGTATGCTGTGATATGCCCCATCTGGCTGCCGTCGAAACCGCCACCACCATCGTTCAGACCGAGTAATTTTCCCTGCATAGGCTGTTCACCGTTCGCGTCTTCTCTTTTGCTCCCAACAGTCTCGACACTTCTTGACGGTCGGGTACACGATATCTTGGCTCGTCGGATTTTTCACCTCCTCGATGTTCCCCTTCCTGGTTTATACGTTCTCTTGATCAAGCAACTGACTCTCATGCCAAATCTAAGCAATTCCAATCTTTCTGTAGCCTAACTCTCTTGAACGCAAGTGTACTTTTATTTTTCTCTGCACTTTCTTTGTAGCCTCCATTACGCTCTGCTCTTCTGTCTTTTCCTTTGCTAATACCCCAGCTTTCGAACGTCACTTATCGTTGGTTAAATTCACTGTCCTTTTGCACCCATGGCCTCTATATACGCTTGACATATCACCGCGCCTTTCTTAGCTTTGCCCATACGTTACGCTCCATTACTTCCCATCCCCCATGGATTATAAGTTTCAGTAATACACGACTCTTCATTTCTCCGCCACCGTTGGGTGACCGTTCCGAATTGCGGACTCCTCCCTGTGTTCATCGGCCCTACCGTCAGATGCGTGCATACGAATTGACTTGCAATTTCTTGCGGCAAGAGAGGCCTCTTCCACGGCCCGTAGGTCCCTCGGTGTTTTGACTCGCTATTGGCCCCGGGTCGAACCCTCGTATAATTTTGTACACGGTTCCAGCCTCTTGGCGAGAGCGTTGTGATACTGGCGTATAAGGGGGGTTCTAGCACACCGTGCATTTTCCCGCCGCCGCTGGCTTTTAAAACCGCCTCTTCGTCCTAGATTGCTATCTGATTTGTCAAGACGGCTGGCGGTGGGACAGACGTACCCCTGAGAGCCTGGTAAATAACTGCCATTTTCTGCATCTGACAGATTACGAGCCTAGGTGCGCTACTCCACCTTTATCGTCTTGAAAAGACTAACAGAGTCCTACAGTACAAATGTGCGCCCGGTCCCTGGGAACTGAGCTGACGGACCCATGTTCAGAAAGTTGAAAGGGATGTGGGGTCCTTCTTTTCTGGTCATTAGGGGAAATTAAAAGGGTCCGTTGCTCAAGCTCAAGCTCGTCCGCTTCGCTTGGGTTCGGGCTCTCGTAACTGATGTATTTGGAACGGGGAATAGAGCGCGTAGAGATATATATCGACTGGCGTAACCACAGTCAATTTCGTGGTTTTCGGAATATTTCGCGCTACGCTACTTGATTCCGATCCGAGTGCTTTCGAGGCTCCGAAGATAAAGTATTATCGGTGAGAAATATAGTCACGCTGCTCCGATACCTGCGCCGTACTCTGATCCCCTCCGACGTGTTGCCAAGAGCTAGGTGATAGTTGCAAGAAGAAGAATGACGACATGCCTTGAGGTGGCGGCAATGTTGCCTCAAGGCCGCAGTACCTTCATGTGAAAAGATATGACAACTCCTCCTTCTGTTTTTTTGACATATAAGACCTCCAAAGTACTTCGAGGGTGTGTGCAGATATATTCGACAGCTGTGTGACCTTCACTCGGTGTATGGGTGCGTTTTTCTTCCAATGATGAGCGCCGGCTCGGTAATCTCAGTTCCCTATCTTCAGAGTACCGGAATACTACTTGTGGGCCGTATCAATAAGCCTTAGCTACTCGAGTATGAAGTTAGACTCTTCTACAACCTCCTACCGTATATCGGGCACAGGGGCATATGGCTATACTACCTATCTCTAGGTCCACAAGTCACATATCAATTTCACCGCCATTTCGGTTCAAATTCTTTCCTGCAGACAAATTCGCGATTCCCCCGGATTTACTGATCCTTGCGAAGAAATCAAAGCTTCACTGAGCAGGGCCTAATGGACTGTCCCGCGAGTGTGGCGCACTTGATAGGGGCTACTTACACCCGGCCCGGGAGCCGGAATTCGAATAGCACAGCGAAAGCGCTCACAAACGAACCAAGCGTCGGGAAATTTATGCTGTCCCAGAGTAGCTGTAGTTTATATCTCTTGAGACCTCGCTGGTAATCTAAGCTTGCTTCTTTCCTTCCTCGCCCTTTCACCGCGAGATTCGGAACCATTTCACGGGCGGCATTGCAAACAGCAATTGCTATAGTAAGTAGATGCCCGAATACGTGGAGCAATGAAATGAGCAGCAAAGGGAGGTCTGGGTGCATACCTTCCGACTGCCATCCATGTTCCTGCCTCTATTGACATGGCGCAGCAGTCGCTGTGCCGATCCCATTCGTCTCCCCCACATTCTCAGCAACAACATGACGTCTTCCATCGGCTCCATTATTGAATGATGACCTATTATTTCGGGAAACATGGGCAGGAAATAACCTCCTTTCAATGTTTTCTCTATCGCCGAAAGGTTCGGTGCATGCCAAGGGGTGTTTAGCCGTGTGAAACTTTCCACATTCGGTGGTGCCGCTATGCCGCTGATAATCGTCACTCTAGTTCGTTCTTTGCTGCGCGACTACACCGTTTCTGGGCCTGCATAGCAAGTCCACTGTCCAGCCATGACGATTGCTTGTCATTTCGCAGCTCAAACCTTGGTTGTCGAGACTCGACTGCAAGCTTCTCCAGTGGAATGAGATGCAACGAAGCTCTCGTGATGATCATGCCAACGCGGGTGGCGTCTATCCGATATCTTCCGAGCTGTACTTTGCTTGGAACCCCTCAGTAAAGCGTTTTCTAAGGCCTGAAACGCCTGACTCGATTGAAGATTCCTATCATATGCAATTCCCTTGGCTTCCAGCTTCGGGAAATGTCGCATCCGCACTGGATAGGTTCCTGCCGAACGACCTTTCGTATAAAAGGAACCACTATCGACGATGCGCAGCGTGCTGCACTCTACCGGTACTTTCAGCCTACACTTTCTTATTCAGTCGACCTGATAACCAGGACGCTCATCCTTCTCGGAGCGGGCAATGTCGTCTTCGCCAGAGAAACTATCCGAAAAGTCTTTAGGCGTCGAGGCTGAACCTTTCGACCTTGAAAAGACTCTTCTGGACTTCAAAAAGAGGCACGGTTTCGATCTTGATTAATTCCTTCTTCATGGAGTTAAGTCTCTGCTTTTTTATAGGTGCGCTGATGCAGGAATTCACACTCGCGAGCTGGGGGTTGCGTTCGAAAACCTCCATGTTGTCGGGTTGGGAGAGACCGCATCGCACCAGGAAACCCTCGGCTCGGTCCTCAACCCACTTGGAATCGTTGAGGCCGTCCAGAGTAGCCGCCATCCCTCTATTCGCGACATCTTGAACGGGTTTGAAGGGGTCGTCCGACCAAGCGAAATGTTACGTGGGTCGCGTCTTTATTTGTTTTATCGCCTTTTTATGATCTCTGTGTAGTCGTTTTGGGTCGCCCTGGGTCGGGGTGCAGTACTTTCCTCAAGTGCCTGAGTAATAGACGCGAGGAGTATCATGCGGTCGAAGGTGAGGTCTTCTATGACGGCCTCCTTCCCGAGATGGTCGAGAAACATCATCGGGGTGACCTTCACTACTGTCCTGAGGACGACATCCACTTCCCTACCCTAACGGTCAAGCAAACCATTCGTTTCGCCGCTCGCATGCGAGCCCCACGGCAACGCCTCGGCTACTCGAGAGAAGACTATGCCGATGGTGTCACGGCTACCTTGCTCAAGTTATTCGGTCTTCACCATGCTAGGAACACGCCGATTGGAGACGCTGTCGTGCACGGAATTTCTGGCGGGGAGAAGAAGCGAGTCTCACTCTGCGAGGCGTTGGCCGGCCGTGCATGTGTCACTGCTTGGGACAAGTAAGTATAATTATCAACCATTTTCTGCCTGTGTTCATCTGCGCCCAGTTCGACTCGTGGCCTCGATGCCTCGACTGCTCTTGAGTTTGTGCAGACCATACGAACGGCGACAGATACGATGCAGCTCACGACTATCATGTCACTGTATCAAGCAAGTGAAAACATATACGAACTATTCGACAAGGTACGCGACTTCGAAGACATCAAGGTTTCTCGTCTTACGGCTGGTTGTAGGTCTGCGTCATCTACGAGGGCAAGATGGCGTACTACGGTCCCGCCAATGCCGCGCGAGAGTACTTCATCAACCTTGGATACGAGCCTGCCAACCGACAAACTACTGCCGACTTCCTCGTCGCTGTCACCGACCCCAAAGCTCGATCCCCTCGCCAGCTCAACGCCCCCATCCCCCGCAGCGCCGCTGAGTTCGCTGCAGCCTTTCTCACCTCTAAGCTCGGCATGGAGAACAAGCAAGATATTGCTGCCCATCGCCGCGAGTTCATTAGCTACCCCGACAAGATGATGGACTACAAGCGTAGTTCCTGCGACGAGCACGAAAAGTTCGCGCGGCCCGCGTCGCCATACATCCTTCGTCTGACGGCACAAGCCAGGGAGGTCGTGATCAGGCGCTTCCAGATCTTCCGCGGCGCGCTGCTGATCACGGGGATGAATCTATTGTGAGCTACGTGACTATTGTCTCTCTGTCGGTCCTCAGTTTGCTGTCGTACGCGTGCGATAGCGCGTTCGCGTTCCAGGGTATCATCATGGGGACCGTGTTCTTAAAGGCCCCACAGACGACTGCGGCCTTCTTCTCGCGCTCAAGTGTACTCTACTTGTCCGTCTTTTTTCATTTCGTCGTAGTGGATAGTTCTGACGCTAGCATCATTCAGCGCGTTGCTCTTTTCTGCTTTGATGGCCATGTCCGAAATCCCAGCGCTTTTCACCCAACGTCCAATCGTGTTGAGGCACCAGCATTGGGGAATGTACCACCCGTTCATCGAGGCCGTTGCTTTGACTCTGGTCGATCTACCCGTCAGCTTCGTGACCTCTGTTGTGTTTGGTGGATTACTCTACCTGATGGTGGGGCTCCAGAAGACGGCGGGACAATTCTTGTACGTTTCGATCGTCTTCTTGGCGATGTTATCTGATAATCATATAGCATCTTCTTCCTATTCCTCCTTTTCATGGGAATCATTATGAGGGCATACTTCCGTGCGTTGGCCGCCGCTTGCAAATCAGAGGGTAGGTATTCTTTTGTTTCGTCTTGTATCCTCGTACCGACCTCAGTACCCTGCAGCCGCTGCGCAGACACTTGCTGGAATATCCGTTCTGGCACTGTCGATGTACACGGGCTACTCCATGCCGGAAGATTCGATGATATGGGCCTTGAGGTGGCTTATCTACATCAATGTAAGCGTTCTCTTTCGTTTGATGTGCCACATCGTTGACCTTCGGCTAGCCCTTCAAATACGGTTTTGACTCCTTGATGACGAACGAGTTCCATAGTTTAAATGGAACCTGTACCAATCTTGTACCGCAAGGGCCGAGCTACGAGAACGTTAGTCTCGCGAACCAGGTGTGTGCCGTTGTTGGCGCACTACCTGGAGAACCCACTGTCCAAGGCGGCCGTTTCCTAGAACTCTCGCTAGGATACACCTACAATCATCTCTGGAGAGTGAGTCCATTCTTACACTTGCCCTTGTCATCTAATCTGATATTCATCCCAAAGAACTTCGGCATTCTGTGCGGGTTTGGTGTTGCCTTCATAGGCGCACTTCTCATCTTTACCGAAATCAACACCAAAGTGTCGGGCTTCTCTGCCGTAACGCTTTACAAGCGTGGTACGAAATTAGACGACGAACCAGACGCACCTGCGGCGACAGATATCGAGAAAAACAGCGATAAGGATGCGCACTCCAGAGTGCTGGACCACAGCCGGAACGCTTCCACCCTTCTCGCGGATGAAGCGCGGGGAGATGATATCTTTTCATTCGTCCATGTGGGTTACACGATTCCGGTTTCCGATGGGCAGGCGAAGCGCCTTCTAGACGACGTCTCCGGGTATGTCGCTCATGGAAAACTGACCGCGCTGATGGGAGAATCTGGGGCGGGGAAGGTGCGTTCCTGATTCTCGTTTTGGTTTGGTCAATCGCCGTCCCTTGTCCCTTACCCCGCATTTTTATTTTTAGACCACCCTACTAAATGTCTTGGCGCAACGTGTTGACGTCGGCGTCGTGACCGGGGACCGCTTTATCAACGGTCAGGCGCTTCCGCAGGATTTCCAATCCCAAACGTGTGTTTCACTTTACCCTTATACTGTCTCCTTCTGACGAGTATCACAAAGGGGATACTGCCAGCAGCTGGATACACATCTCCCGAGGACGACCATCCGCGAGGCATTGTTATTTTCTGCCCAGTTACGACAGCCAACGTCGGTGCCTCTCTCAGAAAAGGAAGCCTAGTAAGTGTTGGTAATCGGCCTTCTCCGTCGGAGCGCTGAGACTAAAGTGCGTCGAATCAGCGTCGATAAATGTCTCCACATGTGTGGCCTCTGGTCGCACCGCGACGCCATGGTGGGTTCTCTCAACGTAGAATTCCGTAAGAGGACCACGATCGGAGTAGAATTGGCGGCCAAGGTTCGTCCCTTGTAAAACGGAGGGAAGTTGGACCTAAATCAATTACCTCGTATAGCCGAGGTTGCTGCTTTTCCTGGATGAACCCACGTCAGGACTCGACTCCCAAAGTGCATGGAATATTGTGGCGTTCTTACGCAGCCTCGCCGACCAAGGGCAAGCAATCTTATGCACGTAAGCCTTCGCTTTCTCAACCATATTCTCTGATCTAATCCTGTTGGCTCTAAGGATTCATCAAGTTCGTTTGATACCCTAGTGAAATGTTGCCTTCCTAATTCAAATTCTTCCAGCCTTCGGCCGAGCTTTTCCAGATGTTCGACAAGCTTCTTTTGCTCCAAAAGGGTGGCCAGACAGTCTACTTCGGTGATTTAGGACACAACTCGACGACACTACTTCAGTACTTCGAACGCAACGGCTCGCGACACTGTGGTCCTGGGGAGAATCCGTGAGTAATGCGCTACCTTCTTATTTTCGTGATCTCATTCATACTCAGCGCTGAGTTCATGCTCGATGTTATCGGCGCCGGTGCAACAGCCACAAGTAGTCAGGATTGGTATCAAACCTGGAGGAAGTCCCCCGAGTTCGAAGCGACTCTGCACGACATCGAGGAAATCCACAAGATAGGAAGGAACCGGCCTGCGGTCGAGACCACCTTGAGGACCGAGTTCCCCACGTCGTGGAAGACCCAAGTCGTCGAACTCATCAAGCGCGGCGCTTCTGATCACTATCGCAACTCGATTTATCTATCCTCGAAACTCGTCTTGAACATATTCGGTGGGCTGTTCATCGGATTCTCGTTCTTCAAGGACGAAGATAGCCTCCAGGGCGTTCAGAACAAGCTGTTTGTATGTGGCATTTCACTCCATTGGCCGCTTTCTCTGATAATACACTCTAGTCAATTTTCATGGGAACGATATTGAGGTGCGCGCCTTCGGAATTCATTGAGAGCTTGCTCTAACGTCTTTCTAGTGTCCCGCTTGCTAACCAGCTGCAAATCCCGTATCTCGCGACTCGTCGCGTCTACGAGATTAGGGAGCGACCTAGCCGCATGTATGGCTGGACGGCCCTGATCACGTCTCAAATCCTGGTAGAAATCCCTTGGAACATCCTGGGCTCCTCGCTGTATTTCATCACTTGGTACTGGACCTCCCATTTCCCGAACGACAGGGCTGGCTACGCGTATCTCCTTATCGGTGTCATCTTCCCGTTGTACTACACCACGATTGGCCAAGCTTTCGCGAGCATGGCCCCGAACGCTGAAATAGCTGCTCTCATCTTCGGTTTCCTCTTCTCGTTTGTTATCACATTGTGAGAACCTGTTCACTACATTTCGCTCTCCGCTGACGCAAAGTTCTCCAGTAACGGAGTCATGCAGCCGTACCGTGAGCTTGGGTGGTGGAAGTGGATGTACCGCCTATCTCCCTACACGTATCTCATTGAGGGAGCCGTTGGCGAAAGTGAGTCCATTCGCTTTGGTCTGGAACCTAGGTTAAAATATTTCTAGTAATGGGACGCCGCAGTGTACGCTGTTCGCCCATCGAGTTCGTCAACTTGAATCCACCTAGCGGGCTCACCTGCGGCCAATATATGGCGAACTTCATCTCCTTTGCTGGCGGGTACCTTACGAACCCCGACGCGTTAAGCGACTGCCAATTCTGCAGCCTCGAAACGACAGATCAATTCCTCGGCAGCGGCTTCAACATCTTCTACGACCACAGATGGCGTAATTTAGGGATCATGGCTGCTTTCATTGTTTGCAACGTACATGATTCAACTTACTCTTGCTGTGTCGATGTCGACTGACGCACTTTTGCAGGTCTTTATGATATTTTTATTCACGTATCTTTTCCGGATTCAGACGGGAAGTTTCTTCCGCAGAAGTAGATCATGACGTCCTTCACGCAACGACACGGATGGGGCAGGAACGAGCAGAATGCAACAATTTTATCTTACAATTCTTGGTTAATAGTCTTTCCTCCCTACTCACGCTCAAATATAAGTAAATTAACGTCACTTAGATCGTGTAATTTGCTTGCCATGAATGCCAGTTGGTGTGATGACCCAGGAGAATGCCAGATACTTGCTAGACTACGAAAGGCTGGAGCCAGAAGGGACTTATCTGACTGTTTGAGTTGTCCACGGAAGAGAGGGTCAAGGATGACATCGATGAAGTTGAAGTGCAATCAAGACCGAGCGACCCGACTTAAGCGCCAGCGAAAAAGGCTGGGTGGAACAAATATTGCCCAATGCGACGAAGGTGAGAGGGCAGCACGCAGCCGTGTTTTAGTTGACGAACCGTGTGAATGAGTCGAAATGGGAGTCGGGAAAGGGAGGAAAAATGAAATTTCTTTGCTGTGCAAGGACATGATTCCAAGTCCGCAGGCTGTGGGGACAGGAGCAACTTGATAGAGGCGTCAAACAGCTGCCGAGAGCGACTATCCGCTCCCCACAATCGGAAGGATGCGGAGGACCAGGGACGAGAAAGAAAAGACCAAGCGATCACGTACAGCAAAAAATGAGTCAAAACAAGTGAAAGTCCGAACATAAACAGGACGTCTGGGAGCCATGTGGTGGAAGATCTATTAGGGTTCTACTTCTGAAGGGGAAGGCATAGGCCCCGAAGTCCGTCAGCTCCGGGTTACATTATATCCCGTCGACTCACAGCGACTAGGAAGAAGAAACAATCTATGTCCGAATCTCAAATGTCACACGACTCACCAAAATATTCCCGAAGCACGGGGCCCACTGTCGATCAAGTAGCGGGGAAACACAGCAGCTAAGCGCCCATGGAGGCAAACAGCCGTCAACAAAGGGCCGGTCGCTCGTTCTTTGCTGTGGTCGCTGGCAGCGTACACAAGTTGACTCGTCTAGCTTGAGAATAATTTACTCTTGAAAGGAAGTGGGCGGTCAGCGCCTGTCCTTGGAGAATTCCAAATTCCCAGACAACCCACAGCTCCCCAGTCTCTTCGACTCATTCTCCAAACTCATGGCCCCAGCTGTTGACGTGCAGCTGATAATCTCTGCTCCCATTACAGGGACCAAACAAAAAGAAGGAATGTATAAATGACTCCAGGAGCTCGTCTCTTCCACCCCAGAATCACCGCATTCTATCTCCTCCTCTTCGACGACCTCGACGACCTCATTATGAACTATACCAACAACAACGGCACTTTCATCCCCAATGTACGCATTTCTTCGTTCATACCATATCCCCCTTGATATTCTGTCGACAGGTTACTACTGTTGGGTTTCATTGGATCGGTCAGCGCTACTATGGTACCTTCCTGCATGTGCGTGAGACAACTGGCGGCGTAAGTCATTTCTCCTCGAGGTTGCAAGATTAGTCTCTGACTGGAATATAACAGCCTCGTCTCGTCGTCAGGTTCGTCGACCGCACCACATTTGCCGTAGACGACGGCGTTGGCGTGCCGGTCACCGGGTGGGTGCTCAAATTCCCTTCCTATTTTCTCTTGCACTCGTTGCTCACCGTGTCTCGTCCAGGTACCCAATCTCCGCGACGGCCCCGCCTGAGGGAAATAACTGAGATCCTTCTAGCACTTATCATCATTGCCCCCGTTCTGAATTTTGAATGTACATCATGTAGTCGCCTGTACCTTGCAATCCAGATTGGATTATAATTTTCCAACGTCCTCCCCGACATTTGAGCTCGCGACATCGAGCGTTTAAACATTGGAATCATGACATTATCACGGCCCCTACATGTACGGATAACTGAGGCAACTCTTTGATGCTGTGCACGAGAATATGACCACACCAATTATTGCTCTTTGGACAGCAGATATCCGGTGCGAGTCCTGACTGCGTCAGCCAATTTCGGCGTTGTGAAATCGAGAAAATCGGAGACGACTGACTACAGAAGCCACAAAACCTTTGGAGAGTCCTACATACGTTTCGCTAGCAGGGTGTCTACAGGTATCAGCGTGACATGTAGGAAAGCCACTGGCAAAGGTTTTCCATGATAATCACGCTCCTTCCTGTGAAAGAACAGCGTGCTCAGGACCTCCAAACTACCCCCAGATGTGGCGTTCATTTCACTCTCCTGAAAGAAGTATGTTATCAACTATGTCATCATACAGGTATATTCGTGCTCCGGGTTTGTTCTCCTTCCATCCGAGTACAATTTCTCAGCCCCATACAATTTCGGGTAGCAGAGAGCGCACATGAAACTTGGAGGGAGGAGTCTCCCGCAGCAGTGTATCGAGTCTCAACATCGCCTCCCCAGCAGTCGGCCGATGATCGGGTTCATCAGCTGCGAGGTCGGCCCACAAATGATCAACCTCTGGGATCCCTGTCTGTGGGGACGTCTAAGGAATCGTGATTTTGACTGAGCAAGTATTTGCGTACTGGGTAGTCATCGCGGAGATTGGAGCCAAACTGCCAAATGTCCATACGGAACGGGCAGTAAGGCTTCCCCTCCCGCCACTCGGGTGCTCGCTGTCGACTATACTCAGGTACTGGGAATGGGACCTCTGAGAGCACGCGTTGAGATTCCGGAAGGTCTTCAGAAAATGCGACTGCTGTTTCGAAGTCGATAACATAGACGCGGGGACGAGTCATCCCACCACGTTCGTTGATGGATTCCGGCATCCATTCGACCATGAAGTTGGTGAGAAAGAGATCCTGCACAGACAATCAGTGATTGTCCTGATCAACAATGAGAATATCATACGCGGTGGGCGATTAGATTTTCATGAATATATTTGATACCCTGTACCAAAGAGTTCAGGACGCAGATGAGGGATTATAGACCACCATACCTCCAAAGCTTGAAGTATCATGTAAAGAACATCTTCCACGGAGTTCATGTAACACGGATCGATGGCCTCCTGCAGGCTGAACATGACTCGAGGGAATACACCGATCACAATATCGGCGAAAACAATCTCCTTCACCATAGGTAGGATATGATTGTTCCCTCGAAGAATATCAGGGGAAAGACTGAGACGCCTCATGATGTCGAGATGATCTTGGCCTTGATCACCGGCTGTGACAATGCGAAGAATGAAGTCCCTTCGATCGGCACTTCGAGCAGCATGCGACAAGCCGTTGTTCGAGATGTACTGCCGCATCCGGGACATGCTATAGTTGCTAACAGAGTTTGGGCCCAGAAATACGTAGTTGTCAGCGCAAGGCAATATTTTACCTTGATACTGACACCCCGAACAGGCATTCCAGAGACGAAGGCCTTTCTGTTCAAGCAGAGGAATAAAGGTATCCCAAATGAGCCTGTAGGCGTTATAATCACCGGGACGTCTCCAGGACCACAAGTCCTTGGGAAGCTGAGTGAACGGTTCAAGGTTCGATAACAAAGCTAAACCGGAGTTATAGACTTACACTTTTCCGTTGACAAATACACTGCGAACCCCAGCACATGTTGCCAAACTTTTGAAGGACAAGGGTGCTTAACAGCAGACTTGTTGAGACGAGGAAGACTAAGGTCTGCCTGGCAGGTAGATTTTCAATACCCCACCCCAATGCTGTGTAAGTCGATACGTGTTGTAGGTGAGTCGTGGTCGAAGGCAACTGACGATGGTTGTTGGATGGTTGACCGGTGGCCGTCGATCAGTCACGCGTCACATGTCACCCGTTACGAGTGAAAATCGACTTTCGACCAACTTTGGACGACTAGGGGAGACCCAAGTTATCTCTGGTGCTGGAATATTGGTTTCTTACTCCCTTGTATGCTCTCTTCTGGAATTACAACTATGTAGTACTCAACGATCAAGTTGTCCGTGGAGTCCACCTCCAAGTTCCAAGGCTCAAAGGGCAGACTACTTATTACGGTTTCAAAACTAATTTCAAAATAATCCAGGCTTAATTCCAATTTCCACGGTACTGGTAAATGCATGATGTACATTCAAAATTCAGAACGGGGGCAATGATGATAAGTGCTAGAAGGATCTCAGTTATTTCCCTCAGGCGGGGCCGTCGCGGAGATTGGGTACCTGGACGAGACACGGTGAGCAACGAGTGCAAGAGAAAATAGGAAGGGAATTTGAGCACCCACCCGGTGACCGGCACGCCAACGCCGTCGTCTACGGCAAATGTGGTGCGGTCGACGAACCTGACGACGAGACGAGGCTGTTATATTCCAGTCAGAGACTAATCTTGCAACCTCGAGGAGAAATGACTTACGCCGCCAGTTGTCTCACGCACATGCAGGAAGGTACCATAGTAGCGCTGACCGATCCAATGAAACCCAACAGTAGTAACCTGTCGACAGAATATCAAGGGGGATATGGTATGAACGAAGAAATGCGTACATTGGGGATGAAAGTGCCGTTGTTGTTGGTATAGTTCATAATGAGGTCGTCGAGGTCGTCGAAGAGGAGGAGATAGAATGCGGTGATTCTGGGGTGGAAGAGACGAGCTCCTGGAGTCATTTATACATTCCTTCTTTTTGTTTGGTCCCTGTAATGGGAGCAGAGATTATCAGCTGCACGTCAACAGCTGGGGCCATGAGTTTGGAGAATGAGTCGAAGAGACTGGGGAGCTGTGGGTTGTCTGGGAATTTGGAATTCTCCAAGGACAGGCGCTGACCGCCCACTTCCTTTCAAGAGTAAATTATTCTCAAGCTAGACGAGTCAACTTGTGTACGCTGCCAGCGACCACAGCAAAGAACGAGCGACCGGCCCTTTGTTGACGGCTGTTTGCCTCCATGGGCGCTTAGCTGCTGTGTTTCCCCGCTACTTGATCGACAGTGGGCCCCGTGCTTCGGGAATATTTTGGTGAGTCGTGTGACATTTGAGATTCGGACATAGATTGTTTCTTCTTCCTAGTCGCTGTGAGTCGACGGGATATAATGTAACCCGGAGCTGACGGACTTCGGGGCCTATGCCTTCCCCTTCAGAAGTAGAACCCTAATAGATCTTCCACCACATGGCTCCCAGACGTCCTGTTTATGTTCGGACTTTCACTTGTTTTGACTCATTTTTTGCTGTACGTGATCGCTTGGTCTTTTCTTTCTCGTCCTTTTCCTTCTGATCGTGTGGAACATCGCCAGGATTCGCAGTGTAACGCCTCTATCGATCTACTCCTTTTCACAGAGACGACCGTCTCTGACTCGCTCCTTGCGCAGTGAAGAAAGTTTATTTTCCCTCCCCTTTCAAGTGTGTGGTTCGTCCTTTTTCTGGTTCATGTCATTCATCGTCTAAAGCATCTTGTTCCTCCGCATCATTTTGAACGTGCGGAGCATGGATTGGTCTCGACAGGACTTGCTGTGTGCCGCCCTGTTTATCTACCTCATGCTTAAGGGCCAGACAGTCCTGACTCGGCTTCTGTTGCACAGCCAAAAAATACACTTCCCCACTTCTGTTTAAGTCCTTTTAGGTTCGTTTTGTGCAGTTTGCCCCCTTCGATACGCTAACCCTTTGGTCGAATTTCCTCCGTAGACAGGCCGCGTTCAAGCCTCTTCCTCAAGTTTGGTACTCGGCCTCTGACTCCGCCGAGGACCCGTCGTTTCAAAATGTTTTTCAGTACGCTATTCGCGCAGTTCTAGACCCAGGCTAATGTGAGCCCTTAACGTTCAACCGCCTCTCTCCACACCTGATCCATTCACTGGCTTATGCATTCATGTCCCTAGAGTATATTCACTGGCGTTATAGTGGGTCTCAGGCAAAGCTCAGGAGCCAGTCTCAATCGACGTTTGGAAAGCCACATACTTCACATTCTGAGGTCTTCAAAGCCTCAGGCCAGTAATCAACGACGTCGCTCTCGAGCTACGGTATTGACCTTAAAATAGCCTCGTCCGATAAAGTGATCTTGCCCAATGGAATAATCGGGGTCGATTGCGACCCTAGAACGCTTGCGAGCAAGGAAATCCGGACCGCTGCACTTCTATCTGCCGCTAAGATGATACTTTCCCATCGGTATTTAACTAGACTGCTGGACCTCTAATCAGCAATCGCGTGAGAAGGCCATAGCGATTGATGTTTAAATCTGTAATGACGGAGCACTATAAGAATGAAAGTCTACTTTTCAATGTGCGATTTTCAGATGATACCGAGGCAGGTCACCGTCGAGTACTGGCACTCTCGGACTGGTCATATTATCATCCCGGCTTTTTCTACATGACTCCTCGAGGAGTGGACATGGCATCGTACCCCTTTACTGTACATCTTTGAAAAAACCCCTTGTGTGACCAATTCTATAGTTCCCAAATAGCTCATTGGCCGGCCCGTGAAAGCGTTGGCTTTCTAGACATAGAACATAATGCCGAAGGAAGCTTATAAGAAGCTCCCTCCCCTCTTATGATAGGTTGGCGAGCCGAAGTGGAATCAGCGCACGGATCGTCCGGAAGACTGTGCGTGTGGTCGTGGATGCTCTTTCATTTTTTCCAAAGTCAACTTCTTCGGCCGGCTGAGCTTATGAAAACCGCGACGAAACATCCTGGCGCCTGACCGGACGTTATGTTAAAATAGGGCTCAAACTCTCTCAATGGGTTTGAAAAAGAGTGCCCACAGGGACGCCATCCTTCGTCCTGTCCCTTCACCCAGTATGTCCTCTAGCTCGACTCTCAACGGCGATGTCGAGAGTGTCCCGAAAAATCCTTCTGAAACGACACCACCTCTCCGGTTAGAGGCTGTCCAGTATGGCTCGACAAAGGACCTACTTTTCTTGCCGATACCCGGTCGATTGCGCTATCGATCTGATAAATCATTCGAAACCGGCATTTGGATGAACTGTGGGCTTAGCTTCGCGGCTACGTTTCGTGAGCTTGCTTTGGACTGCTACAATTTTTTAAGAGTTCTAACTATTCCGCTTGAATATATACAGTGATATCCAATCTATATTACTGTCAACCGCTCTTGAGTCAGTTTCCTAGGATGTGCCCTTGGGAGGAGTACTAAACTTATCCTCGGAATGAAGTTCAGATGTCCATATCCTTCGCCGTCTCATATGAAAGAATATCACTGTGCGTCCTTTTCATTGTCGCACATGTCTCCCAGTCTTTAATTCCTCTCTTTAAGCATACCAACGCTCATTCAAGTAGGGTGTGTACGATGCGTTTATGACTCAACTTTCGCGGCAGATGGAAGGCTGATTAGCATTCCAGCTACGCCGTGGGCATGCTCTTCATTTGCCCTCTCGGCGATCTCATCCGAAGGCGGCAATTAATTCTCTTCCTTGAACTCATCACTACTGCACTGACGATCGGTCTCGCAACGACGCGCAATTTACACCTCTTCGAGGCCATCAGTTTCCTGGTCGGCCTCGCCAACGTTTCTCCACAGATCCTAGTGCCACTCGCTGCGGACCTCGCCCCTCCTGCCAGGCGCACTTTCGCGTATTCGATCGTGCTGGTTGGTATGCTCTCTGGCTTGCTCCTCGCACGCGTCCTGGCGGGGTTGATCGCGCAATTTTCGAGCTGGCGCGTGGTGTACTACATGGCCGTCGGCGTGCAGTGCGCAGTCCTGATCCTGTGCTATTGCATCATACCCGACACACCACCGAAGAATAGGCAGATGACATATTGGGGCATTTTGTGGTCAATGGCGAAGTACGGTGTCACAGAGCCCGTCATGGTGCAGATTGAGCTCCTCACAGTCGCGACAAGTACTGCTTTTGCGAGCTACTGGGTCACGCTTACCTTCTTGCTTGGTGGAGAGCCTTTTAATTATTCTACGTGCGCCCCTTTTCTAGCGTGTTGATATTTTCTTTCCTGTTTTTCTCTGACGGTTTCTATACAATAGGCTCTCCATCGGACTTGTTGGCCTCGTCGGAATAGGAGGAATGACGATAGGCCCATTTGCTGGGCGCTTAATGGATCACATCTCGCCGTGGTACGGCATTTTCATGGGCACCGTCTTCCTTGCCGTCTTCCAAGCGATCCATACTGCAGCGGGAGGATTCAGCCTCCCAGCGCTGATAGTTTCCTGCATCGGGTTGGATGTAATGAGGCAGATACAGAACGTCTCAATAGTGGCCTGCTTATTTGGGTAGGTGCATTCTTCGAGAGTCCCTGGAGTGGGTTCTAACGTCTTTAATAGCATCGACATGGCGGCTACCTCAAGACTTAACTCACTCTTCGTGCTATCGGTAAAATTTCACGACTCTTTCCGTTCAGTTATCTGATCTCATGCCTCCAAGTACTATATTGGCCAGCTCACGGGGACGTCCGTTGGGACGAAAGTATTCGTGGACAGTGGTTGGCGAGCATGCGCGGCTCTGGGTGTGGCTCTCTATGCCTTCCAGATTGCTGTTCTGCTCCTCCGCGGACCACACTGCCAGAGGACGACGTGGTTCGGCTACGAGGGTGGTTTTGGTTTTTTGAAATCGGTCCCAAAGGCTGTAGACGAGATGACTACTCAGAAGGCGGAAATTGAAGTCGCGTGAGTTAGCTATAGAAAGGTGGAGAGTCGTCTAGAGTTCGGGGTATCCTGGCTGGGCTGTTAGATAATCTGGTGTTTCAGTAGACGATAATATCATGGCGAGCGTCCTTGCCTTGGGACCGGACGAGCCGAGAACGGGACCATATATTCACCCTCGATGGGAATGGATAGCAAGTGCAACATTCCTCGTGATCGTTTTGACTGCTGATAGGCTGCGAGGAGGGAACGACAATCATCTGTATTGTGTGAAATTGATCCGGAATCTCGTTCACAGGACCGCGATGTGCATGCTAAACTAAACAAGGATGAGGCAGCTATGATAAAATACACGTTAAGTCCAAGTCCAAACGAATCTGAAATGCGAAAGCAATACCGCAAAGATCGGGGGAAACTATCAAATAAACAAGCCCGACTATTTCAGCGAGCGCAATTTCTGTATCACCTCTTGTATATCAGGCTGATTCCATTCTCCGCTCCACTCAGAATAGCGACGGTGTCTCCAGCTGCTAACCGAATGTCGGCCTTCCAGACTCGCGTTGCTTTCTTCAGCAGGGGTAAGTGTGACGATGACGCTCCGCCTGCGCTTCAAATTCCGGGTCAAGAGAGTTCTGTCGGACAAAAACGACGTCGGGCGCGAACTCGCGAAAAGGGGTATCATAGGCGATCCACGCCGCCCGTCGTCGTCGAACAACGAGTCCGAATCTTCCGAGATCGACTTGCTGTCTAGCGAGATGGATGGCGTGGAAGGTGGTGTCGACGAAGGGTCGTTGGGCGATTCCGTCAAGTCGTTCAGCGTGATGGGCGAAAGCTCACCAAGCTCGGGCAGGAGGTATTTAATTTCACCGAAAACACCGGGAGAGGAGGCGGTGGCGTCGCTGTTCCTTCGTTTCTCTTCTGTTGACTGATCTGACAGGGCTGGGCTAGGCGCGCGTTCTTGGTGATGTTTCGGGTGATCGTCCAACACTGGATTTAGAGCGACGAGGACAGCTGATGCTGATGATTTGTGGAAAGTCTCCGTGACGCGGCTCGATGAGATGGGACCTCGTTCCAGAGACTGGGGAATAGAGAAAGGAGGTGGATTGGGGGTGCTGGCAGATCGTAACCGTCCTGTAGAGAGCGACAAGGTCGCCGGACTTGATTCGTGACGGACATGGGAAGATCGGGAGGATGGTGCATGAATTGTTAATGGTGCAGGCCGTTCTCTACAATTCATCGTCGTCGAAGTTGAATTCGGAGTTGGCAAAGAGTGTAGGGAAGGGGAGGATGATGATGACACGAAGCTGGAGTGTGAATTTGATTTCATTGCAGTCCGAATCGGTGTAGTTCTCGAGACCGGGGTAGGACGTGGATTGGGTTCGTCGTAGTCATAGTGCACAACCGTAGAGCGATGAAGTTGGAGTTTCTGGAGAACGGGGCGATTGTCTGGCGTCTGAGATCGAGAGCGCGCCTGTTTGCAAAGGAAATTTATCACAGGCTGCGTCTAGACCACCTCCATACGGTTCGCATACCTTGGGAATTGTTCCCGTCTTAGACGCCGAGTGTATGGAGGGGGATGGACGGTGATTTGACCACGCAGACGGGGCAGAGCTCGTGGGGGCGCTCCAGTTTGGAGAAAGCGAATTGAGTATCTTCACCGGGGCGAGTTCGTGAGGTGGAACGCTTGGGATGGGCGACTCGCACATCGACACTGGTCGGCTAGGAGCATTGCTCAAGCGATTTAGTCGGTAGTGGTAATGGTGCGGCGCGCCATTGGGGTGTCGTAAGTGGGACGGCGTGCTCGTAGACATTACCTAGGTAGTGGCGACCGACAGGAGGAAGGAAGGAAGGCGAAAAAGCGAAGAACATTTAGATGATATCTGTAATATGACAATCTCGTGCGTCCTTGGAAGATCAAAACCTGATAGTTTGACCAATCAGCCGAAGCCGCAAGGGTTCTTGGCGTTGATCAGATGGCCGAAAGCGACGGTGGGACATGGAAGGGTTTTAATTGGTGGGAATCATCTCTTGTTTCCTATTCGAAATTCCATAGTCATAATAGGCCAAAGTAAGTCAGTGGTGGCGCTTGGAAAGGAGAAAACATGAGGGAGCATACGCTTCCTCATACGTTTGGGCAACGGACGCATTATCCAAGAGATCTGGACCTCTCGGAATCTAAGTGAACTCTGAGGAGCTCGAGATAACTGAGAACTCAGAAGACTGATAAGAAGGCGATTCAAATGTGCAGAAGAATACATACATTTTCGTCGCTCACTCAATTGCGCATCTTGAATCTCTCGGATGAGGTCATCTCGTAGCCAGCCGATGGTTTGAGAGCATGGTAATGAGGCCTGTCCCTGGTTTAATACCGAGGGTTTAGGAATTTTTGGGTAATTTTCTGTTATTTTCCCCGTTACTTGAGCATAATTGAGTCGCCCATTCTGCACCGGAGCCGATGAAAGAGGGGCTGCTGTACGGCGGCTGCCGAGATACGGAATGTCGGCGTTCCACCTTCACCCAGAGTAAAGGAAAGTTGAAAGGATGCGAGGGGCAGGTGCGTTGATTTTGTAGTTCCTCGTTGTCAAGAGCTTCATTAGGGATCACAACCAATATTCCCGACGCGACCCACGTGGAAGTCCGTACAACTCCTATTTCGTCGACGCGTGCATTTCGATGAGGAGGACATCGGGTTGGGGAACTGAGGTAGGAGTCAAATTCAAACTTAGTCACTATTTCAATTTGGAAGCGCGGCACCAACCGGTGTGGCGCACAGTACTAGAATCGGGAATTGCCTTGATGAGGCATGTAAAGGCACGATCAAGAAATGTCAACATCTCCGAGTCTACACCACTGATATCAGGACTTCACCGGTGCTGTGGTGCTATGCTCTGGTCAGTTTGATTCCAGCATTGACCTGGGCTTGGCGAGCAGATGCGATTACGAAAGTCAAAAAGGCCTCGGGAGTGCCTACTATTGACTCATCGCGTTGTGTAGCGCACCCAGAAGAACCCGATCGAGTCAAATACAAGGCTTAATTAAGAGTTGAAGGGGGGCACTTGCTGAGGTTCGAAGTAAAGGAGGAGTACATTCAGTAAATGCCTCATGAATTTATTATCCGCGATTAAGTCGTTATTTGATGCAGAAGTCGCGACGCGTCCTTTAGTGAAGAAACCCTGAGAAACGGTGGTGCCTTCAAAAAGAAATCCACATTTTCTGACTGGTATTTGCTGTTTTCCGCGGGCAGTCTATCAATGTTCTGCTAAGGATCGATATCGGGAAGCCTCACCATTAATTTGCACCAGCCAATAGCTCTAATTTTTGTTGCGATTGCATCCATCAAAGTTTCAGCTTAAAGGTGATAATAAAGTGTAACTACCAGTACCCCCCTTTCACGAAACGTGCAACAAAAACTCCGGACTGCTGAAGCTACCGGAAGTAACGTTTCGTAGCCTGGTAATTGACTCGACTTCAAAAGAGAGCCCTGTGCACTGAGGAAAGACTCCATTACCCTCTTAAATTCTGAGCACCATGTACTCCAATTCGACTCCGAACGAAGACGGCGGGAGTGTTCCACAGGACACCGCCAAGACTGTAAAGCTGCCTCCCGAGTCAGATGTCATTGAATATGGGCCAAATACGGACTTATTCTTCTTGCCGATACCGAGCCGCTTGAGATATCGATCCGATAAACCATTTAAATTCGGTATTTGGACAAACTGTGGACTCAGCATTGCTGCCGCCTTCCGTGAGCTTCCCCTACTCGATTTTTATATCCTCTACCCTGAAGTTTCCTCTCTCTAGTTATATGCAACTTGAACTACTGCGTGCCGCTGTTGAGTAGGTTTCCAAGACATTTGATACCGTCATGGGCCGACCTTTCGGTCGGGGTACTCTATAGTCCAGATGGCGATATCTTTCGACGTCTCCCACAAGGAAATATCATCGTGAGTATCTCACGGCATCACCTTTAGATGTCTCTTTAGTTGTTAGGGTTCCAACTCTCCATCGAGCAGGGTGCGTATGCATAACTGGACGCCCAGGTATTTCTTCTTGTGATTGATGGGCTATTCTTGCAGCTACTCCGTCGGGGTATTCTTTCTTTGCCCTCTTGGAGACCTCGTACGAAGGCGCCAGCTAATTCTCCTCCTCATAACCATAACGGCCGCTCTGATTATCGGTTTCGCAACAACGCACAACTACCTCCTCTTCGAGGTGCTGGCCTTCCTCATGGGGCTCACCAACGTCTCCCCACAAATCCTCGTTCCACTAGCTGCAGATCTCGCACCTCCCACCCGCCGATCCTTCACATATTCCCTCATACAAGCCGGGATGAGCTCTAACACTCTCATGACGGGTGTACTAGCAGGCGTAATAGGAGAGCTCGCGAGCTGGCGTGTGGTTTATTACATGGCTGTTGGTGTCCAGTGCGCAGTCCTGCTTCTGTGTTATTTGATCGTCCCAGACTGCCCGAAGAAGAGTCCGGACATGACATATTGGGGCATACTATGGTCCATGATAAAGTACGGGGCAACAGAACCGGTGATGGTGCAGCTTGAGCTCATGGCAGTCGCGACAAGCGCTGCTTACTATAGCTTCACAGTCACTCTCACATTTTTGCTTGGTGGAGAGCCGTATCATTTTTCCACGTGAGTCTTTGTTTACATTGTCTCCTCACCCTTTCTCATGTTTTCAAACGCAGGCTCGTGATCGGCCTATTTGGCCTCACCAGCCTAGGGGGAGCTGTTCTTTCGCCTCTTGCTGGGCGCCTAATTGACCGCATCTCCCCATGGTATGGCACCCTGATGGCAACACTGTTTCTGATCGCATTTCAAGCGGTCCACACCGCTGCCGGAGGATTTAGCCTTGCGGTGTTGATCATTTCGTGCCTTGTGCTCGGCGCAGCGAGGCAGATAGAGAACATCTCGATGACAATGAGCATGTTTATGTACGTGCAGCTCGTTAGTGTGGCTCCATTATCTCAAGCGCTCATACACTCTATCGATAGGGTCGACATGAACGCCAACTCAAGACTCAATGCCCTGTTGGTACTCTCGGTGCAATCCTACAATTCTCTTGTTTCCTTTTCACGAACTCATCTATAAGGTATAGACGAACATCGGCCTTGTGATTGGGACCTCTGTGGGGACGAAAGTCTTCGTGGAGAGCAGTTGGCGAGCATGTGCGGTGCTGAGTTTGGCACTCTACAGCTTCCAGATTGTCGTTCTCCTGCTCCGTGGACCGCATTGTCAGAGGAGAACCTGGTTTGGGTACGACGGAGGTTTTGGCTTCCTCAAGGAGATTCAACAAGAGGCAGAGGGTAAAGTAAATCAGAAGGCGTAAATGGCCACTTTCGAGTGTGGAAATACTTTATTTATTTAAAGAGACCAGATTGGATAGACTACGGGACTGGAGACTTTCTGAATATCCTTATGTCGTGGTACAAGTACTCTAATTTAGAGTTCCCGTTGGGCGCTTAATGTTTCGAAGTAAATATTTGTCAGGCTCTACCCCCGGCCTGGAACAAATTTTGGGAGAAAACATAAGTCCAGGCCATCCCAGGGACTAGGCGCGGCCGATACACCAGTGGTTATATTTGCTGTTTGTATCCTCTCCATGGCCGTAGATCCCGAGATGGGTCCACGCGGCGTAATATTATTATTATTACTATTCAGCGGAAGCAAGTGAATCGATTCGGAGACTCCGCGCAATGATCGTTGAGCTAGATTTCATAGCGCGATTGTGAACAGTTTCGTTTGAGCATTTGTATCTGTGGAAAAATGTTTCACTGCATTTCGGCCGATTGCCACGACTAGTTTTATTTGAAGAAGTCTAGGAACTTGCAATTGGAAGAGTCTGCTATCAGTGGTTTCCTAGTAAAATCTGTAGCCTTGCATTGGCCTCGTAGGAAAAAACAATCACCTCGCCCACACTGAGCAAAACATTTGGATTACATCTCACTCCTCAAAGCGACGACAACATTTTTCTATCAAAATAAACAAACTTGCACTGATTGTTGTCACGTTGGGACGAAGAGTAACAAGTCACAGCGTTACCTCCTTACTCATCGTCCTCGACGACGAGCTCGCCTTTTTCCACAACTGCCACCGCTGCAGGCGTCGGCGACCGCCAGTTTCACCTTATACTTACACGCAAACTAATTTCTCGCCTCTACATACCTCAATACCCCCACATACCCTCACCCTTCATCACGATGGGGCAGAGCAATTCCAGGCCAAATCCGCCGTCTCCGCCGCCACAGGCTCCAGAAGAGGCTCCGAAAGAACCCACGCAAGACAGCCCCGAAAGTACCAGCGCCGACGTTGTGCCAGAGGCTGCCACTGAGGACGGTGTGCCGGCGTCGAGGTCACGCCGATCTTCGATGCGTAAGAGCCTGCTCAACTTCGTGAAGCCGAGCAGCATACGCAGCAGAGTCACCAGCATCGCATCGGCACCTGGGGATGCCAGACGATCGTGGCGGAACGCCAGACGGTGGTCCAAGGCGCCTGTTGACCCTAGGCCACCACCACCTGCTGTCGACTCCACACCATCCTCGTCATCTGGGCCTTCAGCTGAACCGTCGTGCAATGTAAAAGGGAAGCAGCCGGAGCGTGAGCCCCCTATTGAGGACGAAGAAGAGTTCCACGAGGCGGTGGAAGCATTAGAGGAACCCCCGATGGCATTGCCAGAGGTGGTGCTCAGCGAGCCGACTTCGCCCGCCAGCAGTTCGTGGGTCAACGTGCAGGATCGGGACCAGAGCCCTGAATTCGCCTCTGTAACGCCCCCAGAACCCGAACCTCAACCTTACGCCCCCAACCACGCCACAACATCCACACCACCGCCCGAGTTCTCAGAATCCGACCCCCAGCCCTCAGCCCAGCCACCGACGGCCCCACGGCCGGCAGCAGCGCCGCTTCCTCATCGCCAGTTTCCACCGCCAGGAACGCTCGTTGTGGTGCAGGGCATCGTACATACGACAGATGTGTCACGAACACCATCGCCAGCAGCACCGACAGCAGCACCGACAGCAACACCGACACCAGGGCCAGCACCGTCGCAACCCCCATCGACAGCGAACTCTCGGCCTGCTTCTCATCTGGACGTGGAGCGGGATCAGGCGCCGAGTCGAGCGAGGAACAGGCTCTCGGCGCTTCTTCGGCCAAGATCAGCGTCATCGCGCCGTTCCTCTGCACTGATTAACGACGCCTCACCGACGCCTACACCGCCTCCAGAGCCAGAGTTGCCCACGTCGGAATCGTCGACGTCGTCTTCCTCGGCGGAGTCGGCCCCGACTGATGTAACTATACCTTTAATCAGCGATTCTGCGGAGGCGAGTTCGTCGCAGCCGCAACCTACGGAGCTTCCATCGTCCGAGCCACAGCAGCAGCAGCAGCAGAGCCAGCCACAGACCGAAAATCGTGCTCCTGCTATTTCGTCGAGCAGCATTGATGTATTGGGCACGTTGCTCAGGTGAGTAAATTCTTATCGCGTAACAATTTGAGCTCTATTTCTAATTATTGTTCTAAAAACAGTGTCGCGGCAGCAGCAACAGCAGCATCTCTCCTTACTGGATCTTCTGAACCAATTCTCTCCTCTGGTCTTGCACCTCCAAGCGGTGCAGGCTCGACACCATCGTCAGCTTCCACGACATCACTACCCAATCCTCATCGTGGTCATCCGCAAGCCCCAGACATAACCGCCAATGGACGGGCGGAGCGTATGCGGCAGGCTTGGAGTACGATAAGGGAAAGGCTGGGACTCAGGCCCTCTCCTCCGGTCCCCACACCTACGAACAATAACAACGCATCCGGTACGGACGACACACCTCTGATGGAGATCAACACTGATGGGAATGCAACACCAGCAGACAACTTGAATGCCAACGGTCTCGGACAAGGACCGACCGACACTCGAGAGTTGATGTTGGCGGAGATGGCGAGGGCGTTCAATATTGGGCTCGGGTTGAACGGGTTGGGCGGAATGACGCCGCCTGCAGGTGCGGCATCTCAAGGATCTGCTACTCCAGGTGCCGAAGGTGACAGTGAGGCTGTTGGTGCGGGCGTGGAGCGACCGCCGGCAGAAGGTGATGCCCCAGAGACACAAGGTAGAGGAGAAGGACATGGGCAGACCCAACAACCTTCCACAAGCCCGACGCTGCCACCAGAAGGCAGTTTCGAGCGGTTCCTGGTGGATTTGCAGACCGACCTGAGGGTGGCGCTGACGCAGGTCGAGGACGTGCCAGGTCAACAACCAGTTCAAGAACCACAGGAAGAACATGTGTCTGCCCAACTCAGTTCCATGCAGGCACAACCATCGACCGTTGGATCTGCGAACGAGGAGGTTGCTGCACCTGCTGCCTCGTCTTCTCCGTCGTTCGGAACGGTGCCTCCTCCTGCCAGCACGTCGGAGCGGAACGATCGACATGATCATGGAGTGGACACGCGGAGAAGGGACGGTGATGACGCATCTGTGAGCTCGATGCCCTACCTCGAGGAGATCACGGACTCGGATTCGGAGAGCGAGTTTGATGAAGCAGAGGAGTACGACGACGCAGATGGTGCGTTAATTTTTCTGCCTTTTGAATTTCCCTTTCCCTTTCACCTTCTATCTTTCCTTTTTTCACTACTATCCTCACTCAATCGACTAACGTTACTTCATTTCCCAGACTTCCACTCTGCTCCAAATGGATCGATACCTCACCTCGGAGGCGCAGCGCAGCATGATCATCGCCCACACGCACATACCCACACTCATACCCACGCACATACCCACACTCATACCCACGCACATACCCAGACACACCCAGCGCCAGCTGCGCATGGCCTAGGAGCAACGGCAGGCACGACAAACCACATCGATGCTGCTGGGAGGATCAACTGGTGGAGGCTGTACCGATTCCCACCAATCCTGTCGACGAGAGTGGAGCTGCCCCCTGGACGGAGACAAGGATCTGGGGTTGGCACGCCGGCTCCTGCAGCTGCAGCGGGCTCGACAGTGGCAGAGTCCGGACCTAATCCTGAGAGTGCTGTAGCTCCGACGCCGTCCGTTAACCTAGAAGGTTCTTCGGAGCCTGCAGCCGTTATTGCTGACCCGTTGGCCACGACACCCTCGACTTCGTCAACACAGTCCTCGCTCAGTCCGGATGTTCCGTCAATATCTCCACACTCCACTCCGTCATCGTCTGCTTCTCCTTCAACATCATCACCGTCAACATCTCCGTTTTCAAACACAAACAACACGACTCCATCGTCGTCTAATACCAACTCAATGCCAACGCTAACCTCCCCACCGCCGTTTACCCTGGACGCCGTTGTTCCTGTCATCGTTGTTGGATTACAATCCGTCAACTCTGAGTGGCCGCCCGACGTGCCTCCGACTCAAGGAACGGATGAGGGTATCGATTTCTTCGGCCAGCCTCCCGCTTCAGGGTCCGATGCTGGTGTCGACCCCATCGACGGTGAAGAGATGGACGAATCTGATCCATGGGGTGTGGGTGATGCCCAAGCAATGGGAATGGGGGCTGGAGCCGAGGGTGCTGGGAGGGCTAATGGAAGGCCGAGAGGGTGGCAGTCTCGCGCTGCGAACGCCATTCGGAATTTGCGTCCTGGTGGCAGGCGGAATGCGGAGGCGGGTGCTGGTGGTCTGCACAACCCAACGCAGATGCCGTCGTTGGCCGCTCCTGGTAGTCGGACGTTCTTGATTTATGTCATCGGAGGTGAGCACCTTCTACTCTCTCTCTCTCTCTTTACAACGGCTGATGATAAAATGCTACTTCCAGGTTACTATCCACCCGATCATAACATCGTTACAGGAGGCCCAACTCTAGACTCGTTCGATGCTCTGATGTGAGGACATGCTCTCCTGTTCCCTCAGGTCGTTAGCTGACAAACGTTGATATTTTTCAGAGAGCTTGCTGACTTGCTCGGTCACGTCAAACCACCCACCGTCTCGAAAGATGAGATCGAGAAATCAGGATTGGAGACGATCAAAGCCTCGCAAGTTGCCCAGTACGAGAAGGATGGCAAGATCTCGTCCAACTGCACCGACCGAGTACGTGCTACCTTATACCAACTTTCTGCTACCATCTGATTGAACTTGAACCCCCTCTCTTTACAGTGCCTCATCTGTCTCGACGACTACGATCCGGAAGACAATGTCCGCGTGATGACATGCCGGCATGCGTTCCACAAAAACTGCGTCGATGAGTGGCTGCAACGGGGTAGGAACAACTGTCCAGCCTGTCGGACGACGGTGCGTATTTGTGTGACCCTTCAGGAGTTCGTGTATTGAGATACTCTATCCTCTATCGTAGGGCGTTTCGACTGATACCCCCACTCCCTCTGTCCCGACTTCATGAGGTCGCCGATACCTTCTCTCCTCAAGTTATCCCTCTGTTTCTCGGACTCTTTGCTTTCGTCCTCTCACCACACTGTTACCATTTGCCATGCATCATCCCACACCCGACCCTGCTAGCCTGATCGACAACTCGTTATCGCAATCTCCTCTCGCTTCTTGCTTCGCCATCTCTTCCTCACAGCAAAAGATCCACTTCGGCTCTAATCACCCCACGAAAGAAAGACATAATAGCCCATTGTAGCACTATGCACTCTCAAGGTACCCACGACTCAGCATCCTTTTCCTTACTCGTGTCCCAGCGTCCTCACTGCTCGTCCTAACAACTTTCGTATCAACTAAATTCGTGCTCGTAATTTGATGCTTTACTCGCCTTGCCTTGCGGACATTTCCTGCAACTATATCTTGTTTAGTCAACTCCGTTTTCCCCAAGATCGCATGAAGGATTTGCTGGAACACGAATTTTGCTCTTCTCTTGTAATCGTATGTACTCTATTTATGGGTCCTGCCGATTTCCCTTCCGAACGCGCATACTTACTCCAGGCCGGTGCTGGACCGCAAGCTTCTCTGTGGAACTGATCTCGTATTGGAGGACCAAGTTCGCACTCGCCTGGGGCGCAAGAGACACTGTCCAGTGGAATTTTCCGCTCTTTCCGATCGAAGATGGGTCGATATTTTCGTCATCTGCCCCGTCCCACTGCAGTATAATATTGCCCTTCTCAACTCGAACTCGGGATTGAGTCGTACCCATTTAGCGCTGGTCTTACGAGCTTGAGTTGGATATGCTCGTCTTCGGAAACGGGTATGTTATCCACCATCTTGATGCTCGCTGGTGTTGACCGATTGTTAAGGACAGTTATACGCTGCATGCGCAATTGAACGAGGTTTTTTGAAAAAAAAAACCGAACGCGATACTTTTGCAACGGATGGTATGTTATCTGCAAAGGCGGGTCGAACCTGACGAAAAGCAGTTCAATGGAGCAAAATGATATAAGTATCCCAATGGGAAGTCAAAAGTCACTTGTGGGCTTACGCACGTCGTACGAGAACAAGACTTCGCGTGTTGAGAGCACTGCGATGTACTTCAAAGTCTTCAATCACGGGAATTCGTTGACGGAGACTGCTACGACGGGCCAAACGCGCGTGCCACAAAGCACGGACGAACTGGAAAAAGTTTAGAGAATACTTATGTTGTACCTATGAGGACTCGAGAGTCGAATTTCTATCGTTTTGGGCAACATCAACGTGCCAGGATAATGAATAGACGTAGCATACCTTCAATTTCTGGTACAAAGGGTCCCGGGCATGAGCTCCTGGGTCGCCTCAGAGTGTGAGACTATTCTTCCCGGCACTTCGGCATCGTATGCACGGCAGTGCGCTCTTTATCAACTATCAGCGATGGCCATGGGGAACATCTCTACTTGCCTCCGCGAGTCGGTCTCGCTAGACCATCTCAATCCTATACCCGCCCCGTTCACATGGAATCTGGATCACATCTCAGCAATCACAAAAGGATACCAGAGGAGCCCTTGCGGAAATCGGCCACGTTTTGGTTCGACGACGGAAATGTCATTTTGCAGGCTCAGCAAACCCAGTTTCGCGTTCACCGTTCCATGTTGGTGCGCCACTCGACCGTCTGGAAAGATATGTTCGCCGTCCTACAACCAGAAGGGAAATCTGGCTCCGAGAATGATTGCCCTGTAGTGCATCTCTCAGACAGGGCATCAGACGTCGAGCACGTCATGGCGATATTCTACGATAACTTGAAGTAAGTTCTTGTCCTCCACCTCATTGCGTCCACTTGATGATTTTCTCTAGGACATTTAAACTAAAAGAGCGTATTCAATTCTCCCAGCTTTCCGCCATGCTTCGCATGGGACACAAGTATCAGATTAAGCACCTGTGCGATGCCGTGATGAAGATTTTGCGCAAGGATTTCCCTCAGTCACTGGACCTCTGGGACGTTGCAAACCTGGCCTATCAATTCTCGCTCAAGACAATAATGCCGTCAGCGTACCTCGCATACATTGCCACTACCAACCTTGTAACAATTCCTTCGCCATCTTGCTTTTTGCTTCTTCATAACCTCTTCTTCAGAAAACGATACTGTCCGATGCGTCTCTTCATCCTGGCGCCCGCACGGCCGCCATCCTAGGTCGTGACCAGCTAAGTCGCTGGATGCATTTCACTAAAGAGATAACAAGGTCCCAATTCGCAGCCTCCAAAGTACGCGGCGACTGTCAGGACCACAGGAAGTGCGCGGCTGGGAGGGAAATGATATTCCTGGGTTTGTCACTCTGGGATGATGATGACGGGCATCTAACCCGTTTGGTTCCGCTGGCTGACGCGAACGGCTTTGCCATCTGCATTTCGTGCTCTGCTGCCCTGCGGAAAACTCATGAGTATATTCGCTCTGGAGCGTGGAGTTTGCTTCCGGACTTCTTTGATGTCTCGCCCCAGTGGGCAGATTTGAAGGATTTTGAAATGTAGGATTGGTAGTTGAGATTGACTGCTGGCTAGGGTGGGCTACCTTTTCCTACAGCTTTTCGGGGAACTGACGAATTGTACCCCGTAGTTTTTTCCATCTGGTGCCCTATTTGTAACTATCCTTGGTCATTTCCAATGTTCGTTGAGGTGACACTTGCAGTAGTGGATGCTCCCAGTGACTGACTTCTGCTCTTGATCCCCTGCCGGGCGATTGGCCGCCATCGTTGCAGTGCTAGTACTCCTCGCGCTATGCTCTTATCCCATACAGTATCGCGGGCCGCCACTCCCATCGTTGTCTCGGGGTGAGCCGGAGACCTGCACAAGATGTCTCACATCGACACTACACTTCCGCCGACCCTCATGGCTAACTCCAACAACGAACTCCCCCCCAGGTAGCCTTCTGCATCAACACCGTTCTTTTATTCTATGTCACTACCTCTATCCAAACGCTTCCGGATGGACGTACCAGTCTCTGACGCTGAGAGTGAGGCGAGCACATTGCCTGTCATCACCCGTTCGAAATATTGGTTTAAAGACGGGAACGTCGTCCTTCAAGCGGAGGAGACGCAGTTCCGGGTGCATCAGTCGATGCTCGCCCATCATTCGCGCGTGTTCAATGACTTGTTTGGGATACCGCAGCCAGAAGTCAGCCAGGACCCGATGGTGGATGGTTGCCCTCTTGTGCCGCTCTCGGACACGGCGGCGGATGTTCGGCAGATTATGGCTATTTTCTACGATAATATCAGGTACGTGACAATTCTGAGGCGACCTACCCATCGTTGAACCTCGCCTCTGCAGCTTCCTGGACCTTCGGAATTCGATGCAAGTTGACCAAATCAGCGCGATGCTGCGAATGGGGAAGAAGTACGAAATCGATTACTTGATGAACGAAGCTTTACAACGTCTGCGCTGCAATTACCCCACCACACTAGCGGTCTGGGACGAATCCTTCGACTCCTCCAACCCGAACCCAATTGAAGACGTCAACGATTCGGTCCTAAATGCGGGCATCATCTCCTTGGGCCACGAACACTCCATTTTCACAATCCTGCCTTCGGCTTACTTCCATTACACCACAAAAACATCGCCGGTCAGTTCTCTCCCTAGCCAAGTCTCCGTACTAGTACTCATTCGAGGCTCGCAGGAAGCGATAGTCTCCGGTGAAGACGATGACTTCCTCATCTCACCCGAAGTTCGCGCACAGTGCATGGTCGGGCGGGACAGGATCCTGCGCCAGATCGACGCGATTTCCTGGACCTGGATGTCCTCGCCAACCTTCATGCCGCGAGCCGAGTGCCTCCATCGCCGGCTCTCCCTGCTACATGCAGAGGCCTGCTGTCCTGTACGAGCTCAAGAATGTATTTTGGTCAATGGACGACGGCGTTATCACCGACTTGGCCCCGTGGGTCCCGAATGAGACGATCTCGGTGAAGTTGTGCGCATCGTGCTTGGCGAGTGTGAAGGCGTGTTTCGAGGAGGCACGACAGCAGCTCTGGCAGGAGTTGCCGGCCTTCTTTGGGTTTGCAAAGTGGGAGGATCTTAGGGATTTTGACAGCTAAGGGAGACTGCTCTGCATCTCATCGTTTATTGCATGGTGTATTTTTATGGCTATTTATTCTGATTTTGTTGACATGATAATCATCGTGGTGTAGCAGCGATAAATACTCGATTAATGTACCAGCTCGTCCCGCAGAATTCTTGGTAGGGATCTCCAGACCTGCGCTCTCCTATCCTACCTCACAACTTAGTTTGTATCCGTCTTTTTCGTTTCGATTTTAGGGTTCCCTTCTCTAGATTGATATTTGAAGACTTCTCTGCGTTCGGACTGTGTGATTTCGACACAGCAGGAGCTTCAAACAATCGTTGAACGACAGAAGCGAGAGTTCCTAAATCCCGCAGGTGAGTGCCGCAGCGCACGTCACGTAAGGATCAAGGCCTACCTTCGCGCGGGCCCTTAACGGAAAATCCTAGGACCGCGAGGATAAGACCAAGTGGCCACTGCGTTTTGAGCATGAGGAAAATGGTGCCCGTGAGGATACGACCGATAAGGGGATTATCCTCCACGAGGCAAGCTCAAATGGTGCAATTTAAGTAACAGTACCCTTATGACGGAGGGCGTCACTTACCTAGAGAAGTAAGAACGCCAACAATCGTTCCCTTGACCGGCCCAGTGGCACCCTTCGCTCCCATGATGAACATAGCCCTCCTTTCTTCCGTCGACCCTTGAATGTCGCTGAGCACGTTGACTATTGCATCTTCAACGATATCCGACAGTTTCGCAATCATGAGGGCCACATAGGGTAGTGGAGGTGTACCACCGTCGGTAAGGAATCGGGCCTCTAATTCATCTTTCAAAGGCTTGATAGCTTCCTCTAGCTTTACCACGAGGATTGCTTGAAAATCGTCGATGGATCCTTGGATGGGAGTCAGGATGGCGTTGATCTCATCCTGGAGGACGTGGATACGTCGTGTGAGGACTTTGCCATCGTGCAGTCCAGGAATTGCCGCAGTGAGAAAGCGAATCCAAGGTGGAAATGGAGAGTTCATGAATTCAGCTATCTGGAGGGGTACCTGGTTAGTATGAGCGAAGAAGAGTGTAGGAAGCATGGGACACTCACCACAACACAACTCTGGCAAGTGGTGGTCCGGGCTCCTGGCTCCAATTCCCAGTCTGGGCTGGAGCGCGTTTCTCCTCGTGAGAATATGATAGAGCCTTACGTGGTGTAGGAGAATGCGAAGACGACGCCCTAAATTTTACGATTGGAAGAGATGGAAAGAAGTGGACAAGCGTTTGCCGCCCGCTGTCAACGCTGACAACCGTGACGTAAACTTGCTTTCCCACACGATCTGTCAAGAAGAGCGGTTTTTACAGCATTGCAGACATAAAAATCCTGATTCGACTCAGAGATTCGGGCTATTTGTAGACCATGAAACTCTCTGTGTCGTGTTGTAAACATGCGGGAGAGCCCTAAGCGCCCGGGCAGCAGTAGGAACACCGTGGGAAGTACGCCCGACATCCCTTCGCCTCCACCGCTTTAATTGGCAGTGACCGTAATGGCCGCCTTTCTCGACGGGTGGGATGCATATGCCTATGGGCCGACGCCTGCGGCGAAAGTACACATACGAGGAGAGATGCTGTGTCTCGTACCCTCCACTTAAGGTCAGAAATGACTCGACCTCCCCATAACACTGGTGATAAGAAGAATATCATGAGCAACTGGCCCTGGCATTGTTAACTTCTAAATGCATTTTCCCATGCATGTTCTCGTACATCAGGTGCAGAGAACGGGCCCGAAAAGAAGAAGCAAGGTGCCGTAGAGACCTTCAACAGACAATCTCACACGGCTTTCTCGAAAGATTGAGGGTGAGACTGGCCGTCCCCTGAGTGGGGGACCTGGTCGATGTTGTTTGGAAATCAGGAGCCAGGGAAGACGTGATTCAGACAGGTGCGGCCTCCGAAACTTATCATAGAATTATTCTCGAAGCTTGACACGAATCTAAGCTAGCCACATCTACTCGGGAGACAGCGAGTCAGCGCTCAGGGTGCGCTTGCGACAAGAAGGTTCGGAGGGCTCCTGCGTGATGTATAAATGGGCCGACCAGCGCCTGATTTCGACCCAGAGCCTCAGTTTCAATGGACACGCACGACAGCCAAACCACTTCCCCTGATTCAAATTATCTGCTCGCCCACGACGACGAAGAAAGGAGGCGGTAAGTCGGCAGTTTCTCTCGCTGAATTGACCTTCGACTTATGGTTATGAAGGCTCGAGCGTCAGCATGTCATGTTCAAGAGGTTCATGAACCGCTTTGATGGCCCGCTGCCGTCTTCCATTGACGTTACTCAAGTGACGAACATCATGGACGTCGCAGCAGGAACTATGGTTTGGACTCTCGACCTTGCGACCGTTCCGACCGTCAAGGCAAGGATTGGGACGAACGGCTCCAACGAGGTCCATCTCTACGCCTGCGATATTACTGACCAGAAGTTCCCGCCCAAAAATGTCATCGAGGAACTGAAGATTAATGCTTTCCTTCACGATGTAACTGCTCCCTTCCCGGATCATCTTCACGGCAAATTCGACTTGGTCAATATGAAGTTACTCGTCTTCGCGTTGACGACGAATGGGTGGAGGAAGGCGCTGGAGAACGTCAGGGCCCTTCTAAGTAAGCAGACGGATTCAGTTCAAACGAGCCTCGTTTTGACTTCCTTTCACAGAGCCTGGAGGAAAGCTCCTTCTATGCGAGTCGGACAGCGTGTTCTATACGAAGGCGGAAGTGTCATCTCCTGGGTTTTCGCCGGGACAGCACGTTCTCAATCCGAATTCGTGGTCCTATGCGTACAATCTCTTGTTCCGGAAGAACACGCTCATGAATGATCACTTGACAAAGTGCGTACATTCCCGCTCGCAGTCAAGACCCATAGTATGCAAACTCACATTTATTTCTTAGTCTCTCTACCGAGCTTCCCACTATGATTGAGGCTTCATCCTACACCATCGTCGAGAAGACCTCTGTCATGTTGCCAATGGGGATACTTTGCCGAACGGAGCCCGGCGCCTGCGGTCAAGAAGTGTCCAGCGAAGAGGAATTTACGAAGGATATTGTCTTCTTCATATCCGAGTTAATAACGGGTATAGCATTGAAGAATGGTTATTTGGAGGATAATGATGGGAAGAAGATCAACACCGAGGAAGGGAGGCAGAAGATGTTGACGGCGCTACGTGAGAACTTCATCCGAGAAGGTGCCTTCTTCTCTTGCACAGAATTAGTAGTCCAACCGAGTAGCTAGGTCATCTTGGAATAATCTGTAAACGCCAATATACTGTCCAATATCATGCTTTAGTTCCCAAATCCTCGCCCATCACTCTCTAGAGTGCTAATTTTGAAGGCTTATGCGCACGACAAACTGCGAATGAGTAAACGATGACTCGAGTCTACGATTCACTTGCAGAGAGTTATGCCCTTCAGGTAAGTAATAGAACCGAGAAAAGTCATCCAGGTGCATCCGAGAGGGTAGAACGCGCGGAAAGAGTACCGAGCGCTTGCAGCAGGCGCGTTCTATAAATAGTTGGTAAGCGCTAAAGATAGGTGACGAGAGGCAGAACGCCCATGATGTATGGTTGTTGCCGTTCTATCACCACGAGGTATTGGATGCACCGCGGCGTGGTATAAATATTGATGTGCCTTGCCCTTGGAGCAGGAGCGAAGACTATATGTCGTGGTCCCGTCATCTCTACTTTAGAGGTCCAGTGAGAGTACATTCGAAGGCTAAAGAGGGACGCAATGGCTGGTTTCGATTTATCACAGCTAGACTTCGCAAACGAAATAAAATCGCGTATCACAACAATGAAATGAGTTCTCAGAGGAAATAATTCCAGATACTTGCAGTAGACAAACCAGGATATCTCATGGCGTGCCGCTTAGAGAAGAAGGACCGAGTGCACACAGACCAGCCAGATCTGACTCGGAGATACCTCATTAATAGCTGACCATGCACAACAAAAAGGGTCACACACATTGTACCAGAGATATGTTTGCTTGTCGTTCTCCACCGACCGGAGGTAGAAGTTCCTGTACGCGGGGTATAGGCCGAATACTGTCAGAAATCTCTGTGCCGAATGTCCTCGAAGGGGAAGCCAAAAGGACCAGCCGACGATGAAGAGTGAGATGCTACCTCTCGTAAGTTTTGGACCCAAGGATTTAAGCATGGTGACACGACCAACATTGGAGTCGCCTTCCTCGTCTTGTAGATCTTGAATGTGAATTGTCATTAGAATTATCGTCGCCGAAGTCGCGATGGCATGGACAACTCGGGCATGTAATGACCCTCCGCCTATTCAATTCTCACGTTCAAAATCGTCCTAGACATGAATGGAGTGCCCCATACCGATGACCAAGCTTGCTCCGGTCTCCAGAGTTGCATAACCCAACGAATTAATGACGATCTTCATGTACCAAAGAGAGTTGAGTTCTAGGTGGTCGTATAGGTAGGCGAGGACCCCAAAGACGACGCTGGTGAGCCCGAGTACTTCTCCGCCTAGCGCCCACGAGAAAAGGGCGCAAGCTGGATATAGCAAGCTCGCAATGAGGCTGGCTCTTGCCAGGCTGATTCTCCTGGAGGGCAAAGGCCTCCAAGGCTTATTGATGCGGTCTTCCTCTACGGCCATTGACTGATTGTCGATGTCAATAAGTAGGAGGTGCATGAAAACCCAGAAAAAGCATGAGACGAGCCTCATGGGTTGAGTTGAAGGATTTGAGGCGACGGCAAATAATGTCTGTTGCAGAATTTGAAGGGTTTACGATGTTAAAGACGAAGTTGTTAACGCACCACGGGACACAGAATCGTCTTAATATCTGAGCGAATAAAGAGATAGACTGTCGTAAGGTGAAACCGTATGCGTGGCATGTTCTGAGATGGGGACATCGCGTTCATGTGCGAAAGTCTTATATCCCGCTTTCATCTACAGAGGGTCGAGTGTTTTATGCTATTTAAATTGGCATTATTGACCTCCTACCTTTGTTTTCCGAACTGCTACATTCTAGCCATCCTGAAGATAGGACATTCAATCATCACGGACTGATTGAGACGGCGAGCACACTTTATGGGAATATCCAGCACAAGAAGCCCATCCCGAGATTGCGTGATGGTGATTCTTCTGCTGGTCCCTCGGGATGCTAATATATCACTTTGCAAAGGTTTGAATGGTGACAACGTTGCTCAGCGGCTACTCCATTTCACGGTCCTAACCATGGCCAGGTTATCAGGAATTGACTTTTCTATGCGCACATGTTGCCTGTGGCTATGCAGACACCCAGCCCGGACTCCGAGTTCGAGACTGACGTCACATTCTCATCACGACCATGATCAACTACCCATCAAAAAGTGGATAAGACTCCTCCAACCTTCAACGTTTCAACGACCACTTACTTATCTATCTTCCATCTCTGAGTAGTTTCTCGACATTTATTCCTCAGCTTTGCATCATTGGAAGGGGAGTGTGAAGTCGATAGCTACAGAACAAGGTGAGCCTGATCAATTGTCTAACCCTTCTTGACAATGGACTACCTCGCTCCCCAAGATCTCAGTAGCTCGACGTTCAAGCTATTGCACACCGATGGCAGCCTGGGCATACCATGAGTGTGGGGATTGGAACTTCAGCAGAGTCTTATGTCTCCGTTTCGTACACAACAAAAAGAAGATGGCCGGGTGTCCATCGCGGTCTCGCGATACCTTTTCGTCGACTCGTTCATGAAACTGTAAGATCAGATCGTACAAACCCCGTTGAAGGGCTCGTTTCGCCTGGAAAGCCCACGGTTGCGGGAGTCCTTTGGTATGTTGTACGTTTTCGAGATTACAAAAGGGACGCGCCGAAACCAACGTCTTCACAAGAAATATTTCGGAATGTATGAACGCCATCGTCTGCGCCAACCCGATTGCATTCGAGGGTAAATCGCCCCAGCACAGCCCTTGCTCTCTTGAAGTATGGCCGCTCTGAACCTGCCCCTCTCAGACTGCCTTTCAACCAATCTATGGCCACCGCAAAGGAAGAAGCTTGTGCCCGCCACGAGAGACCCCACCACCGAAGAACTCCGCTATCATTCTCCGCTGCTCAGGTATGTCGTCTACCTAAACGCCGACGGTGTTGCTGGTGCTTGCCTCGTTCGCAGGATCTACGTCTGCGAGATGCAAAACCATCTGCAAGCGCTCCTGATCTACTCACACGCCCTATGGCTTCATTTCTCGGATAGGTCTATCCCATCATGCCTACGTCCAACACCCAGCGTTTCCCTCCTATCGCGAACGCGACTCACGCGGAAAGGTGATGGGGTGTCATTCGGTTCCGATTTTGTGAGGCATGCGCTGCTCTGTCTCGTCAAGCCGCTTAGCTGGAATTTTCAACTACGGAATGCGAGCGTGCTTGACTTACTGCCCGCAGGCGTTGGGCTTGATAGTCTCGTTCCTGCATCCTTAAGTATCTCAGTCGGAACCTCCGCTGTCAGATCGGCGATCGCCGGCCCGCCTGATGCTCTTCCCATGCGTGCCTCCGTGTGTCGTCGTCGTCGAGGGCGTCTAGTATGCAAACCAAGGTAGATAGAAACACGAGAACAATTCTGTGCGGCTCACAAGATGCTTATCCAGCTTTGAGAACCGTTTATCTGCTATCATGTTTGCCCGTGCACTTTTAGGGGTCCAATTTTCTTGTATTCAACATATTCTAATTTCTAGCGCGACTAATCTAGTGGTAAGACATCTCGAAGGTAATCGGGTCTGAGTGTCAGTGCGTCCGTAATCGCGAATCATACAGTTTCAGTATTTGTTGTTATCTCCTGGCGAGGATCCACCCACCCTAGGCTCCTCGTCCAGCTAACGCCTCCCGCGAGAATAGACCATTCGGATGGCATGACTTGGGCTACGGCTGCCTTTGCTGTTCCTAGTCGAATTTTTTCAAGGCCCATAATTGGAGATGTTAACGAGCCCATGCGAGGATCGCGAAGGAGGTCTGTACTGCCGTCAACTTGTGTTGTCGGTGGGGCGCACAAGCTCCTTAGACGCCGGAACGGAAGATGCCGAGCGCTCGTGCTGAGTTTGAAATCGATCATGATCGACGGTCCGAGGTTGGGCGCCTATGTCCTCCGAGGCCTCGAGCGTGGGAGCTCGCAGGCCGAAAACAAGAGGATTACGTGAAAACTCTTCTAGAATCCTTATTTGGGAAGGCGACGTGTCGGAGACACAGAATCATCAATCAGATATGCTCCCATCTGCCAAAGAAACTTGGATATGTGAGCCAGTGCTTATCTAGAATACGGCGAAGACATCGAACGTCGAGTTAAAACCAATAACTCTCTGGGTTCTTCTAGATGTCGACGAGCGCCAGGGTGGTGGGAGCGCCTGTGGAATTTGTGGCGCTCAGCGCTACTCCACAAAAAAGACATCATATGTGCATACCTGTGCCGTATATTGCTCCATCACATGTCGATGCCGCGAGTAGCAAGACTTTGAACTTCTATCATATCACGAATATTCATTCTGCCGACAGCCTCATCATCATGATTAGGAGGAGCGACGGTCCTGAAACAACGTCCAGCATGGAATGTTCAGCCTTATTAGGTACGTCGATCCTCTCCGCCGTTCGTCGAAATTGGTAGGCTGATTCCGTTGGTCCGCGCAGGCAAGACGCACCATGGCCAACCCAAAGAGAAGAAGACGAAGACGAAGTCTCGTAACTCGTAACTCACGGAATGTTCAACGCTTCGTCCACCTTCCGTAACGCCGTCCTGGAATGCTGGGTGCGTCACGCCTAAGCCGATTCCAGTACGTCGATTCCGATTCTCTTTCTCGCTCGTGCTGATGAATTCCTCGAAGACAGGACATCTGATCATTATGGCCTCGCGATCCGTAGCTACCCGGGCCGCTGCTGCTGCTGCACCTTTGTTCTGCAGAATACATGTACATCGCTCAAGTACGTACGTGCGATCCCATGCCCTGCGCAGCTGGTGCGGGAGATTGGACCAAAGTGGGCGAGACGCGACTTACGCCGAGTGGAGGGGTGGATGCGAGGGTTCTGCTTTCGAGGGTGGTGACTTGCTTCGGATATGGAGGTTCCGGTACCTTCGGCCACGGTACCTCGAAAGTAGAGTGAGTATCTTGGCTTTATAATACTCCCATTGAGACTTAGTACTTATTGGTGAACGTCGGACTGAAGGCGCGGTAGCAGTGTATTCCTTCCATAGCTTCATACGAGCCAAGCTGTCAAAACATTTGCGTGTCGTAGAGGGGGACTGATCCTGATCAGATGAAAGTACGAATTAATTAATTGGATCCAGGTGATTCGTCGTACCGCGTGGTTCGTATTTCTCGAAAGGCTGGAGAATACTGATGCTGATTTTTTGCTTTGGATTTATAGGGTGGCTATGGGGCGTCAGGCAGCCACGTTGGATGGCATGAAGACGCGCCAAGGCACCTGATCGGCCGTCTTTTGTGTACGGCCCCCTCCAAGTCGATGAGATTCTGGGACTCTGAGCAACCCGTCGGTGGCTGTTAACGGTCCTTCCTGTCTGTAACGAAGCTAGATCTCGAGAGATGACAAACAATGAACCGAGTTCATCAGCTGTCGCTGTGTACGAACAACCAACTTCTCTCGATCTAGAGCGGGAAGCTGGGGTTGGTCGTTCATGAAGAAGTCGAGGTCGTGCGGTATAAATTTATATAACCCGGAATATTATGCTCGTCAGTCCAACTCAAGTTCTTGGATCGAACCTTCGTTTCATTCGCAAACGTGCTTTGCTGGCCTCAGTACTGTGTGACTCGAACCCTTCTCCGGACTCGGTGGCGCTCACTCCGCACTGTTTTCCTGACTTTCGGAGTTTCGGTGGTGGAAATCGCGCGCGTAGTTGACCGAGGCAGCGGGCGGTGTAGACGTGATGGCCGAGCGGGGAGCACTGAGCTATTGGGCTTGCCAGGACGATCTTACGACCCTCGAGCTCCCGAAGACGGCCACCTGGTAACATGCCAGTGGACGGCTTTCTTGGCCTCTCCCGGGCCTCCTGAAGACCCGATATGATTGAATATACTCGACGACTCGGACTCGCGGGTTGTGGTGCGCGGTCAAGACTTTTACATCAACGTTCAACGGGCACACTAAAGGACCATCGCTTTATCTATGGTGCACTTGAGGCATTTTAGATGCTGTAGAAAAGCATACTAGGATGAAGAGGAAACATCAAAGACCATGTGGAATCTCCGATAAGTACCTAGGTACTACTTGCTATACGAGACTTTCTGAGTTGTACTTATAGAGAAGGACGGCAAGACGAGGATGACGGCAACACAGATGAAGCTGAAGGTCGATGCAGTGGCAGTCAGGCAGGAAAACACCTTTTCGAAGAAGGCGTGCCGCAACGTAAGTATGTTACGCTTGACTTGCGTGTATCTGCGACGCAGGTGTCTGGGGGCCGAAAATATAGCCTTTGCCTAGGCTGTTCTTCGCTGAGCTAGCGTCCATTGCCGGCCTAGTGGTTTGGTGAGCACGACGAGGAGAATTCAGGCCAAGCAGGCTGGCAGCGAGACGATGGAGGATCTCCAAGAGCAGGTCCTCTTGCAACCCTTGGTGCTTGTCTATGAGGAGGACGGCGAGGATGACAGAGAATAGCGAAGCCTATGTATTCGTCATGGTAGAATCAGTGTCCTTCGTGCAGCAAGAGATGGCACTCACGAAAACTAGGAGTGCGTCGAGATATGGCGATTGGGCGTGGAATGTGGTGTGGTTGCGGAGTATGACGTCCAGCAGAGCTTCACGTCCTTGTCCGGATCCGGAATGCCTTGCGGCCCGAGTCGGAATAACCTCCCAGTCCCTTGTCGGCCAATCTAACAACCGATCCAGTGCTGGCCAGTCACTCGCCGTCTCCAGGTCTTATTGTGCCGCCTTCTCCAGATTCGCCTGCAGCGTCGCCTCCTCCTCGCTCAGGTGCTTCAGCCGCTGCTTCAGTTCCCGGTACTTGTGCCTCGGCTCCTTCAACCGAGCCTGTTTGCACAGCACCTGTTCCAGCACCCTCTTCGAACTGTGCTGCCGATCTGGTTCTGCCTGCGTTAACTCCTGCTCCAGATGCTCCTTCACGCTCCTCAGGTGCGTCTGCAGCGGCTCCAGCGTCTGCTCCCGCTCTTGCTCGCGCTCCCGCCCCTCCTGCTTCCGCCGCTCTCGATCTCGCCTACACTTAGCTTCAACTCCCACTCTGGCCTATACTCCCGCTCCCACTCCAGCTCTCGCTCCCGCCTCCGCTCCTGCTCCCACTCCGGCACCCACCTTTGCCAAAATACACGCACGGACGTGCCTCTGCTCTCCCTCTCCCACTCCCACTCCCACTCCCGCTCTTTCTCCCGCTCCCGCTCCCATTCCCGCTCCCACTCCTCCTCCCGTTCCCGTTCTTGTTCCAGCTCCAGCTTCAGCTCAAACACCAGGTCCAGTCCCCGCTCCCGCTCTGGTGTCAGCTGCACCCCCTCCCATTCAGGCTCCGCCTGCGGATCATTAAGCTCATTGACCACATAGTCCACCGCCGCCGCCGCCGCCGCTACCATCTGCTCCCCCATCTCCTGCCGCGCCCTCCACACCCTCAGCTGCCTGTCCACGACCAATGGCTGCGGCGCGCCATCTTCAGAACCTGTCCCACGATCTCCCGCATCTCGGCGTCTTTCCATTCCTCTACCCATTGACATAGCGGAAGAACGTGTAAGAGGGGAGCTGGAGCTGGAGGTTGTTGTAAAGTCGGACTCGTATCTTGTTGGGCTTGGGCGTCAAAACCACCTGGCATTGCGACCATTCTGATCGTACTTGCGATGAAAGTAGATTCATCAGCGCTGACTGGTGGGTGACCCCTGGAATAACAGTTCGGTGCTCACGTTTTTCTGGGGTAGGGAGAAGAGTGTAGAGCGAGCGAGCGAGTGTGTGCAGGCTCGAACAGACAGACACAGCGAGAGTTTCCCGGGAGAGGGAGCTCAGCGCAGAGCGCTGACCCATAATTATAGCCATTGGTCAATCGCGGCCATCGATTATCGATAATGTCATGAGAGGGTCCCATTTAAAGTTATGGGCCGCAGCTTGATCGTAGTTTATATAACGAACGCGATCCTTCTTGTAGTACCCTGCCCACTTCTTTAGGTCAGTCGTATACTCGAGCCGTAGCCGCTTCAAGGCTTCGCTTCAAGGGAGGCTCGCCATATCGATACCATACTTCTTGCCGCCAAGACGTAGCCTGGGCTGCATGGCGGCAAGACAGGAGGGGCCGGGCCATCCAAGATGGCTAACTGCCAGCGTAAGATTCAGCAAGAAGGAGGACCATCCAGGAACAGCCGCAAGATTCAGCAAGAAGGAATCGGATGGTGGGTTGAACTTGAGGGAAAACGCACCTGAAGCTTGAAGGCCGATGTTGTCATTGTCATAAATGTCATAGAGGATGGTGAGGAGTTAGGAGTTAGGAAGGAAGGACGTGTTCCGGTTCTTAAGCGGCTTGCGGGACGATGATAGGCCCGGGGCACTCACCGATCGATGATCATCCGCTCATGCCAGTGGGACGTTTCGGACTGTGGGCCGTGGAATCGCGAATCGTTGTGTCCTTTTCGGAACACAGTTGACGTTGAATGGCCGCGTGCCATGGCCAGTATCGACTGGTGGAGGTGGACACGAAACTGGATAAACTGGATGTGGGTCCGAGTCTGGATCCTCTGCTGGAAGAATTTGAATGACGTTGGTTGTCCTCGAGCTGAAATATTTCAGGAGATTTTAAATTTATAGTGTGTGGCGTACAGGCGTACACCCTGATGTGTTGGGGAGGTCGGAGAGCTGAGTTGGTTGTCTGGAGGGGAAATGGGGGATGTGAAACGTGGAAGTCGAGGTGTAATGTGGAAGGTGAGGTGGAAGTGAGTGATTGTCAAAAGGTAATTGAGCCCATCTCATTCGATCAGACCCCGGAAAGTCGAGCTGTCCAGACGTTGTGCCAGGGATAGCGACTCGAATGCAATATTATGTGAAAACAAATTCTACATACTCTAGATCCTGAGTCTATTAGCAACGCGTATTAGTACAGAGGACCATTACAAGCAATGATTTTGAGCGCATTCGACGTTCATGAGATCCAAGAACCGGAAACCCGTTCTTCATCTAGCCTCTCGCACCACGCCACGGAACGCAGAGTCCATCTATGTCTTCGCGTGCATATAGACCACCCTGCCCAAAGTCATGCAATTCATGCAATGATTCGACTCGTACAAAGACCTCGGGGTGGGATTTTGCGGTTTTGATGTTCAAGTTGGCCGTGGAGTTCTGAATCGTAATCATTCATCTTAGTATCAACGAGCGTTCAAAGGGAATTTGTGCAAGAGAAGGCGTACCTGTCGAGTCTTACCTGAGAAGTTCATCTGTCCGCTCAGGCTGGCGGCGAAGTTCGCTTGACCCTGGGATGATGGCGTCGACGCGAGGCGGGACCCGGTGCTAATTGTGTATTTACCGCGCAACCCATGACGAGAGTTGAGACTGCTCAAGAGGGAGTTGGCGTACAGCTTTGAAAGGGGGAAATGGAGCAGGAGATGCATCCCCGATGGCTGGAGAAATGAAATATGGGCGGAGTTGGTTTTCGAGAAGAAGAAGAAGAAGAGAGTCGCGATAAACGTCGGCGTACGTACATCGAGGAGGTAGAACAGAAGATGGAGCGAGGCGACGATCATGGTCAGAAGACCGGTTTGTACGGTCACTAGATGTGATAGTAGTGAGGACGTTCAGCTGATAGCAGAGAGAGATATGTAGGTGGTAGGTGGTAGGTGGTCGTACACCGAATAATATGATCGACAACCATGTCGGATTGTCGAAAACCGGTCTTGCGCTTTCGCTAGAAGGACGAGTGAGCGTAGGGAGTGCCTAGGGTCTGCTTGGCACGCATCGTGGTGGGGGCTTACCCTGTAGGCAGGTTTAATGAATATCATGAATGAAAGGGAGGGAAAATGGATGAAGCGAGCTGAGGATGGGACTCACAGGTGCCAAACGAGAGCCGTGGTGATAACGACGTCTCCTAGCACCTCGGCGGCCTTATACACGATCACTATTGCTTTGAAGCTGCGAAATTCCGAGAAAAACTGCACATGGATGGTCGAGACGGCGGTCATAATCGAGGCGACTGAGAGAGTTGAAGGAACACGATGAGGAATAATTAATAAAAGCCTGAGCGCAAGGGGACTTGGATGTTCGACGCACCTCCGCCCGCGATGGCCAGCGCTCCAATTATTGCGACATAAATCCAGTTCTTGGTCAACCTCAAGATACGCCAGGCAAAGAACGATTGAACGGTAGAAGCGATCAACCCCTATAGAGTAGACGAGATGAATGAGCCGAAATGGTTGATGGTTGAAAGCAAAGGGAGAACGCGCACCGTTGTCCAAGCATCTGAAAATCGGATTCGAGCTCAATAGAGAGGATGCGGGGAAGACATTTATTGATTCACCTGTGGCAAGAACTAGGCGTCAATGTCATGAGCGTGTATTTGAGAGGAGAAAAAATTGAGCATACGCCAGTCGGCCTTGGTGAGAAACTCCGGTTCACCTAGAGTTCAAAGGAAATTTAAACTGAGCAGGAGAATAAGAGGCGCCGCCGGCGTTGGTTACTGTAGAAGGCTATGAGAGAGCGGTATAGAAACACGCATAGGCATATGGTATTCATGATATCGAGAATGAATATGAAAGCGACCTGGGAATTTGCTTATGAGTCAAGGAAAGAGTCCGCGTACGTAAAGTGTTCGCTTCACAGACCAACGCTTTGGTGAACGGTCGGTCCCTAGAAGATTTACAGACGAATGGTCAGCGTGTGCACGCAAGCGCCAATCCCTGGATTTATGTACTCTCTGTATTTCTTATAATACATGTACACTTGCGTGATGGTCACTCCGAGCAATAGGTCGTCAGGACAAACCCGATCAACATCCATCCATGGCTAGTACGCGTTTGAGGTTAATGCATGATTTGAGGAGAAGAACGCGACTTACGCGACCTCCGCTGGCCCTTCCATGCTAATAGGGCTTATGAACGCCATCCTGGAGTGAGCCTGACAGTCGGACACGGGGACCGACGAAGTGGTGGGTGGGGAAGAAAAGAGGTGGTCCTTTCGATGCTTGCGTTGTATATAGTCTCGGCAACGCGACACCGTACGCGGTACGTAGAGCCGGCGAGTGCTCGTGGTATCCATGGGCGTAGTGCTCGGAAGAAGCCAGCCGGGCATCTAGTGCGATATATTTTTTTTCAGGGTTTTTCGCGCGCCGAAGGGCGATCTGGGCGTGGCGGTGTCGATTTGGGACCATGGCTTTCCATATTTGGGGCGATGTTCTGGTGGCGCACGTTCTGGAAGGTCGGTGAATTGCACTTCGCCTCTGACTGGCGTATTATTTGAATGGAGGTCCATTTCCTTCATTCGAGGCGTATCGGTGGCCCACATGTAGAGAGACACCATCAGAACGACGAGGAGAACACTGGCCGAAAATGCAAGTCTGCTTAATACACGTGACTGGATGAGAAATCTGTCGATATTCCCTTGTGAAAGTTTTTCAACCTAGAGTTCTTCCGGAGTCTGGTCCTCGTGTTTCTGTTCGGCGAGAGTCTGAGACCTTTTCTCCACTAGCCCAAAAGAGAGGAAATTCGACAAGAGAAGACGACGTCGAGGGTCCGAGGCAACAGGGCTGTATATCTATCCTCTCTGAATTTGTACTCTGATGCCTCTGGGCGCGAAACGATCATATTGAGGAGATCCGTAACGTCCAGAGGTGGTCAGTGCCGCAATCACTGAGTCCTCGCTGCAAGATTTGCTGAAAAGGAGGCTGGTATACTTTCTAGACGCGTCCGAGGAACAGAGACATAATTCTATAGGTGCAAATTAACAAGCATACTATGCAGACAATAAGAAAGAGAATACGTGATTCCCGCGAGACATTGCGCCTCCGAGACTTCATCGTCCGCCCAACAGCGCGCCAAAGACCACGACAACCAGCGACCCAACAACGAAAGAGAGGAACACGATCGTGTATCGAGACACAGGGAATTTCTGATCTGGTAGCGTGCACTGAACAAGGAAATATCTGTAGACCGCTGACCGGAAGTAGGGGACCCGTCAATCGTCACGAGAGAGGAAGGTGAATATTGTGCTCACCTATCATTAGCATGACGAGAGCTAGCATAACTGTCGTGACGCCTAGCGGCCGCGCGAAGCGCTGGATGCTCCTACTGGCAGCATTCAACTGTACCGCGATCTCGGGAGATGCGAGGTCGTTGATGGTGAAGAGTTGAACGAGGGCGACGCCGGTAGAGGCAAGTGCCAGATTCGTATGAATGTAGGCGAGGAAAGTTCGCTCAGATGCCAGGTGGTCTCGCGCTACGCTCCCAGAGTTCTCCAGGACGATTGTCGGACTGAAGGAGAGATATTGTTCGACGAGAGGCGGAAGCGAAAATGTCTGATATAACAGCGCGAAATTGCATGAGTGTCGCTCACAACGAGTTGAAATAGAAAGAGCGCATACCTTGGGCCGATTCTGCGTAGGGAGTTCAGTGGCAGTGGATTCCTTCTCCATGAAATCCTCCGTTCCTCTATGGTACTCCGCTAGTGATGACGGAGAACCACAGACGATGGTTGGCGTTTCCAGCACAGTATTTGAGGTGTTCATATCGCTTCGTATACGGATCGCTGAAGCTGTTGGAGAACGATTGCAACCTCAGTTCTGAGCCTTCGTCGAACGTCCTGGGAGCTGGAACCTCAAGGCGCCGAGAAAATGGAAGGTGCGTGGTGAGAAAGCTGTTCCTGCAGAGGCAACGCCATGGAAGTATTGGTTTGGAATCTGGAGGCTATTTCTGCTCGTGTGCCGGGCACCCTTGAACGAGGTCAGAGTTAGGGGCGAAGAGTGGTGTGATGACGTCCAGTGGCCGAATCCGTATGTTCGCTCTTTTTCCCACCACTTTTCTGTCGCCCACCCTGCTTATCTCAACGTCAATGATTCTGGATTTCCTCATATACTGGCCAATACCTGCAATACACCTCGTTTCGAAGCGTCTCGGACAGCCGTCGATACCTCGTGTGCTCTCGGAGCTGCCATCCTCAGTTCCAAGACGCCGGATTCCTCGATAGAGACGCACCGCCGGGCTCGTGTGACCAGTATTTCTCGAAAGCTCCGCGATGAGAAAACCCTTCGAAGTGTTCTCAAACCTTGTTCCGGACGCTCTAAGGCCCGGTGGAATCCTGATAGAATAGGGGCCCATTATCTGCCGTCTCGTCAAGGCTAATAAGCATCCTGAAGAAAGCTCCTTTTCCTCGTGTACACGAGTGGTTCTGCAAGACCGCACCACGGCCCCACAAAGGAAACTCTCGTACTCCCTGCCAGCTACAGCTCCTCCTTTTGGAGCCGCAATCCAACACGCTGCACCAGTTCCATGCCGTGAGCTGTACAACACTCATAACGATGCAACTGCCTTCTTGTGTCGGAAAGAGTAGGTCCCGTGAGTTGAGCATTATGTGGAACGAGGGCGTTTTGAGCATCTCTTCACCAACTAGAGCGAAGGCCCGTCTGGATCCCGTATCGTCATTGTTTTTTTTAAAAAGTGAATGACGTTCAAAAGTGGCACTTTCTACTCGATTGGGATGACGGCGCCCACACAATTCGTCCTAGACTCTCAACAGTCTCCGGACATTCACATTCGAAATGTTTCTCTGCCATTTCTAAACTCTGGTCAGGTATGTGCCTTCGGGCTCTCTCCTGTATTGCCAGTGGCTTCCGGATCTATTCGCTATGGTAGTTTGCCGAAAGGGGAACCTGTTTCTACGGACCCTTTACATCGGTGTAAGAAGTAAGAAGTAAGAATATTGTGAAGCCCCATAACATAGAGTTAAGTATTAATATTGCCGCCCATTGAAATAGGATCGCGGTCAGCTCTCATTTGCCCTGTTAAGTGAATACAATGAGGGCAAGTTCGAGTAGATTCCTCAAAGATCTTTGAGGGCAGACCAAGTCTGGAAGCCAAAGTAACCTGGTACGTTCTCCCAAGCATTGATACGAAGCTCCTCATACTTGTCCGTTAATTTGGGCCCACAAGAAGTGCACAAGCTGTTCACGACATCATCTTCCACCACATCTTGCCACTGAAAAGAGCCAACTCGGCCTTTGACGCCGGCATGGGCGCCGAAAACCTCCGATAAGAACATCCTGAAGCTTTCAGCGCATTCTCTAATATCGTGGCAGTGGTCTATAAAGTCTGCGTATGCAGCCACCAGTTGGTCGACGTATCCTGGGATCACGTCGCATAGGCCATAGCGCCCAATGAGGCACATCTCTAGTGCTCCTGGGAGGAGTGAGATCGTCTTTTCGTCAGAGATCTTGGAACCTGAGATAATCGTGGCCTGAACAACGTGTTGAACATGTCGTCGGATAGTAGAATGAACAAGAGACGCACCAGCGGATAGCGTAAACAGAGCCAGGTCATTGCAGTCGGAAGAATAGACTGGATAGAGTTCTCATAAGCGAAGTTCACGAGCTCGAAGAGAAGGCTAGGAGAGTCCTCGAGGAAGGTAAAGACATATTTATCTTTTTCGTTCCACTGGTTTAATTCCTGAGGGAATTCCTTTTGCAGTCGCCGGAGAGCCTCTTCCTGAAAGGCTGTGAAGTTGTATTTCCGTCCTAGGCGAATCATGGCCCTGACAGCGGGGAATGGTAGAGGCTTGGTATGATCATACACACTACAGATTTCCGCGTGATAATCAGCAAAATATCTCTTAAAACGTAGGATAACACGCACGAGTAGTTCCCGTACACATCTTGGATCTCGTTTGCAGTGTCAGAAAGATGAACGAGAGGGCAGCCATCCACGGTCGGTTCTCCTTCTGGCTGCGGTAGTCCGAAGCAATCCGCGAGAATATCGGAATGTAGGGAGAGTATGGATCTGTACACGCGGAACCGTGTCGCTTCCGCTTGGATAACAACATTGCCGTCATCGAACCACAAGCTGGGGCTACGCGTAGTGACTGGTTCGCTAGTGCCGCCTAAATCGTCGGCATCGTCAACTCGCTGGCGCTTGTTTGGAGGGGAGGAATGTTGGGACATGTTGAAGGTAGAGACAGAAACGTCGTCGCGCGGCGTCACGTCAACGTGATCTAGCATCACACGTCACAAGAGCCTAGCGTTGGCAAAAACTATTTCGAAACGGGCCGAGTAGGACAAAGACAAAACTAAATTAGATAGGAAAAGGAGAGTACATTTAATCCAAGCGATGCTCATAGGTCAGAAGTCGATTAGCTGATCCCAGGACGGAAAACCGAAGAACGATGGAACCTGGGACCAGCTTTCCTCGCGGAACCGCTTGTACGAATCTCGTAGCGCTGACCCACAAGACGGGCACATGTAGTCCTTGAGCACATCAGGATCAGCCAGGTCGGACCACTGATTCTGATGAATCTTGGCTTTAGGATCTGGCTGCCCGGTGCAGGATATGTCGTCCAACAGCTGGTTGAAGGCTGGGAAGCACGTTTGATTGACCTTCCTTCGTAGACAGTGTTCGACGATGCCGGCGTTTGCGGCGATGAGGCGTGTGATGTAGGTGGGGACGACCATGCAGAGTGAATAACGCCCGGCGAGGCAAAGCGAGAGTGCCTCGTTGGACAGGCGTGTCCTTGACGTGTTTGTGTGCTCAATGCCGTTCGTGATTTCTGACTGCAAGCCACTTCCATGAGCTCGACAGAACGCCAATAAGCTGGTTGGTACGTACCAGGGTATATTTGGTGCACATCAGGGTAAGCGCAGGGGGAAGTATCGACTGTATCGAATGTTGAACAGCGAAATTGACAATGTCGAAGAGGAGAGTGTCGGTCTCTTCGAAAAAGGAAGGAAACGTATGGCTTTCCCATTTGTCTTGGGCTGATGAGAACTCCTTCTGCAGGCGCCGGAGACCCTCTTTCTGGAGTTTTGTAAAGTTATATTTTCCGCCGAGGCGGATCATGGCCTGCGTAGCGGCAAAGGGGATGCAATGTTCATAGTCGTAGATACTGGAGGATAAATTTCAGTTAGCAGAACGAAAACTGATACTGGACGAAGACGTGCCTTGACTCCCCATACAAGGTCGAAATCACGTACTCAACGTCCCGTGCCACATCAGGCAAGTAGAGGAGAGGGCAACCCTCCATGGTGGGCTCTCCCTCTGGTTGCGGCATCTCGAAGCAATCTGCGAGAATGTCCGAGTGTTGCGACAGTACCGAGCGGTGGACGCGGAATTGGGTGTTCTCAACTTGTACCACAACGTTGCCATCCGCGAACCAAAGCGTCGAGCATCGTTTAGGCTCTCCTGATATGCCTTTCTGTGGGCTGCCGTCGTGCAGCCTGCGGCGCTTCGCGGCTGGAGACTCGATAGCATGGGACATAGTGGTGGACTGGTGGTGAACCGGTGACGGTTCGTGTTTAACAAGCTCTGCAGGGTCAATGGTCATTTCTGTCACAATAGGTCGCGTGACATAGGGGCTACCAACCACAATAAGGCAAGAGACGTGCCGTCTACTTGCGTTTAAGTCTCGTAAATGGGTAGAGGGGTGGAAACGAAATAATTACTTCCCATTGTTATCCCATTGTTAAAAATCCACTAGCTTGTATATAGTTTTCGAAGGCAAAATTGGCGACGTCGAACAAAACGGTGGCATCCTCTTGCAGATCCTCGAAGAAATCAAACTCCAATCTGCCTTTTGCCATGCTATTCCATTCTGATAAAACTTGCGTGAACTCGTCGTGGAGGCGCTGTAGTGCTTGCTCGATGAATGCTGGGCATCCGTACTTTCGCCCAAGGCGAATCATCGCGGCCGCAACAGGAAAGGGGATCGTTCGATTCAGATCATGAAAACTAGATCCAGAGTCAAACGGCGAGAGAAGACGAGAGATATCCATGCCGAAGTACGTACGCATATGCTCCGTACATGGCAGAGAAGAGATACTCCACCTCGAGGGCAGAATCCGACAGGTGCACAATCGGACAACCGTCAATTGTTGGCTCACCGGTCGGCTGCGGTACTTGGAAGCAATTCGCGAGGATATCGGAGTGGCGGTCGACAAGACAGAGCGGTGAACGCGAAATTGTGTCAATTCGACCTGAATAATGACGTTTCCATCATCGAACCATAGATCGGGATGACGCGTTGCTGTTGGCGTGTTTAGAGAGCCTGTTGCATGGTCTTCGGCTTCGAGACGCGACCGTTTTCTGGAAGGTGACACCTCATCAAGTTTCTCATCCCGAAAGTTGGCGGATGACAGCAGATATGGAGTTCAAAGTGCTGGTAGAGAAGACGAAAAATGGCAGAATCAAATTGAACACGAGGAGTCACGCCAACGTGATTAGTGACATCCCCTAACTCGACATAGCACGAAGCATTTATCGATCCAGCTTTCTCAGTTCATCCCAAGGCAGAAATCCAAAAATTTGCGGCATCTTTTCCCACATATGTTGTCTCCCAGCCTCGTGAATTCGTTTTGCCTCCTCGCGACAGGCCGAGCAAAGCCCCCGTGGATCCAGTTGGGACCATTTCTCCAAACTCCGGCATGGCTCGGGAACCGGCTTCCACAATATCGAAACGAGCTGTGTGCAAGTCGTGGCGCAGGAGTGCTGCTGGTTGCAGTTGTCGCTAACCTCCGAGTCGACATCGAGCCATCCGAGTGTGGCCTGCGCTTGCTGGACCAGAATTTCTTCTCGCCCAAGGATACATGCTTTTTGAACGGATGGTGGAAGAGTCGCAAGCGTCCCGTCATTTCGCTTTTGACCGGAGAAAATCTCATTCTGCCCAGCCCTTAGTGGTGACGATAGTTTCAACAGTGTATTGGCAGGGCTTACGATGTCCTGGATGCACAGATAATAGGCAGCAGGCAGAATCGAAAAAAGTCCTTCCTCGAGCGCTAGATTGATGATATCGTACAGGATGCCGCCTTGAGTCACCATATGTGTGTAATCTGAAGGCAGGACCTGCCATTCCTTCAGAGTAGAGGGAAATTCCGAGCGCAAGCGAAATAGGGCGTCCTCTCGCAGCTGGATGAATTCGTACTTGTTCCCGAGACGAAGCATAGCAGCCACCGCAGGAAACGGGATCGCAACCCTCGAGATATAGGTCCTGAAAAAAAAAATACCGTTCAAAGACCCGGATATGGGTAAACATATTGCAGAAAACTCACTGGTCATACAGAGCAGAGAGGACATATTTCATGTCTTGGGCGGAATCAGATAGATGAACCACTGGGCATCCTTCCACTGTTAAGTCGCTAGATGGCTGAGAAACCGAGAACATGTCTTTGAAGATATTCGAATGCCGAGTAAGCATTGTTCGATGCACGCGAAACTGGGTGAATTCGGCCTGGAGAACGATACTCCCATCATCCATCCAGATATCTGATCGCGCGATAGGCGCCGGGGGGTTGTTCTGGGACGATTCATCCCCTTGAGAGAGCGTACGCTTCCGTTTCAGTGTGGTGGATTCGTGATTGGGCATGAGCGATGGTGGTTGAATACAAAGAAAACGGTAACTAGTCCTTCACGGACTCACCAATCTGAATGATCACGTATTATATAATACAAGTCCTATCAAGTAACGCACCCAGTATGCATGTATATCCCGTATTTTTGAATAGAGACCTAGAAGGGCAATGATTCCATTTACATAACTCGGGGTCTACAAGCAGGGAAGGTGGGAGGCAATCGAACCGAGGTTTCACAATATCTCTGCCGTGGCCATCATCACGCCCTCCCATTCTCCCAGACCGAAGAACGACGGCAGTCGATCCCATATATGCGCACTACCCACATGGTATAGGGTCGTGGAAGCTTCCATACATTTCCTGCACAAAGAACGAGGTTGCTGAGGTGTAACAACGAGTGGACAACAGACAAAAAGGGTCAGTGCATTGACGGGCTCGTTGGCAAAAGATACCCAGATAAGTTTGAGGATCGACTGGAACGCCTCCGCGCGCGCATCTTTTGATTCACAGCTTTGAGATTGATAGCCATCTCTGCTAACGAGTATCCACTGTGTGTGGTCAGCCCTTCGCATCCAACGAGACATTTGTTCATGGCCTCGGGTGGGAGACGTCGGACTGCTCCACGTCCGCCGGCAAGGGTAACTCCAGATAGAATCTCCTTCTGCGCAAGCAGGTGAGTGATATAAATAGCGTGAAAAGAAAGCAAAAGAAAGGCTTGCCATTGTATGTGTTAGACATATCATTAGATAAAGCGCTGGCATGACCGATAAAATTGGATCTCGAGCAGCTGCCCTTTCGAAGGTTGAATTTTGGCGAAGCGAAGTGGGTAATTTCGTCCCCACAGATAGAATCTTGAAGGAAAGTCGAACTGGAGTCGGTCCATCGCCTCGCGGACACACCAGAGGATTTAGTACTTCTTGCCCAGGCGATACATCGCGGCAACGAGGGAGAAAGGAAGAGGGGAGGGGAATTCATAATTGCTAATTTCAATAGTGTTTCAAAGTTATCCAGCTTGGAGCCAGGGCAGCCTTACGCACCGAAAGCTGCGGTAGAGGAGGCCAAGGATGTGATCGAGGTCAATCACTCGGTTGTGGTGAAAGGCAACAAGGCAGTCCTCAATGAGCGGCCGATCCTCAGGCTGGGAAGCCGTGAATGTGTCCTTGAAGATGGCAGAGCAGATGGCAAGAACGCAGCTGGTACTTCCTCCCCAACAACATAGTCCCAAGAACTTCTTCTCCAGTAAGCCGTACACTCTGAAATTCGTCAGAACTGTCATTTCGTAGATAGAGAAGGTAAGCATTCACTTCATGATGCTGTATAGCAATGCCAGCAAGTTCCTGATATTCTCAGCGGTGTCTTGCAGAATCACAACCGCGCACCCTGCGACCAAAGATGCACTCGATTCTTCTGGTGGCGGTAGAGAGAAAATGGCAGCGAATATCTTGGATTGGGTAGACAAGACCGACTTGTGAACGCGGAACTGAACGTTTCGGTCTGCAATACAATGTTCGCGTCTTCAAACCAGAACTTGGAGGAGCGCCTGGGTGTCGAATCCTGCCCTCCCGCATCCTCGAGGTCGCTTTCAGTTGCCAACGTCCGTTTACGTTTCTTGGTTTCAGGAGGGGGCATAGTTTCTCAGAGAGCTAAGAGCTGGTGGGGAGGGGGGGGTCGTTGAAGGCGACAAGAGGCGACAAGTATTCAGCGTTGCCTGTCACCGCGAAGCGACTTGAGGGCCGGTCACTACGCGTCCTCATGCCCGTGCTTCAGGCAACATACTACCAGAAAAATGTGCATCGCCTTTACAGCATGACAAGGCAAGAGCCCAAGGACAATCAGAAAAAACAAATAGATCGTTGTGCTTTTTGAAGACAAGTTGTAGTATACAGTACTTGCATTGAAAGGTTTGTCATTCGCCAGTGTTATCCTCCTCATTCTCATCGTCCGAGCATTCCAAGTCCCAAGGAACGTCTGGTTTGTCAATCCCAAACAGGACAGGAAGCATTTCCCAGACTTTTTGTCTTCCTCTGTTATACTGTCCTTTCACGTACGACGCGCACTTGGTGCAGAAACGAGCTTGAAGCTTGTTTTTGGTCCACGATTGAGTTACAAACTCGATCGCAAAATCCCCACCATCCCTCCATAAGTCGGCCAGGAGCTTGTTCCTCGCGTTGTCGCAGGCGGTCGGGTTGAGACAGGACGTCGATGGAATCTTGCCATCGTGCAGAAAGGGCAGGATGGTGCTCGGGACCTGGCTGAGGAGCGCTTCATAGGCGATGATGCAGGAAAGGGGCTCGTTCAAGCGCAGACTATGGGTCTTCCTGATCGAAAAGCCAATTTTGATGCCTGTCTAAAGAGAAATTAAAGTAAAGACATAGCGCAGAGGGAAGATGGCATCCTTACGGTGAAATAAGAGTCACGAATGGCAAGATAAATCATAGGCAGGATCGATTGAATCGAATTCTCATGAGCGAGATAGGCGACTTTGAAGAGGAAAGACTCTTCGACGGCAATATGTGCGTTTGGCTCTCGCTCGTCCCATAAAGCAAGAGTTCCTGGAAATTCTCGCTGGAGACAATGAATGGCTTCTTTGCGCAGATATTTGAACTGGTATTTTCGTCCTAGGCGGAGCATCGTCCCCAGGACGGAAAGAGTCATCTTTTCTCGGAAATTTTACACTCTGTAGGCGCACATATGCATTACAAGGACAAAGCTCGAAGAAAATGAACAACGCACTTCATCGTGTTGTATAGCAACTCCAGGAGATTCTGGATATCCTCAACACTGTCCTGCAGAACCACAACTTGGCAATCATCAACGAGAGGGACATCTGAGTCGTCCGCTTGCGGGATGGAGAACATGTCGGCGAATATCGGGGATTGACTAGACAGAATGGACTTGTGGACGCGAAACTGCGTGCTTTCCGCCTGCAGAACGATGTTGCCGTCGGCGTACCAGAAATCGGGTGAGCGTGTTGGTGGAGCGTCTGGAGTGGCATCCATGGTTTGACCCTCAGCTTGAGGAGCTCACTTTCGTTTCTTTGCTTCAGGGGGAGGCATAACGAGCTATAACGAGACGCGATTCGATCGGCAAGGACGCGCGTGGTACTTGGAAGAGAGCAACTGCGCGATTCTTGTTGGTGTTCACGATAGGGTCACACCACGTGTTTCGTCACTGTCGCGTTTGGAACTTGAACAGACTTGAACTTGAAGCTTGAAGTCCCAAAACGACGCGCGGTTGAGTAAGTACAGGAGGAGATAGTAGAATTGATAGAAAGTCCTTCCAGAGAGTAAAGAAACAAAATTAAATAACCCCATAGATTGTTCTAGTCCATATCTTCCTTTTCCTCCTCATCGTCAACATCGTCCCCGTCCCAAATAGGTGCGTTGAGCCCAAAATACTCTGGTAAGGAGTGCCAGACTTCCTCTCGAGCGGTGTTATACGCATACATTGCGACTCCAGAGCAACTTGTGCACAACCCCGCGCTGAGCTTGTTTTGGAGCCAGGTATCAGCAAAAAAACGTATCGCGGACTGGATACTGCGTTTCATTATGTCCAGGACGTGGTTTGTGCGCGCAAGGTTGCAAGCGGCAACGTTGACACATTTGGAGCAGGGGATAGAGCCGTCGTACAGCCACGCGAGGGTCTTTTGGGACACGGCGCGGTGGATGTGTTCCCGCCCGAGGAGGCAAGAGAGAGGCTCTTCGGTGCGCAAAAAGTGGCCGTATTTTTCGCGGTGGAGGTCGAAGCCTTCTTTCATTGCTTGCTAGGCTAATCGTCAGGAAGAGTGTTCGAAGCTTCGGTGACTTGAATACTTACAGGGGAATGATTCAAGCAAATTAGGACGTATACACCGGGAAGGACGGACTTGATACAATTCTCGTGGGCGAGATAGGCGACTTCGAATAGAATGCCGGTGGTGCTTGCGATATACTGGTAGTCAGCTGCGTTGGCATCTGACTCCGCAAGGTCTGAAGGGAACTCGTGTTCTAGGAGATGCAGCGCTTCGCTCCGGAAGTGCTTGAAGCGATACTTTCGTCCGAGCCGTAGCATGGTGCCAATGTGGGAGAGCTCCATCTTCTTTTTGAACGTATGTATCCTAGAAACGTGCCCGTTCCAGACGAGTTGGTTGAGAGCAGAGGAAAACGATTGGAGTCCGTACCGCAAAGTGTCGTAAAGAAGGCCACAAAGATTCTCAATGTCCTCCTCCGAGTCTTGAAGGTGAACGACCGGACATCCGTCGACAGTGGCCTCGTTGGAGTCGGTTGGTTGCGGTATCGAGAAAATATCTCTAAACACAGGAGATTGGCTCGCCAGAACAGAGCGATGCAGCTTGAACTGCGTGCTTTCAGCCTGAAGAACGATGTTGCCGTCGTCGAACCAAAATCGTGATCGAGTCACAAGTGGAGAGCTGGAGGTTCCATTCGGCATTATGCCGACGGTTACATTGCTTGTAGATTGTTCTGCCATAATTTTTGGCTTAGTTCGATGTATAGCTAGTGGCGGTTTGAGGAGGTGGCGGATCGGTGTCAAGGACGACGCGTCTCGGCACCGCAAGATGGTCGTGAATGTCACGTGCCTGTATATTTTCTCCCACTGCTCGGCGTCGGCGTTGCCTTCAAACTCTCACCATCTCAGGGCACTACAATGGAGGAAGGCTCATCTTCGGGCGTGAATTCGGCCTCGTTTGATGCCTACCATGGCCGACTACAGACAGCAGCGCTCACAGCTACACGCAAGGCCGCAACTCTTCCTGCCGATATCGCTTTTCACCGGTCTATGGACCAATCGCTCGCACAGGACTTGGACGCTCTCTCGGAGAGAGTACTCTCCATTACAAACAGGCTGTTAGGCCTGGTATCGACGGTGGATCAAACGCAGAACAAGGGAAAGGGAAAGGCGAAGCTGGAAGGCGAGGACGATGTTGTGGATAATTTTCATTCGGCAGTGGTCGATACAATAGACCAGCTGCTCGAGAAAACAGTGAGTAAACTCTCTTGTATCCCGCTTTCCTGTCTTACATGTGTCGCAGGACATATGCCTCGACGAATTCTTGGGCAAGAACAAGGCTCCTGCCATCCCGATCAACCCACCTATCACGTCCAACAAACCAAGCGCGAAAGTAGCCCAGAAGCCCACCGGGAAGAATGAACCCGTTATCCAGCACGCCGCACACCTCACAAAACCTCAATTGTCCTTCAAGAAGCCACCAGACAACTCTGACTCGCCTTGGCACCCGACACTGACCCACAAATACAACGCGAAGGTCCCTCTTGGGCACAGCTATCATGATTCAGATGCGGAGAGTAGAACTCTTGTGTGAGTGAAGACCTTCTTCCATGGCCTATACTTCTGACGCTACGCCCTCCAGTTCGAACCATCCATACTGCTACGAAATTGCGCATATATCCTACCCACCACGCATGTTCAAGCCATGTACCCCCATCCCTCCTCCGTCTCTCGAAGATACGACCGCTACATGGGTAGACACCCCAGCCGCATTCCAGGCCATGCTATCCAAGCTCAAGAATGCGACCGAGATCGCCGTCGACCTCGAGCATCACAGCTACCGTTCCTACGGCGGGTTTCTCTGTCTCATGCAGATAAGCGACCGCGAAGAAGACTGGGTCGTCGACCTGCTCGCCGTCCGGGACGAAGTCGATGCGTTGAACGAGGTCTTTACGGACCCGGCAATCGTCAAAGTCTTCCACGGCGCGGACAGCGACATCGTCTGGCTCCAGCAGGACTTCAACCTATACGTCGTCAACCTGTTCGACACGTTCCATGCGTCGAAGCTCCTCGAGTTCCCGAGGCACGGCCTAGCGAACCTCCTGGAGATGTACTGCGACTTCATACCGGATAAGCGATACCAGCTCGCGGATTGGCGCATGCGCCCCCTGCCGGAGGATATGCTCCTATATGCGCGTTCCGATACTCATTTCTTGTTGTTCATCTACGATAACCTGCGGAATGCTCTCTTGGACCGCTCGAAATCGGCTTCCCGGTCGCCAACATCTTCGCCGCCACCTGGAGGCTTTGCATTGTCATCATCCAAGTCCAAAAGCCCGACGGCGCTCCTCGACCAGGCACTTGCACGCTCTGCGGAGACGTCGTTGCGTGTGTACTCGAAGGAGCCTTACGATGCGGAGGAGGGGTCCGGTCCAGGAGGCTGGGACACGCTTGCGAAGAGGTGGAATAAGGGTGCTTTCTTGGCTGGTGGACCGGGTGTGGGAGTTGGTGCGATGCAGAGGGAGGTGTACAAAGCGGTTCATGCATGGCGGGAGAAGACAGCGAGGGAGGAGGATGAGAGTACGCGGTAAGGACGTCCCTTCAGTCGTATTTTGCAACAAGTGTGCTAACGGATAGAAACTTTCGTATCACCAGATACGTGCTACAGAACCACTTCTTGTTTATGTTGGCAGAGGAGCCTCCCGCAGACATGGCGTCCCTCCTGAAGGTGTTCAGGACGTCCGTCCCGCCTTTGGTCAAGCGCCGTGCGAAAGAACTGTTGAATGTCGTGCGGGAGGCGGTGAAAAGGGGCTTGCCTATGGTTCACCCGGGATCAAAAACAGCGGTGGAAGAGGTAACGACGGATGAGGTGGTTGTAGAGACTCAGAGGGACGTGGTGATGCTGGAGAGCGAGATTAAGAGCCTCGAAAGTCTCGAGGGGAAGGTGAAGAACATCTGGGGAGGTACGTTTTCCACTTTCACAGCCGATTTCTATCAGCAAAATAAGCTCATGATCAATTCAGTAACGCCAGCGACCCAGAGAACTGTTTCGACACCCCACTCTTCGTTGTTTGGACCGTCAAAAGGCATCACAAGCGCGGGAGGTGCCAGAACCACCGGTATCGCGTTTTCCACTAGCGTGAGCGCTCTATTCGGCGTCGGGAAGCGCACAAGTGCTAGTTCTAACGGAGTGAGTGCGCTCCTCTCACGATTTAAGCTTTCCGGATCGTCGGTCGGGAGATTAAAAGGCTAAAGTATAATTTGCTTGACATTTGCCAGGTGGTGGCCTCGACCTCGAAATCTGTGCTGGATGCGACGCGCTTCAAAGACTTGGTTACGAAGATCAACAAAAGCCTCGCGTTGGCTCCCTCGGTTCCTCAGGTATGTGACCCATTTCGTTCTCTCGAAATTTCTTGTGAAGGAAAATTGAATTAAAATGCCGACCTACCAGCTCTCCGTGGTCACAGCCAGCGCGCCCAGCGCCACACCTGGTGAACCTAAGCAAGAGGTAGATGAAGCGACGGGAATGGAGGTCGAGATACCATATGTGCCCGCCTCGCAGCGGACGACGAAACAGGTCCCGGTGAAGGAAGAGCGCGACACAATCGTAGTTGTTGGGCAGGCGCGGAAGAAGAGGAAGCGCAAGGCCACGGAGGTGGCAGACGGTGAGGAAAGTGCTGCATCGAAGAAGGACAAGGGTGATTTGGCTGCCACGAAAATGGCGGGAGCGGACGATGAAGAGCCGTTCGACTTTGCGAAGGTGCCTAATATCCTGGATGATAACCCGGATTTGGAGGAGGGGAGCAAGAAGCGGAAGAGGCAGAAGAAGCAGGGAAATAAAGGTGAGTGCTTAGTTCGAGTTTCATCTCGTCCGCGACGTAGGTTGATGTCGCTCACTCCATTTCATCGTAGGTGGGACTTTCTACGGCGACTTCCCTGCGCCTCCCAAAGCGTATAGCGAGGTGAAGAGCGGGAATCAGTCGTATACGTTCAAATAGCGATCAGGGTACGGTCGCCTTCTGTGTTCTATACAGATTGTACACATCATCTTACCCGAACATTTGGGTCTGGCTGCGCGCCTTGACACGTTTATCCGCCGAGCTGACCTCAGATCCGAAACGACTCGTATAGACCTTCAAAACTTCAAGGTTTAATCTCACTGACAAACTATCAGGAACGTCGAACACTCGTCCATCACAGCGATTCGAGTAATTTTTACCCCGTTGTTCGCCTTCAATTTTCTGACCATTTTTTTTTTGGAATCTTGCCGCTTGTGGAATGTTCATGTGAGCCTTCTCCACTTGTTTCTTTATGTTCTGGATCCAGCACCAATCCGATCCAACGATAGCAACGAGGATGTGGAATTTTAACCTCAACACCTCAATATTCAATGCCTGCTCATATTCGCCGATGAAAATTGCTCTCGAACTTTGGATTCTATCAAGTGCGCCTATGCAACAGGAATATTTTTCGCCAAAAAATTTCATCTTAGAGTACTTCTTAACAGGGGGGTCTGCGGTTTTCATATTTTTATATAGGCTTCGCTCTAAAGATAGCATCTCGAGTGGCATGCGAACATCAAAGGTATTTCGGTATTTCGGACTTAGTGCCGCAAAGGTCCCCGCCGAGGCGGCAGGCCAACCACATGTGCTCCTCTGTTTTACGAGTCGGCCTCTTGCAGTTTTCCCACCAGAAGGCGAGTCATCTTCTCACTGTGTCGACGTAGATTGTTCCTATATGACCTTGCACTTCGGAAAGACCACCCAGACGCTTCCTCTCACCAACCTATCAAAGACTTGGCCCGTCGATTCTCTCTCCTCATTGCTTATGGTCGTCACGGAGAGTCGCAGTCAAGGCTGCCTTCCAACAGGCGCTCTTCAATCCTCCACAAACACTCCGACGGTGACATCTGGCACGGCGACTCCAGAGCCTTTCAGTGTGTCTTCGACGATTGTCCACAGCGCAATACATGATATTGAACACGCTCCCGTCAAGAACGACCCTCGGGCATGGTCGACGGTTCGCAAAGTAAGGCTCATGTTATTTTGCGCTGCATTCACATATATATTATTTTGCAGAACACCAGTTTGGCGCTCGTCGCGTCGGCTGCTATGATCGCTGGCCTTGCAGGGAGCATCCAGAACCGTAAGTTCCACTAATCGTTCCTAAATTCGAATTTCTGATTTCTCGATGGAAGCTGCCGTTCAGGAGATGGAGGACGACCTGTCGGCAACGAGCTCACAGTTCAGCTTGAGCATTGCCATGTTCGTTCTTATTCAAGGACTTGTGCCGTTAGTGTGGAGTGCCGTCAGCGAAGTGAAAGGTCGCAAGGTTCGTCGCTGTCTTCGTTTTCATTTCCAAAGTTCACCCTGCTCTAGGTGGTGTACATCGTATCACTGTCGCTGTTCACGCTTGGCACGATTGTGGTCGCCCTAAGCCGAAACATTAATCTGTAAGGCTCGAGGCAAATGGTGCATGTCGCTCCCGGAAAACTCATGAACTTGAAGAGTAATTGGTTTCCGGTGCTTGCAAGCAGCGGGATCAAGTGCCGTCATGTCCATCGGAGCCGCCACTCTTGCAGATATCTTCGAACCTGAGGTGCGCGGTACCAAGGTGCGCCACTTTGGCCTGGATCAGACCGGGTTACTAGTTTAACTCGGCCGGCTAGATGGGAATATTCTACATTGCTCCTCTTCTTGGGCCGGCCATTGGGCCCATATTTGGCGGTGTCTTAACCTCAGCATGGAATTGGCGTGCTATATTCTGGTTCCTCGCAATCGTGTCAGGTTCCATCCTGCTTGCATTTGTCCTTTTCTTCCATGATACATTCCGTTTTGAGCGGAGTCTCACATACCAGAGTCTGCTCAGCCAACGCCTTCGTCAGCATGCAAGATCGTCTCCAATGCGAAACGGTTTAGAGAAGACTGAGGAAACACCCCCCGAGTTAAACAAAACCGTCAAGCTCTCGATAATGGATGTGAACCCCTTCAAACCTGCGATCAAGGTACTTCAAAGAAAGAATAACAACGTCATCCTTTTCACCTCCGGGTTATTATTTGCATTTGCATTCCTAGTGCCGTATACGAGTGCACGCACACTCGCTATTTTCTACGACTATAGCCCGCTGAAGATCGGACTGGTCACCCTCTGTTACGGTGCAGGTATATGGTATATCTGACTGTTGGACCATGAACTAATTGCCATATATTTTACTAGGCAATGTAGCTGGAAGTCTACTTGGTGGTCGGTGGTCGGATCGCTCGCTTGCCCGACTGATGACCGAAGATGGGAAGGCGAGAAACCCTGAGGTCAGTTGTCTCGTCCTTTTGTTCACGGCGTTCATTAACAGAGTAATAGATGCGTTTAAGAAGCACGATCCTCGGCGTCTGCCTTCTGCCCCCGTGTTCGATAGCGCTTGGGTGGGTATGTAAGAAGCATTTGCACGTCTCGACTATTTGTGTTTTCCTCTTCTTCTGTGGATTCTTCAACGTGTGAGCGTGTATCCTATTTTCGTATATTTTCCCCCCAATTTACTCTCTTCTGCCTTGAAGGTGGATCTACACGAGCACGTTGGCCTACATTGTGGACGCAAATTCGGGCCGGTCTTCAACGGCGGCTGCAGCAAACAGCGCATTCAGAGGTATTTTCGCCTTTGCTGCGACCGAACTTGCTGTTCCAATCCAGGTAAGCTTTTCGTGAGCTTCGATTCACAAACAATTCTCTAATTCGTTTTTGGGCTTTATTTCAACCATAACAAGGATGGCCTGGGGGATGGTGCGTGCATCGTCATTCCGCGACTACATAAAATAACTCTCAGTTTTTTTTGTTGATGCTTAGGGTGGACATATACCATCTTGGGAGGATTCATGGCGTTGAGTGGCTCCCTCGTTCTCCTTGTATGCTGGAAAGGGGCACAGTGGCGTCAAGAAGCTGAGACAAGAGAGGCAGCTGCGCAGAAATAGGTACAGTAGAGGGGAATCACACTTATATGCTTATTCCCCTCACACCATTTAGAGTTCCAATTGAAATTCGTTGTTTTCTGGCTTACCTTCGCTTCATGCTCGAGGTCAAACAGCACTTTGTCCGCCAGACTTCTCTTGGGGTGTCAAGAGCAACCACAGGCTGCTTAACACTGCGCTCGGGTACTTCCATCTTCGTATCTCGGATAATCGACCCCTAGCTTGCTAAACGGATTGCGGCCTTTATCGGGACTTCGTACCTCTTTTAGAAAGTGGGCGTCATGACTTGTTTAGGAAGGAGGTGTTCAGACCGCTTAAAGGCCAATGAGGCAGCGAGATAATGCGAACAAGTTGCGTCTTGCATCGAAACGTCGTCTGTGACCGACCCGCGAAATAAAGGGAGTCACCTTTCTTTCTCCAATCTTCGCGGTCGGTGCTGATGTCCGAAATCTGCGAATCAAATTCCGGGATCCGGGTTGCTTGGTGTAAATGGCGTCACAGCGTGTAATCCACGAGACCGGATTGGGCTCCTTTCCTTATGCCTTCTCTTCATCCTGCACCCCATTTTTCATGAAACCGGTCCGTTGTTTCGGAATTTGGTCTCGGGACACCCCCGCCCCTCCTTGAGGCGCATGCCTTTTCTGAAAGCGGCCTCCTCGTGGACGTTCGCAACGAACTTGGCGGGGGGTCCAGGCCTTATTGTCGGCCACTGCGGAATGTGGACAGCGTACCCTACATCCTTCGATCTACACAACACTTCGAAGAGGAGTATGACACGTAGACGAGACTCTTATGCCATGAATTCGGTGCCTTTTCCTCGTCGTGAATTAGCGAAAACACCTCTCGATTCCAGTAGCACCATATCTTATCATCCACGAAAGCTGCTGTGGTTGAAGAGCGGCCTTCTTCCACCCCAAGCGTCAGGACACTTGTTATTTCGGCAGGAAATTGACCCGTCCTCCAATCGGTTACGTTTCTAATGCATTGCCATAAGGTCCGTACTTCTTCAGTCAGCTATTTATGTTCTATTTTCATGAAGTTTGTTCTTAATTAGATAACCTAGGGATATGATAGGATGTCATGGGCCTCAGGTCCGCGCCCTGCCGGATAGAACCATTGGAAAAACGATGTCAGTGCATTGCAACCAGCTTCTTGCACTCTCCTTGTTTGTTAATGGCTACGTGCTCTCTTTTCGCTGGCCTTCATACTATTCTTGCTTTTCATTTGAAGATCGAGGAAGACTATTTATCACGCGGAGGTATTTTGGACATTGGACAGCGCCTGCGGCATGGTGCGGCATGATGGCGCCGAGCCCGCCGGCTGCTACGCGAGCCACATGTTGTGACAAATAGATCGAATTCCTTTTTTCAGATTCGGGTCTTCGGACTATGACAATCTCTCCCTATCCACGCACTAGAACGCGACTCATGTTCGCCCTTGGAAAGCTTATAAACGCCCGACTCTCGCCTCTGAAAGACTCTCCCAACAACAGGAAGTTTCCTCCCTTAACGAGATTCCAAGCGCTCGCTCGTCCTCGGTCTCTCCTTCTGCTCGGGTTCCGGGTTTCTTTAGTTCCGGAATTCCCCTCGATATGGTCATGAAGTCCAACAGCCAGGAAACCCTTCCGACGGGGGACCCACTCCCTTCGACACGGCCTACAACGACGGGAGGAGCTGGCACGTCGACCAACGAGCCCTTCAGCGCGACGTCAACGATTATGCCCGGCGTGACCTACGATATCGAGCATGTCCCCGTCAAGAACGATCCTCGTGCTTGGTCTCCATTTCGAAAGGCGAGAGCTATTTTGAGCCATCGGGTTATCTTTGTCTGATCGTGTGCTGCCTAGAACGCCAGTCTTGCCCTCGTCGCGTCGGCTTCAATGATCGCGGGCCTTGCAGCGAACATCCAGAACCGTGAGTCGAACCTTTGATCTTGGGTTTACCAATACTGACACTGAAATAGCCGCGGTTGAGGAGATGGAAGAAGACCTGTCAGCTACCAGCTCTCAATTCAGCTTGAGCATAGCCATGTTCATCCTTATCCAAGGGCTCATGCCATTGTTGTGGAGTGCGATCAGCGAGGTCAAAGGTCGAAAGGTGAGCCATGCTATTCCCCCACGGATCGTTGGTCTGACAGAATCCTCTAGACGGTGTACCTCGTATCGCTCGCCCTGTTTACTCTGGGAACGATCGTGGTGGCACTCAGTCGACATATTAACCTGTAAGTCGTAAGGCGCCCAAGATGAGGTTTTATGACAGGCTCACAGGTTCGTAGAGTGATTGGTTTCCGATGCCTACAAGCCGCGGGATCGAGCGCCGTAATGGCCATCGGCGCAGCAACTCTCGCGGATATTTTCGAGCCGGAGGAACGTGGTGCAAAGGTGCGTTCCCCTTCGCTCGTTGAGGCCGAATCTTCTGGACTAAAATGACGCTAGATGGGAATATACTACATCGCTCCCCTCCTTGGACCGGCCATTGGCCCCATATTTGGCGGTTTCCTCACCTCCGCGTGGAATTGGCGCGCCATATTCTGGTTCCTCGCTATCGTTTCCGGCTCCAGTTTCCTCACCTTCGTTCTGTTCTTCAACGATACTTTCCGCTCGGAACGCAGCCTCACATACCAGAATGTACTTAAGCAACGGCTGAGGGAGAGTGCGAACCACTCTTCGGCCCACCTTGCTGCAGATTCCGGAAAGGAGAAGGCATCGGTTGGCAATGCCTGTGGTGAGACGAGCAAGTCGGACGTGGATATCGAGAAGACGGCGGCGAAGACGAGCACAGAGGAGGTCCAGCCGGAACTTCCCCCCATGGTCAGCCTCTCGATAACGGATGTCAATCCTTTCAAACCTATGGGACAAGTCCTGTTTAGGAAGAACAACTTCAACGTGCTGTTCGCTTCTGGGTTGTTATTCGCCTTCGCTTTCCTCGTACCATATACGAGCGCGCGGACTCTGGCAACGTTCTACCACTATAGCCCATTGAAAATTGGTTTGGTTACGCTCTCCTACGGCGCTGGTACGTAGGCTTTCTATCTCTCTGACTTGTGTACACTAATGGCCGCCTGTTTCTAGGCAGTGTTGCCGGAAGCTTGCTCGGTGGTCGCTGGTCGGACCGCTCGCTTGCGCATCTGAAGACCGCCAATGGGGGGAAAAGCAATCCCGAGGTAACATATGCTTAATTTAAATTACCTTTTGTTGCTACTTTTCTAACACATCCATCAGATGCGTTTGAAGAGCACGATCATCGGGGCCTGCTTGCTTCCTCCATGCTCGATTGCACTTGGCTGGGTGTGCGAGCAACATATACACGTCTCAGCCATTTGTGTCTTCCTGTTCTTCTCGGGGTTCTTCAATGTGTGAGCTAAGTCCTTCATCGAATACTTTCCTCGTTGTTTAACGTCTTCCTAGGTGGATCTATACGAGCACACTGGCCTACATCGTTGATGCCAATGTGGGCCGCTCGTCCACCGCCGTTGCGGCTAACAGCGCTTTCAGAGGCACATTTGCGTTTGTGGCGACCGAAATCGCCGTTCCACTTCAGGTGGGCGCTCTTGCTCCGAGAAATGGACGATTCTTCTGATTCTCTTATATCTTTTTTTCTCCTTTGGCCCCTTTAGGATGGTCTTGGAGACGGTGAGTCCTTATCTGCGCGCTCGAGGAAGTGTAAAACTGATTATAATCTAATTCTTTGCATCTAGGGTGGATGTATACGATCTGGGGAGGAATCATGGCTCTAAGCGGCGCTCTCGTTCTCCTCGTTTCCTGGAAGGGCGTTCAGTGGCGTCAGGACGCCGAAAAAAGGGAAGCTTCTGCCCAGCAAACATCAGAGGGAAGGGGTAGCAGGGATGCCTCATCTGGTGCATAGACGACAACGCTGACGACGCTAGACGCATGGCACGGTTGATTATAGAATTTCTTCTCCACTTTTCATGCATGATGGACTGCATACGTTTATGACATTATCGCAATAGAACAGAGTCTGGATACTTACTGCTACTTTTTCTCCTGTATGAATACTATAGTAGCTATAATAAGTTGCTCTAATCATGATCACTTCTGGAAACACTGAGAGAAACGTAAGTCGTCGTACAGGAAGTGATGAAGCTGCACGCACATATTTGCCGTGTCTATGTGCTGTACAAAAAATCTCAAACTCGACGCTATCGGAGCGGTTTCCCCCCATTGTCGCGTTGTGGAGGACAAAGAGTCGGACTGGACACAGGACAAGTACTAGGTTATAGGCACGTGTTGTGACAGTTCGCGTCGTAACGTGCGTGGGAACTTAAGGCGGAGGTTTCCGACATTGCTCCGGACCTCTCTAGGCCTTTTGCCCACAAAAAAGCACCTCTTCGCCATGCCATGGGAAGAGGGACCCTTTTGAACTACCACCGCTCCTCCGAACGTCGCTACTCATATGCTCTTCCTTCGGTCAGCTCTCAACGAAGGAGACGACAATTTGCCTGTTCGAGGCCAGCTCTTATTAGCTGCAAGCTGGCAGCGGTCTACTGCAGAATGGGACGACATACTGTGACGCAAGACAAGCATAAATTCATGAAGGGTCTCTCGCCCCAAGAGCCAACCGGATTACGGCCACCGTCGGTCACTGAGAAGAAGAGTAGGAGATCGAGGAGGAGAGCAGCTCGGGCAGAATGAAAAGCGAGTCCGTACCATCACGGCGATGGGTCGTCCTGCCTATAAGATGACTCAAACTTGTCTTCGTTCTCAAGAACTAGCGTGGCTAGGGACCACCTTGCGTCAGAGAGGACCGTCTCGTTTCGCCTACCTTTGGATCTATCGAGGTCTCTCGTACCCTCGTCCAAGCGTCTGCAATCGCCGATTTGGTCTCAAGAAATACGAGCGCACGGCTGAGTGCTATGAGCCGGGGTTCAGACGTTTGCTAGGACGTTTGGGATTACGCAACCCTCCTAGATCTATAGAGGGGATTGCTGCGATGATAGTAAGTGGCTCTTACGATTTTTCCGTATTCTCATTGCGCCTACAAAGTGTCTATAGATATTTCCTCGTCTAACGATCGCTTCTTGAGAAGAAATTTGCTGTTTTTCGTGCCTCGGAGCCCCTGTCGCCGTGATATTCGGTGCGTCCAGCAAAAGTAGGAGAGGCATCTCACGTGTTCCCCTGTAAGTCCTGCTGCCTCAATGGATCTTTTTCTCTAGATCCGGCAAGTAGATCCGTCAGCGCGCGACTTCTCAATACCATCTCGACCCGATTTTTCATGAGCCTCGTTTAGGCGTCTCTCCCTTTTCAAGGATTGCACATTATGCCATCACCGGGATGCCCATGTGGTCCCGAGCCTGCGAGAAGGATCACGCATGAGATTGCCCAGCGATCGCCCAGAACAGCTTCTTCCCGTTCAAAATATCTCGATTATCAATTTTACCCCATGAAACACCAAAGACGGACACAAACACACTGCCCACAATGCAACGATTGTTGCTTCTGTCTGAAACCATATAAAGTCTCGCGAACCTCCTTTTCACCTCACCATTGCCGCCTCAATACGACCACCACAACTCCAGCTACTATGTCTTCGCCCGCTCGACAACTCCTTGCACTGATCTCAACGTCTCTCTCGACGCTGGAGAACACTTGTGCGGAGAAAGGCTTTAACATCCCTGACCTGCATGCCGCTTTCGACCCCGCGAGCGAGGCTTTTCGCGCCGACCCCGTGGCTGGCGAGGCTGCTAATGTCCTTGGTGCTGCCGCCCTTCAGCTCGCAGCCATCTTCCTCCCGCCGCACGTTTCCTTGTACCACAATGTCTCCGGAGTACGTAGATTTCACTCCATTTCATCCCGAGACGACTTGACTCACTGACTGTCATTTGTCGAAGTATGTGAGGTCTGCTGCTACTCGAGTTTGCATTGAGTCGAATGTGACGGAGATCTTGCGTGAAGGAGGCCCGAACGTATGTATGTTGGATCCTCAGGGGCGAAATTGTGGCTTACTTCGGCGCGTAATCTACAGGGCGTTCACGTCAACGATATCGCAGCAAAGAACGGCCTGGACCCGCGAAAGATTGGTAAGAGTGACTGGTCCTCATCGACTGGGAGAAGCGCTCCTGACAGTCGAATTTAATCCTCTAGGCCGGTTCCTTCGCATTCTCGCGAACCATCATATCTATCGAGAGATCAAGCCGAATGTGTTCACCAATACCCGGATTTCCAGCATGCTTGATACACTCAAACCCACTGCGGAATTGTTCGCTCAGTCAGTACATATTTCCTCGTCTTTCTTCCCTGCCGCCTAATGCCACATGTTGTTTCTGCAGCCCAGAGCAGAAGCACGAAAACACACCTGGCCTGACCGCGATGACCTGTCATCAGTGAGCACCGCTCCAAACTTTCGAATCTTTAACTGATTTTCTTCACGTAGCCTCGACGAAGGATATAAGTCGGCAGCCTATACCTGGGAGACTGTATCCGACCCGAACACGACTGACGATACGACCGACTCACCGCTGTCACGTTGGACAGGGAGGAAGGAAACTGTTTGGGATTTCTACCAGCGCCCAGAGAACCTGGACAAGTACAAGCGATTCAACATCGGCATGCACGGTGTGAAAGCCTTGCAGCCCAGCGATGTGTGTCTCAAAGGTACGTCACATTGGATTGTTTCCGGGCGGCCAATGTGGGATTGAGGTAATGCATCGTGTGCAGCGTTCGACTGGAAGAGCCTCGCGAAGGGCTCCGTCGTCGTTGATGTTGGTGGAGGGCTCGGAACTGCCTGTTTACCTGTTGCTCGAGAGTATCCCGATTTGCAGATTATTGTGCAGGACCTCCCAACCGTTATTGAAAACGCCAAAGAGGTATGTTGACTTCAAATTTCCCACTTCTCTTTATATCTCTCTATGAAACGTCCCTCGCAGCTCTGGCAAAAAGAGAACCCCGGCGCGCTCGAGTCCGGCCGCGTCAAGCTGGAAGGTGGGTCAAGGCCAATCTACACAAATCATGTTTTTTCACCTCTGAACCGCATCGGCAGCCCACGACTTTTTCCAACCGCAGCCGCATAGAGGTGCCGATGTCTTCCTCCTGAAGCAGGTCCTGCATGACTGGCCCGACGCGTCCTGTGTCCCCATCCTTCGTCATCTCCGGGAAGCAGCCTCACCCACAACCAAGCTCGTCATTATGGACATCCTGATCCCGTTCGCGTGTCATGACCCCGGTGCTCACCTTGGGCGGGAGATACCCGGTGCCGTCCCAAAGGAGGCGCCGCCGCCCCTGCTTGCGAACTATGGGGCTGTGAATGAATTGGCGTACAACGCGGATTTGACGGTGCGTGTCGGATCTAGTTGACGTCGATCATTTTTCTCAGACCAAGTGTGTAGATGCTCATCTTTGCGAACGCCCAAGAGCGTACGGTTGTCGAAATGGACGATCTTCTGCGTCGTACGGGTTGGGAGCTGACTGTCGTGCATCGTCGAAATGAGGACAATACATTCTCCCAGTCCATGGAAGCGATCCCAGTGGAGAAGTTGTAGGAGATTCATTGCCAGGTTAGTCTAGCGTTCACTCGTGCTACGCATTGGTCAGTGTTCTCAGCGTATTCGAATAATGGTCTAGAGCTAGCCCGCTTCCCTATTCCCCGGGCGGTGATCTAAATAAAACTCTTGTACTGCGGAAATTGGGATATTGTGTACAATTTCAAAAGGCCGATTCAAAAGGTCGAAGGTGCAAATCTCGGCTCTGCGGCATCAATACTGTCCAAAATTAGCACCGAAGATCTGCAACATCGACGTCAAATCCTTAATCAGCGTGATAGGCGGCTTGGGTACTCAGAACGATTGACGTCGTTGCCTCTGCTTACTGATCGGACAAGGATCACTTTATGTCCAGCACTATCATAATGTACATGAGTGCTGATAGATTCAGGGCACCATGGACCATGGAGCGCCCATGGCATCTCCCAGCGTCTTTCTTGAAGTGTTTTGCAACAGACGTCCGTTAGACGGGGTCCCTGATACCTTTCCTTGACTTAAGGGGTTCTTTTCGTGACAGTGAGGTAAGCTTGAAGCCTCGCCCTCCCAGAGTAGAGGAGACTTTGTGATAATTCTCATGATGGTATCCATCACTTACGGTTAGCTAGCATTAACTCCACGGCACCAACCATGCCAGGTTCGCCAGACTGAAAAGACGACTGCGCTCGCGTTCATGACGAGTCGTGGCCCTGTGCGAGAGCTAGACAGGTATATAAACCTGATGATCACGCAGACTCCTTCCCCCCATCGCTGTTGACAGGATGGCGTGGGCCAATCCTGTTAGCATAAAAGGTCCTGCGGAATTTACGTGAGTCATATCTCTCTGGCTCTCACCTTCCTTGACTCCTTCGACCACTAGACATGGGTGGCTGCTCGTTGGATGTACGCTCAACATTCTTCTCCTTGGCGTGACGTTCGTGCAGGTCTACATGTATTATAACGAGTACAAAGGGTATGTGGATCTCCTTCCAACCTTAAGAATTCCATAAACGTCAAACCACAGTGACCGGCCATGGCTCAAAATCCTGGTTCGTATGTGCAAGACGTTTCCTCACGGAACCTACCCAGTTGAGGAATGATTTAGATCGCCTTCATCATGTTTCTCGACGTTGTTAATAGTGCCACTCTCTCTGCCTTTCTCTACCGATCCCTCATTATATTCTTCGGTGACATCGCCCTTTTACTGATATATGCAGCCTCGTTGACTCTCCCGACCTTCAGGGAACAATGAAGCACTTACTATAGGGGAGTGGAGTACGTAGCTTATCAGATCTGAGAGGTCGAAAGGCTGATTCTACCTCTCCTTTTCGAGTGCTTGGCACTGGTAAGCTGTCAAAGAGTTGTTACCGACGCTGATACCGATAGCGAGAATTTCGTGTGTGCCAGGAGCTTGGACGACGGTTAGTCCTTTCTAAACTATTAGGAACTGTCCGACCTCTTTTCGCTGTATTATATAGGCCGTCATAGCAAGCGCTGTCCAATCGGTGTTCGCGTGGCGAATATACCTGCTCACGAAGAAGTGGATCTATCTCGCGATAATTTGGTTTCTGGCTATAACTGGTACTGGTGAGTACCAAAAATTTCCCCGAGTTGAAGAGGTTTCTTACCTCAAATAATGCGTACAGCAGCAGGCATCGCAACCGCCGTGCAAACTGGAATCCCTCTCCCTTTCTCCGAGCTTCGCGACACCGAAGCAACCGTGACGGCCTGGCTTGCCTCAGAAGTGGCTGCAGACATCATCATCACCTCCGTCCTTGTGTGGTACCTGTGTGTTCAACGACTTTTTCGAACGATATGTGAGTGCTTACGAATTTTTTTTCGAAGCGTAAGCTTTCTTCAATCGACGCGTTACGTTGATGTCAACTATGTTGCCAGCACAAACACAAGACGGGTCTCGAACGCTCGGACATGGTTATCGATCGCATTATACGAGGTGTGCAAGCTTCGCGGTTTTGGCTGTCAGACAGTTATACCCCCTTCATGCAGCGACACTGCAGACGGGACTCCTCACGATGATCGTGGCCTCGCTCGACCTTTTCTTCTTCCTGTTCGACGTGAATCTTCATTTTACTTTGAATTTATCCTCTTTTCTTACTCTCGATCCGCCAGTCAACAGGAACACATTTTATGTTCACTTTCTTACCCAAACTCTACGCCAACTCTCTCCTGAGTAGTTTAAATTCACGAAGCGGTTGGAAATTCGGTGGCATCAGCCACGCCGGCGTAGGAACTAACCAAGGGATTACGACGAGTTGGGTAGAAAGACAGCTTCGCGTTTCAGTGCTCCCAAGTCAGGTTTGTCTCTTTTCACTTTGACTGGGCAGGGAGATCTCACTCTGTACCGCGTCGTCGATCGATAGGTCGAGGCTCTGGGCGAAGCCTCCCGGATCCGATTCGAGTTGCAAGAGCCACGACGCGAGGTCGAAGTCGTTGAGACGGTGCGCGGCAGGCCTCATCCGATGCTGCAGGTTTAATCCTCAGGGGCCAGCCTGATCCATCTGTAAAGATTTACTACGCATTCCACCACCTCTAAGCTCACAATACGAGATGTGTCGGGGCGTACCTTGAGGAATGCGCCAGGTATCCTTTTGTCGGCAGTCAGCTTCATGGATCGTGACACGCGAGCGGAATCAAGGTGTATTATCGAAGCCAGCATTTTCCTTTCGTCGAACCATTTCCCGACAGAGGTTCATCCCATTAGCTATTAGAGTTTGAGCAATGACCCCAGGTCTCACATATTCTTGTTCATTATGCCTTTCGCATACGATGTCCCATTGAATCTGATGGTAGATTGATATATCCTGGACTAGCGCCAACGAAGTAATAGAAGGAAGAACTAGTTGTGCGTCTGTTTCAGCTCGCTTCTTTGGCGCACTCTGATAATTTTTTGATCAACCCCTCTAGTAATACGGACGCGGTCATCTGAATAGCTATGAACGCGGAGTTCCTCTGATCATCACAGTGTTTTAGAACGTGTTCCGGCCCTCGACACCCAGAAACATTTAAAATCTTCGCGTCTCGAGCCCCGGACGACGCTGATGGCCTTCTCTGGTATCCAAACTCAAAGTATATTGACCATTCATTGGACCATTAGAAACCGAGGCGACTTTGTGATGGTGTTGCAAGCTTAATTTTAATGCAGAAGGCTACTCCATCCTTTGACACGCGAGCTGAGTCGCCAAAAGATTAATCTTGCAGAATCTCGCCTGGAGGCCCACCTTGATTACTAGGGACTCGAACAAATTGTCCCTGATAATTTGTGGAGGCAATCGAGGGCAGTTTAGTAGTCCTGAGGTCGGCCATGAAACTATCAAGCTTCAAATTTTTAAATACCATTGTTGAAGGTCGTCATCTTTATGTCCGCTTTGGATGCATGAGCTGGGGTCTCAGGAACTCCAAAAGATGGCTGGATATGGGCTGATTCTCAATCCCCAGGCGTAGACGCCACGTCCGATGACTGGCTGGTAATGCGGAGAACCCGTGGAAGTCGGCAAACTCTAAGTATTTTAAGGAGAGAACCAAAGGCAAACGTCAGCGATACTTCCAATTTATCTTGATTGGTCGGCGGTCGCTGGTAAACTTCTACCGGCTCGGCAACGGTAGGCCAGAAGAAGAATAAGTAAGTAATTCACAGCATGCGCCGAAAACGATGCACGCCTTGCTATTCAGTCTATTCGTATGCCGAAAGATGATCAGGTGAGTCAAGCGTATCGGAGCAGAATCTGTCCAGTTCTGTACGTGGGTCTGTGCTGAACACTTCAAATAGAATGCAGTAACAAGCGCGGCTAGCACTATCCTGCTCTTCCCCGCTTTCGGCGCACTCCCACTAGCTCCTGTCGCATCTCACTACGCACAACGGCTCCACGATGTCGGTTATCAGTCCAATTAGCCTGAAAGGACCTGCTGAATTAGCGTGAGTCTTCTCAGCAATTGCTAGAAAGGCGCCGGTCTCGCTCACCTTATCTCGAAGCCATGGTTGGATGTTTATCGGGTTCTCTTTGAACGTCCTTCTGCTAGGGATCATGGTTACCCAGGTATACCTATACTATACGCAATACAAGAGGTACGTCTGGCATCTTTGATCCTCTCGACATATTTACTCATTTTGTGTGATAATAGGGACCGACTATGGGTCAAGATATACGTCTGTCCACCAATTTCTAGTAATCTTGGCCCTGTAAGCCTGAGCGATTGCCCGGTCAGGTTGCTGCGCTCTTCGTCCTGGACATATTCAACACGATATTCATATTCCTATACCTTTACCGTGCGCTGATAACTTTCTTCGGTGAGCCTTGTTATTTTCCTCGTCCTTCATACTGAAGTCTTTTACCTTCTAGGCGATGTCGAATACCTCCAAACGGCAGACTGGCGTGAGTGAACTCTCCTGCATTCGGTGCCCAAAACTCACCTTTTATTTAGTCTTCGTCACAGGTAAGACCATTGGTTGAGGCCTTATTTTATCAAATTTCAATATTCATCTTGGCCCTGCTACGCGCATCAGATCCCGCCACAACAGTGCGTTGCGCTACTGCCGCGTGTGAGCTCGCGGTCCTGATTTCTTCCTTTTCAGGGAATGATTGCCTGCATGGTCCACCTCTTCTTCGCCTGGCGCGTTTTCGTGTTGACCAAGACGTGGATATACGCCAGTTTTATCACAGCTGTCGCAATTGCTGGAGGAAGTGAGTCGTTCCTTCCGCGCATGTGAATCAGTGATAGGACACTCAACCATGCAGTTGCATCCATCATGACCGCCGTTGAGGTCTCACGGACGCCGAAATTCGTGGATTTTCGTAACTTTAAGATGACGGTTATTATCTGGCTCGCGGCAGATGCAGTTGGCGATGTGGTGATAACGAGCGTTCTCGTTTGGCACCTGTGAGTCATTCCGACATTTATTCACTCATTAGGCAAGCGCTGACAGATCATGCCATAGCGTAAGATGTCCATCTTTCACAGGCCGTTCAATTCTGCTCACGATGGAACTTCCAAGCGTAAACATAAGACAGGTTTCCAGCATTCGGACATGATGGTTGATCGAATCATCAGAGGTATGTTCCTCAGCGCTCCGTCTTGAAAGGGTGTCGCTCACGATGGGTTCAGTTACCATTCAAACAGGCCTTGTGACCATGATAGTCGCCTCTCTGGACCTGCTCTTTTTCCTCATCGACGTGAGTTCATGGTCTTCAGGAGTACCGCACTCTGACCCTTTTCCCAGCCAACAGGGACGCACCTCCTTCTGAACTTCCCGCTCTCGAAACTATACTCAAACTCCCTAATGAGTAGCTTGAATTCACGTCGAGGATGGAACTTCACGGGCGCCAGCACTCGATCTGGCGGGACCCAATCTGACATACACGTTAACACGACGAGTGGGCTGCAGCGACATCTCCATATATCAAGTGGGAAAAAACCTGTAAGGTCTTGGTCTTCAGAGTGTGTCTCTCTCCTGAGTGCTGTTTTTCGCTGCCCAGAACGACATGATTGATATGGACGGCGGAGTCTTCGTACACGTTGAATCGCATGAGCTGCGCGACATCCCAACTGGTGACAAAGAGACCTTCGATGAGAAACCGAGAACCCTGGGATCCGAGTTCTCTGTGGAACGGCCAGTGGATACAGAGAAGTGGGCGGGGGACAGAAGTCAATGGGCTCGGTGAAAGACAAACAAGCAACTAGGGTAGGGCGCTGAGTCATGTAGAAGTATGGTAGTGTATATTTATCACAGTGTATGATGAGTAGATCGCGCGTGCAGGCATCTGCAGAAATGAATTGAGAGCATGTCCACGTTGGGTCCTCGAGAGTCGAGGTCCGAGAAACCGCTAGATGCTTGCAAATCATGCTCTCCAGCTCTGCCCAGTGTTTGGAAACATGGAGTATTTGGGCTTATCAATGCAGATTGTAAAGATAGAAAGGGGTCAGATGGATGGCTGAATGAACAAGCCGAAGATCAGGTTCTTTGGAAGGGGAGACAAAAGGCCACAAGTCCAACAGAAGGAACGCTGAAATATGTTGCCCAAAAACGACCGCGGCCAGAAATGGTAGGATCAATCACACCGATCATGATCATGGAGACGAGGAAGAGAAGCAAATACGGCGCCGGGGTGGAATCAGACGGATTCGCGCCGTGCGGAAGCAAGAAGAGATAAATAAAGGTGGTTTAGTGTGGTCTAGGTACGCACGGGGATGGCGGGTGGAATAGGGGTCATTGTGGTTAGGTGAGAGAGCGCGAAGATGCGTCATCGGCACCAGCCTGTCAGAGAGCGGTGGCAGGGCAGTTGGAAACGAGAACCGAGAGCTGAAGCCTCGGGGAGCGCTCGGTTCAAGAACGACAGGTATACGCAGGGTAGACGAAGCTTTGACCGAACAATCGGACATTTTGACAAGCCAATCCGTGACTTGGACGCACCACGGCGGTGCAAGGATCGTTAGAGAAGGAGGCCAGCCCTCCGTAAGGCGTTTTGTATGCATTGGTTGCTGGTTTCACAAAACAGGGTGGCTATCTCAGTGTGAATAGCAACTCTTGTAACCCAGAATTTGGCGGTCTTGCTGTCGTATTCCGAGAACTTTTATCTAGACCTTTCTTGCGAAGACTTGCATGAGAAGCTGTGCATGCTACCGCGATTTAGATAGAAACGCCGACTTCCACCAAGATCCGACGAGTTTGCCAGACATTCGAAGCCGGAGATTGGGAGAAATATGTTGATGAATCCTGATAAAATCGACTGACGACCCTTCTAGCGTTGGGATACCGACTGTTGAACCTCACAGCCCATCGCCCGACAGCGGTGAAGTCAGCAAGGGTGCAAGTTTCAACCTAGAAGAGACCTCGAAAGAAAGACGTCCTATGAGTTTCTTAAAATTCAAACCCTTACCTAGCATTGCGATTGCATTCTAACATGGAAGAAATCGGAGTGTTCGAAGGACTCGGTAAGCGCCGAACGGACTTCAATTTTTTTCAGGCTGGGCGCTTAGCCTTGAGGGGCTTCCAACAGTTTCATGTCTTCCAGCCGTCTGAATGCTATTCTAAGTTCAGGGTGCGGAAGCAAGTGTATGTACCCCTATGTGCCCTATTTCTCTGGGAACACTATTGAACATAGTACCCCTCCCCTTCAGGGGCTTGACATCAATGGGCACCTCTTAGGTTCTCCTCTGCGTGATTATTGTCCTCAAACATTCGGAGGCCGCCCAGTTCGAAAACGCGTGGCGAGAAGGCCTTACTACGGGATTTGGGAACGCTTCTCGACGAAGATCGTTGATGGTATCCATCGCGCATGGTCAGTAACCGATCCCACCGCCCCGCGTTGCCGAGACTGAATGGACAAATTGAAAGAATCAGCGCAACCACGTAAGCTTGGCATTCCTTTTCATGACCTATGGACTAGCGAGAGGGTAAATATACACGGATGGTCGTCGCAATCGCGCGAGCTTCTTTCCCCTCCCCGTCATCACCGTCCACGGTAGAGCGCGAAGAATATGGCATGGGTCAATCCTGTTAGCTTGAAAGGACCTGCTGAGATCGCGTCAGTCCTTTTCTCTCGTTGCTGCACCTTTTTTACCCTCAAGACTTGCAGCCACGGATGGATGCTCATCGGTTGTGCAATCAACATTCTTCTCCTCGGTGTGACATTCGCGCAAGTTTATATGTATTACACGGAATACAGGGGGTACGTGGCATGTTCAGAGTGTCCGGAGTGTCCTAAATATCCAGCTTTTAGCGACCGCCCATGGCTCAAAATTCTGGTTCGTCCTGGCCAAACTGCGTCCTTCCGAACTCTCCCATCATTGACATGGTTTAGGTTGCTTGCGTCCTTATATTCGACATCCTCAACAGCGTTGCCCTGTTCTCATTTCTCTACCGGTCCCTTATCACGTTCTTCGGTTTGCGGTGGTTTTTCTGTGAACATACATCGCCTTGCTTACCCCGCATTATTGTCTTCTAGGGGACAACGAAGCACTCGCCACGGGAAGCTGGAGTACGTTCTCAGCTCACGCTTCGAGACTGCACACTAATAGATCTTTTTTGACTTCCAGTTCTTGCCACTGGTGAGCTTTCCAAGCGTTTTTCCTAATCGACGAACCTAATACGAGGCTTTCTTGGACGTCAGGTGCTTGGACGACAGTGAGATCTCAATTCCTCAGAATGTTTGACCCGTGCTGTCTTAAATTTTTATAGGGAGTCATTGCCTGTGCCGTCCAATCGTTTTTTGCCTGGCGGATTTACATGCTCACGAAGAAGTGGATTTATGTTGTGGTCATCGGGTCTCTGGCTATCACGGGTGCTGGTGAGGATTTTGCCAATTAGCTCCCTTCGTTGTCGTCCTGATCATAACAAATGTGCCTCGATTACCCAGCTGCAGCCATTATAACCACCATACAGACCGGAATCTCTCGCCCCTTTGTTGAATTCCTCAATTTTAAGGCGACAGTGACGGTATGGCTCGTCTCGGAAGTAGCAGCTGACATCATCATCACATCTGCGCTCGTGTGGTATCTGTAGGTCCAACTTTTGATTCTTGCGTTGATCATGCTGATCGGTTCTTCGCAGCGTAAGCAGGCTTCCGATCAGCAGCGCAAATCCCAAAGCTGACTTTGCTTCCGCACTAGCACAAGCACAAGACCGGTTTCGAGCGGTCGGACATGGTCGTCGACCGTATTATCCGAGGCGCGTTCGTCGTATTTCCTCGGTCGTCAAGCTGCTGATATTCTGTTCTAGTGACATTACAAACGGGCCTCCTAACGATGATCATTGCGTCCGTTGATCTATTCTTCTTCCTCTTCGACGTGAGCTCTTCGTTTACTTAGTCGTTATTCGAATTTTCACAGTAGTCTCACCAGCCTTCGGGAACGCACTTTCTGTTCAATTTTCCGCTATCGAAGCTCTACGCCAACTCGCTGATGAGTAGCCTGAACTCACGACGCGGGTGGAAGTTCAGCGGGATTAGCCATGTGGGGACGGGTACTGGGTCGGAGAGCCAAGGGATCACGACGAGCTGGGTGCAGAGACACCTGCGGATATCGACGGTCCCGCGGCCGGTGCGTCTCTCGTCTCTGCGTTGTGTCGGACATTACTCATGGTTTCATCAGCTTGATGAAATCTCGCAGGTCGAGTCGCAAGAGATGCGCGATATCCAGGCCATTGAGAAAGCGCATAGCAGACCGCGCGAGACGGTGCATATCCATTCTGGTTCAGTGGATATGGAGAAGTGGGCCACTGGCAGGAGTCAGTGGATAGGGTAGTAAATTATCTTGCTTCGGTTGGGTTGTGGGTGTCGAACGCCCGCTGTTGCTTGAATTTAGTTATGTGTATTTATACGAACTTTGTACTTCCATGGACTCAATACACGAATGAAATCGTGTCGCATTATAATCCCAAATCCAGCCTAAGTATAAGCTCATGGAACTTTCGGGTCTCCATTCTTTGGTTCTCCTCCAGCTTGCCATGGTTTGTATCTGATTTAGAGTCGAACAATTCTACATACATTTTACAGGCACAGCTTCAATCGATTGTATGAAAGTACTGTCGCCACCCTCCTGACGATGCACACAGGCCATCTTCCAGCCTGTGCGACGGAGAAGGTCATCCATCTCCACAACAGTGCGCTCTTGAGCATTCAGGAGGAGGAACATCTTCACGCAAATGTCAGCAAAAGAGCCTGCGGTCAAGCCAGCTCGAGAAACTCACAGTGATATCAGCGTTGAACCCCATATCGTTTGCTGCACCGTAATTGGCGAGCAAAGGTGCGGGTGCCTCCTTGGGGACAGCCCCAGGTGTCTCGCCCCCGAGATCAGAGCCAGGGTCATGACATGCAAATGGCATTAAGCTCTCCATAAGGACCAGCGTGGTGTTCGGAGACGCAGCCTCTCGCAGTTGGGTCAGAATTTTGACACAGGACGGGTCTGCCCAGTCGTGGAGGATTTGCTTGAGGATGAACACATCGGCTCCTTTGTGGGGTTGGGACGTAAAGAAGTCATGGGCTAATGAGATTGCAATGAGATATACTTCGGCAAACGGATGATACGAGAGAAGAAGGTTTCTTCACATTCTAAAGTAACACGTTCAGATGTCAATGCGTCTGGTAATTCCTTCGACCACACCCTCTTGGCGTCCTCGATGACGGGAGGGAGATCTTGAAGGATGACATAAAGTTCAGGGTACTTGCGTGCAATAGGGAGAGACGCGGTTCCGACGCCTCCACCAACATCAACGACGACGGAGCCTGGAGCAAGGCTTCCCCAATCGAAAGCTATTCCGCGCCGTAACAATCATACTCTCAGAGCTGCCCTTAGCCGGCAGAGCCATAACCAGACGCACCATCCAAGCTTGCGTTCTCAGGTTGGAGCGCCCGAACACCTTGCATGCCAATATTGAATCGTTTGTACTTATACAGGTTCTCCGGGCGCTGGTAGTAGTCCCATAGCGTCTCCTTCCTACCAGTCGCACGGGAGAGAGGTGTGTCGGTCGGGGCGTCGGTACTTTGCGGGTCGGAAACTATCTCCCAGGAGTAGGCGGCTGCTTTGAAGGCTTCGTCGAGACTGCCGAACCAAAGTATTAGTAAGGATGAGTCAAGAGTAGGCGAGATTGTACAAATTTCTTACTGGTGGGCGGCTAACGCAGGAAGGCCATGTGTGTTCTCATGCTTCTTCTCGGGACTAGCACAATCATTTAGTTTCATGGAATGTCACAGAAAGGCAGTTGAACTCACTGGGCTATAATTTCCACGCTGGGTTTTAGCGTATCGAGCATGCTCGAAATACGTGTATTCGCAAAAATGTTCGGCCTCACTTCCCTGTATACATGGTGGTTCGAGAGTATACGAAGAAAGCGCCCTGGTTTATTCAAGACTTTAGTGCTCGATCACGCAATCTTGAGTCTTACTCACCGATCTTTTGTGGGTCCTGGCCATTCTTCGCTCCAATATCGTTGATGTGGACTCCCTGATCTGGGCCGTCATGATCCTATTCTTTGCTCTGGGGAAGTAGAGGCCAAAGTACTCACATTCGGCCCTCCTTCGCGAAGGATCTCGGTCACACTTGACTCGAGACAGACGCGGAGAGCAGCAGATCTGAAGAACTTAGACAAATTCAGTGCTGAAGGAAAAATAAATGTTGATCAGAAAGAAACCTACTCCGCCAACCATATGGTACAGAGAAACCTGCGGTGGGGCGAATATGGCAGCTAATTGAAGAGCGGCGGCGCTCAGGACATTCGCTGCTTCGCCAGCAATGGGGTCGCTGCGGAACGCCTCGCTCGCAGGGTGGAACGGCGCGTTCAAGTCCGGAATCTCGAAACGCTTCTCTGCGCATACTTTCTCGATGGTCGATAGAGACGCGGACAGCAGCTCGAGGAGCTGACGAGCGGGAGACGACATAGTGGGGCTGTTTGGTGCTCTGCAAGGCCGAGGCAAGGGACGGGTGACACAACTAGTGTTGAACGATAATCATACGACTATATGGCTTTTATACCCTGCAAAGATAGAGGGCCATGAAGGGGCGGCACATTTCGGGCCATATGAATCCGCGCATGGCGACCATGTACCGCGAGAGCACGAAAAGCTCCTAGACATATGGGGATCAGGGATGATTGCAAGCCAGGGCTGTGCCACCATCAGCGCTTACATGAAATGAGTAGCGTGCAGCTGACCACGGTGTGTCGAACACGTTCAGGATGGAGGTTGCTGACCACCGAAATAACACAATCGTATCTATAGCAAGTCCGTGAGTTGAGTTAAAGCGGGCTCCCGTTGTGTTCTTGAATGAAAGTCTTGTTCGGTCTCTCTTTGAAAGCAGGAGCAATCTGACTTTCGAGTTCTGGACGATGGAGGATATCTGAGGGTTGAGATTGGTACCTTGATTGTGCCGTCCTCATCGATTATCTCTGAGGTGTTGACATCAATTTCGCGGATGCTCGGCACTGACTTTAGATAAGACTGATGCAGGAAAATGTTGAGACTCGCGCCGTGCTGTTAGAATCGTCCGTAGTATACCGCTTTCTGAGCTCGAACGTCGTGCAGGGGCGCCTCAGTTTTACTTAGATTGCCATTCAGGACATGCAGACAATAATAATCGAACTCAGAAAGAGGGCTAGAGAAGCCCAAACTAGTAAGCTGCAGAACCCAAATACGTGGAGAACACTGACTAATGAGCAACATGGTCATCCAACCCGAAATGAAATTATCTACGATTTCTCCATCGGGATCGCCTCCATGGACAGGACGAAGTGGTTGTTCCCAGTTTCTGGACGACGCACAAGGGTCAGCTCCCAACCCGTACGACGGAGAAGATTGTCCATCTCGACAACCGTACGCTCTTGGGCGTTCGCAATGAAGAACATCTGCACACCAAAATCAGCACTTTATCGCAGCAAAATGATTAAGTTCAGGTAGACCCGATACACACCGTCATATCTGCAATGTACGCCATCTCGCCTACCGCACCATAATTGGCAAGCAGGGGCGACGATGCCTCCTTCGGGACAGCACCGGGGATCTCGCGTCCGATGCCGACAGCGGGGTCGTGGCATGCAAATGGGATCAGGGTGTCCATGATGACGAGCTTGGTTGTGGGTGAGGCTGCTTCACGCAGATGGCGAAGGATGGGGATGCAGGACGCGTCGGGCCAATCATGCAGGATCTGCTTCAGGAGGAAGACATCGGCACCTTTGTGCGGTTGGGTCTTGAAAAAGTCGTGGGCTACCAATGCGGCGGTAAGTGTTTAACCGCTGGTGTGGATTGGATTTGACTGACCTTCTAGCTTGACGCGGCCGGACTCGAGCGCATCAGGGTTCTCCTTTTTCCAGAGCTGCGAGGAGCAAATCAGATTTCAGAAAGAACTATATAAAGGGATAGAAATAAACACACCTTTGTGGCACTCTCGATCACAGGTGGAAGGTCCTGCACGACGATCTGCAGGTCGGGATATTCTCGTGCAACAGGTAAGGACACACTTCCAAGCCCTCCGCCAACGTCAACCACGACGGAGCCCTTCGCGAGGCTCTTCCAATCGAACGCTGCGTGCCACACATCTCAGCACCAGATCTGGCCCACGAAACTAGTCTGACGCGACGCACCGTGCAATCCCACATCACCAGGCTGCAAAGCCCTCATACCGCGCATGCCGATGTTGAACCGTTCGTACTTGTGGAAGTTCTCTGGACGTTGGTAGAACTCCCACAAAGTTTCTTTGCGACCAGTCGCACGTGAAAGCGGCGAGTCAGTCGTCGCGTCGGTCATGTTTGGGTCGGAGACAGTCTCCCATGCGTATGCGGCTGCTTTGAAGGCTTCGTCGAGACTACGAAAAGAGAGTCGGTTAAGGATTCAGAGGGATGGGAAGAAGGCTCACTGATGGCAGGCTATGGCAGCTAGGCCAGGTGTGTTTTCGTGCTTCTGGGCTGGGCTGCGGAAAAGATGTGTAGCGTTAGAAGACAGGCTAGAGAGGTTAGGAGATCAGTGCTGACTGAGCGAATAGTTCTGCACTGGGCTTGAGAGTGTCGAGCAGACTGGAAATTCGGGTGTTGGTGAATACGTTTGGTCTGACCTCTCGATAGATGTGGTGGTTTGCGAGAATACGGAGGAAGCGGCCTAGACGATTGAACTCGACAGTCAGAAGCTTTTCTCGTTGATGACGGCCCATCATCCTCACCAATTTTCTGCGGGTCCCGGCCGTTCTTTGCTGCGATCTCATTGACATGAACGCCCTGGAGTTACATTACGTCCAGGTTAAGCTACCAACTGCGAACAACGCATGAATAAAGTACACACGTTCGGGCTTCCTTCACGTAGGATTTCCGTTACGTTTGACTCGATGCAGACCCGGGCAGCGGCAGATCTCATGAACTGAACAAATTAGAGATCAAATACTGTCTTTGATGAGATGATGTGAAATTCACGTACTCCCGCGACGGTGTGGTACAACGAAACCTGGGGCGGGATGAAGATGGCCGCGAGCTGGAGAGCTGCAGCACCGAGGACGCTCGCAGCCTCGCCAGCCACGGGGTCATTGCGAAACGCCTCACTCGCGGGGTCGAAGGTGGTATGCAAGTCAGGGATGTTGAAGCCTTTCTCCGCACATGTTGTCTCGAGCGTCGAGAGAGACGTTGAAATAAGTTGTAACAGCTGACGAGCAGGAGACGACATGGCAGATTTCGTTGTCGTTCGCGATTCTTGTGAGGAGCTAACATAGAAATGCTTGAGCATTTATACACGCTCCGAGACGGAGAGAACCGACAACCTTTGTTGGGAATAATGGCCCGGCTCTTGCAATAGCTTCAAGATGTCTTGCGTTCTGAGGCAGTCACGGTATTGCGTTGGGGTGCATTTCGAGGTGGTTATCACGTCAGCTGGTGGGTAAAATTGATAATCGAAGTATCTTGAAGGGGAAAGGAGTGTTCTGGGCTGCGCTAAGGTGCCCACTTGCAGCTTCGGAGCCGGATAGCTCTCACTAAGATCGTACAGAAAGTCACATAGAGGTCTTCGAAAGGCAGGGGTGGGATAACCTGAAGCTTTTCGTGGATGTAATAAGCTGACAGGTTATATGTAAGTCGTTACTCATTGAGATTCCATAATATGCTCACAGATTTTCATTCCAAATCCTCTCGAGAAGACTGGTGAAACGGCGTGTGGAAAAGTATTGCGACCTATTATCCTATTTTAGCATCCAACAAGACGCCGAATATCACGGCGACAAGAGCCCCGAGGACGAAAGCCACGAATATCACTGAAAAACGAGCGACGGGAAATTTCTTCTCAGGCAGGGCTCGTTGGACGAGGAAATACCTGTAGACGCCTTTTCGGTACAATGAATGGAGTAAAACTACGGAAAAGTCAGAGGAGGAACTTACCTATTACAATGGTAACCAGCGCAAGGAGGGTCATGGTAACACCCAACGGTCTGGAAAACTTTTGAACCCTCCTGCTCATGGCACTCAGGGATGTGTTCGTGTTTCTCGAAGTCAAATCGGCGATTGTGAACAGTTGAATAAGGGCGACTCCTGCAGATGAGAGGCCTAAAGAGGTCCGAACGTAGGCGAGGAAGGTTCTTTCTGACGCAAGATGGTCCCTAGCCACACTACCAGAGTTGTCCAGAACCATGGAAGGTTTGAACTGTCTGATCGCCAGGAAGAAACGTAACCATGTTGGGGCAGAAGAAAAGTTGGTCATTCTCTCCGGACGAAATTCCAAACTCCCGCTTCCGTTCTATACGAGCTGCTTTCCTCCTCGACCTCCTGCCTTCCTTTTCAGCGGCAGACGATGGCCGTAATTTGGCTGTCTCTCGAAGCGGGGCTACGCCTGACTCTAGATTCTCTGGGGTGAGAGCCCGTCGTGAATTTGCAATGGTCCCATTCCGTCCAATAGAGCGAGACCTCGTGGACGATAAGGAGCTTGGCCGCGAACCAGCAACATATTGTCGTCGTTTTTGTTGAGATACGGCAGCAGGAGGAGTAGCGCTCGACAACGGAGATAATGGATGTTCGAAAGGGGTAGACGCCGAACCCTGTCCAAAAGATGCTTTGGAGCTGGGCATATGGGTGGAAGAGGGAAGACGGTCGTTGTGACGAGAGCTGTGATGGCACGATCCGTCACATCACGTGCCTTCTCCTTAGACGCGACAAATTCGGACAATTGAATTTGAAGACGCGAAATCAACGCGAAACACAAGCGAAACTTGCTGAAGAAAGATGCTCCTGCAGCGTCGTCTCTGATGTCCAACGGCCATTATTTGATGGTGGGAAGGCCGTTCTCAGCTCGGCCCGCGTCCAAGCTCAGACACGTCGATAAATCATGATTGTCGATAAATATCTACTACTAAAGTATATAGCAAGCTGCACACTACATAGCTCCACGTTCAAAGTTCAGTACTCAAATACTCAATGTCCGTCTCGAGAGCGCCGTGCGAGAGCTCATGCAAATCCCATGTACAGTTCAGCGAATCCACTGGCTTTTCCCCCTTCCCCAATCGTCTACACCCACCTGCTGTTCCACTGAGTGTTCTGACCCCAGAGTTCTTGGCTTTTCATCCGGCGTATTGTCGCCCGTTGGAACATCGCGCAGCTCGTGCGACTCGACGTGGACGAAAACTCCGCCTTCGACATCTATCATCTCATTCTGTGTCAAGCGAGCGGATATCAGGCAAGGGATGGAAGAAAGAAGAGGCAGAGCTTACAGGTTTTTTCATACTTGAGATATGGACGTGTCGTTGCGCGGCATTGGGTTCCGACTGTGCGCCGTAGCCCCCAGACTGAGTTCCAGCGGTGCCGGCAATGCCCCACCCACGACGTGAGTTCAGGCTACTCATGAGGGAGTTCGAGTAGAGCTTCGAGAGCGAGAAGTTGAAGAGGAGGTGCGTTCCTGTTGGCTATGGACCGAGTCAGAACATAGAGCCCGATTTATGCTGAAAGGGCTTAACGCACGTCGATGAGGAAGAACAGGAGGTCCAGAGACGCGACGATCATAGTCAGAAGGCCAGTTTGAATGGTAACTGGATTCATTGTGAGATAGGACCGCGTAGAATGAACATAAAGGAGCATACCTCTGATGATTCGGTCTATCATCATATCCGAGCGCTGGAATCCCGTCTTATTTTTACGCTACAGAAATTTCTCGTGAACAGAGGCGAATGGCGGGCGTAGGATCAAACTCATACCCTGTAAGATTTGGTAGCTCAGCCTTCGTCTAATAACAAACAATGGGGACAAATACTCACAGATACCAGACAAGAATGCTCGTGATAAGAATGTCGTCGACGACGCTGGCCACAAGCCATACGATGACAGGGTTCTTGAAGGCATGAAAGTCTATAAACTTCGGCGTCCGTGCGACACCAACGGAGCTCAGGATGGAACATACTGCACAATAGAGTTCGTTCACTCATGAGTGCTGAAGGGGTCCCGAGATCCAGGTAAAAACTCACTTCCGGCGGTGATCGCAAGGATCGTGATAACCGCAGAGTATATCCACGTCTTCGTCAAGACGAAGATGCGCCAGGCGAAGAAGAGCTGTACCATGGTGCCGACCAGTCCCTGAAAAGAGATAAATCAGACCCCTGCTAATCCGCAGTGAAGGTCTCAACACACCGTCGTGGCAGGATCTGATGGTGGGCAAGATAGATATGAAGATCTCATTAATGAAAGTTCGGGTGAATGGGCTTACCAGTGGCCACGTCTATATTGAGAGGTAAGGCGCGTAAGCCACGAGGCAAGGTAAACGAGTCTTGGCACTCACAGTGGTCTGCCCTCTCAATGAAATCAAAGTCGCCTGGAAGACGACAAGGTTTGGCAAGTAGGCCAGCTCGGGAAGAGAATCAAGGCTTACCAAAGAACGTTATAAACGATCGATAAAGGTATATAAATATGAACACCGTGTTGACGACGTCAAGAACGAAGAGGACGGCGACCTGAACAGGTGAATGGTCGGAATACAGTCTCCAAGGCAAGACTTAGAAAAACAATTAACTGACGTATATCTTCATCCATAGTTGGTCCCTAATCCCGAAAGAATTACGTCTACATCTCCACAGGAAATATACTCGACGCACCTCTTGTATGTTGTATAGTACAGATACACCTGTGTAATCATGATCCCTAGCAGGAGTACATTTATGAAGCATCCGAGAAGCATCCACCGATGACTTCGACATTACATGAGTGGATTAGCGGGTTTTTCGTAACCATTGAGAAGACTCACGCTACTTCAGCAGGATTATTAATAGGCGGACTAATATTCACCATCTTGAACAGCTGAGAGGAGTGAGGTGGGACGGGAAAAAGTAAGGAGCTGTCAGGGAGGCAGTGGAGTTGAAAGGAAGGCGCTCTTATTTGAAACCCTCAGTACGAACAGACCCACGGAAGTAACTGGGCATACTCGGTTCCGTTATACTTAGCCCGCCTATCATATTTCAGAATACGAATCGCCTGAACAACGGGGAGGATTACATACTTTCGGCGTGGAGTGTGGGCGACTTGTTCTTCTTCTGGTATACGTTGCTGTGCGGTAGTTCTCTAGCACCCGCCGCTCGAGACGATTGGGAGGCCTACCTGGCATTTGCTCCTAAAATTGCATGGCTTCTCCCGTATTGCACAGGTTCGCATTACCAATCAACGATCGAACTATACAACACCCCAGCTCGAGCATGAGCCCTCTACAGAGACTTACCTGCTATCTCGGATATGCTGGCGATCTGGAGCGATGAGCCCGATTGTTTCGGTGGAGTTCGAGAAACCCATCACATTCGCAATGTCATTCCATTTCCTGGACGAGGCAAATTTCCCAATTCAAAGGTATGCTTCCGGATGCTCCAAAACAAGTTTGACATCACTTGCATTCGGGCTTCAAGGGTTCAAGTCGGTGCTTCGACGGATATCGGAAACAACCTTGCAACTCCGTGAAAATAAGTGTCTTGGATGTTGAAAGCTTCAATGAAAGATCCACACACCTAACGTCGCAGAATGCGAGAATTTTCGTTATCCTGGCCATCATCTGGAGCTCTCTACCCAAAATCTGAATATTATTCCTAGAGGTTGGTGTACGAAGTAAATTTAGACTGCGTGATGATCAGAGATTCGTAGCCTGCAATTTATCAGTGGCCTCCAATAAAATCAATCTGATCTGAAAACTCACCTGGAGGAAGTTCAAGAGTGATAGGAAGCCACCTGAAATAGATTGCGATGAGAAACCACGGATACCAGTGCTTCGACGGCAGGTTCGGAGTGTAACAGTCTTTCATCAGAATCAACGAGTCTCGAAAAGATGGAAGTATCCCAAGGAGTGTCGTGGTGAGCAGCAACACACGAGACATACGGATGTTCCTCGAGCATAATAGATAGCTGACCACAGAGGTGAACCCTAAGAAATAGATGGGCGAGGAGGGCGGGCTGATTGACAGCGTGGATAGCACATTTCCAGCTTATCCAAGGGAGAGGCCAAGGCGTTCGGCGCACGAGCGAGGGGCCGGGAGACAAGTGCGAGTCGACCTTTTGAGTCCGCAGAGCCAGCAACAAGACAATAGTTAGATGCAGGATAGATATGCAGGGTTGCATGCGCATGAGCTTTGTCGTACCTTTCCTCGGCCATTTAGATCTCGTAAACTGAATCTTGTGGATTGGGTCGTATCTGCGCGATTCGGGGTTTTCCAGCAACACCGACCTGTCGACCAGCGACGCAATAATGGAATGAGAGAGATAACCTGAGGTCCAATCGCAGCAAAGTGACATACTGACTTCGGACTGATGTTACCAGAGCAGTCAGTTTATAGCAACCGCCCAAAAACCTCGCAGCGGGATGTTTCTGTCTCTCGAATTCAAATCTGCAACGGTAAAAGATGGGCAGGCCGGTCGAAGAAGCGAGTCAAGGCCTCAAGCATCAAGAGCCATGACTAGTCAAGACGCTACGATCCTATCACAAGCAAAAAACGCGGGCAAGTCTGTTGCAGAGGAAGTGAGTGGATGTTGATATAGGTAGTAGCAGAATGAGACACTTGCATTCAAACATTCATCTGAATTTCTGCGCAGGTTGTGTCCTGCTTAACTCTTCTCAGCGACCAATGGAAGTGGATTCAACTGGGTTCTATGGAGCTGTTCCGGCGTCAGAGATTCCTCCTACATGATTGGTCTCGCCTATGCGTCATTGCGTAGAGGACCTAAATCAGGTACGATAACTTATCCAGCACGAGGAGGAGTATTTTCGTCGCTTTCTTTGAGGTATGACAGCAGTAAGAGTAGAAGAGTACGGGACGGTATCCAGTAAACCGTCGCAGACCACGGCCAGGAGACGCCTTTCAAATTCCGGTAGTCGTGCGTGATTGAAGGAGAAAGAAGGCGCCGGGCCGGAAGTTACATTGAAACAACACGAACTGTCACGACACGTGCGTCCACTTATCCTCGCGAGTCCGACAATGACAACCATTCCCAGCAGCAACTTCCACGATGACAGACACGAAACCCGCTAAACGAAAACGCACCGATAGCCTTGACTCTAACATTCTAGGATGGTCGCCAGGCGTGGACCCTGAGGAGGCAGGAGCTGTGACACAGTCTCGCGAACACTGGTTCAACGACGGCAACATCATCCTCCAGGCGGAGTCCAAGCGGTATCGCGTCCACCAATCTGTTCTCAAGCGTTACTCGTCTTGGTTCGACGAGGCGTTGCTGTTCCCTCAGCCTGCTGAAGCCGAGATTCAACGTGATGACTGCCCCTTTTTTGTCCTTGGCGACACTACAGAGGACATCGACAACATGCTCACCTTGCTCTATGACACCATGAGGTATGCGCCTGTTGTAATTTCTGAGTCTCTTACAATCGTTGACTTACCAGCGTCTTAGTGTAAGCGTGTTTAGGGGAATCTCAGTGTCGGTGCTCGGAACAATGCTCCGGCTGGGGAGGAAGTATTCCTTCAAGATTTTCTGGGATGAGGCTGTCAAGTTCCTTGAGAAATCATATCCCGATACTCTGTGCGATTGGGATGGAGAAGAGAAGCAAATTTATGACAAATTTACCGACAATAATGAGGACGCCCTTTTCGGTGTCATCGCTCTTGCTCACGAATTTGGTCTCAAGTCCGTTCTTCCCACCGCCTATGTTTCCGTGCTGTTGGAATACGATTCGGTGGGCATTTATCCTTAACTTCTATCGTTTTCCCGGTCTTTCTTATGCTCAATTACGAGTGCAGACCACATTTTTCGCAAAGCGTCGGGTTGCCTGGCGTGTGGAAGAGCCGCTCAACTGTCTGTTGGCCCGCGAGAAGATCTACAACGCCATCACGAAACACCCTCTCTCTTGGCTACACGAAAGCACGCCTGTGAGCAAGAAGTGCGTATCGCGGGCCGGCTGCACCTCTGTAAAGCACGCCGCTCTCATCGCGCTGCTCAAAGGGGACCACCGTACGACCCTTCAGATCCTGGTAACGGGATGGTGCGACACGGATCTTGGCAACGATTTCTGCAAAGAATGCTCCCCCGTGGTGGAGAAGATTTACAACGAAGGAAGAAAAAAGGTGTGGCACTTGCTCCCCGAATATTTAGGTCTGGAAAACGAGGTTTGGAACACACGCTTCGAATCTCCAGAGTAGATAGGGCTCTTTCGCATCTCGAAATTTCAGAACTCGTTCCGTGAATCTTGCGTGTCTAGATACATTCCAACGGGCCAGCAGAGGCCATGATACAACTCATAATGGAAGGTTCGGGTTATGCCCAAACCCAAATCGGGTAATCCCGCCCTTCTTTGCACCTGTTTCTGCTTGCTTTGACTCGGATCTCTTCCTGTCTTTCGTTCGCTATATGTCCCAGCTGCCCTCAAAGCGTCCCAGGGTCGACGGATCGGACGATGCAACAGAGCATGATGGCGATGCAGCAGTGCGAATACCCCCGGTCCAGCGCTCGGAGAAGTTTTGGATAGAGGATGGCAATGTCATTCTCCACGTCGAAGACACACAGTTTAGGGTTCACAGATCCATGTTGACGCGTCATTCTACCATATTCAAGGATGTATTCTCCGTACCACCTCCGTCGTCCGAACAAGCTCGGGATCCAGTGTTGGAAGGTTGTCCTGTCGTCAAGTTGTCGGATAGAGCAGGCGACATGGAGCAGATTCTGTCTATCTTCTACGATAATGCCAGGTATGCATTCATTTCTTTCCCGGTAGCAATGGTTTCATTAATGTTTGAAAATCTAGTTTCCTGGATCTTCGCGAAGACATTCCCATTGGCCGACTGGCTGCTATGCTGCGTCTTGGAAAGAAGTACGACATTGCGTACCTGCGAGACGAGGCTTTGAAACGTTTTCGATCAGAGTTCCCCACTACTTTGGAGGCCTTCGACGCTTCCTACGGCGATACAAGGGGCCCTTCCATCGATTATGACTCACCCTCCGATTTAGATGACATTTCGACCATCATCTGCCTGTCACAAGAACATGGGCTACCGTCAATTATGCCAGCGGCATGCTTCAACCTTGTCTACTACATCCCACCTGTGAGTTCGTGCACTTTGTTCTACAAACATTTAGGCCTTATCCAGATAACAGGAAAAGATTCTCGATGAGGCAGTCCTACCACAGGAGCTCCGAAATCGATGCATAATGGGCCAGGATCATCTAATACGAACGGTTCACAACATTCTTTTCGACTGGACAGAATCTGAGAGCTTCATGTCCCCCGATCACTGCACTGGTGATCATCTAGATGGGTATGATAGGAAGAAGGTGCTCCGTGAACTCAATGATGGGCTGTGGTTGGCGGACGATGGCTCTGTGTGGTGCTTTTCTCCTACGCTTCCCGGCAACGTCCAGGAGACCCTGAGCAATCTTTGCGCATCATGCTCAGAAAGTGTCATTTCTTACTATCATGCAGCTCGAAAGGAAGTATGGCAAGAGTTACCTATTTTCTTTGGATTTCGAGGTTGGGAAGACCCAGACTTGAAGGACTTCGATAGCTAATTGTACATTAGTTAAGGGACAGATATTGAACCATGCCTAGCGAGTTTCAGAGAGCAAATAAGAGCAAAATATGTCTCGCCATGTATCTGATGTGGTGAGGCAGGACGAGGGGCTTCGGCGCAGTATTTGGGGGCTTGGCGTGACCGAGATGCCAGGTAAATCGGACAGGTTCCTTCTTCCTTCCTTCCTTCAACGTTCTTCTACTCTATCATCATCGTCGCGACGCGCCACTCAGGATTCTTGACCATTCTTCATGGACGAACCGCCAGCCAAACGGAAGCGCACAAGCGATGACAATGCCACTGATGACTCGCCTTCAGGCTCTCTCGCGGACAAAGCCGTGAAGCGGTCGACAAGTTTCTCGAAGAAGAATACCCCGAATATGTGTATCAATATGAGAGCTCCAACAGGCCAATCTATTCAGCCCTCATCGCCAACACTAACCATGAGATCGCTTTCGAAGTCATTTTTCTCACTCATGAATACTGTCTTACTGCAATCCTTCCTGGAGCCTATACAGTCATCCACCGGCCAATGAGACACCACCGGCTAATGATACACCTCGGAACACCATGAAGGATTCAACTGTTTGCTTTGAAAAAATAACCCCATTCTCTATAAGTCTTTAATACATTGTGTATAAAATTTTGTGGGTTCTGGTGAAGTCAATGCCCGGTAATAAAATCACCAAAATATTCATTTTGGTTGATTTTGTCACACCAGTCACTGGTACAGCATCTCTGGCTGTTTCTGCTCACGTTTGGTTGATTTTATGGCATACAACTGGTATAAATTTATTTTAATGGCTCTATTACACTGATTCCAAGTGGTTTTATGAGAATCCATGGGCTGGTTGAGTTCTGGGATCAAATTTAAATTTCAGTGTATCAAATGATGGTGGATGACTGTATCTCAATATTTGCAAGATATGATTTGGTGCGGCGTCTCTCATCGAAAGATACCACGACTTCATGATCTTCTCCAGGATGCCATCAAAAAGGCCTTCGAAGATCGGAAGAATTCTTCCCGATTACGCGACAAAGAGCCGCTGAACTGTTTCACGGCACGCGAGGGTATCTTTAACGCAGTTAAAGAACGTCCTCTTGCCTGGCTCCATGATGGTTCCATTCCGACAAAGCAATGCACGACACGCTCCCCACGTTCGACTGCGAAGCACCGAATTCTGATGAGCGTCATGAAAGAGAAGGTCCAACGCACCATCCTTTTCCTTGTCACGAGCTGGGATAAGTCAAAGTTGGATGTCGGGCTCTGCGCGGAATGCAAAGATTTTACAGAGGGGGTGTATGACAATGGACGTGAGGCGGTTTGGGATAAGCTCCCTGAATATTTTGGGTTGACTGGACCGGCATGGGCTGGAAGTCTGAACGATAATTCCGACTAGTTAGGCCGTGTACATCTGTTCATTTACCTACTTACCGGTACCAGTTACCTACTTTCGATCGCGATTTTGGGTCACAATAGCACACACGTCTGATCTCGGCCTCCGGCCCGGTCACTTTCCACGTCCTGATTCTGGACAACGCGCCGTCACAATTGTTGTTCACCTCCTCCCTTGACATCGTTATGATGTCCACACGGCCTTCCAAGCGACAGAGAACCCAAGAGAGCCAATCAGATAGTGAAGACACCTCATCATCACTTGAAGACTTGGCCCCTGCAGCTGAGGGAGAATCAGAGGCAACAGAGGAGGGCGCTGAGGAAAGCAGTGAGGAGGATGGTGAGGAAGACGACCAGGAAGATTTTCGCGTCAAGACGCGCTCAACCCAGTACTGGTTCAAGGACGGGAACATTGTGCTCGAGGCTGGCCGAAAGCACTACCGCGTCCATCGTTCTGTTCTCTCTCGCTCTTCCGCTGTCTTTGCCAACATTTTCTCGCGCCCTCTACCTCAAGCTCCGTTGGACGAGCCAATAGATGGCTGTCTTATCCTGCGCTTGGACGACTCGTCTGAGGATATAGAGACACTGCTGGACCTGCTCTATGACTCGACAAAGTATGGTCCAGAGATTGCTGTGCTCCGATTTTTTTCGGTCTAACGAGCTTTCAGGACGAGCATTTTCAAGCAGGAAACCTCACTAGCTATCCTTGGCACCATACTCCATCTCGGGAGGAAGTATTACTTCAACACGTTCTGGGACCAAGCTATGCTCTTTCTGGAGCGCATATATTCACCTTCGCTCGTTGACTGGAATGGAGCCAAGCGCCCTATCTACGAAAAACTCGCAGACGATAAAGAAGATGTCGTCTTCGGCATCCTCTCGTTCGCTCACGAGTATCGCCTCAAGTCGATACTTCCTGCCGTCTACCTTGCTATGTTTCTGGAGTACGACTTGGTATGCTGCTTGTCCTCGACATCAACGCCTTCGTTGTAACAATTGACACAACTTCAGAAAAAGATAAAGCAGTGCTTCAAGGAACGAAAAGACACCATGACGCTGCGCGTTGATGAACCCGCCAATTGCCTCATGGCACGCGAGATGATTTACAACGCGATGGCCGAATTCCCTCTTTCTTGGCTTCATCGAGGCACCGTCCCTACCGTCAAATGCGAACGGCGCGAGCACTGCACAACTAGAAAGCACACCACGCTCATGAGAGCGATGAGGCGGAATGTTCAAGACACAATCGCGCTCCTTGTCACGGGCTGGGACAAGACCAAACTCGGAGAGGGACTGTGTGCAAATTGCACGGTTGTTGCGAAACGTGGGTACGACAATGGAAGAGCCAAAGTCTGGGATTTGCTTCCCGAAAATTTCGGTCTGAACGATGCCGTTTGGCGTAGGCCTTCTCCCTGAGGCCCTCGATTAGTCATGTACTCAATGCTCTTACACAAACTAAATGATAATTGGGTTTTCGCTACCTTTGATTAAGTACTGTTATGTAGCAATTTCCTCCACCCGTTATCTGATTCAATTTTCTATGAATGACTTTACCTCTCCTTATATTCAGAGGCTCGTGAAGTAGGTCGCCCGGACCGGTTTGTGATCATAATGGCGCCGTGGCACGCGTTACTCTTCCAACCTTCATCAACTATGGTGGTCCGTGCTGGACAAAAATACAATGAAAATGAAATTCAGTGACGATTGTGGCAGAACGTGGGAGAAAGTCAGGGAACGGTCACGATAGCCAAGGAACGGTCACGATTGTCAAAGAATGTTGACGTTCTTTGACGATCGGCACAGAAAGTTACCTTTTTGGCAGGATGTTAACAATAATCAAAGAATGACACCCTGCAGAATGTCACCGTTCGTCACCGATCCGTTGACAGAGGCCAAAACAAATGAGAATTTGCCTTCATCAGCAAATCCTGATTTTGAGGGTCAAAATGACCTCGATTTCAGCGTTACACCGCGTTATGGCGCGTTACGTAGCGCTGCGTAACGCGCCATAGCGTTGTAATGCATCTTCTTATCTACCGAGATGGTCCCCAACTACGGAGTGCTACATGCCCTCATATAGCACTCATAACCCAACCAGGAATTGCCGATGTTGACACAGACTGGCCTATTCTCCCAGTTTCTTCAAGAATCTCTGAGACCCCGAACTGCCTCCATGACGCCACACCATGTATTTTTCTTCAGGAATGTGTCGGACCCCAGGACTTCGCGAGGGGCTTGGCACACTCAACTCATGTGCCGGGCCTATGCCGGCTGCTCTGCTTGCATGCTGACTAACAGTCGGGCCGTGGGGACCCACCAATCTTAGTCAGCAAGGTATTTCTGCCTCGCTGACTAAGATTGGCAGGGTCCCACGGCGCGCTGACTAAGTCGTTGCTCCCGCCCTTCTCATCACTGTTGTGGACAGCAAGCTCGCTGTTCACACCATTTCCGGTCCATTTCCCTCCATTTTTTTTGCTAGTATCAATGTATGTAGTTATTAATAAAGTTATGTAACATATATACTGTTGTAAACCCCCATAAGCTGTATAAAATGCGAAAACAATAATATGAATAACAGTCCCTCATCCATACCCAGCCCTAGGCATATTCCCCAGCCCAGTAAGCATCTGGAGTATTTAATATAGACACATGTATGAATGGGAAGGCCACCATCCAGGTTATGGGAGTGGCAGGATATACAGTATCATGGTGAGTAATGTACCTCTCCTCCTACCCCTCTTCCACACACCAATAATGCAACTATTACTATGGTTAGTAGCTCAATTTAATGGTACTACAATAGCACATTTTTAGGGCCCTCTATTTGAGCCATTTGTGGTTTGAAGGGAGAGGGTAAGACCCATGACCCTCAACAGTAGATATTTTATTAAAGAACCATACACACATTTATGGCCAATTTGACTTGGTAGATACTTAATAGTATTATGCTTGAGTATATATATGTATTTAAATATGGAGCGCCGCACATGTGGGCAAAGATATGAGGAGGGGGAGGAGGAGCACATACCTCATCAGTCACCATGTCCTCCTGTCACGAATAGCGCATATCTCACGCTCTAGGTAGACTCTACGGGTGTGTAATATGTATACCTTGATATTTTAGTAGTCACAGTTAGAGAATAGATGCTTGGGTGAGATGGTATTAAAGCAAGGAGGATATCTGCATAAAAAGCATGAAAATCGTCCACTGTCACATAAATACATCAAGTAAAAATAATATATATACCTAGGCATGTACTCATACATTCTAAGAGCTAGCTGAAAAAGAGTTTACGAAATTAGAGCAAGATTGAGGTGAGATATGGTAAAGGAACTCCCAAAGAAGGGTAGATAGTAAGATGCAAATCACAGTCACATGTAGTGACCGAGTTTCTGCCCTTCAAAATTCACTGTCTCATCCATATCTCACCTCAATCTTGCTCTAATTTCGTAAACTCTTTTTCAGCTAGCTCTTAGAATGTATGAGTACATGCCTAGGTATATATATTATTTTTACTTGATGTATTTATGTGACAGTGGACGATTTTCATGCTTTTTATGCAGATATCCTCCTTGCTTTAATACCATCTCACCCAAGCATCTATTCTCTAACTGTGACTACTAAAATATCAAGGTATACATATTACACACCCGTAGAGTCTACCTAGAGCGTGAGATATGCGCTATTCGTGACAGGAGGACATGGTGACTGATGAGGTATGTGCTCCTCCTCCCCCTCCTCATATCTTTGCCCACATGTGCGGCGCTCCATATTTAAATACATATATATACTCAAGCATAATACTATTAAGTATCTACCAAGTCAAATTGGCCATAAATGTGTGTATGGTTCTTTAATAAAATATCTACTGTTGAGGGTCATGGGTCTTACCCTCTCCCTTCAAACCACAAATGGCTCAAATAGAGGGCCCTAAAAATGTGCTATTGTAGTACCATTAAATTGAGCTACTAACCATAGTAATAGTTGCATTATTGGTGTGTGGAAGAGGGGTAGGAGGAGAGGTACATTACTCACCATGATACTGTATATCCTGCCACTCCCATAACCTGGATGGTGGCCTTCCCATTCATACATGTGTCTATATTAAATACTCCAGATGCTTACTGGGCTGGGGAATATGCCTAGGGCTGGGTATGGATGAGGGACTGTTATTCATATTATTGTTTTCGCATTTTATACAGCTTATGGGGGTTTACAACAGTATATATGTTACATAACTTTATTAATAACTACATACATTGATACTAGCAAAAAAAATGGAGGGAAATGGACCGGAAATGGTGTGAACAGCAAGCTTGCTGTCCACAACAGTGATGAGAAGGGCGGGAGCAATGACTTAGTCAGCGCGCTGTGGGACCCTGCCAATCTTAGTCAGCGAGGCAGAAATACCTTGCTGACTAAGATTGGTGGGTCCCCACGGCCCGACTGTTAGTCAGCATGCAAGCAGAGCAGCCGGCATAGGCCCGGCACATGAGTTGAGTGTGCCAAGCCCCTCGCGAAGTCCTGGGGTCCGACACATTCCTGAAGAAAAACATAAAGATTCTTGAAGATTCTGGCCAGATGTCAAAGAAAGAATGAGAGGCTCACAGTGAAAATGGTAACAGAAAGTTGAAGAAACCTACCGTATTGATCTGTGCCAAACGTTGCAGATCGCGGTATTTTGGTGGAAATCTTTGACAAAAGTCAAAGAACGTCAACAAAAGTTGGAGATCGTTGACAAACATTGACGAAAGTTGATGATCGTCAACGAACGTCGACGATCTGGGACTTTCGGGTGACATATTCATTGCGGGGGGTGGTATTTACGTGGTAAGCCCTATTTTTGTCCATGGTGGGCCGTTATAATCAACACCTATTCTTTGCCCAACCGCATGTCTGAACCCGCGCTAAAACGTCGTAGAGTCATGTCTGGCGAATCAGACACGTCCACAAATGCGCAACGGCCGATAACACGCTCTGAAGACTTTTGGCTAGAAGATGGAAGTGTCGTTCTTCAAGCAGAGGACATGCAGTTTCGCATTCATCGATCAATGTTAGCGTGTCAATCGACTATTTTCAAGGATATGTCTGCGATACCCCAGCCAGAAGACCCACAGGAGCCGATGGTCAAAGGATGTCCAATTATTGCGCTTTCTGACACAGCAGACGACGTGAAACATGTCCTTGCCATCTTCTATGACAACATGAAGTGCGTCGCAAAGTGTCCATGCGTTGCCTTGTATCCTTCATCTGATTTGTTTTTCTAGTGCCTTAAATCTTGCTGAAGATTTACCAATGAAGCAACTTGCTGCGATGCTGCGTTTAGGGAAGAAATATGATATTGGCTACCTCCAGAATGAAGCGTTGAGGAGGCTGCATCACTTCTTTCCCGCAACAATTGAGGATTGGGACAACTCTTTCAGTTCGGAACCTTCCCTTAAATTCGGTTCCATTCGTCGTGAGGAGGCCATTGAATCTGCCATCTCGCTAGGAAGTACACTTGGGGTACCGAGCATCCTTCCGTCTGTGTATTTGTTCTATATGTCGCGAGTCCCCCTGGTGTGTAAACTTCTTGCCGTTTCTTTTTCCATGTGCCTGATTCAGTGGCAGGAACACATAGTTAGCAGCAACAAGAGTACCCTCCCTGAAGAATTGCGTGTGCACTGTGTTCTAGGAAGGGACATGCTAATCCGTCAGGCTCACTCCATCCTAAAACGATGGGCCAAATTTCCAACATTCATGCCTGATACAGAGTGCTTGAGCAATGGCGTGTTTTGTGGCGATAAAGGACCTGTCCTTGATGCTATTGAAGAGGCACTGTGGCCACAGGGTGACGGGGCTGTTTGGGATTTGCAACCAGGCATCCCAGAACCTGCATGTGCTGTGTTGGACGATCTTTGCGAGCCATGCATGTCGAGTGTCAAAGCATGCTATAACGATGCTTGTGAGGAGATTTGGGAAAAGCTCCCTAGCTTCTTTGGCCTTCCAGAGTGGGAGCATCTCAAGGACTTCAACATTTAGGTGATGTATTAGGACGTATTATTTCTTTGCCATCCATCCATCATTTTTATGAATTGCTGAAGCAGGTTCTGGGCTGCATCTAGATTGTAACCCGGATCACAAAAGAAGTTGTGTTTTTTTACCACCACAACCCCTACTGCGAGCCCTGTTGCTTTGGCCACCTACACCATGATGACATGACCATTAAGTGCTTAGAAAGGTTCTGGTTTGACGACAGCAATATTGTGCTCAAAATGTCCAATTTCGTGTCCGCCGAGCCTACTTATGTGCTGATTCGCCGGTATTAGAAAATTTCACGGATAGAAAGCACCTCCTTTCTATCGACGAGTCTGCCAACATCCTGATAGGGAAAGAAAAACTTGTTCGTGCAGTGTCGACCAAAACTCTCGCATGGTTGACGGACGAATCAATACCAGTTTTGGTTGCCTTCAACGCGCCGAATGCATGAAAACGCGGCTTGCATGGCTTATGTACCTCTGGAAAGAGTCGCCGGAGGATGCTATACGCCACGCGGTGCTCCCGTGGTCGATCCAGGGAGATGGGATCAACAATAACCTCTGTCGATCATGTTACAGCAAGGCGAGCGAGACGTATGAGGCAGCAGGGGTGAAAATATGGGAAGAGATTCCGGATTATTTTGGCCTCAATGACCCGGCCTTAGCAGGGGTTTGGGACGAGTTGTTGGATGATGATGAGGCAGAGATATAGGGTTGTCATTTATTACCGAGCAACCCAATCTCGATGTACCTTGCAAAAGCTCGTTCTGAAGCTGGTTCCCCCTCTTCCCAATGATGAATAATTTAATTTATCTAACATGAACTTTGTTCTAAAGCTTACTCATTCAACCCGAAAAACTCGGGTAAGAGCCTCCAAAGAGCCCCTCTCCCCTCATGATGTAAAGTCAGCACTGCCGATGCGCACTCCTTACAAAAATCCTTCGTCAATTCTGTCGCCGATTGCTTCTTCGTGAAGAAACGCATCTTTGACCCAACACTTTCTCTCAGCACAGTCAGGACCACTGTGCTCAGCGCAGCATCGCATGTCTTAGGAGACGTACAGCCCTCGAACTTTGTGGGAAAGGTTCCACTGTGTAGCCATCCGAGTGGGAGCTCTACAAGGGCGTCATGAATCTTTTCTCGTCCATGGAGGAGACTTTCCAGAACTGTTTCGGGGAGAGCAAAGGTGGCCCAACGTCTGCCGCTCTCAAACGCTCCTTGTAATTCGGCCTGCCAAAATAGTATCACATTGATGAAAATCAGCACAAGAAACAACTGAAGGAGAAAAGCTCACAAGAGAACCACCATGGTACCTCAAAAGAAACATGTAGAATGCAGGGACAACGGATTTGATGCCCATCTCATAGGCCAGAGCGATGACGTCCAATGTCATCGAGACGTTGCGTATTTTAAATAGCACATTGTCAATTAGTCGACTGTTGATGCCATTGAACTCATTTTGATAAAGCGCGTCCCATCCTTCCAACGTATCGGGATAGTCGTGGCTTAAGAAATGTAGGCCCTCATTCCAGAAATTCTTGAACTCGTACTTCCAGCCTAAACGCAACATTGTCGCGATCTTCAGGAGGCTCACACCGCCATGGGCACTCGGAAGGGCACTAAATAACACATTAAACATGTATTTCACCTCAGAGATGTCCTGGAATGTACCTATACTCCATAAAATCGTACAACATACTGAGCAGATTCTCAATATCAAGGTCAGAGTCATGCAGCTGCACTATCGGGCACCCCTCAACGAGGCTTGTTTCACTAATCTGAGGCGGCTGCGGTATTGAGAACATATCGGCAAAGACAGGCGATTGGCGCGCAAGGACCAACTGGTGGACACGGTATTGTGTGCGGTTGGCCTGGAGTACAACATTTCCATCTGGGAGCCAGTATTTCTCTCAGTGCCCCATTAGTGGGGCTTCCTCATCGAGATCAACGAGTTCCTCCCATGAAATTATTTGGTCCATTGGCAGCTGCAGGTTCTGGGAGAGTAGGAGTTGCCTGTGGTGTTGTTGATGGTTGAAGAGAGACAGACGTCAATGTTTCATTTTCACTGGAGCCGGTTGACTTTGAAAAGGGGCTGGAACACCCTAATCCAGACGAGCAAGCTACCCCCGAGTCCTGCAAGAATCAAAACCCACCCATTGTTTCAGAGGCGGCCGAATACACACAGAAGAAAGGTATCAATAGCTTTCAAACATCTAAATCGACACCTTCCTAATAATTATTTGACTTGCCTTAAGTATCGAAATCCTTCAACTCATGCCAGCGGGGCAGCGAGAAGAACCCAGGCAAAGCGTCCCATATACTTTCACGAGCTTCTTCATAGCACCCCTCGACGCTCGCAGCACAAAATTTGCAAAGATCTTTAACCATCTGGCCAGCAGGGAACGGAAGATCAGATATTGATGCAAGGCTGAACGGCATTCCATTGTCCCCCCAGAAGACATGTTCGAGCTCTCTGAGGAGTTGAGTTTTCTTCTGGACACATAGCCCACCACGAGTGCAGTATTCCAGGTCCATGAAGGCCTCAAGGCCGGCCCAATTGTTGACAATGCCACGCAGGTGAATGAATAGCCTGTCCCGGCCCACGATGCATTTCATGCGAACGTCGTGAGGGAGGCTGCTTTCACCCAAAACAATGTCTTCCTAGAATCTGTACTGAAATTAGTATGAGTGTAAAGGGAAAACATCTCATAGACGCACCAGCGAGGTTTTCACGATGTAATAAAAAAACACCCCAGGTAAGATTGTAGATACATCTTCTTCGAGGCCCAGAGCAATGACATCTGCAACGGCCTGTGAGGGGGATACAAATGAAAAATCGAGGGAAGGACCGCAATGTCCCTCATAAGAGTTGTCCCACTCCATCAAAGTAACTGGAAAATCTTGCCGAAGCCTCTTCAGGGCCTCGTCTCTTAGAAGAGAGATATCATATTTCTTGCCGAGACGGAGCATTATCGAGGCTCGGGAAATTGGAATGTCTTTACTAAGATCCATAGAGCTGACATACAATGAATACTGAGAGGGCAATTAACTGATAGATAGTATAACCACGTACCCAAAGTTGTCATAGAATACGGAAAGAATCTGCTTGAGGTCCTCTGCCTTGTCGGAAAGTGTGATGACAGGACACCCCTCGAACACTGGATCTTCGTCTGGCTGGGGCATTGAGAACATGTCTTTGAAGACTACGGAGTGCCGAGCCAGCATTGACCGATGAACGCGGAATTGAGTAGCTTCTGCTTGGAGGATGATATTCCCGTCATCGAGCCACAAGCCTTCAGAGCGTGTAGTCGCCAATGACCCATTTACCGAAGCCTCTGCATCTTCCGTTTCCAACCTACGGCGTTTTGGGGTGAGTTCTGACATGAGTGGCAGGAGGGGTCAAGAGGCAAGATGCATGGCGAAGGACAAAAGGACGCGTCAATTGAGACGCGTCCGAGTTCGGCAATTTGCAGGCTTTGTTTCTCTTGACCATCACCCTCCTCCTTGCTATCAACGGGCACATATTTGATATTCAATGACAGAACCTGCGCCAAAATGCCGCAGGGTATCCGACCCAACAGAACAGCCAGATTCCGCAAGCTCAACACAACCTATCAAACCTCTGTGTTCCTCTACTACGCAAATAGGGTCAAGCCGGTATGCACCTCTTCATCGAGTTCTCATGCCTCCTAGGGTTATTTTGACTGACAGATGCACAGGGGGAGATATTCAGTGGGGGTGAGCACAAAATTCTACTCGAGGCGCATGTGCATTGTATGACAGGCCGCGAAGCCCTGGCACAGCGCATCCACACCGCCATCTTCAGCTGGCTTGACCACCCCGACTTCATGCCTATGCACTTGTGCACTAACACTGTACAACATGGGGGCTGCAGTAGCTTGCGAAATGCTGTGATCAGGGAACTATTTAAATCTTTATGGATATATAACAACATCGCGGAATAGGAATAAGTGCCGAATCCCTACTTGTACTCCTCTAACTCATCTTCATCCATATCGTCCAAGGGCCAGTTCGCCTCGATCACGGCGTAGTCCTCCTTCGTCATCTCTTCATCCTCCGTGCATGCCTCCAAAGTCTTCCGCTTCAGCTCCTGACCGAATGCCTTGGCTGCCTCGTAGTGAGCGGCGGGCACCCAGGTCTCCTCTTCGTAGCCGACAATCTCCCTCAACCGGCTCTCACCCCCTTCTGCGTTTGCCAAAGCCTGATACAGATTCCCCGCCTCGACAATCTCCTTCTCCATGAACACGACTGGACATGGTGTGCCGTCTGTCGCAAAATACTCCCAGCCAAGCACCAAATCTATCAGCGCACACAACAAATTGATCGTCTCCCCCTCCCACAAAGCAGATGCATGAATGAAGACGCGGCGACGGAAAGGGTTCAACGGATAGACCAGACCCTTGTGGTGGATCCTGTTGTGCGCCGCTGTGCTTAAGTTGTAATGATAGTGAACGAGACGACGACGGAGGAGCTCCCTCTCCCGATCTTGGTCTTCTGCCGGTAGCTTGTCGAAGTTGTTCGGTAGTTCAGGCTTGATCATCTTTTGAGAAACTTCGTCCTCTTCGTTCTGGATGAGTTCGGGCATACCGGCGTGGAGGAAGAGGGGTAGGACAGCAGCGTACTGCCAGTCTAACACACTAAGGATCTGCAAGCCGCCAGAATCCGTCGAAACTCTGATGTTGCTGTCAGTGAGGTCAGGGTGGCGAATGCAGAAAGCGCTGAGGTAGTCATCGTCTGGTACAAGCGAAGGCGCGAGATGGAGATAGTGACCAAGGTTCTTGGCATGGTCCGACGGTGCCTGCTTCTCGTATTTATAATACTCCCTTCGGAAGCGTTGGTAAGGTGCCCTCGGTGCGCCGAATCGATCGAGATACGCGAGTTCTTTCTTAGCTCCCGTGACCAGCACCGACTTGGCATCCTCATCTATGGTCATCGATTGGTAAAGAAGAGGCAGAAGAGACAACAGAGGTGCGACGTACATGGTCCTCGGAAGACGTTTAGCCGTTCCCTTCGCCCATACCACAACGGTATGGATACATCTGGGCCAATGCAGAGCTGCTCCTTCTTGAGGGTGATGCTCTCAACCTGCTCGTCGAGAGGTATGCCCTCGTTTCCCGACAGCTCCATCAGGTCTCTGGCGTAGTAAATGCTCCCGCCAGCGGGAAACGAGAGTGACATCATAGTGGACTCGAACTTCACCAGCTGGTCCATTAGTGAGATGATTTCGTCCTCCTTGAGACCGGACCATATCTGGCTCAAGTCCCTTCACGTATTCCATTAAAAGGTACTCCGTCTGAGCCTTGTTGCTTGATTTAAAGGAATACACGTAAACCTTGGGGATAGGAAGCCCCTTGGAACGAAGGAAGTCCATGGTAGCGACTTCACTGGCGACAGCGTACGCCTTGGGGGTAAGGAGGGGATACGGGAGGCGCGCAACGAGCTGGAATTCGGTGTCCAGGGTAACGAGAAAGATACGGTTGAGGCCACCCTCTCCGAGCTTTCTAAATTCGACGATCTGTTCAGTCTCGCAGTTCATTGCCTTAGCAATGATTTTGAAGAGTCCTGGGACGTCGAAGACGCACCTGCGCTCTCGGAGGTGATGGGCCTCGTTGGCGCTGAGTATGTCACAATACTAGTTAGACAAAGACAAAACAAGATGGAGGAGACATACAGGAAACACCCTGTAGTATAGTTGAAGATTTCGCTCTCCAGATCCGTCATGAGAGATTTTGGGTCTAGCATAGTGGAGAGTCGACGAGAAGGCAGTCAATTGGTCATGTTGGTGGTGAGATTCCTCGTGAAGGAAGGATTGAGCAAAGAGAATCGACACCAAGGACGGAGCAGAGAGGAGAAGACTTCAGCTCCAAGGAGTCGTAGGGAGGGGATTTTTGAACACCGAAGGCGAAACATGTTGATGTATAGTTGGAAGTGGGGGGAAAGGATAAGAGAGACTTGAACGTGCGAAACTAAGGTTGTAGTTACATTCGGGTATTGCAGCACTTTGAGAATGTACACTGGGGCCTGCGGCTTTGCCGCAAGCCTGTCTGCAATAATTGTACGACGGAGTCGTACCTCACAGACTGGTGGGGAGCTTGCCAAATCCCAGGGGGTACAAAAGCCCTCAATCCAAATAAGTACAAAAAAACCAGCGGTTTCCACCTGGTTTAAGGAAGGAAGGAAGGAAGATAGAATTCCCGGGGAGGTCCCAATGAGGGTACGACCGGTTTGTAGGTACGTGGAGGTACAAGCTACAACTACTCCAAGTAACCCCAAACACCTCATCCATCACCGTTGCGTTACTCCTAACCACTGCCAGCGGACTTTCCCCGACCTGCAGAGCCTTTCAATGAAAGGTGTTACAGGTAGGACATACGACTAAAACCACATAGGGGTCAGGATGGGTTCTCCCATCTCCTGACACAAACTCATCGTCATCCAGGATAGTCATAGCAGCCCAATAGTCTCTCTAGACAGACCTAATAGTTCCACAATGATAGTCGATGTGTCACTGATATAAGGTCTGTTTCTATTTGCGGGCCTTTTGGTGATGGGGTGGATTCGGCCTTCTTCGGACCAAATCAATGATCTGTTGAGCGTCACGTGCATCGCGACACGGTTGCATTCCATTTTCGGATAGGGGCAAATTGTCTAAGACGACCGCTCCCTCATACCTCACAGGCCAAACGATGGACGTGGCGCACTGTAGATACTTTCAATAAAATTATGATGGTCAATTTTATACTTCGGAGAGGCGACAACGCCAGTACATCTGGGTTTGTCGGTGAATTTTGGATTTCTATGCCCACCAATCCACTAGCAACCGCAACGCCTTTCCAACTGCCAACGCAAAACCAGTCAACACGAAAACCCACTCAAATCAATTTGGATAATGTCGTATCTCCATCTTAGACACCATAACCAGTGTTGTTGCGGACATTGCCCAAGTTTCTGATCGCCCTTGGAAAGAGTCGCCGTGAATGCAACAAACAATGTATGTTTCGGGAGACAAAGGCAGAGGACGGAGATTCAACAGCAAGCCTCACAAAAATTCTTCCTCCACGGAATGAGAAGGTGGGGACGATTGACCATAAATCTTGCCGAATCTCTTGAAAGAGGTTGCATCCTTCTCACGACGCAGCCAGCAAAGATTCGGCCGTCACTGACACAGTTCTGAATCCAAACGTAGTGACTTCGCGAGCCTGTATGGTGTTAGTTGTGACAGGCGCTCTCGAGAAAGCAACAACGTACATGGGCATTCCCAAGCTCAATCAAGGATGTCACCACAAGTGCGAAACTGGTCTCTCGGGCGGCCTTGGTATTTCGAGTTGCAGATTTCGTGGCAGGTGACGGAGGACGAGGATGGGAGCAAAGGAAGCGGTCCTTTTGCCCTGGCTCCTCGAGGCGATGAAAATGGTCGGGATGCCTTGCAATGTGTTCCCCCAGCACTGAAGCTGAGTCGGTCGGGGTCCGTTTGGCCACAGAGGCACGAGTTGCATCATTTCGCAAGTGTACACCCGTCCTCTAAGAGATGTCATGAGAAAGGAGGATCTTGACTGCGAGGTGGTGGATATGGGATAAACAAGGTAGTAAAGTACACTGTGGGAAGCGTTGGTGGTTTTTAAAACTGCATCGGCCGAAACTGCCCAGGAATGGCGGTTCCTTTAACCGTTTGAGGAAATGTAAAATTAAATGCATCTAAAAATAGCGAAATAGCTGCCAATCGGGAGTTAAATTCCCCATCATCATGATGTCGTGACACTTATACACGCGCAGGCCGCGGCCTTTCATGACCACGCCAATCGATTGTGCACAACTTCATGTTGAAGTCACTTACTCAACGGACTTGCAGGTTTCTCCCAACATTGTTTGGCAGCGGCTTGTTTGTTCCTATAGGCAACCAAACAAAATGAAGGATTTTTCTTCATTTTGTTTGGTTGCCTATAGGAACAAACAAGCTGCTGCCAAACATAAGGCGACCACGTGATGCCGCCGTCGTCACTCCTGCCTCCGACATGTTGCTTCTTCCCTCCTACCACCATCTGCTACCTCCATGTCTACCACATCTCTGTCCCGATCCCCCATCTGAGGCTCAAGATGGGCATCCGTTTGCTGAAAATCTGACTAGATCACCCGTAGAACTGAACTACATGTTCTGATCTGGCTGATCCGGACTCCGATGAGCTGATCGCAGTTAATTGGGAACGTGAGTTCCGATTTTGTTGAGTGTATGTGCTCATTTCCATTTGACTTCACATATCTATGCTCCTCGTCAACTGCGGACACCTATCAGCCAGGAGGCAGCTCCCAATCGTTTACAAAGGTGCAATCTGTGTCATCTCTTTTTCATGCGGCTAAGGTAAGTAACATACTACATTCATCTATACGTACACTCATACATGTTTTATCTCGAAATTAGGTCACGAATGTCGACTGTTCGTCGACATTCGTTTTCTACGCGTTTCACGCTCCTCCCCCTCAATAGGGATGTGGACCGGGCACAAACACCCCCTCTCTGAACTCCCCACACCAACCTCCCTCCGCTTTGCCCAACCCTGCTCTCTTGCCCTCGCTTCTCACTTCTCGCCCCACACTCTCACCTTACCCTTCACCCACCCCTCCCCTTCAACAGGGATGTGGGTGTCCCCCTCCGTGCGACTGACTACCTGCCGACGCTCGCCATTACCTCCCTTCGTCTCTCTCTGCCCCGCTCTCCACGCCTGCCATTCTCGGAGCCTCGGCATCTCAGGTGCCACGTAACGTTCGGATGGAGGTGGTGGTTGGCGTCCGCCCACCTCTCACCATCTGTCTCTCGGCTTGGCGGCGACAACACGACGGGAGGGGCGCAACAGTGGGTATCGGAAGAACATGGCTGCGGGGGCAAGAAAACGACAGCGGGCGGTAGCATAACAGCGGGGACGAGACCAACTCGACGGCATCGGGCAAGCCGGAGCGGCCGTTCGACCACAAGGATGAGAGGGTAGCAGCACGAGCACGAGCAGGCGGGCGAGTGGACGGGCATAGATGAAAAGGCAGCGACAACCACAACATGTAAGTCATCTTACTCGGATCGCATTCTTGGCTCAAATTCCTCGACTCATAGGCTAATGAAAACCGAAAGCAACAGGATGGTGTGGTGTCGAGGCACAAGGTTTTAGGTGGACGTTTCTGAAGCTAGGTAAGTCCATGATGCTCATTCGCTTTTCTTTTCAACGCCATCACACGTTTTCTGGCCTCCGGTGAATACCGCCCCATCCTCTGCTCCAGTTTCACAACCGGTACCACCGAGACACCTCCCTCTCTTTCAATTCATGACTTCGGGGCCGAAGTCTTCTAACACTTACACATAGACACAACGGCGACGACGAGGTCCAAAATGAGGGTGCTTGGTACCCCAACGTTCAGCCTTCGCTGCGGCCTCCCTTCACCACCCGAATCTGCCACCACTGAGCTTAAATAGTTGTACGTGTTACTGTTGCCGAAAGGGTAAGCACGTCTGTTGACGAGAGCTCACTATTTTTATTTCCGAATTCAACCTCAATATATGGCTATATTTGAGCTTTGCTAGCACAGTACGCGGATTCCACAGGTATGTTAGTCGTTTAGTCATGTGAATACTGTTTAAATTCTGTCTTTCCTCATCAGTATCTCACATAGCATCACCTTCCTCTTCTTCGTCTACGTAACGCACAGCCGTGTGTAGCTCGCTGCCATTCATCAAGTTCCCAACAGTTGCACTACCCTCCTCGAAACCCTGGTCATCATTGTCTGACCATGCCTGACACTCATTAGGAAGGTGTTATTCGCCAACGATAGCATGGCTGGATGGCCTAGATGTGGATAGCAAAGGTGAGATGGCGTTGTCTGGGTCGTACATGCATCCAGACAGTTCTGATGCCCCTCTTGCATCATGATAATGCTTGTGCTCGACATTTCGGTGCGCCTATATTCTTAAGCAGGAGATAAATGATTTATCACCGTGTTTCTCCTGCAACCCACCCCCGCTGTTCTCCCACAGTGCCCAAAGCCGGGGCACAAAGATATGGTGAGTCATCTCTATGCACGAAAGGTCCCCACTCAGTGCATCTGCCAGAATACAGTACACCATTAGCACTGTAACGATCTCATGAGGCCGACGCACGATCAACGCAGATCCGACATGAGAGACCGCGCCTCTGTGAGATCGACGGCTGGAGAAGATAGGGAGGGTAAGAGTTGATGCAGGTATGAGGCGCAAGACCTAGCACAAGCTATGTAATTACCTCGGGCAATGAAATTTACTATTAATGTTGGCAGAAAATCATACACCCAGAAATGACGTAAATAAAACCTAGCTCAGTCGAGGTAGAAAAACCGCCAGAGCTTAGTTGTATTAACCGCCAAAAGAGTCCTTTTGGCGGTTATTTTCACTTTCCTCCGGCAGGGCATAAAACCACCGGGTGTAGTTTTATAAATTGCCATGCAGGTGGTTATTTCAAACATTTATGCGGGCTATGAGAATTAACTGCATCCCGGCGTAGTTTTTAAAAATGCCCTGGCTTCCCGCAGTGAGTACAGATGCGTAACCAACGACACATCTCGCGATGCGTTCACGTGCTCTCTTTCCCAGCTTACGGCCGACGGTTGAACATCCCTTTTTGGATGAATCGACCCCTCCACCCAAGGCCTGGCAAATAGAACAAGCCTAGCAGCCCAAGAAGACTCACAGTCTCGGATAAAACTATTGAGAAACCCCATTTTTGTGAGAAACCCCATCGCTTATTTGGAAACCTAATTCGCGCTGATAAGGTTTCAATCTCCGCTGTAATTGTGCTCTCGGAAGAGTTAGGCCATGTCAAAGAAATAGGCTGGCATGCAGGGGTGCAATGGTCTGAAATGGTTGGATAGTTAAGCCCATCTCTGGTACTTGATAAATGGTGAGTTTTGGAGAAAAAAAACAGCTAAAAAGGCAAGACGCTGGCAGTGGCAATGCATACTCTCGAAAACTCAGCCAGTGGGCCAGTGGCTCATTGTCGCGGTGAGGAAACAATGAAAAACTGAAGGGGCGCAGCTCTCACCTAGGCCCTTGGCCAAAATGTGAAACGAAGGCTGGCGAGTGCGGCCATTTTAACCAAATTGTCATACTCTCAGTGATCAGGATTCAGAGGGCATCGTCTACTGGAATTTACAATTTATAACCGTGAAATAAGGATGAGAAGGGCTAGATTCAGAAAGAAAGTCGAATTACCAAGATACTACAAGCTCAAGGATCTCCAATCCATGCCCGAGAGCTGCGAGACTTGTGCGAGACGGCAGCAAAGGTCAACTTCTGTGAGCCTCTACTCAGAATATTCAACTCCGCACGTCGGCATGATTTGGCCGGTTAGAAGCACATTTATCGCTTTCACATGGATTTCTGCGGAAACCCGGGGTTTGACCCGAAAATGGGGTTTCTCAATAGTTTTATCCCACAGTCTCAGGACTTGGCGGTTATACTGAAATTTTAAGACACACAAGTAGCTTATTGTGCCTAGAAATGAGTATATCGTGGCTCACATTTTACTGGTCGTTCTGGTGAACCGTGGCGCACTGTATAACACGGAATGGCAGGCAATTCTTTGTTTGAGAAATGCCTTACAATTAGGGCCGTTTTCGGCAGGTGCAGACTCACGAGAGCAACAATAGGACAAGGGCGCAATGGCCTCAATTGTCTTGAAAAATTTGTCATAATGCAGGGTGTAATCGTGGTTGGTCCATGGTCCATGCGCGTCGGCTCGCGGTGTGATCGCCTAGGGGCAGCAGGACGTCGTGGGCATCGAGGCAGCAGTGCCAGGTAAAGATGCCGATGGCAGTCCAGCACGGTCGTCCCACCAGAACGTAGGAGCGGCCTCCTTCGGCTCATCTACGCAGTCATATCGACGGCTGCGAGGTGTAGAATGGCCTTAGCCATCAGGGCGGGTTCTCGCCATGGGCTCTGCTCGACAGTGCATGTACACCAGCTCAACGAACTGCCGGACTGTTTGCTCCTCCTGACGGACTCTGCCTGTCGGGGCATCTCAACGGTCTCGCCTGCTGAGGCATCTCAATGAACTTCGCCATTCGAGGCATCCCGACAATTCGATGTGTCTGGGGCGTAGGTCCGTGATGGCGCTGTGGTGGCTAGATGCCTAAGAGCACCGACGACAGTGACAAAATCGACGCAGCTCTGACACGTCTGTTGTTGCTCATCGCGTACCGCCAGTATTTCAAGGACTTCGGCATCGACGGCATTCGTCAGTTGCAACGCAAATGAGGTAGGCCGTGCTGCGGAGGAAGTAAATAAGCAAGTAGGCTAACGGCTTGAGGTCGTCGCGCCGCGAGGATTCGACACCCAAATGCGTGTTGATAGCAGCAAAGAGCGACGTGCCGACGCCGTGAAAGTCATCTTGCTTGTACAGGATGTACATGGTTGTCTTTGAGTCGCGAAATTTCTTCGCGAGCGCGAAGTCGATGACATTATGTAACCATGTGCGTGGCTCCTCCTTCTGAGTAAGGAATTTAGGGATCAGTTGGTACAAAGGGGAGCAAGCTCCCCAATGATAAATTGCAAACGCTCGAGTAAATCTATGAAGAATTTCTGTATCTCTAATAATTTGTGCGTTGTAGCCTACATCATGCACTGATAATCGTAGAGTTGCCTCGTACGCTAAGCAGTCTCGGTTCCGATATAGAAGGCCTCTATAGAGGCTCTTAAACCTTGCTACTCATCCCAAGCAGGCCCTCCCGACCTGAGGTACTCGGGAAGCCGGGCCCACAGTGCACGCCACCCTAACCGATGGACCTCCCTGGCCACAAGTCCGCACGCCTTGCAAAAGCGCGGCTCCAGATTAGCCTCATCCCACATATGCAAGAAGGAAAGAAAGCGGCGGTCAGTATCCTTCTGGACCAACTCCACCAATATTTGGTTTTTTGAAGAGGTACACACCTCGGGCGAGGCACACTTTGGGCACGGTATTGTCCCATTATGGATCCACTTGAACATGCACTCGACAACAGAATTGGCGACTTTTTCACAGGCAAGGAAAAAAGTGAGGGGTTCGTCAGTGCGCATCAATGGCTTGAGAGCGGTGAGGCGTGCTTTGATATCCTCCTGAATGAATGTTAGCGCCTAAGGCCGTGAAGGAGACAAATTCAAGTCGAACGCGCGTACCCGTGGACGCCTCAAGAACATGTTGGCACAAGCCGCTGGGAGGATAGACTTGACACAATTCTGGTGAGCAAGCGCGATAACGTCGAAGATTTCCTCGTCGTCTGCCTGAAGACGATTACAACAGGGGTTGTTCCAGCTTTGCTCCCAGCTGAACAGGTCACTCGGGAACTGGATTTCTAGGACGTGAACGGCTTCTTTCCAAAAGTTCTTGAAGGAATATTTTCTGCCGAGTCGGAGCATGGCACCGAGCACTGGAATGGACAGGTATTCGCGAAAATTATTGACGCTATCTTTGAGTGTAAGTCTACAGGATGCTGTCGCGAGAGGCAAGGATGTTGTACCTCAGAGAGTGGATGACTGTCCGTAAGGTATTTATTCCACAGTAGAATATTTCATAACAAAGTCGGACCTCAAATTCAAAGATAATCTTATAATCTATTCATCTGATTAAACCGCAAGCCTCGTGATTAAAGATAATTGTCATTCCCTGGGCCTCCACCCATCTCTAGCCAGCCATGAATGAAGATGCACTCATATTCCAACAATTCACAGAGCAACTTGAAGAGGAGGCAGATGAAGAGTACTGGGAGATGGGTGCTGCTTCACTCGGCGTCATAGTGGGAGGTGCCGAGATCTCACGTCAGTTACGGAATGAACGACGTCGCGAAACCCGCCAATATCTTACCCGCCCTGAACTCCTGGAGAACCCCCGGATTGCGACACCATGGACCTCCCTTTACGACAGCAGGAGTGACCGTGCATATATCACAACCATGGGGTTCGATGTTGCCACCTTCGATTTCATTCTCGAGTCGGGTTTTGTACAGACCTGGCTCTCAACACCCATCCCCTGAACTGATACCTCTCGTTCAGGAGATCCACGACCAGGCAGCCGATCTTTGGATCCCCCAGGGGCCCTTGGCCTTGTCCTCCATTATCTCAGCTCCACAATGCTCGACGTCAGCTTGCAGCAAATCTTTGCTCTCATCCCTGCCACAGTTGTCCGGTATCTTGACTTCTCACTTGACATACTTCTCGAGGTCTTGCGAAGAATGCCAGATGCCCGTATCAAGTGGCCGAAGGGTGGCCCAGGTGGTGGGCAATTCCAAGAATACAATGATCTTATCATTGTTCGACATCCTCGACTGATTGGGGCCTTCGCTGCCATCGACGGATTGAATCTTCCTGTCCAAACATCGGAGGATGAAGATATTGAGAATGCTACCTACAATGGGTGGCTCTCAGAGCATTTTGTCAGCTCAGTACTTGTGTTCTCACCGAAAGGCAAGAACATCAATGCTATTGTAACTTCATTCACTGATAATATCTTAGGTGAAATCATTGATGCTGTTGTAAATGCACCAGGCAGTTGGCACGATGCTAATGTTGCTCGTCCTATTTTTGAACGGCTTCGCACACGAACACCACCTGGATACTACCTCATTGCTGACACAGCATTTCCTTGTGGAACACAATCCATTGCAGGACGCATTCGCGCCCCGCTCAAGGCTGGCCAGGCTGTGCGAGGTACGCCAGACGAGATTGTGGAGTGAATGGCCTATGACCGTGAGCTTCTCTCATATCGGCAAACAGCCGAGTGGGGAAATCGAGGTCTTCAAGGAGCATTTGGTCATCTCCGTGTTCCACTTCCCATTGACAATGCAGAACGTCGAGGAAATCTCCTTGAGATCTGCAATCGCCTCAATAATCTGCGCACAAGACGAGTGGGAATCAATCAGATCCGGACTGTATACATGCGATACTGGCAGGACACAGCTGAGGACATTGATATCTGGCAGAACTTTGAGAATATGCTCTTCTCAGATCAATGAAAGAACGATAGAGTTGCTCACTTCCATACTTACGCAGAATACACGTAAACAGGTTTGTATTACAAGCAGGTGTATGGTAATTGTAACGGAACACAACAAGTAACAGAACATAAGTGTAGACAGAAGTAGATGTTGCACTACTCTACTCGTCCTTGGGCCCATCAGCATCCTTGACGTATATATCGTCATGGTCACCCTCCTCACCATCTTGGTCCTTGCCAGCTGTGGCAGTGGCAGCATTGGGCTGGGAAGTAGTCAAAGCTTGCAACTCTATGCCAAAGTGATGGCCTGACGACGACGACGACGAAGGCTGGTCTCTATAGTCAATGTCACAGCGGCGACAGAAGAAATTGGGGTCCTCGTTCTCCTTATCACTCTCACCCGAGGTAGAGGAGGGATCCGTGACCCAGTACATGTGTATACCTCCCTCCGGGTACCTCTCCTTGCAATGCATCTTTCCCTGGACACGCTGGACTGAACGCTTTGTGGACTTCGAGCGCTTGACATACCCATTGTGGCGGCTCCTCCTGAAAGGTCGAGACTGGCGGCTACCCTCTTCAATGAGCTGCAACTGCAACTCAGCACGATCGCGGGCTCGCTGGGCCTCATGAACCTGGGTCTGGAGAGTAGAGAGCTGGGAGCGGAGCGACTCAATGGTAAGGTTGGCGTCTCAAAGTTGCTGGGAAAGGGTGAACATCTGCGAGGCTTGGAAGGAACGCTGGGCACGTTCCTCATCACGAGCTTGTTGGACACTCGGATCAAAGGCATTGGCAAGCTTTCCGATGAGGTCGACGTTGTTTGACCAAGAGCGGCGCTGGACAGCGGGGTCAGGTCGGCGGATGATAGCATTCTGGATACCACGGTTGCCAGCGGATGCCGCCTTCCTCGATTTCTTCGGCGCCTCTGGGATGTCGTCGGCATTGTCGTCGTCATCTTCAGATCCACCAGTCAACTGAGCAGCATCATCGAAGTCGGAGTCGTTGAGATCGCGGGTGGCAGCCCTCTCGTTGATACGCCCGTCAATCTTGTGTGCTCGTTTGACGTCCGGGGGACAATAGGCATCACCAGTGGGCTTCGTGGTCTTAACAAGCTAAGATGTGTTGTAAGTAACGATGTTTCTTACATATAACCAAAAACGGCTGACCTGTTTGAACTTGGTCTCCAGAGACTTTAACGTGCGTTCAGCAGCATCGTTACGACGAGCCCAGCGAGTGAAACCACGGTGGATGGACTGCCACCCGCGTTGGCCAAGAGGGAGCTCCTCCTCGACAAAGTCAAGGAGGGCATCAACCTCGTCTGCAGTGTAGTTGCCAGCACCCTTGGGACGGCCACGCTTGGCTACTACCTCAACTTCTTCATCATCCGAGGCATGCCTGCGCTTGCGAGCGGTGGCCTTCTCCTTTCCCTTATCGCGAGACTCGGTTAGTACAGCGCGCTGTTTGCCCTTGCCCTTCTGACGTGATCCAGCGACCTTCTTCGCAGTGGCATGGCCCTGGGACTTCACAATTGTGACCGGGTCAGAGAGGTCGTCGTCCGAGACCTCAGGAAGAGGTAAAAGCGCCGGATCGATCACTGCAGTAGAAGGGCCGGCTGTCGGGGCTCGAGTGGATGTAACAATCTAACACAGCATTAGAACAAAGGAGATATATGATCTAGGAGGCTACATACCACAAGAGCCTCAGAAAGCGGTTGGTTTGGACCATCCTCCATGTTATTATGGGGGCGAGTCTGACGAAAACAAGTCAGGACTGGTGTAGACAACAATAAGATATAACAAAACGTACCGGGGCAGTTTCATTCTGGGACACAGCAGGAAATCCATGAGTTGCAGTAGGGACAGACTGAAAGAGAAGGAAAGAGGGATTGAGACATGTAGAGACACCATATAGGGTAGGGTACCTACCTGAGAAGTCACCATGGTTGGCGCGTATAACTGAACCCAATGACCAGAGACATCTTGGACATATGGCCACCCAAACCTGTCATATCAGATGTTAGGGTTGCCAGGAACAGGGGTAAGTTGGTTGGGGTCCATAGCGGTTGATGAAGAGGTAGAACGAGCTGAGTTTTGGTGACACGAAGCCTGGGAGGTAGCAGCAACGACTCACCACTTTTATACCTATCTCTCCATGCATTTCAGCCGTCTTCCGCTCCTCATTTCCCCTCCTAAGCCTTCGATAATGTTCCTCAAGCCATTCAAGACTGTCTCGAGACCGCTAGCGAGCGCAATTAAGCCCCTGGCAATGCGGGCTGCAGCCAATAAAGGACCTAATTGCAGACCCTGCTCATGATTGGATGTGATTAGCATGGTATGAGGAAGTAGTAGCATGTAATGACTCACTCTCACACATGAAGGGGGCTTTGGCAAGCTCGATGGGCAACGATGGACGACAACGATGGACGATGACGAAGGTTAAGATAAGAGCACGGCGTAAGCAAACAGGGAGTTGTTTGGTTGTGCATCACGGGACAAACAGTTTATTCGACCGAAAAAAGTCTATTCGAGGGGGTAGGACCCTCTGAATAGATTAAGGTTTATTGAGGGGCCCAACCAGGCACGACGGATAATCCGCGTTGACATGTTGGCAGCGGCATCGCGGCATCACCGCCAAGGAGCACGAATATAATCTATTGCGGCGAATAAATGCTTACGGACAGTCATCCAGTCATACAATAGCCCAAGCAAATTGTCGATATCCTTCGAAGAGTCCTGCAGATGCACAACGGGACAGCCGTCCACAAGACCTTCGCCTTTGGGAGGTTGAGGTATCGAGAACATGTCTGCAAAAACAGGAGATTGGAGTGCGAGGAACGATCGATGCACGCGGAACTGTGTGCCCTCCGCCTGAAGTACGACATTCCCGTCGTCGAACCAGTACTTTTCCGAACGCGTCACGGTGTCTTCAGAGCGCGATGCCTCTTCATCTGGCCGTTCAGTACGTTTTCGTTTGGAGGTTTTTGGTTCTGACATAGGTTGGAGGGAAAAAAACGCGTCGTGCGATGAGGAATCGACGAGTGAAGATGGTGGCAAGAAGCCAGAGACGACGAGCACGTGGTTTCGAGAACAGGGGCAAACTCATGAAACTGTCCAGCATTGCCTTAATGTCAGCCTCCCGGATAATTAGGAGTAAAATTTGTGGATTTGCCTACACAGTACGGAAACTTAAACCTGGTTCTCCCTACAGCTTCTCAGGCTCGGCCTCTCCCTCATCCTCGTCCCAGTCCCCAGCCAGAGCCGGATCATTGAGGCCAAAATAATCCGGGATGCGCTCCCATACAACTTTCCTGCCGTTCTCAAACACCTCCTTTGCTGTCGCAACACATTTTGCACATAATGGAGCTCCCTCCAGCCTCTGGCGATCCCAAGGAAAAACGGCACGCTGGACGAGATTCGCTGTTGGCATTTCCAGGAGCTGCATGGAAATCATCCTTGCTGTAGCTGCACAAACAGCAGGGATTGTGCATTCCTTGCACGGGACCGTGCCTTTGTTCAGCCATCGAAACGTAGTGGTTGCGACAGCGCGAGTGATCCTGTCCCTTCCCAACAGCAGGGAAATCGGTAGATCGACGGGGAGAATGTGTCTGTTCTCAACAAAGTACTTCTCTAGGTCTTCCTGTGGTAGCGGAAGTATGGGTCATGCTTGCCGAAAGCTCGTTGAAAGAACCTACCGAATGGCGATTTACGCAAACGTAGACATATATGGCGGGCAGGATCGACTTGATTCCTTGCTCGCGTGCAAGGAGCATGACGCTAAATTCAATCTCGTCGACCTCTCCATCAATGAACCTATATTCCCCGAGAGATTCGCCGAATTCTCTCAGCGTAGACGGGAATTCCATCCTGAGGCGGTTGATGGCCTCCTGCCGCAAATGCTTGAAGCCGTATTTTCGACTCATTCTCAGCATTGTCCTGAGCATCGAGACGTGAAGCGGCTTGTGGAATTTATGTACGCTGCGGCCGAGAATGAAATATGATCAGGTCATTTGCCCTCTCCTCGACGAATAGCGGCGCACCTCCAGGTATCGTAAAGCAGTTCTAGAAGGTTTTGTATATCCTTCATCGTATCCTGTAGGTGGACAACGATACACCCCTCGACCATTGTGTCATCAGCGGCTGGAGGCTGCGGGATCGAGAACATGTCGCGAAAGATGGGTGATTGGCTGCTCAGAAACGACGGTGGACTTTGAACTGCGTGTTCTCTGCCTGAAATACGATGTTGCCGTCGTCGAACCAGAACTTCTCGGAGCGGAGGACGGGCGGGTTGGTAGAGTCCTCGGAGGTGGCAGCTGGATCGTCGCATCGTTGGCGTTTTGGAGGAGGTTCACTGTCCATTCTGAACGATGGAGGTGGTGGGGTGCGACAAGACAGAGAACTAGACTGCGATCAAACGAGCATATATTGTGTCCGAAAGTCGGCCCGCTGTAGCACATCCAATGGGCAAAAAATAAAGATAAAATAAATGGAAAATCCTGAGCAGGCAGGCGACACTGAGGCAACTACAATTTAGCCTAAGCTATCAAAATCCTTGAGCTGATCCCACCCCGGAAGACGAAAGAAATTTGGAAGATCGAGCCATAATTCATTGAAAGAGGTTTCGATGCACGAACTAATGCTGAGGGTGCATGCCGTGCAGAGAGATCTCCTTTCCCCAAGGCTGTCGGCGATGGATCTGGCCAGGTGGAGGACTAACTCCCATTGAAGCTTGCCCGCATTTCCGATGCACAATGTGTTGCAGAGGTCTTTGAACACTGCATCCCTCTGCGTGTGGCACGTAGTCGGCTGTGCACACGAGTGCGCGGGCATGAAAGTCGGAAGATGTAGCCAAGAAAGTATCTTTGAGTGAGCCGTATGAATGAATTTGTCTCTCCCCAAGATGCATTGACGACGCGCATCTCGAGGGAGTTCACTGTCGTCTGTATCAAGAATCTCTTCCTGCGATTATCACATCAAATAAACGAGCAAGCAATGAAGTATACTCATAGAACGTACCAACATAGTGGTCTCGATGTAGTGCAGGAAAGCAGCTGGTAGAATTGAAGGTACGCCATGCTCGCGTGCTAGAGCGATGATTGCTGATACTGCCTTCGAGGCGTCGGGTCCATAGTCAATTACATTGAAAATCGTGTTAAGCTGCCATCTAGACATGATAGTCGTCGGAAATTCGCGACGTAGCCGCCTCAAAGCTTCGTCCTGAACGTATGCAATGTCGTACTTCTTTCCCATGCGCAACATGGCGGCAATCGCACCGACAGAAAGCTTCTCGCGAAGATCCAAGAATCTACAGACACAATTATATGCAAGGTTCAGTATGCGTAAGACACCACAAATTCTCGTATAAACTTGATTGCACACCGATGGTTATCGTAAAAAATTAAGAGGATATGCTCCAGATCCTCGGCGCTGTCTGAAAGGCTGACAACAGGACAGCCATCGACAATCGGGTCCATGATCTGGTCTTGCTGCGGAATCGAGAAGATGTCCTTGAATATGGTCGAATGGCGAGCTAGCATGGACCGATGAACGCGAAATTGGGTGTCTTCGGCTTGAAGAATGACATTCCCGTCTTCAAGCCATAGGGACTCATGCCGCTTGAATGGCGAGTTTGTTCCCATCTAGGTCATGGGCCGTGGAAATTCGAAATGTGTCTTCTTGAGCGTGTAGAAGTAGACGAGTTGAATTCGTTCACAGAGTGAGACAACGGAGTCAAGATTGTTCTGCTCTACAGCCGTGGGATTCTTTTCTGCTGACTCAGCATTCATCAGCAAGCTGCAACTGACTTCGACAAGCCAACCATCTCAATTTTAGTGTCCCTTTTCATCTCTTATCGCGCTACCGCTCAGATATCAGCCCATTTGCAAAGACCTGGTGCTCCTTTCGTTAAATGCTCCATGTTCGCTGAGCTATATTGGAAGTTGATTGGAAGACAGGATTTCAATGGTACAGCTGTTGCCCAAGCGAAAGGTGAGTGGGTTGTACTACAGACAACGACAAATTTCTAAGCAGTTCTATATCGATATAGCTAGATTATATTGCGGTCCATATGGATCTCTTCCAAACGCTAAAATGCTGTTGGCCGACCGCTGAGGCGACTTGTTCTGACAGGCAGAAGGCCTCTCCGTAAGCGTTCACCAGACCTAACTACCGACCGCTCCTTGACAACTTATTCGAATGGACTCGCATTTCTATGCCTCGTAAAGTTTTACCTCATAAGAATTTGCGGATCGTATCTACTCTACAAACCCTTGACTTACCAACCAGCATTCGGGATCAGCTCCAATTGTCATCAAGTTCCTCTCGACTTTGGGACATCGGCGCACTACTCGCCAAATGCGCAAGCGCACGCTGCGCATCTGACGATGCTCGCAAGTACCTGCCAAACTCTAGCAGTCGTGATCGTCAAAATGGTCTTAAACCCTATGGCTCCCTCCAACACAACGACGACACGGCGGTTCACCCTCACGAATCAACCAGTCTAGCACTGTCTTGTATTCTGGGACATCTTTTGCCGTCGATGCGACGGTACGTCGGTACCCTTTACCATCCCGCGGTACTACGGAGGGAGGACGATCTCGAGCATGCGTTCAACCCTCTTGGCAATCGCTTAGCTGCGTGGAAGCTGTTGCGGTCCGCTATGACACAAACCGTCTGACGGTCCAGGGGCTTCCAGGGGGCCGTTCGAGCTTTGTTAAGCTCTGCATAGACGGTTCGGCTATCGACATCTGTCAGACTGTCCGCTTCACTGGTTGACGCTCGTCGATTTTGGAGTCACGCGACCGGAATCAAAGCTCGCCTATCGCCTCCGCGCCATTCCCTCTCGTTCTCTCCGTCCGAACTCCACATGAATCTGGCGCTGACGACACGAGCTACCACACCCAGCACGGTATATCAGCATGCGAACACGCGTTGCACGAAGAGCCTGCTGCAATCAACGTTTGAACACGGCCGCCTACGACTAGCGAGCCATTGAAGAGAGCTTCTTCCCAAGCCCAAACACCATGCACCTCTTATCTGACCACACGACGACGCGTCCAGGCGCCAGTTCGCCTGACCAATGCGCCATCCTTCGCAAGGCTCGAAGAGCAGTTTAAAGGCATCGAACTCGGGTGCGAAACCCACTCGAGCTCTAGGTCCAGTATCCTCGGCTCAATCGCAGAAATGGTCGCCTTCAACAAAGTCCTCTCATCGGTCCTTCTCGCTATCGCGTACTCTTCTGTCGCGTCGGCCGTCCAGGAACGTTCCGCGTCCGAGTCGCTCAAGCATTCGACCCACCGTGTTCGTCACATCAGCCGCGAGCTCACGTTGGAGGTGTACCACCCTGAGTCGACTTTCGAGGTAAAATCTTCGTTGTCTACAAAATGACACCCACAGCTAACAGTAATGGTAGACCTTCGGCGATGGAATCGAACAGAAACTCGAAGCTCGTGCTCCTAGGGACCTGAACTCAACTGCTCTGGCCTTCGTCCGATCACGACTGGGTGTCGACGCGAGCTCTGTTGGTTTCAAGAGTGGCTACGAGGATGGACGGGAGAAGTATGCCTATGTCAAGCAATACCATGTGAGTACAGTTAAGCCCCGAAAATGAAAGGCACGGAAGTACTGATTACTTGGTGATGTCATCGACAGGATGGTGTCCCATTCGCCAACTGCGTCGCGAATATTGCCTGGAAAGACGACAAAGTTGTTTCCTTCGGCTCTTCCTTCGTCAAGTCTGGTCAGTACTCACGCGTTATTTATACTTTTGTTTCACATACTAACTTCTATACAGAAAACATTGCAGGCTCCCGCCCTACCGTCAGCGCCGCTTCCGCTATCGCGAAAGCTGAGGAAGCATTCAGCGGCAAGCACAACGGCATTCCAACCTCTATTGAGTATCTTGCTCAGGCTGATGGATCTGCCGCGCTCGTACACACGATCCAAGTCCAAAGCCTGGAAAATCAACTCTGGTATGAGGTCTACGTCGACGCCCACTCTGGCGAAGTCCTGTCGGCCACAGATTTCTTTGCTCACGCTTCGGTAGGCCGTGTATCTTCCGTCTTCGTGGCATCCAGCTAATCAACCCGAACAGTACACGGTCCTCCCCATCAACAAGAAGATTTTGACGGAGGGTCAGGAGACGCTTGTAGATCCTCAAGATACGGTCGCCTCTCCCTCGGGCTGGCACGCCTGGGGAACAACAACTACCACGACTACTTCGTATGTCAAATTCGCTCTCTTCATTACCGCGTTACTCACTCTCTGGGTATAGGGGCAACAACGTCGTCGCTTATCGAGGCGCTCAGACCTCCCTCACATCCCAAAGCGCGACCGGCCTGGTCTTCAACTATCCGTACACAGCCACGGCTGCGCCGTCCACCACCGCGAACATCAACGCCGCACGCACCAACGCGTTCTACGTCATCAACACAGTGCACGACTTCACGTATCGCTATGGATTCACCGAGACGGCGTTCAACTTCCAGAACGACAACTTCGGCAGGGGCGGGGCGGGCAATGATCGTGTTCTAGTTTCCGTCCAGGACGCGTCAGATATCAACAATGCGGGCTTTGGCACCCCACCTGAGTAAGTTGTCCCTCGTACATCTTCTGCATGACGCCGGTGTTGAGAATTCTTCAGCGGTCAGAATGGCATATGCGAGATGTACCTCTGGGATTTGACGACGGTAAGTCTGGGTAATATGCGTCTACTCTATATTCCGGCAGGCTCATAGAATGTTAGCCCAACCGCGATGGATCTCTCGAGAACGACATCCTCGTCCACGAGATGACCCATGGCGTCACCAACCGCATGACTGGAGGCGGAACTGGCCGTTGCTTGCAGACCCTCGAGGCCGGTGGTCTCGGAGAGGGGTGGTCCGATGCCCTCGCTGAGTGCGCGTTTCGTTCTATCGCCTTCTGACCTTCCGATTCTAACATGCCCTTTCCCAAGATGGACTCAACACAAGTCGGCTACTGTCCGTGACTTCGTACTGGGCGACTATGTCACCAACAACCCCGCCGGCATCCGCACGAGACCCTACTCCACCAGCACGTAAGTTCTTTCCACCGATAGCTGTCAAACGGGCCTCTGATGTAGCTTTCGTGTAGGACTACCAACCCCCTGAGATACTCGAACGTCAGGGGTCTGAATTCTGTCCATCGTATCGGCGAGATCTGGGGCAACATCCTGCACAACGTCTACGCCGCCCTCGTCACGCAATACGGGTGGACGGCGAACGCCAGGACTAACCCTGAAGGAACACAGGGCAATGTCGTCTTCCTCCACCTCTTCCTCGATGCCCTCCGTCTTCAACCTTGCAACCCCACATGTAAGTGACCTGCGCGTCTATGTGTTGGATTGAAATTCGAGGCTCATCTCCATCCTTTCGTTCAGTCGTCACTGCGCGTGCTGCGTGGATCCAGGCTGATGCCAACCGCTACGGAGGTGCTAACAGGTGTCTCTTGTGGAGGACCTTCGCGAGCCGTGGTCTTGGATTGAATGCCTCTGGCTTCGTCGACAACACCGCTATTCCCGCTGACTGCTAAATTCAACTCGAAGGAAGGTTGGCAATAAGTATGTGAAAGAGTCGAAAATCATCCCCTAATTTTATTATTTATAATCACCTATTGATCAAAATCTCTGAGTTGGTCCCACCCCAGAAGACCGAAGAAGCTCGGCAACTCTTCCCACAGCTTATTGCGAGAGTCCCTATAGCATCGAGAGATACTGGTGGCACACGATGGACAGAGGATCTTGATAGTTTTTGCAGCACGGCCAGGAATACAATCGGTGAAATCCCAACGAACTTTCCCACCTTCTCCCATCCACAGGGAGTCGCAGAGACCTCGGAACAGCGCCTGCTTCTTCAAAGGGCAGACAGCAATGTTACTGCAAGTGCTGATAGGCATGAAAGTCGGAAGCCGGAACCAAGACAGAAGGGTCGAATGAACGCGGCGAAGGAATTTATCTCTTCCGATAACGCACTGGGTGCACGCTTCTTGCGGTAAATTGTTGTTATCCTCCGCCAATATCTCCTCCTGTTGGAGTTCTATCAAAATGAGAAATAGAAATCAGATTAGGGAGGATACTTGCTAGCGTGGCTCGATTAGTGTAGTGGAGGAAAGCACCTGGGAGGATTGACTGTATGTCATGCTCTCGTCCAAGGGATATGATAGCTGCAACGGTCTTCGCGTAGTCGGACAAGGTGGTATAATCGATAGGACTACTACCGTTGTAAGACGCCTCCCAATCTGGCAGAGTAATGGGAAAGTCGTGTCTTAGTCGCTTCAGTGCGTCGTCCCGGAGGTATGCAATGTCATATTTTTTTCCCATCCGAAGCATAGCGGCAATCGCACCAATCGAGAGCTTCTCGCGAAGATCCAGAAACCTGTACAGACGATTCCCAGAAATATGAGTACGTGGAACCAACGCAGAACAGTAGATTGGGTAGAAATTCAGTAACACACCGATAATTATCATAGAAAATAGCAAGAACTTGTCCAACATCATCAGCGCTGTCTGAAAGGACGATGACAGGACAACCATCGGGGTCGGAATCCTGCGGATTTTGGGGTTGGGGGATGGAGAACATGTCTCGGAATATGGGCGAGTGGCGAACCAACATGGATCGATGTACGCGAAACTGAACGTCCTCGGCCTGAAGGATGACATTCCCATCCTCGAGCCATAAAACCTCATGGCGTTTGACGGAGGAGCCCGAAACAATTTGGAATGTATCGCCTGATGATGGCTGCAGCATGTCGCTTGGCACTGTATCACGACAGATTGGAAGATAAGTCAACGAGTAAAGCAGCCTGAGACAAGCAAATCTCCCTGACTTTGATTACGTAAGCGGTCTCAAAGAGAGCAGCGCAACTTCGCTGTCGTGTTGTCATTTTATTTAATCATGACCAGGATGTTACTGAACGTTGAACGCTGAGTCGTTTATCGATCATCCAACGCTCTCCGGATAGTCTCGAGGTCGGAGATTGAAGTCCACTCATACACACACTCTACAAAGCAGGCACGAGACGCCTGTGTCGTTATCGATAGAGCTTTGCTGAGTCTCTTCAGCCTCGTCCTCCGCTTGCTCGTCCTACATCATATCTAGATCATTATTCGCGCATACAATCAGCAATGGTAGAACCAACACACCTGATCAATCCGCCTCTGAATGATTAACCTCCCCCTGCCTGCTGGTACGAGCCTCTTCGAAATTACTCGCGACCTGCTTGAACGTCCTTTCATGAGCTACGGGGTGGAGGCATTTACAACGGGGAGAGAGGAGAGAGAGGAGGGAGGAGAGATGGCACACACCCACGTTCCAGCTTCTAGTTGACATATTTCTCGAAAGCCTCTTCGGCCAGGACACCCAGGTCGCGGATGTTTCTGTTGCACTCGTCCTTTCGTGTGAGCAACATCTGACGTTTGGCGAGGTAGCCTTCGGTAGCCTTCTGCTGTTTGGAGATGGAACGGCTGTCTTCTGTTTACTGGCCTTGGACTTTCTCGAGGTCGGACCGCAGCTCTTGGACTTTGGCGGTCAGGGCTTCGCCCTCCTTCTCCATCTCTAGACAAAGAGTTTAGCTTCCTTGACGAGTCGCTGGACAAGTACGACTCACCTTGAATCTTTTGCATTCCTCAGATGAAATTGTTCAACGTTCGAAGTTCCCTGGTTCTCGCTTCCAGGTCGTTGGCTGATGTCGAGTCGTCGCTCAGTTCCTCCAGCGTCTCAAGTTTGAGCTTAACTTCTTCTCGTTGGCGCTGCAGGCGTTCCTTGAGCTCGATCTCGAGGGTATTTTTCCGGCCCTCCAGCTATCTTCGTCGTCAGTAGAATAACTCCTTCGCCCAAACAAGGGCGTACCTCATTCTTACTCCTGCTCAATTCGAGCATCTCCTTCCTTCTCCTCTCAGTTTCCTTGCCGAGGCTGACGATCAAGGCCTCTTCCTCAGCTGTTATCGTATTGGTGAGAGGTGTTCCCAGCTCGCTCGAATACGACATAATCTTCGCGTCGAGACTTCTCAGCTCCGTCTCTAGCTCCTCCTCCTCCGTCTCCAGCCGTGCAATCTCCTTCTCTAGCAAGAACAGCAGCTTCCTCCGCCAGTCGTTCTCTCGCGTCACGTATCTGCGACTGCTGGCCGGTGAGGATGGCGATCCTGCCTCCAACCTGTGTGGTCTCCCTCCAGAGTCCGGATTGAGTCCTTCACTTCCTGAGATCGCGTCTTCTCCGCGTCGTACTTCGCTCGCCACGTCCGGACGGACTTGATTGCCTCGATGCGCGACCGCCGTACGTCGTGATAGCCACCCGTCAGAGCACCCTTGCGGTCGACTTTGTCGCCGTCGAGGGTGATCGTGTTGATGCTGTGACTCTTCACGTAGGCGGCAGTGATGGAGAGATCTCGGCAGACGCAGGTCTTGCCGAACACCTGCTTCTCGTACTTGCGGCCAAAGCGGAGCTGGTCGATGAGCGGCTTGACGTCCTGCGAGTTGGGTGCTGGCGGGTTCTTGAGACGGTTGAGGGGCATGGACGTGACGCGATCGTTTTTCTCTTTGAGCATGACGTCAAGGGCTTTGGAGGCGGTATCGACGACGACGTGGAACAGGCTGGCAAAATGTTAGAATGGCAATGTTTGTGGCAGTGGTGGAGGCACCGCACCTGTTGCCTGCTGTAAGCTCAACGGCCATGTTCAACTTGGGGTCGACAACCTCGAAGGGTCGGTACAGTGGATCACATACCCCTCCTGGGTTGTACCTCTCTGCGATGCTATCCACTGCCTTGAGTGCTTGCTCCATGTGCTTGTCCATCATGCCGGCGAGGTTGCTCTCTGCAGTTTTCAGCTCATCAGCAGCTCGGCTGACGGGGCTGTCGAGCTTCGTGTCCTCTCTCCATAGCTCCTTCCTCTTCTCGACGAGATCGGCTTGTTCCTCCTCCTTCTTTGTGCTCTCTTCCGACGGCTCTTTCGCTCTCCGCCGCCCATCCTCGACCTTGCCTTTGCCGTCCCTAGCTAACGTCTTCAGCTCACCCAACGACCTCCGCGCAGTGACCAGGTCGGCGTTCGTGCTCTCCAATGCTGTGTCTCTGTCCGTCTTGTAGGCCGTTACCGAGGCAATTCCATGGCGTAAGAACGTATCTCGCTCAGATTTCGTGCGGAATCGAGTGGCACGACCTTGCTTGGCGAAGAGGGCGTCGAGCCTCGCGCTGGCTTCGTACAACCGCTGCTTCTCTTGCGTCTCCAACCCCTTCTGGCTTTCCTACTCGGGTGCCTCCTTCTCCGTGGTCTTTGTTTCCAGCTGCTGCAGCTCGGCCTCAAAGTCTTCGCGTCTTCCCCCTGTGCTCTTTGTTGCCATACGTAAGTCTTCGACGATGCACTCTCGTTCTGTACGCGAGCGGATGAAGTCGGTCAGCTCGGCTTGGGTGTCGCGTCTGCCCTGGGCTACGGCTTCCAGAGAGTGTCGGGTGTCCGCGATGGATTCCTTGAGATCCTGGAAAGAAAGTCAGCAATAGCAGATGTTGTAGAGAGGTGCTGGAACACACCTGAATCTCTTTCTGGCGTTCGTTGTACTTCTCCCGCTGTACATTCGCTCCATGAACATCCGCCCGTCGGTCCTCCTCCACTTCAAGCAGAGTTTCCGCCACTTGCTCCAGTTCTCGTTGATAGAGGGCGTACTCTAGACATCGCCGCTCTTTGTCCTTCTCCTGAAATTTCTTCAGCTCTTCCTTCTCCTCTAGCTCGTTCAGTCGGGATTCGATATGGTCCAGTAGTTCGTTAATCTTGCCACGCTTTGCATCGGTGTCGGCCATGATTTTGAGGGATTCTGCTCGGCGTTGCTCGTAGACCCTCGTCCCAGCAAATTCTTCCAGCGAGTCGTTCGTAGTCCTTGGCGTTTGTGAGGGCAGTGATCTGGGAATTGAACAAACTGAGCAAGACATCCATGAAGAACATTAATAGGCACGCACGCGTCCTTGTGGCACAATGTACTACGGGTTGGACTTGCTGAAGCTGGCACTCTCGAACAGGTTCATCACGTCCGCCTTGCCAGCGCTCTTCTTGTCCAAACTGTATTCATCCATTGTCCGTCATAGAATGACCTCGTCGTGTCCAGTGGGAAATCGGTTGTTGGAGTTGTCGGACGATTTCGACTGTGGAGCGAGAATGAGATTTGTGAAACCAATCAACTTGTGCTGCTCACCGAGAGCAGAAAGGGTCGCAGCGACCATAACACCTTCATGGAGGAGCGCCTGCCGATCTTCACGCGACATGGATGTGTAGGCATCGGACAACACAAATCGGATGGCTGGAGGCGAAGAATTAGTGATAACGCAGCAAGAAGAATTAAATTGACTCACCTGCGAAGAAATTGCTCTTTCCCGACCCATTTCGACCAACCACGACGTTGTGTCTTGGAAAAAATGGTTCTATCTGTGTCTGGTTGCGATCTGTGGTTGAAATGAGAGAAGTTCGTGGATTTTACCAAAGCATAACTGCACTTACATAATTTGAATCCCTGAATTATCAGGGTTTTGATGTACATTGCACCAGAGTAGGATACTGAGATCCCGCTGCAGGGAGGCTCATGTTGTGGTTCGGAAGGGAAGTGTGTGTGACATAATGTGACGCGACGCGATGGTGACACCCTATCCAGATTCCAAGTTGCTCTTTGACCGCACTCTCATCTGAACTGCTGACCAGCCTCACAACCATATCCTATCACGGCCATGTCAGAACCGACTCAGAAACGTCGCAGAGTCGACTCGCCAACCGCAGATACCATCATCGAACGCTCCGAGTCCTTTTGGATGGAAGACGGCAACATCGTCCTCCAAGCAGAAGACAAGCAATTTCGTGTCCATAGGACGATGCTGGCGCGTCATTCGACAATATTCAAGGATGTGTTTACGATTCCACAACCCCAGGAGCCCCAGGAGCGCAAGGTTGACGGGTGTCCCGTAGTTGGTCTTTCAGATAAGGCTGAGGATGTTGAGCAGGTCCTAGCCATCCTCTATGATGGTGTTAGGTGCGTAATCGGCTTCAGAGATGCTGCAGGCGAGATTCATAACAAGATTTATGCTCAGTGTTCTAGATCTTAGTAAGGACCTCCCAGTATCACAAATTGCAGCTATGCTACGGCTGGGCAAGAAGTACGACATCACCTTCTTGCAGGAGAAAGCCCTGGAACGGCTTCGGCGAGCCTTTCCCTCTACCCTGGAAGACTGGGATATGTCCTTTGGTGAACACTGTGCTCCGGTTATTGTGTATGAAGAGCCGTCACGTACAAAGGTCGCCGAAGCCGCCATTTCCCTTGCCCTTGAACATGGGCTGCCAAGGATCCTGCCTGGAGCTTTCTTGTACTACATATCTCAAACACCACCAGTGCGCTTCTTCGATGTTGCCTCCGTTTATTCATTTCTGAAGCGACTGTAGGAAGTCATACTAAAAGGAGAAGATAATGAACTTCCTCTGGAAGTGCGCTTGCAGTGTATCCTAGGACGCGACAAGCTCCTCCGACACATCTCCTTCGCGCTTCTGAACAGGGCAGGTGAATGCGAATTTCTGGGAAAGCGAAATTGTGAGGATCATTGTTACACAACCAGAAAATCGACAATTGATGATCTTAGATCTGCATTCTGGGCTACCGACTCGCGCATATGGACCTTTTCACCCAACTTACCACCTGATTTTGAAATCGACGATCTCTGCAAAAGCTGCTCTGATAGTATTGAAGCCTGCTACGAGGAACTTCATGGAGAACTATGGGTCAAGCTACCGACCTTCTTTGATCTTCCAGCTTGGGAAGACATCAAGGACTTCGACCAGTAGCAGCGTCAACTTGAACCGGACACACTGGCGCATAGACTTCCTCCACCTGTCATCTATAGCTCTCTTTCCTTTTATCATGTTCTTTTAAATTATATTGACATCACCGTAGCTGAACCTCGCAAGAATCTTGAAAGAGTGCTGAATGCTATCTGTTTCCTGGACCCGATAATGGGAACATTATTCTACAAGCTGAGATCTTAAGAGCATGCAGTATCGGGCCCACCACAGGTCCACCATTACCCCGGCAGAACAATTCGTGCCACCTGACCAGTGGGATGTTCTGGGGCATGCTTGATGTGTCATTCTCATACTGTAGGCACTCGATGATATCATGGAAGTAGTATCACGAAAAACGGACTGTCTGCAGCCTAGCAAAGGTCCAACATGTATATTTGTTAATGGTCTGGGAAATCTGCAACCGCTGATCATTGCTCCTCGTCTTCGTCCTCGTCCCCATCCTCGTCCTCATCTTCCTCTAATCCAAAGTACGATGGTAGCTCATTCCACATCATGCTCCGTCCATTTTCGTATTCTCTCCTTGCATCAGAGCTACATTTCGGACACAATCCTGAACCCAACTTGGATTTGGACCACTTTGTCGTAAGATACTCCAGGTTTTCAGAAATATCATCGGTCAACACCGCTCTTGCCTGGCGGCCTAGCACCTCCATGCAGAGCATAAGCGAGTCAAAATCGTGCTTGTTCAGGAAGTCGTCATCATGTAGCCAGTCCAAGATATTCTGTGTGACTGCCTTGTGCAGCTTTTCGCGTGCGGTGAGACACGAAATGAGATCGTCTGAGGTGAGGAAATCTGATCGCGTGGCGAAACCCTCGCGGATGGCATCCTGAAAACGGGCAGGCAGTCACCATCGTCATTCGTTTGAGAGACATATAAAGCACTAAAACACACCATATTGTACTCCGTGAACATCGACAGATAGACGGAGGGAAGGATGTACTTGAGGTCGAGTTCATGGGCTAGGGCCGCAACATCAAATGTGAGTCCAGACCTGCGTGCAATGAGAGGTTTGGGCTTTGAATCCCACTTGGAAAGAGTGGCTGGGTAATCGCGTTGGAGGAGAGCGGTGCCACGATCCCAGAGAGTCTTGAAGTCATATTTCCTGCCCATGCGGAGCATCGTCGCGACAACCGAGAAGGAGATCCGTCCCTCAAGGGTGTGCACTCTGGACAACGCTTATTTAAATCAGGGGCACAGATAACTAGTATAGGATAAGTTGGGCACGCACTTTAAGGGGTCATAGAGCAAATCGAGCAGGTTTCTGACGTCCTCCTTTGAGTCCTGCAAAAAGACGAGAGGGCATCCGTCCACCAGTGATTCACCAGCTCCGAGTTCAGCTGGTTGTGGTAGAGAGAACATATCCGAAAATACTGTTGACTTGTGTGCCAGGAGTGAGGAGTGGACGCGATATTGTTTTTGTGCTGTCTGCAGGACAATGTTGCCGTCCGGGAACCAGTAGTGTGTCGAACGCGTCACCGTAAAAGGCATGCTATTCTTTGTCGATGAGGGGCTGTCTAAAGCATCTGTGTCGCCATGGTCGACGCGTTTTCGTTTTGTACAGTTCCTTTCTGACATGTTACGAACTGGACGTTGGAGTTGGGAGCTGGGTGGAGAAAGGCAAGGGCTTGTCGCGGTAGAAGATCGTGAGAGAAATACACGTGAGTTAGGGGCCGCTTTCATCTTTCCCGGTTTCTTCGTCTCTCCTCTTACCATATCCACGCCTTCGACGCCTCTTGAAGGCAAAATACAGGCAAAAATGTCAGGAACAAATCTCACCAAACGCAAACGCACCGATAGCGGCGACGGCGACGCTTCGAAGGACGATAATCCGACAGTGACACGCTCGGCTGAATACTGGCTCGAGGATGGGAACATCATCCTCCAAGCCGAGAACACGCAATATCGCGTTCACCGTTCGATACTTTCGCGCCAATCAACCGTCTTCGCAGATATGTTCTCTCTGCCACAGCCGCCCGAATTTGGACCAGGCGAATCCCTTGTTGATGGCTGTCCAGTGGTCCATCTGCAAGACTCGGCAGAGGATGTTGGCAATTTGCTCGACTTGCTGTACGAGTCAATCAGGTGCGTGTTACGAACCTCTTTCCAGGGTGTTCTGGCACTCAGCATGCATGGTTCAGTCTACAGACGATTGAGGGCCACATCTCCATATCAGTCATCAGAACGATGCTGCGCCTGGGGCGAAAATACGACTTCAAGAAGCTCTGGGATCGGGGTGTCTCGCTCCTTGAGCATGACTACCCTTACACCCTACAAAAATGGGATGAGAAGCCGAAACCGCTCATTTCAGACGAACCAGGAGTTATATTCGATGTCATCGCCATCGCACACGAGAACGACATCAAATCTATCCTACCTCCGGCCTACTTAACCATGTTCCTTCGAAATTCTTTGGTGAGTCTTTGAAACGACTCTATCTCCATGCGATGCACACTGCTGATATCGCATACGCTTTCGAACGATGCACATGCTTAGCCAGACATCCGCGATGGTTTTAGGACCAGACCGGCTTTGCTGAGTTCGGAGATCCTCTTCTCCTGTCTTATAGGCCGAGAGCGGCTTCAGAGACTAGTGAAAGCCATCATTCTGGATTGGCTCCGGGATGACGAACTCCCGCGAGCTGACTGTGACTCGTTTGACAAATGCTCTGCCGCGCTCATGGGGAAGATCAAGTACCTGTACGGACAGGATGCGTGCAAGCTTCTGGAGTACTTTGCGTATAGGTGGGATAAGGCTGAACTGGGCGCAGGAATGTGCGAGGAATGTGAGATATATGGTAATGCAGAGTACGAGGAGGGAAGGAGAATTCTATGGTACAATTGTCCTCAATACTTTGAGTTGGATTCGTAATCTTCTACGGAATTCCAGGCAAGAGAAGTGAGCTACCTTCAGACAAGAGAGATTTCCTACTTCATTCAGAGAACCAACAAGGAGAGATTACTAGGTTTGCAGAAACGAGACGCAACAGTTACACATTTAGCGGACTCCTGAGCAAACTGCTTACTGGCTCGAAGACGGAAACATTGCGTTGCAAGGTGGAAACACACAGTTACATATCCAATCGTTGCGAAAGTCCTCAGCATGAGGGTAAACGAAGATCTTGTTTCGAGCGTGTCGCACCGCGGCACACAAGACACGGACCCTGAAGTACAGAGTCATACTCGCGAGCATCTCTTTCCGTGTTCGTGCCCGAGCGACCTCATTCTGCGTCCCAAAGTCGGACGCACTCCGCGCGCTGTATGTTTTGTGGATACACACCAGAGCGCCTCTCGCAGCCTGCTATCTGTGTGGAAATGTTCGAACGCGGGATGCCTTCGACATAAGGGTAGCAATCCTCTTCTAGAAGAGAAGTCACGGAACCTCTTCGGATGACGGCGATGATGATTGAAGCACCGAATGCGATTCCCTCCGGTCCTTTCGTCCAGAATCAATTGTCCCCGACAGGGCCACTGACTCAAAATAAAATTGGGCAACGCTTCATCCGCGTCTGAAGCTTTGGTGGAATGGATAGACGAACAAACAAACAGCCTCCAAAGGATGAGAGAGAAGCCAATTCCACGAACGAGTGAGGAGGAGCCACAGACAAGACAAAGCCGCGTCGATTTGATATTCCAGACTTTGGAGGGCGTCAAACACTGATGATGATCATGTTAGATAGTCTGATACACCATCTGTCTGTCATTCTATCTAGGCCAGATCTCCCAACGTCCAGAAAGCGCACATACGAAAGCCCTGTCGGAAAAATCAAATTTCGCCTATATAACCATATATGGGCATATAAGGACCTGTTAGGGCATCAGAAAATCGGGGTTCATATGGATGGCGAAAAGTCACCCATCCAATTGTATAATATTTGTAAGGATGATCGAACTTATGGCCCTAAAACACCATATTAGGCCTGATTCCGTGTCCACAGCTGTTCAGGCCTTCTCCGGGGTTATGAGGGTGAATAGGTGTCTTCAGAAAAACCTACGAATGCTGACCGAAAAAAGTCATATTCGGGTGTACTGATGCTTGTCCTTATCCAAAAGGAGGGAATAAAAATTAATTTCATTTTCTACTCTAGGAGAATTACATACCCCCCCTCGGGATTTACATTTCCGTTGTCATACAAACAAAAGAAACCGAGCTGCTCGAGGGAACGGCCTTGAATGAAATTAACTCAAATTCATTGCGGGACCAAATAAATCCTTACCGTTTGTGTACAGAAGTGAGCCAGCCGCCCTATCCGCCAAAGTCAGCTGCAACTTTCTAACATATGAAGATGGACGCACGTTAACAGAGTCAGCGCCCCGCCTGCTACCTGCTTCTCACAATCGATGCCTTAGAGAAAATAAGATCTAGAAAGCCTATTTGTGGTGAGTCAATGTGAAAATACAGAGACGTATGATCGTAGGCACGCACCGAGTATAAGACGCCCTGCTAAGTGAAGTCTAAGTTAGTAGGTGATATGTGAACAGAGTGAGGACGCACCATCAGACAGAAGCCGGGTACCACCGACGTCCATCCAATCTCGAACTCAAAGTCAGCGGGAAGGAACTGCGCTGGAATAAGACGACGAAAGCCCGTTTTTATAACCCTTTCCCGCCTGGACCTCAGCGCCTAGATATCGCCCCGAGGCTAATCTCCGACTCGGAATTCACAGGCCTTACCAACTGCCGGAGGGATGTGGGAGGATGTGGGTGCTTCGAGGCACTAATCTGGATCCTAATTCGACCCCACGATGTGTAAGTATGCTGACGAGACTTTTCCCTTCATCCTGGTCTATTGCCCACGGCCCCGGAGGTACAGACTTTAGGACAGCTCCCATGACCTAGGGTATGCTCAGAACTTCAAGTCCGCTCGCGAGCTGAATAAATGGACACTCGCCTTAGTCGAAACAAGTACCCTTTGAAGATAATTTTGACGTTTCGAGAGGGTGAGAGGTATCTTCTTTTGAATTCCTTCTTCGACAACTACGGCTTTTCGAGGTAAAGTGATCAGATGTGATCAGGACTTACCAGAGGTTACGGATTTCTGATACTCACTGACGCTCGACTTACCGGCCCTTACAATTGATTATTAGTAGCATCACGCCAGTGTATCAGCGGGGCCAGGGGTGCCAGGAGCCGCAAGGCCTTATAATGGAAATTGCGTTTTTCCGACATCTCGAAAGCATTGCCGAAGTTTGCGTCTGGTCGCGTCTCTGAAAAGCTCGAGTCCGAGTGACAGTCAATGGGCGACCCTGTACAGGTGAGGCTGCAACATCGTGCTCCCACGTATAAACGGCCTTTCTACTTTGTAATCCCCGACGTGTGAGACGTACGGTTGGTCGTGAAGTGCCTGCAGGAGACGGCTCGCCATAGTTGCGCAGTTGAAATACCCTCAATGCTCTAGCGTCTGACACTTAGCAGGGCGATAATCGTAGAAAACGACTTGGGACTCCTCGTCGACCCATCCCAAGGAATCGCCAGATGTGTTGTTTACAAGCGAGAAGCAATACTGAAGTTCACTTCAGTGTTGAGCATTGCTTCGTTTGGTGCAGCGTCTGCCTGTGGGATGGGAAGAGGGCGGGGTCCGGTCCGCGTCGGCACTCCAAGATGCTCGCCGCCAGACTGCGTACATATAATATTTCGAACTCGCGATGCATGTCTTTCGTCGACCTACGCGGAAACACACAACGAGCGAAGTCTAAGCGAAGCGCGACGAATCCAAACGTCGTGCGATCGTGCCTTTCTCGTGTGGAGTGAGCAGGTTCGGATGGGTCGGCGGGGGTGTGGCATGTGGAGCAGGGAAGGGGAAAGGGAAGGTTTAAGGAGAAGACTATGTGAGTATGAAAAACATAGCTTAATTAAACCTGCAGCTGCCGGCGTTGAGATCGGTGTTGAACACTCCCAGAGACGGGTAGAGTGTGCTGCACCTACGACTCGATGGCACGGACGGTGTTCAGATCGTCAGAGTCGTATCCTAGAGTGAAAGAGGGCCGGCGGCTACAGCAGCATAGGACTCCTAACCGGCCCATCCCTCCAACTCGAGAGCACCTGCAAGAGAGAGATAACGTCCAGGATCTCCGAGCCGCTAATTTGGACGGGGATTTGATGCCCTCGCTTGAAACCCCAGTCTTGTGGGATGGGAAGAGGGTCTGCGCTCGCGTGCACGTCGGTGGCGAGGTGAGTGAGAGTCGGAGATCGAAGTGGGGCTGTACGACAGTCGTAGGAGGAGATTCGACCGGCGTCTGACCAGTAGTAGAAGCGCGATGAGAGCGATACAACCGAGTTGACCCATCGGTCAGCATGAAAGAATTCGGACAAACGAGGGAACACGCAAGTTCTGTTGAACTTTGCTTGACTTCCCCTTTGTTTGGTGAAACTTCGGTGTCGGCCGATGGGAGGATGGTGCCACATGCGGTTGCAGTCTCCGTTGGTGGTAGGGCATGAAGATAAGTTCTTGGCCGCCAGGGATGCGAAGTAGTAAGATGGATGGTTCGGCGGATGATGGATCGAGCTTATCAAGGTGGTTAGTAGACGGGGAAGAGACCTGATGAGACGAGCCCTAAGGGTGGGAGACGGCGATGAGGAAGGATGGTGCTCGACGCTGTGCCAGTCCAGGAGCATTATTCCGTTGGACATCACAGCGAGCCGCGGACGAAGGGGCGAAGGCCCTTTACATATAGGTTTGTGGCTTCGCCAGAGGCTCGCTGGGTAGGTAGCGCAGGAAAATATGCTACCTGGAGCGGGTGGATGGGCGTCGATGGCGTCGATGGCATCTGAGCTGGGACTCGCAGTTGGGACGTTGAGTGCTTGGGACACATGAGAATCTGGAACAAGGACATGATTCAGATACCACATGTCCTTCAGTCGGAGTTGGCACCCCGGCCCTACGGCAATCACCCTCGCCATCGCGGACCGTAATAAAAGCAAATTCAGACGATGAAAGCAGAGATTGGACAAGAATCCTCGCCAATGAATCGTTCTGATGGCCACGGCGATAGGCATCCAGGAATAAATTCGTCTATTCAGAATCAGCAAGGCTAGTCAAGTGAACACTCACGACAAGAATAAGACCAAAAAAAGGCAGCAGAGATACCAGGCGCCAATAAGAAATGTACGAAGAAAGTATAGGACAAGTGACTGGAAAAAAATGCTCATATACCAGCCAGTACGAAGGGGAGGAGAAAGGCAGAGGTATATATACTCCAGGTTTGGGGGTCGTAAAGGACAGCCATCCGGCGTGCCGTTCGAGCTCGAGACGTCGGAGGGAGAGAGGGTACTGGGTGCGAGGAAGAGGAAGGACAGGATGTGGGGGAAAAGAAGAAGGGAGGAAGAAGTCCGGAGCAAATACGGGGCGAGAAAGGGAACGAGAATGAGGTGGAAACGGGTGGCCGTGGGGGCTGTGGGGTAGGTGGGTCGGTCAACGGCGTGTCGAGTCTCTGCGTCTCATGAGAGGCATGTAAGAGATTTGTGCAGAATGAACGATGCACGCAACGCACGCACAGCGTCGTGTACTGGTCAAATTCGTCGGTGTAGCAAGAGCCGTTTCGTTCTCCGACGCCTCTAATTCATAAGTCATTCGAGGGCACTACGGTCGTAGAATTCCTGGTCCTATGAAGAGCCGGTGAGGAGAGGCTGGGAACCCAAACGGGAGCTGAAGTCATAAGGAAGTTGCAGTCGTAAGGAAACAGAAACAACAAGTTTCTGGGCCTCTCAGAGGAACAAGAAGAATCATATCAGACCCCGGAGGAGCCTGGTACGTCATCTATCCCTCCCGGATCCTGGATCCCCGAGAGATACACATCTGATCCCGGGACCCGAAGATCTAGTGGCGCCGATAATCGATGAGCGACCCACACGCAGGTGAGTGGGCGCCTCCGTTCGGCCTCTTAGTATCATCAGTGGGATGGAAGAGGGACGATGGGCGATCCGTGTGGCGGAACATCAGGGATTTGCCAAGGCGCGTCGTGTCAGATGTGGGTCGATGGTATGCCGGAGCTGATAAAGAGAGGAGGGAGGCGTTCACGGAAGGAAGATGGATTATAGTGTACTAGAGGGATACCCGTGCGTTGCACGGGGCCGGGGTTTCAAACTCCCTGTCTCCTTGTCTCCTGTACGGATTGTGTAGTTCCGGATCCTGATTTTCCGGAAGACGCTCGCGGACCGGGACACCAGTTCTAACGCGAGGCGGGAATGTTCAATGAAGGGCACCAACAGGCGCGAGACGGGTTACCGTTCGAGGGTTAGTTATCTGCAGGTCCTGGCCTTGACTTGGAAAAGGTTATTGGAGAACGAACCTACGAATCGGCAGCATAGGTAGGCATTCAGATCTTCAGAGTCATATCCTAGAGTATAGGTGCGGCGGCCGTCGCAGTAGAGCAAGGCTCGTTATCGACCCATCCGACAAAATCGACCTTCAATCGGAGAGGGATGACATCTAAAATCTCCGAGCCGTCAATTGCGACTGGGGATTTGATGCCCTCGTAGAAGATTTCAGCCGTGTCGGATGGGAGGAGGGTGGGAGCTTGCGTGCATGCCTGTGGCGGGGTGAGTTGTAGGAGACGAGAAAGAGTAGATTCGAGTAGAAACGCGATAGTAGCGATGTAACAGGGCACTGCATTGACCCATCGGATAAAGTAAAGGTCATCAACAAACGAGGGAGAACAGGCAAATTCCTTTGAACTGCTCGACAGCCCTTTCGTTTGGTGAAAACTCGATTTCGTGCGATGGGAGGATGAAGTGCGGGTGCGGCGGCTCTACCAGCGGGCGAGAGTGGGAGTATTTGACGAGGCGGATGAGGCTTAGTGGTGCAACCCAACTGGACGAACGGGCGAGGCGCGCCTGCAACAAGGTATAGGTAAGATCACGCGACCCGGCGATGTACTTCGTCCTGGACCCATCCGAGCTTCACTGGACTATCGCCTCTCAAGCGAAGGGAGGTACGACACGAGCGCGAGGGCGTCGGTCGTGCGCTAGCACTTCGCGTGGTAGGACCTGAGGCTGGGATGGGGTGTATGGACAGCTTAGGTGCAAGCATGAAGATGAATAATTCCTACAAGTAAGAGCTTGCGATGGATGGACATCCCCTCGTACAGGACCATCCTGACACTCTCACCCTTTGTTACGAGAGAAAGTGCGACATATGCCGGGAAGGCACTAGTCGCGATAGGCACCACCAGGGGCAGGCCTTGGTCTCTGGGTAATGCTGCATCTTGGGATGGGTAGGCAGAGGTGGGACGCGATCGCGAGTGCAGAGAGAGGAGAGAGACCAGAGGAGAGGGGGTTCGGCAGGTCTGGGACACCCAGATAGTGGAACGATCGGGCGGATCGCAGGTAGTGGTTCGCCGCTCAAGCTCAAGGTCGGGCCTGTCCAGGAAGTTCGCCGAACCCATGGGTAAGCGAGCCACGGGCGGAGCTGCACTAATGAACGAGGCCCTTGTTGTGTGGAGGGCTCGAGTGGCTTCGACGTGTGCTCGCTGGTTAGGGTAAGAGGGATGTCCTTACTGGAGGGGCCGGAGCGTCGAGGTGAGACGAGAGTAAGGATGTCGATGTTCGAGGAAGGGAGGTAAGGACGGCGCTTGACGACAGACAAGGCCAGTCCAAGAGCGCTACCCTCGTACCAAATACAGCGATCTGCAGACGAAACGGCACTCACAGTTAGGTGCTTTCGCCAGAGGCTCGCTAAATAGCAAGGGAGCATACGCTGCCTGGAGCGGCGTGCGGGCGTCAATGGGCGTCAATGGGTGTCGATGGGCGTCAATGGGTGGATTCGTAGATCAAGCGTGGAGTGGAGTGTCGAACCTGGGATTCAAGTCTTCAGAGGCTTTGGACGAGTCGGTACTCGAGGAAGGGAGGGAAGGACGGCGCTTGACAACAGACAAGGCCAGTCCAGGAGTGCATATTTTCGCCAAGGGGCAATACAGCGAGTTGCGTACGAAGGGGCAATAGCTTGAAAAGCCCTATGGGGCTTCGTCGTAGGCTCGCTGAATGGCGGAGTATACGCTGCCTGGAGCGGCGGATTGTGTCGACGGTGTCAATATGGTTGCTCTGCTTTACTGTTGGAGATAGATCGCGTTGAGCGAGGGCGGTTGGTAGACGGGCAAGACGAGAGGAGCCTTGGATGAAGTCGATGCTCGAGAGAAGGAAGGACGCGCTTGACACCACGCCACGCCAGTCCAGGAACGCACCTCAGTCAATCAGCACAGCGAGTTGCGTACGAAGGACGATGGCCCTTTGCGGCTTCGTCGTAGGCTCGCTGAGTAGCGGAGAGCATATACTGCCTGGAGCGGCCGGCGGGCGTCGATGGGCCGAAGAGAGGAAGGAGATCGAGCTCGAGATCGAGCTCGTCGCGTCGACACCACATTAGGCCAGTCCAGGAGCGTTTCTCTGGTATGCACTACAGCGAGGTTGTGGACGAAGGGGCAATAAAGGCCCTTGGGGCTCCGCCGTAGGCTCGCTGGGTAGCAAAGAGCATGCGCTGCCTGGAGCGGCGGATGGGTGCCAGGGGCTGTGGTATTGATGATCAGGGAGTCGATATCGCGGCTGGGTGCTGGCACCTGGTATGTCGATGAAAGAAGGGACGATGAGGGCGAGACGGATGAGGGTTTGGGATCGTACAGAGGCGGGATGAAGGAGGAAACTGGAAGGAAGAACGTACATTACCCGATGCCAGACCAGAGACCAGACCAGGAGCTATTCCTATCTGTCCCGATCTAGCGAGGTACGGACGAACGGGCGCTGTGCGCGAGCTCGCCGTGTCCTCGCGAGTAGGCAGGAGGAGATACGCTGCCTGGAGAGACGGGCATGCGGGGCAGGGTGAGTTGGGGGTCGAGGATCGGGGATCGGGGATATAGGATCGGGTGGCGATCTGGGTGGTATTGGTGCTAGAGGGAGGGTGTGATGGAAGCAACGCACGCCCCGCCAGTACAGTCCAGGAGCACTACTCCATGGCACAATACAGCGAGTCATGGACGAAAGGGCAATCAAGGCCCTTTGTGGCTTCGCCGTGTTTTCGCTGAGTCACAGAGTATACGCAGCCTGGAGAAGTGGGCGGGCGGCGGGAGGGCGTTCACTGATGGTCGGGATGGATCGAGCTGATCGAGGGGTCAGTAGGGGGGAAGGATTGGGTAGGAGATGGCAATGAGAGGGTAAGCCCGGGTAAGGACGGCGCTCGATACCATGCCAGGCCACGCCGTCCAGGAGCGCGCGACCGAAGGGGCAACATATAGCCCTTCATGCATCACGCAGCCTGGAGCGGCGGGTGGGTGGGCGGGCGTCGATGGGCTCGCTCGTCTGAGTCCTCTGAGGTGGGAGTTGAGATGCTAGGACGGTGGGACGCTGAGTGGACATGAGAGTTGGGTGCAACCCTCCTCGAAGTCTTACCCCGGCCCGTTCGCCCCACTCCCATTGGTCAGCCATCACACAGTTCCCACGCCCCATCAATCCACCCTCAACACACGAGCGAGCGAGCGCATCGTGCAGAACAACGTCGGCGGACCCCTTAAGGTGAGTCTTTATGCTGCTTTGGACGGTTGGGGTGTGTTCTGGGAAGGTTTTGGGTGCTGAAGGGGTGGATTTTGGAGGTGGATGGAGGGAGGTGAGGATGGATGGAGAGGTGGAAGGGTGGATGACGAGTTTTTGAGTTGGGTGCGGATGGGCGATTGGGGTGTGACTATGAGGATCGTTTTGCGTGGCGATGGATTCGACGTGGGTTGGAAGGAGGTTCGGACGGGGTTGGGGTGTCATTTCTTCGTTCTTCTGGGCACGTATGTATGGGAGGACAGTACGCTGATCAATTTTCTTTCTTCGCGGGCTGCTCTACAGACAGGCACTACAATGGCCACCACAAAATCAACCAAGGGCAAGGCTGCTGCTGGCAAGAGTGCGCCTTTCCCTCCCCATTGTCCTTTCCATCTCCCACTAACCCATTCACCCTCTTTTCCCTCTTCCCCTCTCTCCCTCATCCTACCCAAATGCTACAGACGCAGCCAAAGAATCCAAAGCCAAAGCCGCCAAAAAAGCCGCGCTGCAAGGTGCGCACGGGCACGCCTCGCGCAAGACGCGCTACTCCGTCTCTTTCCACCGGCCCAAGACCCTGCGCCTCGCGCGCGATCCCAAGTACCCGCGCCGCTCGATCCCGCACGCGCCGAGGATGGACCAGTTTCGGACTATCGTCTCGTGAGTGACTCGAGGGAATGACACCGGGAAGCGTATTGATATAAGCGTATTGATATCGGACAGGCCTTTGAACACGGAATCGGCGATGAAGAAGATCGAGGAGCATAATACGCTCGTGTTCATTGTCGACCTCAAGTCGAACAAGCGCCAGATCAAGGATGCGGTCAAGAAGCTGTACGACGTCCAGGCGGCCAAGATCAATACGCTGATTCGGTGAGTTGGGGTTCTGCTGCTTGTAATTGTGGCGGGCTGTGCCATCGGGATGTGTTTCGTCATCCGTTTGTGGATGATGTTCGCGGATGATGTGTGTGCTGTGGATGATGTGTTTCTGCTCTGGTCTTCTGCTTGCGTTATATTTATTGCGGTGCATTCGCACTGTCATCCTTTCCGTCATTTTGTCTTCGTGTGTGCGCTGTAGATGAAGTTCTGACGTTCTGGCTGGTTCTTAGACCGGACGGCAAGAAGAAGGCGTATGTGCGGCTGACGGCGGACCACGATGCGCTGGATGTGGCTAACAAGGTGAGAAGAGGGTGCCTTCTTCGCCTGGTGTATAATTAACGGCGTTCTCGTTCTCTTCGTACTTAGATTGGGTTCATCTAAACAGCATCGTCGGAGGAAGGAGTGGGTAGCCAGCCGATGATGATGATTGATGATTGCTCTCTGTTTTCTCTTTTGCATTTTTGCCTACTACATACATGATTGTACCTCCATGCCATGCGATATGAGATATGCAGACGGGTGATCGACAAGCAAGCGCTGAGAGGATTTGGAAGGGATGAAGGAGGATGCAGGCGCGAAAATAAGCGAGGGCGGACATGTGGGCTGTGTTCTAGAACTGATACAGGCACGTCAGGCTCAGGAGTGATGGCGGGATGCTTGGCCCGCACGGGCGGCGCCTTGGGAGCAAAGGCGGGGGAGAATAGCACCCAGAGAGGGGGAAGCAGGAGGAGCGAGGGCGTCTGAGCATGATTGGCACGGAGGAGGAGGAGGAAGAAGCGGACAATGGGCGGCGAGAGGAAACAAGGGCTGGTGTGCCGGGAGATGCCGGTACTGATGATGATGGGCGTGAGAGGGTTTGGGCGAATTGATGGGGCTCAGCCTTGCCCTTCTTTCTCCTTCGTTCATCCCCGTCCTGAGTCCCCCAAGGGCCTTTCGCGCCTTTTTTCTGGTTCACGACGCCGACGACCGACCGAGTTGATTTCTGATACTTACTTCCCTCCTTGCGCTCGAGCACCGAGCAGCACTCCACGCTCTTTTTACTCTCTCTCCTCTCACGTAGCCCCGTCGTTGAGGGGATCGAATAACAACAACAACAGCAAAACCTACCTCACCTAAACTTACACTTTTTCCCGACTCCTACTCCTACTGCTACTGCTACTAGTACGAAGATGCGCCTCCCCCGCCAATCGATCCTCACAGCGCTCCTCGCCGCCAACTGGGTCCTCGCCGCCCACTCGTCAGCGGAGAACTCGCATGCGAGACGCTCGTTGGATATCATGAAGCGCCAGGGCTTGACGATTGACTTGGGGATTGTCAAGCTTGATCTGGGTGGTACGTGTTTTTTCCCTATCGTTATGGCGGGTTTCGTTGCCCCCGGCTAGAATGTGGATGGAGGGTAATGATGATGATGATGCTTTTTTTTTTTTGAAGGTGGTGATGATGGAGATGGAGATGGAGGTGGAGGTGGTGGTGACTCGACGACGCCAACGCCGACGGTGACGCTGGATCCTTCGACGAGCACGAGCAGTACTGGTGATGAACCGACGGACCCGCCGAGCTCGTCGAGCAGTGCGGCTAGCACCTCGACGACTGATGAGGACACAACCACGTCAACGTCGATCAGCACCAGCGCCACGTCCTCGTCCTCAGAGGCAGCCGTCACTTCCCCGCCTGCAACCTCGACCAGCACCCAAGGCGGGATCCTCGACCCCGTCATCACTCTCGTCACGAGCATCGTCGGGGATTTACCGGGCACACTGACTAGCATCGTGGACGGCATTACGAGCGCCCTGGACCCGACTTCGGCCACCGAATCGACGGCTGCTTCGGAGACAGCGACAGCGACCTCGGACGCTTCGACTCCCACGGACCCCCCGGCGCCGACCTCGACCCCCTCCGAACCGACAAGCGAGCCCACGCCCCCGCCCACAAGCGAGACTTCGGCTGCGACGAGTGAACCGACGAGTGAGCCCCCGGTGACGACGCCCCCTCCGCCAGAGACGACGACTGCACCGCCCAATCCGATCAGCAGCATCATTTCGATCATCTCGAGTGTGGTGTCGGATGTGTCGAGTGTGGTGTCGAGCGTTGTTGACCCGCCGACGCCCACGTCGGAGCCGAGCGTACCACCGACTTCGGTGCCCCCGACGTCGGCGCCTCCCGACGAGCCGACGTCTGTCCCGCCTACGACGGTGATTAGCGAGCCTCCGACGACGGTGATTAGTGAGCCGCCTACGACGGTGATTAGCGAGCCGCCTACGACGGTGATCAGCGAACCTCCAACGACGGTGATCAGCGAGCCCCCGACAACTGTGATCAGCGAGCCCCCAACGACGACCTCCGTCCCGCCCACTATCAGCTTCCCCGACCCGATTACGAGCACGAGCCTCTCGGACAGCGTGTCCCTGACGGTGACAGACGACCCGCTCTCCCTCACCACGAGCATCTCCATCGACTCGGCGCTCTCGTTCATACTCACCGAGAGCTCGCTCGCGCTTGCGACGTTGCCCACTACCACCGCCAGCCCGACGCTCACCGACCCCGACGCCGTCGCGACCCCGATGACGACCATCGATGGCTCGGCGATCCCGCTCTCGGCGCTCTCCACGTCCGCCCTGCCTGGCCCGTCGCAGCCGCCCCTGCCCACTGGGATTCCTGCGAGGATATACCCGTCCGAACAGCTCGATGCGAGCCAGGACTTCCCGGGGTATACGTTGATTAGTATACTGTTCAACCAGGAGCTGAATTGGCCGTTTGTGGTGAATAACCCGATTTCGAGCAGTCAGATCTTTGCGTATGTCCCGCCGTTGATCTATACGGCGTTGGGTATCTCTAGTGCGTATATGCGCTTTTTATTTTTCCGGGGAGTGACTGATGTGGTTTTGGGTTGGGTTGGTGTAGGCGACCAAGTGAAGACGTGGGTGCTGCAGGTGTACGTACCAACCTCGTACCGCACCCCCGCCGACGCCGTCGAGCTAGGCACGATATGGCTCGGGTACATCCCCGAAGACCTCGTCGACACCCTCGCACAAGAAATCAAAGCCAAGCAATCCAGATTCTACACCGGCGTCCCCATCCCCGCCGCCCAGTCCCTCGCCGACCGCGTCAACTCGGGCTTCTCCCTCCTCTCCGTCGCCGACCCCAACTCCTCTGCAGGCGGCACCTCCGGCTCTGGCGGCACGAACGTGAACGGCGTCACTGGCGCGGCGTCGAACGATGGCAAGTCCCGCCAGGACGCGATCATCGGCGTCGTCTCGGCGCTCGGCGCCATTGCGCTGTTGGTCCTTGTGTTCCTTGTTTACAGGTCGCTGAAGAGGCGCAGGCAGCTCGCGCATCGCCGTCTGTCCGACCCCCCAGATATGGCGGAGGTACCGGGGGCAGAAGGGGTCGGTGTGAGGCCGGAGGGCCAGGCATTCGACCAGGATAGCGTGGGTGGGCAGAGGAGGAGGAGCTTTTATTATGCGGAGGACTCGTTGAGGGGGTATGGAGGCGAGAGGAGCGGGCAGGATGATTATTTTGATGCGAGGATGCAGCAGCAGCAGCAGATGGGCCAGCCGGGCATGAGCCAGCGGAGGAATGTGAACCCCGGGGCGATCTCGGCGCCGATCTTGAGGGAGAGCAGCATGAATTGGTAGTGCCTCCACCCCGGTTAGACCTCGACCTCGACCTCGACCTTGACCTTTGGCTCAGCATGCACACACGGACGGAAGCTCGACGCACGATGCACGACACGTCGTTGACCGACCGACCTACCTACCCCACGGCCGCCGCCACCCACCTCCGTCTCTTTCTCGCTCCGCATTTCTTCCGTTCTTCCTTTTCCTCTCACATCCCATCCTTCCCCTTCCTTCATCGTCTCCATCACAACCATTGACTTTCGATGACTGACCTCACTAACGTTTTCTTTGATTCCCCCACTGTTCCATCCGACGCTCTATTCCCCTCTATTCCCCTATCTATCGTACCCATTACCCAAAGTACCCTATTTTCATTTGCTCTTTTCGTGGCTACCTTTGCTTTCTCCTTCTCCGCGGTACGTCTGACACGCCTCTCGCCGACTATTGATAATGTCTCGAGCTCGGAGGGCATGTCGGACATTTGTGTTTTTTAACTTATTTTGTCCTTTAACCCCCAATCTTGGAGTATATATACCTTTGCCTTTTTCCTTGCCTTCGCGTTGAAGTGCTGGTGCCATTCCGTCCTCCATGCCCGTAGATCTTCATTCATGTTCAGCCTTTGCACTGTTGGATGCTTGCTCGATGCAGTCCCTCCTCCTTCCCTCTCGCTTCTTGCCCTGGATGGCTCACCCTCGAGGCCTCAGGGCACCTGATTCTTTGGTTGGTTGGGCTGGTTAGACTCGGGGTTGTATACATACTCATCCTGGCTGGATATATAAATGGGCATTTTCTCCTTCCAGTGTTGTCCTACTTTCTTGGTGCATTCTTCATTGGTATTCAGTGCTTCTTTCTTTTTTGTTTTTCATTCCTTTGTTGTGAAGGTTCACTTGATTAGTGATGTGAATAGATGCATTACATTTATCCTGCATGGCTGGCTGAAAGATTGGTGATTACACTAAAGTATATTTGTGGATGTTCTTGTGCATAAAGGGTCAATGTAAATATTGACAAATATCTTACAGAACAGATTGGATAAAATACATTGTAATTGAATTGAATGTCATGACTAGTATCTGGCTCCTGGGGTGATTATCTGGCTTCCAAGGCTTGTAGTGATCAGCCATGTCCTTCTGAGATGCTCCCAAGACATCCATGCCCTTTCAGGACACTTCTGAGGCATGCCATGTTTCCAGCTCTCATTGTGTCTTCTAGCCATTATTCTATTGTCCTTCATTATTCTCCTTTGTTCTCATTATCTCAGCTGAGTTATATATTATATAATCACAGTATGTTATTCTATATAGCATAAATACCCATGTATAGTAGTAGGACATACTACCCTCTCTATGTCATGACCACTCCTCAGGTTGTCCTGTCAGAGTTCCACTTTTAGGGAGTAGGAGTAGACTGTGGGCAGCTGAAGCTCCTAAAAAAACTGCCTCAGAATAGCACTGATATCTACGGTATCCTGTATGCACCGTAAACTACCGCCTGTTGTAGCCTTATTTTAACCTGCAATACAACTGGAGTATTAGGGGTTTCAAGCACCGAAAAAAGGCAGAAAGACATGGCAAAAACCCCAAATTTCAGTGCACTATGCCGTCTTTTCTGGCGCTTCGAAACTGTTATTTTAGGTGCATTGGAACACACTGCCCTTCGACGCTTCATCTCTGCACCTTTTTTACTTGCTCGGAAAAGCCACTAACACTCACCTTCTTCCTGCTCAATCGCAACAGTTCACCAGTCCTCGGTGCGTCCTTTGGTGTGTTGTATGCCACAGTCAGTAACAATACCAAATGCAAATTTAAACTTACATGAATGGCGGTTATACAGTGGAACATAACTCCATATGAGTAACTGTCCTGGCGCAACTTTTCCACCTCGAATGGGGTTAGTCTCATATTGTCCTCAATGAGAATATTGGCGATCCCAGGAATGGCGACAAGGTCCAGGAATTGGCAATAAGTGAGTGTCCATCCCTGCATGCCAGTCCACCAGGTTTCCAGCAGTCCGATCATCTTCTCTAGGATGACATCAGCCATTATACGTGCGATTTTTGGCTCCGTGGTATCTTGTGGGTATGTTTTGACAAACCAGTCCTTGATGATCTTCATTGACATGGGCCCATAACTGCAGTGTGTTAGCAAACAAATATGAAACCAATAGAGCGAAACATACTAGCCAGTGTGCAGGTTGGCACGCATCATGTCATACAGCCTCTTATCTTCCCAGTGGGACAGATCCTCAGCGTTTGCACCTGCCTTTTGCAATGATTTGACAAGCGACAACCACGGGTAGCAGAGATCCAAGACAATCTCATTGTCAGTTAGCCCAAAAATCTGTTCCTCCAGATCTGTTAAATGATCTGGAAGAGATTTGAAGTCAACATTCAGGGGCCAGTCCAACTCCTGGGCCATATTTGCAACAGCCGCTCTGAGTTTGTCATGAACTTGCACATTCAGTTTGTCTCTGTACTCCAGGGTGAGGTTGGCGCCGTTGACAAGTTTATCCAGCGTCCGCTTTAATTTTTGGGTGAGTCCGTCCACGGGAATGCTCACACACCCGTCGTGGGGGCACCTCTGAATGTCCATGCGCTGTCCGATATATTTGTTAGCATCAACTCATATTGGTTGGAGAGATGTACCTGTTTCTTCGCTGGAGGCCTGCTCAATTCTTGCAAATCATCACTCTTTCTCTGAAAAAAAAGGATTAGAATATAAAGGAATCATGATTTCATCATACTTTTTGCGCAGCCTGTAAGCAACTGATTAGTACGTGAACTGCACAATAATATGTTTGAGTACATGTGAACGAGTGGTGCACGTCGCCAGTGGAGGCGCCGCATCCTGAAGTGACTTGCCCTTGCCAGACGCGCTCTTTGTCTTCACAGCCCCAGGCCCATCAGATTCTGTCGCGTGGTCAATAGGCAGTGTGGCCATGGCTTCAGAGGCGGCCTGGACTTTCTCAGTCACCGAGGGCACCGAGGGCCTTGTCCTGTTTGTGATTGTCACAAAGGGAGGGGTTTGCATGTAGATCTCATCGAAACATGCTTCCTCAGGTGCTTCGAGCCAGTCTGAAGTGGGCACTGAATTTGGTGCATTATCAGGTGGTAAAGGCGTCGGAGTGCTGGATGCAGTGACAGGCTTTGGGACAGGGGCAGGCTTTGAGGCGGTGACAGGCCTTGGGGCAGTGACAGGCTTTGAGACGGCGACAGGCCTAGGGGTGGCGACAGGCCTCGAGGCAGCGACAGGCCTCAAGGCAGCGACAGGCTTTGAGATGGCAGCAGGCTTTGAGATGGTGACAGGCCTCGGGGCGGCGGCGTTGCGAGGAGCAGAAGCAGCACCAGGTTGAGGAGTCCTGGCGGCCTGGCAAGGAGCAGAACCTGGATTCAAGGCTCCTGTCGCCTGGCGAGCAGTGGAAGTGGCAGCCTCCGGTGCATCTTGAGCATTGCGAGCTGTGCGTCTGGCATCAATGGCATACTGGGTGGGAGCCAGTTTCCGCTCTTTCGTCTTGGAGGACTTGGCTCTGGGTTTAGGAGGGTCAACCGTGGTCGGCCTTGCGCGTTCATGATTGATCTAGTAGTATTATTATCTGCCAACAAAAAAGGAAGGCAAATACCTCGGGCATCTCACAATCCTCGCTGTCCTACAACGAAACATTAAATGAAGAAGTTTTCATCAAGAGATACAACACGAACCTCGCCTCTTCTCGAGGTCCTTTTCTTCTTCTTTTTGCCTTTCTGGCTCTTGGTAGCTTCGTCATTGCCACCCTTGCCTAAACAATAAGTGCGGGCCTCTTCAAGATAGTGTACTTCAGTAGGCATGTCTTTGTAGTATTGCCTATAACCCGAAGCTTTGTTCTCCAGATACTCCATCAGTATCTCCTTGATCACCCATCCCTCTTTGTATTGTCGGTAAACCAGGTAGTCATTCATCAACTAGGCACATATAATCAGCAATCACACCTTTGACCAGCATCCTCATACTGCTCGCATCATAGCCTCCTTATTTTCATGGTTCTGTTTGGACCATGTCTTGGTGAGATTGAGGAACACAGAGGCATACACATGACACATTCCCTAAGGCGAGTATATGTGTGTTTATGGGAATGTATGGGCGCATAAGGCTTACTTTCACCGTGTTAACCTGCTCAACTGTCTCAAAGGCCAAAACATTATTGAGAGCGAAGCCACTGTCTTTCCTGCCTTGTCGACCTTCTGGATGAGGCAGAGGTTTCCCCACATCATTGTCTTCTTCCGAGAGTCTCGCCTGCTGTTCCCCTGAGCTACACATCAGTTGGCACCCAGCGAACAACCTCAACAACTTACAGTTTTCCTTTCTGAGGGACGAATTCTCCTTTTCCAGCACTCCCGCCCTTTCTGCGTTTCTTGTGAGTCGATCGTACTCTTCTTGGCTTATTTCAAGCATCTTCCTATGTCGTCGTTCATGGTCCAGGCGATCAAGCAAGATCGGGGTTCGATAAGTCAGGGACACATTATCAGGGTCCTAGCGGGAAGAGACAAAAGAGGAAGGTAGGGCGTAGGGATCTTCCGGAACACATTGGGTCACATGCTGTTACATAAGACACATGTGACATGGTGAAGCGCAGAAATCATTAAGTTCATACTACCGTCCATACATGCAGGCCAAAAGTCTAGTAAAAACAATAGGATCTTTTTCACCTTTGCCAGGACGTGTGCCAGCCACCCGGATTGTACATGATTCCTCATCTATTGAATGAACTTTGAATATTTTCCCTGCCATGGGGCCCGCAGTGACTGTAACAAAGTCGCCTGTCATATCAGGAACCACAGGTTGCAGGTTGGCAATGTCGATGGTATGTTCTCCTTGGAGTTGCAGGTCCTTGACATGGACTTGATCACCAGACACAGAAACAAATTCGAGCGCCTTCCAGTTAACACTGTTCTTCTCTAGGAGCTTTGCATGAACACGTTCGAAATGAGGGTCTTTTAGCCAAGACATATCACGGTCTTCCATAGGAATAGAGGCAGCAGACACCATGGAAGGAGGACCTAGAGATGAAAGGGCTGGAGTACGAGAGGACGGATCCCAAGCAGGAGTCTTTGATAGTATGTATTCAGAAGCAGTGGGCATTGGCATTTTTGAGGTGCTTGCTCCGCTCGGTGTACTCTGGTTTTCAGCCTGGAAGGAAGACTCGGTGACAGATACACTGAAAGCCAGCCCAGGAGGATTTTCGACCCAATAATCTCATCAGTAACCTCATCATTTTCCCTAGAGTGATTCATTAGTAAATCTCATGAACCAACTTGAATAATCCTACAAATGAGCCAAGTTCTCTAACGGGATTGGGAGGCGCTGGTGCGTAGTATCAATTTCTACAATAGCCATGTGGTGTATTGTTGTCTCTTTGATAAGTCCTTTGATCCCTTTCAACACTTCTATAAGCATTGCTCCTTGTCGTTTTTGGTGTTCCTGCTGCTGTTTTCAATGGGGAAAAGCCGCCAATGACGAGGAAACATATTTCCTCGTCGTTGTGCACTGTTTCCCCCATCGTCGGGGGGCGGGAATGGGTGGATTGGGGAGGGGTGGTTTGGATAACCCTCGGTGTTTTTAGCTGTCATCTATTTTTAGATCGGACTTTTTTGTACACACCAAATTTTACAAAAAGAAATCATATTAAGTTGTAAAAAATTAAATACATGGTACAGGCGGCTAGTAAAGCCACCTGTTAAGAAATAGAAGTAAAACAAGCAGAAATGGCGCATATAGGATGCACTGTTTCTGCTCGTGGGGGCGGAAATGGGTCCCGTCCCCCCCATCTCTACTGCCTTCTCTGGTCGTGGGGCATCCTCTGCCTCCTGTGCTTGGTCGGGCCCCTCCTCCCTTTGTTTGCTCGTTCGAGACCCCTCCGCCCCTCCTGGGCTCGGTTGGGGCCCCTTCTGCCCCTTGTGCGCTCAGTCGGGTCCCATCCGCCCTCGTTTGCTTGGTTCGGGCCCTCTCCTCCCTTCGCTTGCTCATTCGGGCTCCCTCTACCCCTTGTGTGCTCGTCCAGGTCACTTCCACCTCCTCCGTCCTTCCTCTGCTCCATGGGGCCCTTTGGTGCTTGTTCGCCCCATCAGTTGCTCGTTGGGTGTCGTCAGGTGCTTAATGGGGCTCCTCAGATGCTTGTTGAGGGTGGGACACGAGAGGGGGCTGCTGCACACTGTTAGGTCCCCTCCACCCCTCCACTGGCCTGTTGGGCCTCACCCACCCCCTCTGCTCCTCGTTGGGCGCAATCTGCCCCTCCACCGGTCCATCGTATCGCATCCGCCCTTCCGCTCTTTGTTGGGCCCTCTGCTGGCTCCTTCAGCTTCCCTTGGGCCTCTTCGACCAGTCGTTAAGGGCAAATGGGAGGGCAAATGGACGGCAGCGGGGCAGAGGGCAAGGCAGGCAAGATGGACGGTGGGGTGGACCAGGGGTGGACCAGGGGCGAGAGGGCGAGAGGGCAAGGACGAGGATGAGGACGAGGGTGAGGGCAAAAGGGCAAGGGCAAAAGGGTAGGGGTGAATGGGCGAAAGAGGGTGAGGGCGAAAGAGGGCGAGGGTGAGGTGGCGAAAGGGCGATGTGGGTGAAAGGGGTGAAAGGGGTGAGAAGGCGAGGATGAAGGCGAGAGGGCAGGGCAGAGGGCGAGGTAGCGAGGTGGGAGAGACGCCAGGCAGAGGGAGAGATGAGGCAGAGGGCCGAGGGCGAGCGAGGGGTGGACGGGGGATGCATCAATGAACAAGGGTGTAAGGGGCGGACGGACGAGAGGCGAGACAGTGAGGAAGAGGGCGAGACGGCAGGCGAGGGGTGGACAAGGGGGGGCAGAGGGCGAGGCGGATGAGATGGCGGGGCAGAGGACAGGGGGAGTGGACGAGGGGGGAGGGTGGTCGCCATTGTTGTGCTGCCCCCACCGTTGTCATCGTGCTGCCCGTCGTTGGTGTCCTGCCCCACCGTTGTTGTCGTTCTAACCCCCGCTGTCGTTCTTGTCCTGCCCCCACTGTCGTTCTTGTCCTGCCCGTCATTGTCGTCCTGCCCCCGCTGTTGTTATCCTCTGCATGGTCGAGAGGGCGATGGTGGACGAGCGGGCAATGGTGGGCGAGCGGGTGGTGGCAGGCAGAGAGGTGCCCGAGCCCACATCCCTGTTGCAAGGGGAGGGGCTCAAGGGCTTCGTTGCATCATCATTGACGTCAACGGAGTTCTCTGAGGGGAGAGGTTGGTTAGTAGGGATGTGTGTACATAAGAAATATATATACTTACCTTTTTCTTCGTGTTTCAGGGCGGCTTTGCAGTGAGGGGGAGAGGGAGGTGGTGGAGAAAGACACAGATCAACAATGTTCAACATCGTTGATTGCAGTTCAGCGGGATCCAGCTGCTCATCCTATTGGCTGGGATTATCAGCCCAATCCTGTTTCTGTTCCATTGTCAACCAACGGAACGTCTCCGCTGGATGCTGAATGCATAGTGTCTCTATTTAAACCTTCGGAATTTGTTATTAGTATATATGTTCATCTATACATGTAATTTTAACCAAATAAAATGAAAATTAAATATCTTATGAACGAGTTCATCTCATGCTCAGGCCAATTAGGGGAGTCTCTCCTCTGTATGTAGATTCCAAGAGGCAGAAGAAGCCAAATAAATATATAAAAATGATATACAGACTGGCTAATTATGATAGTATTGAGGGATAAAGCTCCCCTGATGAATTTATCAATTTTAGGATATACACTAAGAATCTATGAACAACAATGTGGATTCTGATACAAAACCAACTCATGGATGTGTCAAATATCAGACACTGGCTTGTATCATAAGATTTACATGGTAAATTCAGGCTAATTTTTTATATATGATGTACTTAATTACCCAAGGATCTCAAATGTATGGTTATTATGATGTTTCACCTTGTCGAACAAGTGTTATTTGAGAGGTTGGAACATCAAGAGGACGTGAATCACCACACGAACACAGTAACTCAGGTTCTGAGCTTGTTCTTGCTCTCAGAATTTATTCAGACCCTTGTAAATACATAAATTACAGTAGTCTACTTACATACCGATAGTTATTCAAGCAGATTTTGTCATAGGTGAACAGTATTGGCGATTCCGAGGTCGATGAACAGAACGTGGGCTGGCCGGACTGTCAGCCTCAGCCAATCAAGTCATTCGCGGTGTTCGCCGGATAAGACGTTTGTCATCGTTGATCTCAGTTTCAACGACCACCTGGCGCTCCCCCTCTCAGTCCGACACCTCTAATGACCCCCCAGGACTGAAAAAGGGTGAGTAATATGTTTTTCTCTACAACTATATACTCTAACGTGCATTTTTTACTCAAATTAGGTGAATGAGCATCAACTTTCAGTTGATGCTCGTTGTCTTTGCCTCTTGCGCCCCTCCCCTGCCATGGGGATGTGGGCTAGCCAGGACTTCCCCCCTGGCAAGCCAATCCCCACTCCCATCTGCTGTAACTCCCCCCTCTCAGAACTCTTGTGCCCATCGCCCCCTCGCTGCCCATTACCCACCCCTCCCCTTCAACAGGGATGTGGGTGTTGCCTTGCGCCCCTCGCCCTCTGTCCCTCGCCCTTCGCCTCTTGCCCTCTCGTGTCACCCTCTTGCCCTCTTGCCCTCTCACCCCCTTGCACCTTGCACCTTGCACCTCACCCGGATGGCAGCGGCAGGGCAACGAAGACAATGCTGACTCGGTGGCGGCGGTGGAACAAAACAGTGACACAACGGCGGAGTTGACAATGGCACAGCGGAAGGATCGGTGGTGAGGGCGAGAACGTGGCAATGATGACAACAAGGCAACAACAATGACAATGATTTGCACTGTCGTTTCTCTCGCCCTTCACTCTTGCCCCTCGCCTTTTGCCTCTCGCCCCTTGCCTCTCTTGCCCTTCGCCTCTCTCACCCTCCACCTCTCCTGCCCTCCACCCCTCTCCCTTTGCCCTTTGACTCTCGCCCTCCACCCCTCACCCCCATCCTTCACCTTTGATCTACGACAACACAGGGAACAGAATGGCGAGAATGGCCGTGGATGGCTCAGGTCAAGGGCGGCAATGGTGGGCACAGGATGGCGATGGCAGGAACAGGACAGTGACGGCGGGCACACGACAGCGGGTGACAGACGATGACAGCGGATGATGACAGCAGGCAATGGATGACAACGGCAGGGGCACGGCGACGACGATGGCAGGGGCATGATGACGATGGCAGGGCACCCTCCACCCTAACCCTTGCCCCTCGTTCGCTCCCCCATCCTCTGCCTCACTGTCTTGCCCTCGTCTACCCCTCATTCACCCCTCATTCACCCACCATCTCACCCTCTGCCCTCATCCTTGCCCTCGCCTTCTGCCTCTGCCCTCTCCTCGCCCTTCCCCCTCCACCACTCGCACCCCACCACTCGCCCCTTCGCCTCCTCAAGGGGACCCTCTGACCCTCCGACCAGCAAATGACCAGTGGAGAGGCCGAACGACCAGCAGAGGGTGCAAACGAGCACCCCAGAGCCCGCCCAGAGAGGGCAAATGAGCACCCGAAGGGGCCCAACAAGTGACGAAGGGCCCTGAACAAGCAGAGGAGGGGCAGATGGGGGCAGATGGAGAGCACAGAAGGGGTGGAGGGATCCCCAACCGACCCCAATGAGCATGGCAGGGGGTGGAGGAGCCCTAACTGACCCCAACGAACACAGCTGGGGTGGAGAGGGCTCCAATGAGCACAGGGGGTGGGGTGGAGGGACCCACCTAGCACACGCAGGGCGGAGACGGAGAGGAGGAGGCGGAGACGCCCACCGAGGGGCAGCAAAGGCAGCAGGGGCAGGGGCAGGGGTGGAGGCCATTCCCGCCCCCACGAGCAGAAACAGCGCATCCTATATGCGCCATTTCTGCTCGTTTTACTTCTATTTCTTAACAGGTGGCTTTACTAGCCGCCTGTACCATGTATTTAATTTTTTACAACTTAATATGATTTCTTTTTGTAAAATTTGGTGTGTACAAAAAAGTCCGATCTAAAAATAGATGACAGCTAAAAACACCGAGGGTTATCCAAACCACCCCTCCCCAATCCACCCATTCCTGCCCCCTGACGATGGGGGAAACAGTGCACAACGACGAGGAAATATGTTTCCTCGTCATTGGCAGCTTTTCCCCATTGAAAACGGTGGCAGGAACACCAAAAACGACGAGGAGCAATGCTTGGGCATGTAATGACCTGAACAGAGGGGGGGACTTGGCCTCAGCATGCTCTTGTGCTGTGCCCCTACACATCATCTGGTTGTCCCCAATTTACAGGAACTGCCTTGGTTTTGAGAGAGGAGAGACAAGAAGAAGTCATCCTGGCCAAGGCCCAGGAGACAGAGGATGAACAATAGAGCAGAGGGGTTGTCAAGGTTGAGATTCAAGCTGGGGAATCCAGTACACTACCTAGCTACTTATACTATTGAGAACAATGGAGAAGATCTAGGTCATGTAATGAATGCCAGCAGAACAATGACAGAGAACAATAAGGACAATAATGAATAGAACAATGAAGGGAAAGCCCATTGATGAACCAGAACAATGAACAATGGGACAATGGAACAATGGGTTCAGGAATGGGATGTGACAGGGCATTGTTTCCTGTGTTGTTTGCTCATGTTGACAGGTCCTGCCCGCAGCACTGAGCCCCGGCACACACGGCAACGGCCTCTCTGTGGGTGGACTGTATAATCACAGTCCTGACATGTGAGTATACCCTGCTTAAATACAGTGTTTGATATAGATTTCTAGCGGACATGGCTGCTTTCAAAGGATGCTTGCATACCACCATGACTTGCTTGCCTTTATGGACTTCATTGTAATCTTTTTGACCAGGGAAATTATGTGGTTGGCGTCTAGGAACACATAGCATGGTCGAGTGAGGAGCGCTATAGAAAGCGACTTCTTGTACGATGACATTGATCTAAAACTTGTCAGGAACAGAGATGACAGACGAAATGAAACTCGCCTCTTGTTCCGGAGCAATATGCATGACAAGTCTATCATCATATGCAAACGTCACCCACCCTTTGGAGCCCTTGTGATCACCATGGGTGACAGCAACATGATCTCCAACCTTGAAATGAGGGCGGACCTCTACGACGCTGAAGGGGGCAACAATGTCCTGGGACAGAAGATGCAACAAAACCTCCTTGGTACCAACCTCAACAACCTCTCCCAATACACCAGAAAATTTGCCTCTGATGACCTTGACCCGATCGTGAAGCTGAAGACGTTTCTGCGCCACTCGATTGAGGGTTTTCAAACGCACCGTGTCCTCAAGCAGCGAAGAACCACAAAATAATGCAAACTCATGGTGACAAGGGAGGACTTCGGAAGAGATTACAAGGTCGATTTTGTTGGTTGGTACTAACAGAATTCCATCTCGGGTGTAGGTGCGCTGTTGAAATATATATTGTGTCTGTGTCTCCAAGGCTTTGACTTTATGAATTCTGAAAGTTTCGACCATGTCATCCTGCAGTGCGAGTGCTTGTGGTGGACGGGGTTCTTTTCTGATCCGAGGAATCAACCCAACCAAAAAGCTGTCCAGTCTTTTGATGAGCAGGCCGGTATCCCCTAGAGACTTCTTCCATTTGGCCCATTTATCATGGACCCAAACCCATTTCTGATCTTCAAGCCTGTAGGGGCTACTCCGAGTGAGCATGTCAGTTCACTCATCCAACGAGACGGGGCAGATGTTGTTTGTGTTGAGCTCTGGAATTCGGTGGGCGAGCGCACGGGCTTGAGTCATATCATCAACCTCAGTGTAGATGCAGCCAGGAATCGTGCTTCGCACAACAATTGAAGGAGCCAAAGTTTGAGGAAAGGTTGGGTGTGTCGCCAGAGAAAGAACCTTGAATGCAACACTTTCCTCATGGCCAACCTAGGTATCATTGGAGAAGAAATAAAAAGATTCAGGACATATTTGATGCACTAGACACCCAATCTCGAAGATCATATCGTTCTCTTGTAGTCTCATGTCCTCCTGATTGTTGAATGTCTCCATCACCGATGAACTTCGCCCTTGTTGCCTCACTTGTGCTAGGATGTCTTCCCAGAAGTCTTCACCGGTGTCATCGATGGTTCGCATGAGTTGAGAATGTCGTGTAACTGCCTCGTACAACTCAACATCATTGTAGATTTGCTCTATAGAGAAACTATTTATGAGAATGATGTCCTGAACATAGTTTGGAGCCAACTTACCCTCGTGCTTGTGTTTGTCCTTGTCTTCAAGTTCTCCTTGCTCTTCCTCTTCTTTGTCGGTAACGCCTGCCTCAATGTCTAGAAACATGCTCTGTATGAAATTGACAAGGAGGTCAATGTCTCTTATTTTTTAATTCAAATATTGTTCACCAGATTCATACGTCTCCTTTTGTGTGGGGGGACATCCCTCTTACTTGGTATCTGGCAAGACATCTTGTATGAGGTGTGTCTTTTGTCTATTCTATGGTATCTCTACTTATTATGTACGTGTACGGTGGTGGTGGTTGGGAAAGAGAAGTCGAACTTTGCGAACGCCAATTGTGCCACACCAGTTTAGGGTAGGCTGTTTGACATCCACATGCACTGCCTTCCTAAATGAGATTATTTGGCAGGACCTTGTTTGTTCCTATAGGCAACCAAACAAAGTGAGGAAGAAAACCTCACTTTGTTTGGTTGCCTATAGGAACAAACAAGGTCCTGCCAAACATCCCAGATAGGCCACCACTGCCTGTGAACACCAGACGGCCTACCCTAAACACGGCATGGCCAACATGTCACAGCTCAATGTAACACCTCTTGCTTCCACTCACCCACCTCCCCTCCCTTAAGGACGCTTAGGACGCTTAGGATGCTCTATAGACAAGTAGATAGCTAATAGATAGACACTAATTACTGTAGTATACACTTAAGTAAATGATGAGAACATTTGAGAGACCACAGAAAACAAGGAAAGAGAAGCACAGACAGTGAGTATATGTGCCCAGTCGAACACCCAGAACCCGAAAAAGTACAAAACTGACTGATATTGCTCAGTGGCAATGTCTAGGAGGTCTGCATCGCCCTCTATTCGCGCAACGTCCCCCATTATAAGGGACTTTCCCTGGTACACAAACACGGTGATGGAGCTGGAGAAACTTGAGATGTGTTTGGTGCAGGGGGCCAATTCGAGGTGTGTTGACTCAATCTCAAGTTTTTCTCAATCTGACCTTCCATTCCAGAATCTTCTGAAGCGCCTCATAGCTCTTGAGGATGACTTATCCGAAGAACCCACTGGGAGCAGCTCCAGTGCCAACAACATTCAACAAATGAGAAATGATCTCGAGGAGATCAATATTGGAGATGTTCTCAACTGCAATCAGGCCTCTGTCACCAGGATCTTTTCCATCCTCGGTGTCTATCGTTTACTTGATGTTCAAGCCATTGTCAATGGAGTCAAGTGAATACCAAGAGGTGTTCTGCCCTGTGTGACACTGCAAGAAGGAAGCGGCCTTGGGCAGGTAGATACGGTCCACATTCTGAACCTCCAGTTGCTCATCTGCTTTTTTTTAAGATTTGGAACAAGATGAGTGACTGGACGGAGGTCCTCTCTCAGGCGCAAACCACCATCAACAAGTACGCCAAACTTGACGGAAGGCTAACGTCCAACGAAACAGACCTCCATCGTTGACACCTCGATGTTTTGTATCGAGTTGGGCGTACTTGTGCTGTGGGAAAATTACTCCTCATGATACAGCTCACTGTAACGCACCTTTCATATATCATCAACATGAATCTGAGTGAGAAATATCAATGTTTGGCCGACAAGATTCCTAATCTCCCAAACAATATTGCCAAGCTCAGGCAACTGACCAGAAATTTGACTACTCATGCAGAGCATCTGTCCTTTCTGCTAGAATTGGCCGAGAAGTACCACCTATCAGGCCTCAAGTTACCGCTAGAGCTGGCTCTCTTCATTTCACTGATATTCCTGTTTTTAGGGATCTTACTCCAGAGTTTGCCCGCGTTTGCCAGTGTATAACTGGCCACGCGCCCATTGGAGCATATTACCGTCGCTTCAAGATCAATGAGCCTCATGGCTGCACTTGCCGGGCTGCTTTGCAGTCTCGCCAGCACATCCTCTTTCGCTGTCGCGATCGCTACTCCGTGCATTATCCCCGCTTTCTTGGGGATGTTGCATCTTTTATGAAGTACAACCCTACGGCGTTCGGCTTCAACCAGGACCCCTTGGGGGTCGGATAATCGCTGTGGGTGGGGTTATTAGACCTGCACCCACCACTATTTCTTCGCGCTTGCGGCCGCTATTGTAGCGGATTGCGGCGCCGCTAACTCTCTGCGTCTGGTTTCGGGCAGGCGCTTCTCTGGCTTGTCGGCCTCAAGACACCCTGCCACCTCCCGGGTGGTGCTTTTCTTATCTCATTTGCGCTGCATGGCCTCCGAACAGCGTCCGACGGCTCTGGGGTTTAGCGGGGCTTCGATGGTCTCTTCCCCTTATCCCACGTCACCATTTTCGCGAGGTGGGTCTGGCTTTATGGGAGTTTAGGCGTTTGAGCCATAAGGCTCATGGTTGGGGGGGCGGACGTCTTTCAGTAGTTTACTTAGTACCCAGGCCGCGTAGTGTACGTGTTTGTAGATAGCGAGCGGGCTGCCATCGAGCACCGCTATATAAATTGTTGATAAAAAAAAAAAAAAAAAAAAAAAAAAAAAAGGGATCTTACTCCATAATAAGCGATGTGAGCCAGCTGAACTGTTGGCAGTAAGTCCCATCTGCAAAAGAAATCGATCATGAGCTGATTCCTCTCGACAGCCAGTTGAAAAACTAGTGATGAAGCCAGGCCTCCTTTTCAATGTCGAAATGAAGATATGGTGCTTCCTGTTCGCTGTGCTCCACAGCCAGGTTCCTCTAGTAGAGGGTCTCATCATGTTGTTCAAGGACTTGCTGCGGTCCCTGATGAAGAGGGCTGATGAATCTGTCAAGCATTGGTTCGAGTCAGGTTCATTTTTTATTCTTTCTAATACTATGGATATCTAATCTTTATGTTTGTAGGAGACAAAACTAAACAGAAGGAGAAGATAACTGAGTCACAACAGATGGACGATAGTTCATTGCATGTCAGACACAATGAGCTTCGCACAAAGGAAGACCAGGAAGACCTACAGCTGCCAAACATCAATGACATGAGCAACAAGGCGAACCCCAGCTCAGATAGTGATACAGAAGGGAGTATCCTCATGGTCCTCCCCCACAAGTGCAAGCGTTGAAAGGATGCTGATGAGTATGGGGTCGGATCGTGTGAGGGAAATGTCTTGTAGCCTCTCGTTAGGGACCGTAATGCTAATGTGCGTCGTTGCCTCTGTCGTCGTACAAGAGTGAGCTGGAGAACAAAGAGACAAGTGGCTACGCGTAAGTACCGTGTCCTTATCTAATCTAATCACAGAGTGGGACCGTAATCGCATCGTAGCCTACCTCTCTCTCCTACATCTCCCCCTGACTTTGAAAATCAACCATCCCTGGTTGCGAACATTGCGAAGAAAAGCAAAAAAAGGGAAACACGAAGAGATTGGAAGCTACTTGCACTTTTTCCTCGATGCCTTCTTCCTTGATCTCTCGTCTTCTGAACTGCTCTCGTCACTGTCGTCGGTATCCATCCTCTTTTTAGTTTTCTTGTTCGTCTTCTTCTTTTTCCTCTGTCGGCACTCGTCATCACTATCGCTTTCCTGCTTCCTCTGTCGTTGTCTTGCTTTCTCCTTCTTCCTCTTCTTATCCTCGCTATCCTCATCGCTCTCATCACTGTCCTTCCTCCTCCTAGCTCGTCTCTGATCCTTCTTCTTCCTCGCTTTCCTTCTCGCCCATTCCTCATTGCTCGACTCGCTATCACTCTCATCACTCTCCTCCTCGCTACTCTCCAGGTCTAACATCTCCACCCGCCTCATCTCCAGCATTGTGGTCGTAGTTGTAGTATCGGTGTGCGGCTGTACAGGTGTGTACGAAGTCGTGGTTGTAAGGATCTGCGGCGAAAGAGAAATCGGTATAGGGACTGTTGTAATGGCGATCATCAAATCTACTGGCGTCGGCTTTGCTAATTTGGTTCGTACGTCGTCTAGGATTATCGGAATTCCTCGTGGAACTGAAGTCTTCTTCGTTTTCTTTGTCTTCTTGCGTCGAGTCATCGGCTGTGATGCGTCTTGGGGTTTTGGTGGATTAGAAAGGTCGGAACGAGGCGTTTCATAGTTGACTAGTTGGCGTCGGAGTATATGCGGTAAGCTCTCGAGAACATCGCATGATAGTACAAGATACCGGTACTGTGCGTCGTGAAAAGCTTGCTGCCATATCGCGTTGTGAAGGTCCATTGGGTTGACAGCCTTGAGTGTACCTCGTCCCTGGAGAAGCTCGAAGAAGATGGTCTCGTAGCAGTGGATGTAGCGTCGTTCAATCTCGAGCTCGAATGCATAGCGGTCGTCGGAGCGGTCGACAGTGAGAGACGCGCCAGACTTGGCACGAGAGAATATGGCGCGCAGGGTCTTGCGGGTACACCAGA